TGTTGTGGAGTGAGCTTTTGTTGTGCAATTGCCTTCTCTTCACGCGATCGCGTCTCGTGTCGATATTTTCGAGACAGGGTTGAGCGCACAACCTTATGCTTTTTAGCCAGCGCTGTCCACGGGACTTTATCGCATGGTATCATAGAGTCTATCTCTTCAAAGGCAGATTTCATAGTCATTGTGGCGTTGAGTAATTGTACAGTGAAGTATGGGTACAAAAAGGTGGTTCGGCGCATTACGCGAATCCGCGCATTACGCGCACGGACACGGTAGTCCTACGGCCTGCTTCGGCCAATCTATCCACGAGCTCCAGTAAGGTCCCAAACATCCATGGACAGTACTAACGATGCTTTGTCCACAACCCTCCGCCCACCAGTAGCTGTTTAATCGGTGTAGCAAGGTCCCGTAATAGGCGAAGATGATCAATGCAGGTGGCTGTCGCTGCTGCTGTAAGACAAAATACTTCCTCGGAGCACTGAAGAGCCAGATAAATGGCCCAGAGTAAAATCTGTTATATCCCCAAGATACTTCAACGCCATCTTGCATAGTGCCGAATTGCTCCATCCACACACTGCACCTTCGTAAGATATGCAAAGTCTCATTGTAGACTTCAGCGTGTTCGTCTGCGGCCCAGATATTATTTATCTCCACGAGCCGTTTACTGAAAGCGCTGGTATGAACGCTGTCTGTAGGATCAAGATTGTCGAAGTTGTGGAGGTCCAGAAATGAGCGAAGCGGTCCTTCTCGAACGTGATCGTAGACAGGTTCAAGCACATCGGCAGTGCCGCGAACCAGAAGAATCCATTCAGCTCCAAGTATGTGAGCTGTTCGAACTTTTGTGTTGGCGCACACATCATCGAACGTCTTGCTGAACGAAACAAACGCATAGAAGAAAGTCAACATTGCGTTCGCGAAGAGAGCGCTGCTGTTACTAGGTCCAACATTGCGGAGGTCTTCCGTAAACCCGTCGAGCGCCTTACTACGATGTTCTGTCGCAACAAGCAAAGAAGAACCTCTGTCAGAAGGACTTGAGTGGACGAGGTGCAGGGCCGAGAGGCTGAGGATGCTGTGCATTACATATTGGTGATTGAAACCAATTGATGGTATGACTGAATGCCAGTAGTAATCGAGCTCATGTGTGTTGAGGATGCTATAGCCTGCAACAGTGATCCAGTGATGTAAAAGGGCCATGTCTTTCATCTTGAAAAGATCTTTTGACGCCCCCGTTGTTGCGCTGATAACGCCAGGGGAGCCATCAATATAGTCGTCTAACCCAATGGATTGCCACGAAGGGTCTGATTGGGGTGACGAGTCTTCAGCGGATACTACGTCGCTGGCAGCCGTTAAGGCTTGACGATAGATGCAAGGTATGTTATAGCGTATACAATGTAAACATGAGGGCTTTTCTTCGCCACACTAGATTTTCAGTGTCGGAGTTGGCCTGACCAAATATGCTTAGAACACGTACCTTGATATGGCGGCGTTTGCATTCGGCGCATCCACCTCGTGACTTTCGGTGCGCACGTCGTTTAGTCATAGCTGATGGTTGACTAGTTGATATGCCCAGAACTTCCTGCTCGCAGTGTGAGGAAGACGTAAGCTCAGCAAGACAATCACAGGCTTTATGTACGAGATACGCATAGGTATCGCTCATGCTGAAACGTAGCACTAGCATCTTCCTCACAGCCCCGTCGGTGACGACGCGACGAATTGTTGTAAACGAAATACGCACTTTGGACCTGATTGATCCGAGGTTAGCGTATTCTCTAGCGTCACGCTAACGCCCTTCAGATCCTCGCTCGCTCGAGGAGAGACATAGAGACGCGCACCTGAATGCTTCTCATATTTGCATAAATTTGAGGTACCAGCATGCGCTCACCAAATGTCGCGACAAACTCGGATTGATCTTACGAAATATTCGTCAGCCAGTACACTGAGAAAGGAACTCAACTCATGCAGAGCCTCAGGGCTCTAAGCAAACTCGAGTCTTATTGCATGATTTGCATTCAACCTTATTGATATCTGTGACAAGAGACTACGAGTTTCTGGTCCTCGTCTTGATTGCTCCGAGCCGAGAATGTTGTATTCAGGTCGTTTCTGAGTTCCTATTTGTGCGGAAAGCCGCGCCCCACTTTTGAAGCGTATCCCGTACGCAAACAAGCCCACAGCACATCGCCGAATCTTCGGTATGGGTTCAACCGAGCTTCAAGAAAGCTTGTTCTACAAATACCATTGTCGTTGTCGCTATATCCCCAAAAATACATTCGCACATTGGGTCTGATCGTTGAACCTGGCCGACATGGCAGACCAATATCGGTCCTCTCTCGACGACCCTAACGTCTGGGTCCCTTATCGTTACCACCCTTCACAAATCGCAGCGATAACCTTTGTTGTCGCCTTTTCTCTCACGACTATTTTGCACATCTTTCAAGTATGCAAGAAGCGGACATGGTACTTCATACCTCTTGTCATTGGTGGCATATGTATGTGTCCCTACTACCTCTTCACTGTCATGCTGACGATTCCTAGTCGAAGTGTTGGGATACATCGGGCGCATTTTGTCAACCAATGACCTATGGGCCTTGGGACCATTCATCATGCAGTCGCTGCTTTTATTGATCGCTCCCGCACTGTTCGCTGCATCCATATACATCGTGCTCGGTCGGATCATTCTCTTGGTCGACGGCGAACAGCATTCTCTGATACGACAGAGGTGGCTCACGAAAATATTTGTGACCGGCGATGTGATCAGCTTCCTCGTTCAAGCCGGAGGAGGCGGCATTCAAGCGGCAGGGTCTCTTACATTGCTCCATGCTGGCGAGAAGGTCATTGTCGTTGGTCTGTTCCTCCAGCTTACCTTCTTCGGCTTCTTCATCATAGTGGCAGGACTCTTCCACTATCGTTTTGTCAAATCCAACGCCCATTTGGCCTCTAGATACTTCCAGGGGTCCACTACTCAACACTCTACGAAGCGTCAAACGCGCCGCCACTCCTTACGAGGATCGACGAACCACGAAGCCGCACAACATTCTACCATCAGCGCCCACCAGTTGCCTTGGAAGCGCCACATGCATGTGCTGTACATCGCGTCTGGCTTGATCATGATCAGGAGCGTTTTTCGCCTCGTGGAGTATTTGCAAGGAAACAACGGTTATCTTTTACGGCACGAAGTCTACCTCTACATATTCGATGCTCTATTGATGCTGGTGGTGATGTGCCACTTCAACTGGGTACATCCGGCGCAAGTCACGGATTTGTATCAGAAGCGGGTCTTGGAAAGGGACATGTATGCAATGGAAACGCGCGACAGGTACATGCAGTACGAAGCGGTCTAGTATATATATCGAATAGATGTACATGAAGTAGCGCTTGATAGAATTGCGCGGTATCTCATGTGTACCGGCAATTCGACATGATGCACGCGAGCGTCAATCTACTGTTATCACCTCTAAGGACTCATCTTGCAGACGCAATCATTTCGTATGCACGGCCGCAATGTATATTGCGCCGTCATGCGCGACGTATCTTGTATATCAATGTATTGAACATCATTTTTCAACTACCGAAGTTAACAAAGGGTCTCACTATGACCGTCAACGTGCCCTTCTCGTAGTCCAACTTCATGTACGTGGTCGCTCTCGCAACCCTAACCCTCTCATTTCATGCGCACTTCGGTGTGTACCGGCAAGTTTCCTCATCATGTTCAGACAATGAGAGTATATAGCCATGGCCGCCTTTACAGTCTTAGATCGAAAGAACAACTTGGTACAAGAGCCTCTCACATTGACCATGTTGCTCCTCCCAACGCTCAGTCTGGTCAACTCTGGTATCGGCATATCAACGTCGAACCAGACGTGCTACAATCCTACCCTTCCTGAATGGTATAGTGATCCAAGCTGTGTTTTTGTCACGGATTGGAATGATACCACATTCTGCCGGCCTCCCTGTCTACGCAACAAGGGACAACACCAATTTTAAACTGTCTAGCCACGCACTGTCACGCAAGACTCAGTATCCTGAGTTCGAACAGGCTCTCACCATGAATGACGGTATCTGGGCCCCGACAATTCGTTACCATGATGGGGTCTTCTACATTACCATATGTTGCGGTATCGGTCAGTCTGTACAAGGTCTGACTGTACCCCTGACTGACTACCCTAGTCTAGTGTGTGACAGGTCACTGACCTGAGGTCAGGTATATAGTCGTTATCTCCCAGCTAGATAGCAATTTAGCGCAGTATTCCATTGACCCGATAGTCCTACGTTATCGTTTACCGTAGCTATCAGTATTCTACGGTGACACACACCGCAACACCATATATAGGAACATGTCAGAGTTCAGTGAAAAACTGTACGCAAAGGAAGAAGTTGAAGATTGTACTGAGGTTGTATTGAGTGAAGCTACAAACAGTATATATAGGTGAGTAGCTGTAAACAACGCTAGTGTGACGTGGCAGTCACTCTCATGGAGGTGAGGTACAACAGGCAGGAGCACCCCAAACCGTAACAGAACAACATTCTCAAGTTGGATTCAATCAAGGCCTAATTTTCAGGAAGATAGATCCTTATAACGACGATGCCCGCAGTGATTCAATACGTTACGATGCGAAAGTGGATCGACCCCAGATCTCTTCTGGGACGACGATAGCACTGCATACGTTGCCAGCGCAGGAACCTATCTCCAAACTTTCCACCTGGAAACTGTTGCATTTGGCGAAGAACAATCGATTTGGAATGGTACCGGTGGAGGCTTCGCTGAGGAACACACATGTACAGAGAAGACGGATTTTACTACCTACTGACTGCGGAAGGTACATCTGGTCTAAACCATTCTGTGGTCATTGCCCGATCAAAGAACATAACGGGTCCTTATGAGAGCTACGGGGGCAATCCTATCTTGACGAACAGAGGTACGGATAAGTACTTTTAGAACATTGGTCATGCGGACCTCTTCCACGATGCAGAGGGGCAGTGGTGGGTAGCAGCATTGGCCTGGCGTTCAGGACCTGGAGGGAAAATATATTCCACAGGTAGAGAGATGGTATTGACAAACGTCACTTAGAACAAAGGAGGAGGGCCCATTATCGAATCTGCTCATGGAAAGCAGGTAGAATGGTACCTCCCAGCTTCAAAAGATATTCCTGGCTCTGGCCTTTTTATCGATGAACCTGACATCATCGACTTCGCACCGAATTCTACCCTCTCAAGACACTTCGGATTCTGGCGCTGGCCAGACAAGGCAGCATACACTTTCTCTCCCCCAGGTCATCCTGGGATCCTACAACTCAAGCCATCGCCTGCAAGCATTACAGCAGGCTACAAGAACTATACCGCCGGCTGTGAAGTCGCGAACTATACCTTGACCATGCGTTGCCAAAGCGACGCACCCTCCCAGTTCAGTGTCGACATCTCATTCTGTTGGAGTTCAGTGAACTGTACACAAAGGGAAGAAGTTGAAGATTGTACTGCAGTTGTATTGTATGAAGCTAAGAACAGTATATGTAGGTGAGTGACTGTAAACAACGCTAGTGGGAAAAGGCAGCAACCTCGCACCAAGGGGTGAGGTGCGACAGGGCGTTAGTGCAGGAGAGACCCCAGACTGTGAAACATTCGCACTTAAGGTACAGGATGAAGAAGCGGGCATTACTGTATTTCTCAACCAAGTCCCCCAAACACCAACCTCGGGATCGTTACGCTACCTCAAAGAACTTCAAGTAGCTCGAACACCACTACAAACTCTGATCTAGCACCTCATCTCCGCTCCCTTGTTTCTGGCCTCGGCAGTGAAGAGAAGAACAACACCGGCAACATACCTGCGCCATACTTGACGGCATTACCCGATAGCTGGCTGAACAGCCCGATCCGGCTTATCATTCGCGCTGAAAATGAGACGCACCATGTACTCTTTGCCGCATCGAGCGCTGCCCCACGGGATGCACAGGAGATGGGCCGTGCTCCAGTCATCATCGTGAGTGGTGGCGATGGGCCTTTTACTGGTAAGTTCCGCTACCCCAACAGAGGCCGGAAGTATATCCGATGCGCTCTTGCTGACTGATGATCGTAGGATCGCTGGTAGGGGTTATGCCACTAGCAACCACGGCAATGACACTACGCCTTCGTACGTCTCAAGATGGTACCAGGGACTCGCTCAGGCGGTCAATAGTGGTGTGCTTATACAGTCACATTCATCGCAGGTTTAATTTAGCCGAGGGGGCGAAGCTCTCAACATGTCGACATGATCCTCGTCCCCCGAAGGCGGCACGCTCTAGTACTTACCGGATACTGTCTCACAACAGCTCCTGAGATCTCGAACAACGTAAATGCAGAAACAGCTTGCCAAAGATTTGACAGGTTGAACCAAGTAAGGTAACGTCTTTGAAGGAGTGGCTTTGATTCGAGTTATGTACCTGTCTCGACCTCCAAAGACTAAACTTATAGACATTATATATTTCACAGCACTTCTATCTGCCAGCTCAAGGCGTCTTTGACGCAATGATGACGTCCCTAGCTTCGTGCTTCTCGTCTACTGGGTTAACCCTCCACTCATGCAGCGGCGGGATTATAGCCTCTTGTGATTCCTTGGGGCGCAAAGAGCCAGGTGTGGATACATGCATGGAATGCATGGACTCTTGTGTTGAGCGAGTGAGCTCCTTCTCCGACTCCGCGGACCCGAAGGTAAGCCAGTGAATAACAACCGCGTCCCAACCGACATCTGCAACACACAGCGCCAGACAGATCAACGCCAGCTCCCGTCCGCCGGTGATGTAGAACTGAACCATATTGGCGATGGTAGGCAGCATAATGAGCATGCTTCCGATCAAACTCTTCCACAGCAGGATCCTGATGTTGCGCTGCACTGCAGTTTCCTTCTTCGCTTGTGGTGTATTTGGGTTTTTCAAAGTGTTCTTTCCGAAAACACCGGAGATCGTGTTCAATCCATGAAGCTTGACGACTGGTCGGAGCAGGTAGAAGAACACAACAGTCAGTGCAGCGTTGACGCTAATGTCGATAACCATGAAAGGAATCGAGGCTTGCCCGGGAATTCCCATATGGCAGCGCCCATCGACTTGCATCTCGTGGATGGGATGGAGATAAGCGTTGATCGCAACTCCAAGGAATGATGCGATGACCATAACCATGCATCCCGAGTACAGCCAGTCGCGGCTTCGGCGGACAAATGGAGCGCGGACGACGTGAACTCGCTCAACGATGAAGATATAGCTATGATCATGTTAGCCCATCAAGGCTTCCCGATCAAGTTCGAGAACTTACATTGTGCCCTTGCATGCAGTGTAGAGGATCAAACAGATCCATGTCGCCGAGAAACAAAGACTGTGGTTAAACAAGCCTTGGCCTGCAATCATGATGGCTGAAGCGAAGATGAATGCAAAGACGAGAGAGTACAGGACAAGTACAATCATCGAAGTGATATTGCGCGACACCATAGCACTCTTTCGCAGTCTGTCGAACCGTGCCCCTGCCAGAAGTGTCAGCAATTGCATCTTCACATCTCCTGACTCGAAACATACCCAGCAGCAACGATAGTATCATCGTGAAAAACAACGATATAACCACAAACATCGTCCTGTCCGAAGGGGGTTCCCCAGCATACGTCTTGTGGATGTCGTCTCGCTCTGCCAGTGCCTCACCCACGGATCCAGCCATGATCGGATAAGGCATCGCGACAACCGAGACGAGTGGAGTAAACAGTAGAAAGTACGGCAGCAACCTCATCTGCTCGCGGAGGTTTGAGTAACGAAGCTGTCAACTTGAGTGAAGGAATCATACGATGGCTGCTGCAAGAGTGGAGATCGCCGCCATTTTGACATGTTGTCTCGAGGCAGGGCGATTTACTCAAATAGGACGTTAAACCAATCGATCGAGGCAGGGCGAGCCCACGTTAGCTCGGCCCACTGTTGCGTACCGAGTGCATAGACTTTGAGTTTGTCCACAAGATCGACGCCGTTGTTTTGCGCAAGCCTGGGCGAGCTGAGCCTCAGTGGCCCGAGCGGGAGGGATTTGCAGCCGTCAACTGTGAACGTGCGGAGGAGGTTCCGTTCGATGCTAGTTTGTACGATTTCCAGACATGTTGGGTGGATAAAGAAGGTTCGCCGAGGCGGAACCTTTAGGCTATGGCTAACGACACCATGACCGCCACTTTGCTGCAGGGTGAAAACTTCCTTTCGGGCAGGTCGGCACCGCGCGTAAAGCCACCTGGTTTTACCGTGTCCGTGCGCGTGACGACCGGGTTTTACTAGGAAAAACAATGAAGTATAAGAAATTTAACCTTGAATATGAGATACTTTCTATTAGAAAAGTATTCGATTTTTAATTATCTTTAACATTTGGAAAAAAAAAAAAAAAAAAACTCTAATAATATAGCTACTTGACTAAGTTAATTTTTTACTAGTAAAAGAGTAAAGTTCAAAAGTTAATAAAATCTTCTTGTCACGGGTATACATACTCAGCCACGGCTGGGCATATAGACTATTCGGCCTCAGTGCTGCTATTCAGTACACTGTACCTTTTTGGGCCGTGTAGCGCAGTGGAGCCAAGCTGTTGCCTCACACTTTCATAGAAGAAATTCAGTATTAGGACTAATATACTAGCTATAACTTTAATATTAGGGGTTTCTTAATATATACTCTAGGTATGTGTGTGAAGGTGGAACCGCATCTGGAAATCGCGGTTGCCTAATGCAGGAAACAGATGCTCTCTTAGCGGGCTCGCTAGTTCGCTTGGCCGGCTTGCTGCTTTACTGCGACCACTCGACGGACTGGTTATATGTATCCAGGTACTGCCCGCTTGAGCCTCATCCAACTGCCTTGTTGGGTATCTGCCTGCACTTGCTAGGCGGCTCTCCGGTGTTTCTTCACACTCTCTCCTAGTTTTGAGCCGGTTGCATGTCTCGCTCCTCCCACTTCGCACGCCTTAGCTTGATCAAAGTTTTGGCTGCACACCCCCCAGTGACTGCGTTCGATCACTGTAAGCCATTCGTTAAATTACCGCCAAGCCTCAAGGTTCTTGTCGATCTTATGATATCCCAAAACTTTTGCAGAATGTTGGAGACAGGCAATTCGGACTTGGTAGCAAGATGTCCCTCGGCTCACATCACATGGGCCCCATCTCATCCATTACGAATAGATCACAACCTCCTTTCGTTGAGTCTTCAGAGCACCAATGTATCCCCTGTAGTTGGATGAAGCGAGAACATTGCCACATTGGCACTCAACCTGTATAGCGAGGCATAGCCCGCACTGCCATGCCCTCAGATGTGTGCCCAGCCCTTCTCATCCAACACCTGCAGCTCGTCGTAACTTAGCTCCAACGCCCGGTTGTGGCGCCGAGCGAGATGAGGTATGCGTCTCAACTCCGTCCTTCGTCTGGACGTACTGACCCACCCAGAGCCGGCGCGCGTTGCGGACGTCTCATGCTCATGCGTGAGGTCAGACAAGGTCATGTTATGCCTGACTCTACGCTATGATATCAACGCTCCGCCCCCAAAATGGCAGCCAGCGGACGCCAGGGCATGCAGCCCACTCTCTACAATCGAGCCACGTGCCGGCAAGCGCAAGCGCTTCTCCTGGCGGGTTTCATGAAGGCATAATGTGAGATCCATGTATGGTCCCTGCTACTTGGAGACTAAAATTGAGTTGACTTCTGTGGAAGGATCGAGGTAATGAATTGATTGATCTTGAGAGCTATTGACTGGAATTGATCGAGACTATATAGTAGGAGGAGATAGCAGTGAAGAGTTGGGGAAGCAAACCAAACTAACCGAATGAGCTGGACTATCAGTGCAGCGGGCCGTTGGCAAACACTGCAACGGGCCGCTGGTAGACACTGCAACGGACCGCTAGCGAACAACTTCTGATCGCACCGTTATATGAACAGCAATCACATCCAATCAAACATCTTGGCGTTAAAACGGTCTCCCAAGGCGTAAATGCAAGCCTGGTTAGAGTCGTGGACGATAAGCGCTGATCGAAGCTGCTTCAGCTCTAAGAACATGATGTTGGTTTCATCTTGCCGCTGCTGTAACGCAATGCAATCTCTTGAGAGGAATCCTTCCATCACCATGCTAAAGGGCATAAATAGTTTCAGTGACGGTATGAAAAATTGAAATCGAAACCAGACAATTCTTTCATATCAACTTTTATCGTACATTATGGCTAGCAAGTTTAGTGAGCTAGAGCGCGCTTCTTTGGTAGTGCTCGACATCTTCAAAACTATCCCGGAACTCCAGACTGCGAAGGTCGCCATCATTGGCGGTATGGCCTTGTGGAAGTACTTGCCAGACTATAGAACGACGCAGGTTTGTAATCTCCGATTTACGCTCTCCCCCGTTCGTGCTAATTGTTTCAGGGACGTTGACTTCTGCATCACGGCGACCGGAGCACCTAGTTCTGTGGAGACTAAACTTCTTGCTGTTGCTAATACCCCATTCAAACAACTTGCGGATCTTTTCGTGTACGATGACGGTAAACAAATCATTCAAATTGATATCGTCAACACGATGCAGGTAAGAAGCTGGTTTCGCAAGACCGAGTCTTGGAATTGGTATGTAGTAACAGTACCAATTAGTTACCATACCTACCGTCAGCGGCAGCTGCAGTCAACACCATCCCTACCGGTTTTATCCCATACGTATCGGAGATTGACCTCATTGTCTACAAAATCTTTGCGTGTGGTCTTCGTCCGACTGCGGCGAAGAAGCAGCGGGATGCAAACGATGCATATTTTTTGCTTGAACAGCAACAAGGGAGGCCGCAGCTAAGCTCTCAGCAAAAGGAATGCATTACACCTGCTTTGCAGGACGTAATCATGAATGGATCCAACAAAACGGACCAAGCGTGGTGGAAGGCGAAACTGGGGCTTTGATTGGCTTTTCAACTGAAAGCGATTTGTGAGGTAGAGCTGCTTTGTCTGAATGAATATGTTATTACATGGCGTTGGTCTCGCATGCAAACACTGTGAAAGCCACCAGGTCTTCAGACATCCAGGGCGCACCAAATTCGAAGGTATGGTGGCAGCGGGACTGTATTCTCTTTCTGGGAGGGGTTGCGGTTTGACCGGGGTTGCTGTGGCGCGGCAGCTTGGCGAGTAGCGCCGTTTGCGGAGCCGGCGCTTAACTGCCAGTCGCCGTTCTTTCAACAAAAGCATCAAAACACATCCACCTGCAAAGTTTTGAACGACTTGGACTGCATCGCTGCTCATTGATCAGCTACTTCAAATACTCTCACGATGGCTGAAGACGTCAGTAAGGGGCAAGACGGTTCTGAGTTGCCACCTCTCGACGACAGACTCGTTGCATCAGCAGCTGCAAGGCTTGATGCTGCTAAGATTCCCTATGTCCTCTGGGGTAATTACATGTTAACTATTTTTGGCATTCCAACCGTAATCAATGTACGTACCTCGCGTCAATCTGAGCTGACCAATTCTAACACATGTCCCAGGGCATCGACTTCGTTGTTGACGATGATTTCATGGACGCTGCCTATGACACTCTTCAAGGTGCCGGTTTCAAAAAGTGCAAGTCAGAAGGTTGTATCGGCAACAAGAAACTTTTCTATGCTCCAACCCCTCATACCCATCTCCACATCACCGAATCCGAACGGCTGGGCCTCTATAAAAGATCCGACATTCTGTGGCGACTCCCAAATCTATCAAACGTGGACTGCGAAAGCATAACTCTAGCATCTGATCCTAATCAACTACCCGGACCAGACATCCTAGGGAGAGGAGGGCGATTCCAGCAGGATCTGCATCCAGTGCGCGTCCCAACCATCTCTCAACTAGTTCAGACACTGCTTTTGCTCGCAAAGAAAGACCAGAATACGTACGGAGGATACTGGATGAATTGGATCAGCTACATATTGGAATTCTGCACCGAAAATAGCGTCTTCGATAAAAGCCGACTGACCGGGTATTACAAGACCTACATCAACGCTTTCCTTGAGGGCGATCACACATCGAGAGACCAGGCTTTTAAATGTATTGGCCTCACAGAGTAGTTGGGCCGTGGGTGGGTGCGAGTCAAAGGAAGAGGGTTACTCCGGCCTCCGTTGTTATTTTGATTCTCTTAATCAGAAACTTCAGTTATTTGACGCCGCCGCATGTGGCTACAAACCGCCCAGGTGATCCTAACAACGAACCTGGTTATGCTGGAGATGCCATATTTCAGGAATCATTGCTCAATACATATGTAGTAGGCCTAGGATAAGCTAACAAATCGTCCGTAAATGCCGTTCTGTAGTTTGGCGCGTGACATGGAAGGTAAAAGTTTTCCTAATGGAGGGCATTAAGTACACAGCTACAAGCTTATGTTGCTTAGTCACTGCTTAGTTAATCCTTGTTTGCTCAGGTTCAGCAGTGGAAATGGACTGTGGGGAGGTCAGCCTCCATGAAGTGCAAGCGCAGCCAAGGTTTTGAGACACAGGAACAGATCCCATGCTTCCTCACTCTACCTTGGAGACAAGGCCCAACCACCTACATCAATTTGACTGCCAAGAAGGCGCAGGAGAGACACGACAGAGAGCACGCAAAGGGAGACAGCCTCAGCATCTACACAGATGGCAGCGGCATTGAGGGCAAGTGTTACGATTTGTGCCTTAAGCAAAGCTTGTAGATGTAACGACGCAGGCCAGTAGGGAAGATGTCCGAAGTAAGTGTGAGTCCACTGCAAGGCATATGGGAGTGCTGGGACGTTGAGAACACTAGGATTGAATTCCCTACACCTATAGGTCTTGTACGAAAGGATACAGAAAAACTACTCTATCTAACGACTGTGCCAAACTGATTAAGGACACAGTTCGGAGGGGAATCGGAACTACCCTTGTCCAGGTGACAAGGATGCAGTTTGCAACCAAAAAGGAGCGGTGTGCGGCAACCTGTAGGAATCACACCACTATCAGGGTGCTTTCGGTTGTAGGCGTTACAAACCCCATTGAACACCTCTGGTGGGCACTTAAAAGGGCCATGCACCTTGCTTACCCTGAATTTGATATCATAGGAGAGTCTCAGGAGGATTGGGAGGCGTTCTATAAGGCTTTGAAAGCAGTGTGGTTGACCATACCTGATACACTGATCTGTTGCCTTATTCACAGTATGCAGGACCGCATCAATGCTGTTATAAAGGCAGATGGTTACCAAACAAAATACTAGGCTTTTACAAGTAAAATGAGCCATAAACCATTTGATTTAGTCTATTGTTGGTGGTGCTGCAACTACTCAAAGTTGTAATGGAAATGTTGGTGAGGTGGCTTGTGCGGATGCGCGCCCAGATTAAAGGAAGGTGACTGTAGTCTGCCGTCGTGGCCGCCATTCGCAAAGCAGCTAGACTGCTCGCGGTTACCGGTCGCACCAAGCCTTGCCAGTCTCACCGCAATGAAGGAATGCTGTAGATTACAAAATGCATATAACAAGTCAAAACCTGTAGCTACATCAAGTCCCGGTCTGCTGCATCGTGCCGTCCCTTCCCTCTGCCATGGCCTTCTGGCATGCGACCATCATCTCCACCATCTGCGCAATCTGCCCCAGCCTGCCTAGCACGATCCCGTTCCCCTCTCGGACTCCGTAGCAGTGGTACCTCAGGCCAGTCTTCTCGCAGAAGTTACGGACGAGACCCTGCGCTCTCCTCAAGTTGTGGGAACAGGTGGTGGACGGCCTGGAACTGCAAGCCTCCGTAGAACCAGTCGAGCCTCTCCGGGCACTCGATGTCCATGGTCGTGCGGAGCTGATGCTGCACGAAAGACTCTGTGGGCCCGAGGTCACACGTCGGCATGCTGCAGTGCGAGAGAGTGAACTGTACGTGCAGGAGTATCGTGGCCATGTGAGAAACAGCTACAAAAGCGATGCGGACGCTCCAGGAGGGCAGCGTGCGCCAGACCAAGAGGTAGGCGAAAAGCGCCCAGTAGCTAGCCATGAAGACGAGCTCGACAGGGCGCATCCACGGCGCAGCGTCAAGCTGTGTGACACGCGGCGAGCACACGTGCAGCCAGTTCAGCGCGTACAGATTGAACCTCGCCAAGGCCATCATGGGGTAGTACGTGTACTGCTGGTAGGGCACCAGCAGCTCGGCCGCACAGCTCCACGCGAGACGGCGGCGGTGGAAGGTCGAAGTGACGCTCTTGATGAAGGCTGGCGACGTCGAGAAGAAGGGGGGTTCTGAACGTCAGGGTCGTGCTCCGGCATGTTAGTGACAAGGTGATGGACGTTGTGCGAAGACTTCCACCAGCTGATGCTCATGCCGCAGCACAGGCCCGCAATGGACGCGCCGATGTGAGTGTCGGTGGCGGAGTCGCCAGTGATGCTTTGGTGGCCAGCATCGTGGGCCGCGAACATGATCTGGTGCTGCGTCAACGTCAGCCAGGGCCCCTCCCCGGAACAAGCCGAGGAAGAGGCTCGGTGTCACGTACCACTCGCAGCGGAGCAGGTAGACGAAGCCACCAAACAAAAGACCGCAGCGGACAGTCTCGACAGCATACTCCGAGTAGCGGCACTGGTAGAGCGCGGCTGCTTTGATCTGCTAGTGCAGCGCTCGGTAGTCTCGTGCTATCGCTTGCTGTGTCTTTGCATCCAGAGGCGGACTGCGTCGCAGGCACATCTGCTGCTCCTGCTCTTCTGCTTCGGCAGCCAGCTGGGCTCGATGGAGTCTTGGATGGTTAGTAGCTGGACCACGGTTGGATTGTAGCTGCAGCCCTGCGCGGTTTGATGCTGTTTTTGGGCCATCCTGTCCACCGATGATGCTCCCATCATCCGCCCTCAAGAGCCAGATAGGATGCTTGACATTCACCCACGGCTCGACTACCCGGCCGATGATGTAGCGCTCGAGCATGAGCAGTGCCTTGCTGGAGTGGTATCTGCGTCGCAAGTGGAAGTCAGTGATACGCATACTACGGGATCCAGAATGTTTCCGCTCCACGAACACCGCAGAGCTGCAGTACAGCCACTCACACGTTGATCTCGTCGGTCGCGTCTCTGCCGACCATGTGCAGAATGGCAAGGCGTCCGCCGGGATGACGATCGATCCAGGCCCCGAGCTGTAGCGCGCACCCCTCGTAGACGACGATGAGCTCGCCTTGAGCGATCCAGCGGGCGACCATTCCGCGCGATAGTCTTCCCGCGCTGTGACATGACGTGCTGGCCCTGGAGGGGGTGTTTGTGCGTAATGGTGAATGCGTACAGACCATATACAAGACAATGCTGTCTTTCATAGCCTATATACTGCACTACACTGACATCGCAAGGCATACCGCCGCAACAACCGTGTCTTCGAGGGCATCCTTTGCCCTATGGGTGGACCTCCCCAGTGGTGTTGCTCGGCTGGCCACGACCCCATGGTTTTATCAAGAGAGTTTTGCCCAAGTAGTACCAGCTTTGCCAAAAGCGGTGAAGCGCTGAACTCTGCGTGACCAGAATTTGATATCTTCGCTGCAGCGGGCAGTGTGCTTCCGCAAGGCTAGATGAGCCGCCGGTCAGAGTTTCTGGGATTGAGAGGATCGTCGTGATGAATGTAGTGGTGGCTGGCAGGAAGGTTGATCTCCGGGAAGGATGCAGATCCTGCAGGGCACGGAAGGTACGATCCGGCACCCTTCGACGCACACGTTCAAACACCACTCATGGGCAGACACAGCAACGGGTGACCCATGCAGCCCCAGCGATATCCGCGAGCATCTAGAACTGATATGAGTCGGGGCTCTTGCCTTCTAGTCCAAGCAAGTGCACTTACATTTAAACAAGAGTACGCTTCCACCTGCATAAATTCTCATGACTTGCTCGTATGTCTACTTTTGGAAGGCTTTGGCAGACTAGAAAGGGCACGGCATGGGATGTTTTGACCAGTCTTAGGATTGCAAAGCAGCCAAACAGGCGCAAAAATGAGTATGGTTGTGTAGCAGCGGGCCGAGCATTAAACACTAGTCCAGAATAGTCTGAGTAGGGACCATCAGGCCTCATACAGACCGATTGATACCGCAACAAATACGAAAGCTGCTTGGAACCATTCCGAGGGAGCATGGCCCATTCACGTGCATCTTTTTGGAATCTTAGGAACAGAAGAGTACGAATGGTAGACATATGAATATCGCAAAGAAGGGTGACCCTTTTATACGCCAGCTCCAGATGATAGACTTGTCGAGTGCGAAGTTCCTATACACACTGATGTTCACCAAACACGACCTTCTGTGTAGGGTCTTGGAACAGACTTGTCGAATTTTCGCCAAGAGAGCTCCTCATAGATGAGGCCTATCGTGTTTTTGGGCACACAGAGATGTTTTGGAGACACCCACATCCGCGCAGGAGTACGTCATTCTGGCAGGAGGAGAAAAGAGGACATATGAATAGCCCACGTGTGTTTGAGAACATAAACATGATGTTGGAGGATACAGAGTATCTAAATAGATGAGAACGTCGGTGAGAATATCTGATTTCAGGATTCATATGAGTGGGGACGGTATATTGGTTCTTCTTGTGAGAGTATGTAGCAGCAAAGAATATGCAGAAAGAGCAGCAAGCTTTATACCACCTCTCTCCACTAATCAGAACATGCAGTAGATCTGCCACTCTTTTTATTGCAGAATTCCGCCAATTTCGCCAGTTGTTTCCTTGAACTCCGCCAGAATTTCTGAGAGACATTCGATTTATTGCGAATGCGTAGCGGATTTGAAATTTAGCGGACAGAAGGACATGCATCGAGAAAGGCTGCTTTCGACATTCAGGACGATTGGCGTTTGGAGATTGTGAAGAAAGGATGAAAATGTTCAAATGTTATCTCTTGAATGTAAGGCTACCAAAGACGAAGCCACGAGGACATAGCCTCTCATGCTCACACTTTTAATGTTTTCTTGCGCAGCGGATGGGAACAGGACACATTCAACGAACTTGCCGAGTATTTTGAATGACAGAACACGGACTCAAAGATACAGGCGCGCCATTCCTCTATGGTTTTGGTGACGGTCAAAGCAAGTCATAGCGAGGTATGAAATTTGTTTCCGGGGTTTCAAGGATGAAGGATGGTGGCCGCAACTAGAGAATAACATGAATGAAAGGCGCTGAGATCTTTTGTAGAATGACATACCCTATCGATGCTGCAATTTCTGACAAAAGAGAAAAGACCACCGGAGGCATAGAAGGTTCATCTTGAGGTTTTCAAAGCGGCAAATCCGCAGGAACATAAGGTAGGATTTTGGAGAATTGAACTTTCCGTACTCGAGGTGTTGATGCAGAAGCAGAATGTACAGAGAAGAAGTAAAGGGCTTTAAACCAATCCTTCCACACAGACGAACATGGAATACCGAAATCAGAATGTTTGGCGCATATGAGATTGTATTCGATGTGCAAGCCCTGGAGCGACATGTGGTGGGTACCTGAAGCTTTGGAGGATGAACGCGAACAGAGATCGTGAAAGCTTGTCTGATTTTGGAGTTCTTAAAAGGCAGTCGTACGTTGGCCATCTTGTATGTTTGGTGTACAACCCCCCTCCCCCCTCCCCGCGGGTCGCGAGGGAGAAAGAAAAGCACGATATAATGTTGAAGTTGGGAGACGGTCTCCAAACATGAAGGCATACATTGGAGTGAGTGTCCTTTTGGATCCGTTTTCGGTAGCATGAGAGAGAGGAAAACGAAACCAGTTAAATGAAAAGGGAGTCAGCCAGGTGTCCTTGTGAGAATTGTATAGCTATCTGCCAAAATACTTGTTTGCCCTGCACGCATAGTGTTCAGAAAATTTGTTGCTTGATAAAGGCCGTGTATTTCATTTCTTCATATATGCTAGAACATGGTATACTCAACGTCTTCCTCCACGGTCTTCAAGAACCGTGTGTCGAATCATCTAGTTGTCGTGCTTCTTGAGCAGCTCGTTGCCGAGCTCGATGTACTTGGCCTCAGCGTCCTTCTGGCTCAGGCCAGCGTTGACCTGCTCTTGCCACTTGTTGTACTTGGCCTTGCCCTGCGAGGTGTCAGCGTTCATCCCTGTTCCAGCTTGGAAATCGTGCATCTTGGCGGAGACTTGAGGATCAATAGAAGGTGGTCGTTTCGTGTTCGATGGTGTCTGCGTTCGCATGTGTGGGTAGAGGTTCTCAACGTACAGCGAGGTTGAACATGCCAGGCTTCTCGGCCTTGCTGAAGTCCTTGCCCTCTGCAACCTTAGCGTAGGCGTACAGCTGCAGGCAACTGTTAGCAAAGTTCCACTTCTTCTTCGCCGCCAGTTCTTGCGCAATATACACAGTCTGTGTGGCTTGGAGACAACATACGTTGAGCTGCTCGTCGTTGCTAGGGCCCTGCTTGCCAGCAGCCTTGAGCTTCTCACCCATCTTGCTGACTTTCTGATAGACTTCGGTGTACTGTGCAGAAGGCATTTTGATGTCTCTGTTGATGCTGGTCAGGAAAGGGGGTTTGGTACTGGAGCTTTGTGGGTTCGTACGTTTGTGGTGTTGTTGTGTTTGGAAGATTCGTATTGGAGATGTGTTTTGGTGAGGGATGATGATGGTGCGGGGTACTTCACCTTGTTAGCGCCCGTCTACCGTGTCTGTGCACCGGATACGTGCGATGGCCATCAACACCACGAAAGACGAGGCTGTAGAGCTACACATGTTGCGGTTGAGGAAGCTGGTAACCCAGCTCTCAGATGGCTCTTTTCCAATGATCAGGGCTGCAAAATTCTTGATCATTTGTCTTGTCGGCATAAGATGTTGCTCTTTGAGTCCTTTGATGTACTGCACAAGCTCTGCCTCATCGCGTGGGTGCATCAATTTCTACTTGAGTGCCTGGTCTTCCTTTGACGCGCATTCTCCCTTGAGTTGTCGCGTCAAAGTTGACCGCCACACACCGTGTTTATAGCAATTTTCTGGTACGCAAAACCCTCCTGACCTTCTGTAGCGCGTGCCTCTGCAACAGCTTCCTTCACAGACATCGTGGCGTTGAGTTGGGGGGGGGGGGTGAAGTAGTACTGTTATTATGCGGAGGTGCGCGTTGCGGCAACGTGCATTGCAGGGGACACGGTAGCCCAGCAGAGTGTGGCTAGGAGAAGCTTTATCACCCCTAATCTCTGCATCCTAATCTCTGCATCCTAACTTACTCAACTCGTTTTATTGACTGACATAAACAGTTCTATCTCCTCCTTGTCTTGCGCTAAGCATTTGACTGTTGCTGTGCAGGACCTCAGGACTGCACGTTGCCCTGAGCGTTCAGATCATGGCCTAGCTTCTTGCTCGGGCAATGTAGTTTGCATGTTTTGAGTGTTTTGTAGCGATTAACACTGACGTTGTGTTTTACTGTCAGTGATAAAAGACACCAGCTTTGATCAAGGTCGGCCTCAATCTTGACGTAGGCGATTGGCGGCTTTGGGCTGGCCGATGAGCCTTGCACTTCGAGTACCATATGGGTTGGTTAGACGAATGTCCAGAGACGTTATCTTCGGTGTCATTCAGGTGGCGCTGGCACCCCTTCTCAAAGTAGACAGGGTTGCTCGGGGCATGCCGCCAGCGCCATCGACAGTGGCCATGATTGGTTGATTGATTGGTTTAACGTCCTATGTGAGTCTACGGCAGTGGCCATGATGGTAAGGCGCTCGATGCAGGCTGTTGTGAGATGGGATGTGCGTGAGGTAAGGCGGTTAAGTTGTTGTGGGCGGAAGGGAAATACTAGTGGCCAACAATTTACACTGTAAACGAGTGAAAGTGTGATGGTTTATGGGGTAAAGCGGTCATGTCTGCCACGTGTGCTGGTGCAGTGCTCTTGCCTGTTCCAATAGCACTTTCTGTCTGAACGACAGATACGTCATGTAAACAGACCCTGATGGCCCGGTGAGAGAGACAGAACACTGAACAACAACACAACAGAATATACTGATTTTACTGCTTCGCGCGGTTACCCCTGACTTACTGCCCTGCGCGGTTACACATTCACTTATTGCATTTACTGCAACAGAAAGTGCAGCAGTGAAGAAAAGTTCGCACGCCCTTTCACGTGTTTACCATATCACAACGCGGGACCAGCAACCATTAATGGGACGTGTGGTTGCATTCATGTATATCTTTCGGGCATAAAGCATGTTCAGATGTTTATGTCTGAGGCCGCTTCCGCGTAGCGGGAGCCTTCAACCAAGCGGGTTGAACTGAAGATATTGCTGTTGATGGTACTTGCTACATATTTAGTTGCAGGACAGGTGTTGTTCTTACTTATTACTCCATTCCAACTCAACCTCCTGACCCTCCTCTATTGCTATATCCTTACCCCTATTAGAGCGGCTCGGGCACTTTCCTGCCATTATTGACATTGTTGACGGGTGTTGTGTGACGGTTGGACGGATACGTGCCTGACAGTACAGGAAAGCGGTAAAGGCAAATGCAACACAATATTATGATCTAAAGAGTGGTGAGCAATGGATGGACAGGACATGCATTCGTTGACGATGATGGAAGCTGTTGAGCGTTTATCTAATCTTGTTGGATGCTGACGGGACTAATTGTGTATGAGCTCAAGCCTGCTATCGCTGGCTAGGTTTGTGTGTTGTTGAGTTTGATTTGAAGAAGACCTATGCCTTCTGACGCCTATACACACTCCGTGTAATGCTATAATAATGCTGTCCCACTGTACTTCGAGTGGATATCGACTCCAAAATCCTTGAATTGCAATACAAGTCTGCGAACCCCGACAATAATGTAGTTGTCTTAGTAGTACCCCAAACGCCCTTCCCCAGCGAAAACTTTCGGGGATATCAAGCTGGAAGATGCCTATTGGTAACCATTGATCCCATCAGTACCGTTGGCGCCATTGATGCCGTTGATACCGTTGGTGTAGGGCTTTTCTTCGAAGCTCTTACGGTAAAGTGGGCCGCAACAACCTCTCAGGCGGTCTGCAGCTTGCTCAGGCGTGATGTCGCGCTGAGGCTCAGCCAGCATCTCGTAGCCGACCTGGAACTTCCGAACAGTTGCACTGCGGAGCAGGGGTGGGTAGAAGTGGATGTGGAAATGGCTGCACTCAATCTCATCGTTTGTACCTTCCAGAGGCGCTTGATGGATACCCATACCTACATATGCATTAGTCACGTGCTCAAGTCCGGAAACTAATGATGCAACTTACTGTATGGGAACTGTGTCTCAAAGAGGTTGTCGTATCTGCGAGTGATCTCTGCAATGACCTCCGCGAGTTGTTCGCGCTCTTCCTTGTTGAAGTCGACCAGCGACCGCTTGTGTTGCTTGCTTGTGAGGAGAATCTCAAATGGCCAGACACCCCAGTACGGTACACCGGCCCAGAAACCCTTGTTCTCGAAGACAGTGCGAACCTTCTGCTCTGATTCTAATGCAGCATAGTCGGTGAGCAAGTGGGAACCGTTATGCTCCTGGCGGTACTTGACCATCTGCTGGATTTCGAGCGCAGGCTCCTCAGGGAGTGATGTAGTGGCCCAGACTTGGCCGTGGGGATGAGGATTCGAGCAACCCATCGCTTGACCCTTGTTCTCAAAGATCTGCATGTACCGATACTGCGCGTTGGGCCTCTCCAGTTGACCTTGATCCAGTTCAGGTATCGACCGTGTGGCGGCAAGTTTGGCAAGTGGTGACTTCGGGTCCAGATGTAATGTGTAGATGTTGGTCCAGGTTTCGATGACAGGAATTATTTCAGCAGGGGTCATGTCTGCGAGAGTAAGGCTGTGGTTTGGCGAAAAGCAGATGACATAGCATTTTCCAGTGACAGCCTCGGCACGAAGTAGTCGTGAAGCTAGTGATTTGCTGTTTGATTCGGGGTGGTAATTTTCCTGCTCTTCCTTGACGGCACTAAAGTCGTTCACGAACACAAATGTGTTCTTGAACTTTGGGTTGTTCTCGCCATTTGCTCGTGTGTTGCTAGGGCACAGATAACACTGACGACGTCAGCATAAGTATCAAATTGATTGCTTGGTGGGGTGAGCACACACCTTTGGGTCGTACTCTGGAAGCGTGACCTTGGATGGTTCTTCTTGCGCACCTCTGGAGAAACATTAGCAGTAATTATAGATATCTAGACGAGGAGAATCTCACTGCCATGGTCGCTTTGTGCGGTGCGGCGAAACCAGTATCCAGCTTCCTCGCAGCAGGTTAAAGCGCCTGTGGGAGATGTCGTTGAGAACGGGGTCAGTCATGATGTGCGATGTACGATATTGGACCTGTCTTCAAGGCGGGCGGCGTGGGACACAATATATAACGGCGACAGATAACGCGGAGACGGGAGCCAGCGGCGGTAACATGATTCGGGCATAAATAGTGAAGAGCAACGTCTGGTGCCCTTCACGCGCTAGAGGCGACCAAGCATCCCTGCCAGCGGAACTCTAACCGCGTTGGGTACCGCAACCTCATCACAGAGCTCCAGCTGGCATCATTTTGATACAAGCGCATCTTCAACAACAACATTCAAGCTAAACACGTGCCCGTTGAGGAATTATCCCGCGTCCCGTTCTTGCAGGGTTTTCACTATGGCGGCAATGATGCCGAGCGCTTCCACTTCCAACGCGGTCTATGATAACGACGCGGTGGAGCGGGACCTGATTGACCCCGATGATGGTGCGTTGCGGCTGCCTATGGCATATGCACGATGCACTGCAACACCAAGTTAACGACTCACAGCGACACTCGACGACCTCGATGACCCACTGCAGGGGACCTCGGACCGCGCTCCGCTCACTGGAAGAATTGCGCCCGGCGGTGCGAACACGCAGTCGTACTTGACCTCGAGCATCCCTGGCGAGGACCGCCGTGCGCCCACCAACACCATTGACGAGACAGTATGGGAGACATTGTCACGCGACCTCCTGGCCATCTGGGAGAAGATGAAGCAGGTGCTGTACCCCAAGTACCTGCTTGGCGGCATGATGCAGCAGGGCGGAGGCATAGCAGCCGCTGAGCGCGGTGAAGCAGACGGCTTTGGAGGTGGCATCAGGAACCTGGCAGGCAGATGGCCAGATGCAGACGTGCTGCTGCAGGGCGGCATGAGTGAGGGCCTGCGAGACTGGGACCTGTGGGGACCCCTCATCTTCTGCCTGCTGCTCAGCCTGTTCCTCTCACGCGGAGCAAAGGACTCGCAGAAGGACCTAGTGTTCTCTGGCATCTTCGCCATGGTGTGGATTGGCGAAGCTGTCGTGACGCTACAGATCAAGCTTCTAGGAGGACATATGTATGTTGAAGACAGTCTCCCCTTCATGACCAGCCTGCTAACCAATCTTCAGTGCCTTCTTCCAGTCCATTTCAATCATCGGCTACACGCTCTTCCCTCTCGTCATCGCCTCGCTCCTCAGTGCAGTGGGCATACCGATGATCGTCAGGATACCAGTCTATCTCGTTCTCATTGCATGGTCTTTAGCGGCAGGAGTCAGCATTATGGGCGGCTCTGGAGTGGTCAGGAACCGTGTTGGCATCGCAGTATACCCTCTGTTTGTTTTCTACATTGCGCTGGGCTGCATTTGCTTCATCAGCTGAGCTGGTTGCGTGTAAAGTATGCTGTACTATACCGGGCGTTTGGGTGGGTGTCACGAACAGCATGTCTCGTCTGAGACACGGGAGTTTCGTTCAGAATTCAACGACCAAATTCACAAATTTCTCTTGTAAGATCTACTCTTAAGTTTGATGAGTGAAGACGTGCAGTCGACGTGCTCGCCCGAGTCTACCACTCAGTCCAGACCCCACCATTGAGCCTCGTCACATCGACAACACACTCAACAGCCAAGCGCCAGCAATCTGCGCCTTTCCGTCCAGTCGCCTCCCACACGCGCTCGCACCTGTGCCTTCCCCTATTCACGGGTGTCTGCCTAGATCGTGTAATTGCATGTTTCATAGCGAGCGCATTGGTCTGCAGATCTGAGTAAATAGTCAAAGGCGCATTGACCGAACGCACCGCGGCAACGGCTCTTCACCAGGCACGAGCCCACCACCTTATACCACGCCAGAATTTGCAGTGCACAAGCCCGCAGCTCACACGACCAACATCCATACTCCTTTCTTGATGGTGAAAGAGCATCCGGCCCTTTGTAAACCGCCCATCTCGAAGCTTTGCCGCATCACCTCCGCAGCTTATCCTCACGATACCACGCCTTTCACGACTACATACAATACCACTGTAGTTAGACCCACTTGATCTCGGCAGTCAAGGGAGCACACTGCAAGCAGCACCACCAAAGTTTCTGCGTCTAGACGGCAGATCTCCTCGAAACCCTCCCCTAGCGCGTGCCGCAGCGCCTCCATACCGAACACACGAACATACAGTACAGTTACAATGAGCTCGTCGGAGCAACAAGAGACGGTGCCAGGAGTCGCCAAAGCTGCCGTCTCACCAGCACGCAGCGATAAGAGTAGTGATAGCGAGGGCAGACCAGTCCGGGAGAAGTTCCAGAAGACAAGCATCGATGCCACGGCAAATCCGATTTCGGTTCTGAGGCAGACCACAACCGACAACGCGAATGGCAGCTTGGAATCAGGAAGCCGCAGCGCGTCAGGGTCAGACAGCGAGCGTGGACGGTTACGGAGGAAGCGCAGTCGAGAAGACATTGACGATGACAACGAGGGGGACAAGCAACCGGACAAGAAGCAGGAGAGGTTGGAGAAGACTTCAGACAAGCCTGAGAGGCATTCGCGCAAACGATCGAGGGACATTACGAAGGACCTTGAAGGTGGAGCTCTCGCCAAACCTACGACTACCTCCGTGTCGAGGATCGAAGAGACAGACGCTGAGATGACGTCTCCAAGCAAGAACATAACAAAGCTTACAGATACAAAGGCACGCACGGGCACAAGTCCGAAGAACAAGCGCCCGCGCGATGAGGCTGAAGGCTCCGAGGCCGTGGAGGAAAGCACAAAAGACGCGCCTGTGAATGGCCAAGCAACAACAAAGGCAGGAGACGAGCGCGAGTCAAAACGGGCACGGGACAAAGAAGAGACTAAGCCTGTGACGTCTATACCAGCTGGCAGCGGTTTCGCAAACACATCTGCAGCATCACCCTTCGCCGCCATGTCTGCAAAACCTGCACTACCCAAGCCTTCGGACAAGACAGAAGCTCTGCCTCAGACTTCAGACGATAAATTCAAAGCCTCTGGATTTGGCAGCTTGGCGAACTCGAGCGCGTCGCCTTTTGGAAGCTTTGGTGCTACTGCTAAGTCAGGTTCGCCATTTGGCGGCGCCCCTAAGCTAAGCTCTTTTGCTTCCCCTGCAGCGACATCTTCGACAACGGCAGCATCCTCTGGAAGTGGATTTGGATCGCTGGGCGGTGCCAAATCGGGCTTTGGCAGTGGAAGCGGGTTTGGTGGCGCATCAAGCAGCCCCTTTGGCGGCTCTTTTGCTTCGAAGCCACTCGGCACCAGCTCGTTCGCAACACCTGGCGCACCAGGCATCACTGGACTCAGTTCCAAGCCTGAGCGAGCATTCGGTGCCCCTGGCGATAAGGAGGACGACGACGGATCTGACCAAGAGGACGATAGTGAAGACAGGCCTGAAAAGGAGACAGACGACGACCGACGGTCAAGCCAACTGCTGTCTGGCGCAGCTCGTAAGTTGCAGCATACCACCCAATTGCTATTCACTAACATCTCTCCAGCCACAGAAACGGGCGAAGAACACGAAGATTCGGCATGGGTTGGTCGTGCAAAGCTCTACACAATGGATGGCGAAGGCAAAGACCGAGGGTGGAAAGAACGCGGTGTTGGTAACATCAAGCTCAACGTTACTAAAGACGAACCAAAGAAGGCACGCTTCGTCCTGCGCGCAGACGGCACACACCGCTTGATTCTCAACGCCGCTGTTACAGAGACAATGGTCTTCGGCGCAGACTCCGAAGGCGCAAAGCCCAAGGATGGGCGATTGCTATTTAATTCGCCGAATGCAGAGGGGAACTTGGAAATGCATCTTCTCAAGGTACGTGCTCATCCAAATTCTGAGGCTTATGGCTACTGCTAACAGCCCTGCAGCTGAAGTCCGAACGCGCCGTCGAGCTCTGGGAGCGCGTCGCTCAGGTCCAAAAAGACGAATTGTAGAACAATTTCGACAGGAGCCCAAGCGAGGAAAGCCTGAGCCTTTCCTTAATCTCCACCGATACGCTCTACTCAGTCGACTCAAACGAAACGCTGCCAATTACAGATATCGATCAACATGGCTTCTTTAGATAGCTGCGTCGTTCGCTTGTAATTTCGACAACTTTCACTTGCGGTGTTGGATGAAGACTCGCGGCCGGCTTGCATAGATCCCAGGTTTGCGATGAGTACACGCATAGCGGCTCTGTATCTACTTGAGATGGTGAAGACAGACGAATACAGTTTTAGCAATGAAAAACATATTGTAATCACTACGACTCAATGGTGACATCGAAGCCCACGACCTTTGCAGATTAACAAACCCAATCATAGATTTCCTACGTAGTACCATGCGATTCTCGAATACGAATACCATGTTTGTTTATTCCTACCTCCATCGCACGAATACCTCCCTCCAAGCCTCATCCTCGCGAGGTACTACATCGATCCAGCACCTCGGAACCGAAGCCTGGCGAAGCCATTGCACACCCTGCATGTGTGGTACAGCTGCACTCCAGATCTTTTCGTCACAACGACACAGCATGACTTCGATATAACTTTGGTCACGAGACTTTCCAGCCGCCGGGTCAAAGGCCTGACTCCACGATACAATTATCCCGATGACAGTTCTTTGACGGATGCACAAAGCGATCGGGGTCAAGTCGTCGCCACCTCCGAACCTCACATCTCCGAGGTCGAATGATGCTTTTTCCGCCCCCATACTCGAAGCAAACTCCTCTGCATCACCCTTAGGTACCTCTCCGGGACTATCTGCACACCCCTCCAGTTCAGATACCAGCGCTATCCGTTCTGGATGATAGTGAGAATGACTAAGGCCAAAAGATGCACTCTTAAAAGCTCCGATTTGTCGAATGCATGCTGTAAGATGAGCTGAATTTCGATCAGGCGTGAACCCACAGGGCAAACCTTTCTCAAGCCCATAGGCGCCACGATACTGTCCGCATGGTAAGGCTTGCATGATGTGAGGTGTCGGCTTGAAGGCTGGCGGGCTCTGTTGATAAACGTAACCAGCTTCTAACTTGTGGAAAGTATGTATATGTATATGATCAGCCCGGTCCGCTCCCAAGAGTCTGGTTTGTACTGCCCTTTGAGACGACTAGACCTAGACAGAGTTCGAGTTCGATTGATGGTGAGATTATAAGTCTAAAGAACTAGGTTCATCGTGCGGCACACTTTACCGTTTCTATCTCCACCTCATTCGGATTGCCGAATATCTCCAGCCTGTTGTCTACGTTCAATTGCAATCTACATCTCAGAAGGACGTTGCGATCATGTTCGTGCCACACATGTCCTCACAACCAGCCGACATCTACACCGTCCGCGTCACAGACTACGAAGCGCAGACCAATCTTGCAATCTCATTAAGAAGGCTCGTTACAGCTGCAGGCGGAACGTTCATGATCAACCTGATAGAAGGACCCGGCTTCATGTGAGCTCCGTCTATTGAGAGGAAAGGACATGAGCTGATGGAAAACCCCAGCTTCAGAATGCCCACAACCGCACCCTGCCCACTCACATCATATCTACACGGCGGGCTGCTGGAGGAAGGCTGTATACACGTCAGTAAGATGAGGTTGGAGAAAGGGAGGGAAAGGAAGGCGCCGATTGAGGACTCGAGTGATGCTGAGTCGGTGGAAGAAGATGACGCGGACCATCCGGGGTTGAGGATGCAGTGGAACTGGACTGAGCTGAAGAAGGATGAGGCGAAGTGAGAGGAAGAAGACATGTTTGGATGGGGGCGAGGCGTTCAGGATTTGAGCGCTTGATAGTGGTATTATTACTTGTTGCTGGACCATGGCCATCTCATTCGTCACTTCTGGTGTGCTGTGCGTACCGTCCTTGATGCGCAAAATGTGTGATCGCTTGACAACATGAATCTACGTCATCATTCACTGCTTCTTGGCGTCGCGTTCTGCTTTCCTCAATGCGCGGTTGCGGATGTCGACGTGCATGCCTCGGTTAACCTTGACGACAACGTGCGACCTCTCGCCGAGGAACCTCGACAAGAACCACTGCATCAGACCGTGGCTCCAGTAGGGTGTGCTTGTGAAGGCAACATTTTGCGCACCACCTGAACGACCAATCTTGCTGAGCGCAGCCTTGACGAACTGCTTGGGATTGGGCACCAGCGCAGATGGCTTGCGGATCTTGGACATGGCGGTGGTAATGAGGTGAGACTGGACGCACTGGACGTGGACACCGTACGGCTGGAGCTCAGAGCCAAGAGCAGTAGACCACTGCTGCAGGAAGGCCTTGCTGCCAGAGTAGGTTGCCAGAAGAGGTGTGGGGAAGAAACCACCGAACGAAGCCATGGTAAGGACAAGACCACGCTTGCGCTCCTGCATGCCAGGGGTGATGAGCTGGGTGACCTTCAGGGTGGCCATGCAGTTGATGACGATGATGTCGTTCATCTCCTGCTTGGGTGTTTCGTTGAAGGGCACGGGGATGTTGTGGCTCAGACCGACATTGTTGACCAGGATGGAGATGTCGAGTCCATCAACGAGCTTTGCCAGCTTGGTGTAGTCGGCGTCCTTGTTCTGTGCAAAGTCCATTGCCAGAGTCTTGACGGAGGTTTTGGGTCCATACTTGGAAGAGATGTCGGCGGAGAGGGAGTCGAGCTTGGACTGGGTGCGCGAGACGAGGATCAGGTTGTAGCCCTTAGCTGCGAGGGAAAGAGCGAACTCCTTGCCAATGCCATCAGAAGCACCGGTAATGAGAGCCCATGTGCCACAAGGACCGAACTCGGTGAGCTGACAAACTTCATCAGCTTATGGCACGTATACATAATTAATGAGGGGCACATACAGCCTTGCCAGGAAGGACAAACAAGCTCAGGAGGACACGGACGGTGCTGACAATGGGTGCTGCAAAAGATACAATGCCAACAAGGAGGAAGGCAGAGAAGGCAGCCTGCACAAGGGAGTTGCTGGCTTCGATGCGAACACCGAACGGTGCGAAGAGACCGTCCATAATGGGCGATTGGTGAACAACAGCAGAAAACGTCAGAACTGTCGATGCCAACAAGTCAAGATCGCTCTTTCCAAGTTGCTGACCCCAAGTTCCGCTAGCGTGGCGGCGGCCGAGGCTCATTGGTGTGTTGTAAATCGGCACGGAACAACGTCTCGGAGCAGCCCCTTCCAGTCCACGCTAAGGCTAAGCGATTGTCGAAATTCGAAGTGCCTCACTGTGCAGCGAACCTCACGAAGACCGACCGTCAACTAACCAACGACAGCAACCATGGCTACCGAGCTCACGTACGTCGGATGCGCAACCAACACCGCTGCGAACAATTGCTAATAATTCTACAGTGTCCAGTCGGAGCGCGCTTACCAGAAGCAGGTACGACAGACCTCCCGCGACAACCACACCGAGTTCGAATGCTAATGCGCTGCGATAGCCTCACATCTTCCAGAACCACAAGGCCGGCGGTCCCCGCAAGAACACCCGCACCAGGAGATGGTATAAGGATGTCGGTCTGGGTTTCCGTACCCCCAAGACCGCCATTGAGGGCACCTACATCGACAAGAAGTGCCCTTTCACCGGCATGGTCTCCATCCGTGGCCGTATCCTCACCGGTACCGTCATGTCCACCAAGATGCACCGTACGTTTTCCCGACGATCGAATCGCGCAAGAAGGGGAAGATTGGGCGTGGTTACATGGATGGACAGAATACTGACAGGATACAGGCACCTTGATCATCCGTCGTGAATACCTCCACTTCATCCCCAAGTACTCCCGTTACGAGAAGCGCCACAAGAACCTTGCCGCGCACGTTTCACCCGCTTTCCGTGTCGAGCCCGGTGACCAGGTTGTCGTCGGCCAGTGCAGGCCCCTCTCCAAGACTGTCCGCTTCAACGTCCTCCGTGTCCTCCCCCGCAAGGGCCAGGCTGCCAAGCAGTTCTCCAAGTTCTAAATGCATCGGTTGGAGTAACGGATAATGACGAGTAAAAGGAAGCAGGCTGGTTGGGCTGAGCGTGATGGTTTTCGATATGGTCACTTCGCATCTGGGTTAAGGAACCGGAGTCCAATGGGCCATGTATGTTTCTCCAGCTACGATCAATGAAAGTCCTCGGAGGTCAAAAACGCCCCGAGGCGGGTCAAAAGTCAGAACGGTTCAGTCGTGTCGGTGATGTGATGGACGTGACAGGGTGCAACGGTGGCTGCTGATGGGCATGTACCCGTTGTTCTCACAACGCAGACGTCGCGGAATGATCAAAGTCACCATTATACATTTCCCCAAACATTTGCAGCGTTGCAGCATCGCATCCATTACCTTATCACAGCGCGTGTCTAACTACCCTACACACAACGTCTACCTAGCACATCTTCGATGCACCAGCTCCTACACTCTCATCTTGCAACGCACCACAATCATTTGCTACTGCAGAACGACTTGACTTGTCAAAGTATACCTTACTTTCCACGCCTTGAAGTAGACGCTATGGGTACGCTATAAGCTCAATATACATGTATATCTACAAACACATACACCATCCTCCCAGCCTTCAGAACATATGTCATCCACCTCCCTCACAAACTATGCCTTAACGTAGTAACCCCATTGCGAGAACATCCACACAAGACTCCCTATTGACACAATTACCGGCCCCGCAAGCGGCTTCCCCCACCTCGTCGTCCCAAAGATCCACCACTCGCTGCCAAAGTGCGCAAACGCAACGACATACGTCCACATTGCAAGCTGATAAAACGCCGGCTCGTTAATATGATACGCAGCATAAAAGCGAATCACACAGGTTAAGAAGGTCCAGGTACCGAATGTGCGGCTGCTAAGCCAGGTTACATGTGCGGGTTGTTTGAGGGGCGGGTCCGTGGAGGTTGGGTTGTAGACGCGCGAGGTGTAGGTTAGGGTGCTGTAGGCTTGGATGCTGTTTAGCGTCGAGACGAGGGAGACCTGGGTGTGTGGTCAGTACGCGAGCAAGAGTAAGATGTTGTGATGTCTCAGTAGAGGGTTCAATTGGACATTGAAGTGGGCTGAACGTACGAAGAGCAGCCATTTGGGAAGAAGACCCTCGGCGGGTGGGATCCAGGATGATAGTACGGCTGCCATTGGTGCGATTGATGCTGTAGAGCTTCTTTGAGGGAGTACTTAAGCGCTGAAGTGTTGTGCGCGTGGTCGTGGGAAGCTGTAATCCGTCCGCTCGAAAAATGTCAGGCGTGGCTCGTGCGTTGGTCCGTCGACATCTTGGACGTTGTCTAGCGATATCAAGACGCTCCTATTGACACATGTGAATCACATCATCATAAGAACGACCTCAGTTCACGCTCAAAACGTTTCATACAACGCAAACTTGCGTGCATAATGAAGATGATGACACAGCAAATGGCTGGCTCCGCGGCGAGCAACGCATATTTCGCTTACCACAGCTGCACGTATCCCCGGTGCTTACAGTCTGCTTCGTAGGCTGGCCAACAGCAATATCCAATCAAAATCTCATCGTGAGATCAAGGTCGGGGGCCTCACTTCACCATATCTCAATGGCCACTGATTGCAGCAGGTTTTTGTAAAAATGGTGAGGCTGACAAGGCTGGCAACACCTGATTGGAATTGATTGTAGAGACAATCGGCGGTCGGAACAATATTCTACGCCTGTTCCTCTACGGTAACCCACGTTGATCAGGTGCGGCAGAGTGGCTGGACGTGGAAGCCGTCGCTGACTCGGAGGACGAATTGTTGACTCGAGACTTCCTGTCGGCATTGAGACCGCACGATATCGTTCAGCTCTTTCTACGCGCACGTTTCAATGGGTGGGTGAGCTTCATTCGCAGCGCCGAGATCGAGATACGATGCACAACATTCTCGACCTTACAGAAGAGTGCTCCTCCCTTTTCCACTCGTTACGACAAGATGGACCCAAGCAGCGAGTGCATTCGTCTGCTAGACCTACTCCTAGGCCACGATGATGAACCAGTCTCCTTCAAGCTAAGAATTGGTGACTTGCTCGACATTAATCCCAATCCGTACGAGGCGCTTTCGTACTGTTGGGGCGAATGGAACAGTGACAATGTGGCCAAGGTCCAACATATCGATGACCAGAGAGGCACGAATACAGTACATGTTTCGCCTAGCTTGTGTACCGCATTAACCCACCTCCGAGATGGATCGACCAAGCGTACCCTATGGGTGGACCAATTTATGCATCAATCAATCAAACAAGGCCGAGGTTGCACATCAAGTCAAAAATATGGGCAAAATATACTCTAGAGCAGAACGTGTCGTTGTTTGGCTCGGCAGTGGCGCCGATGATGTGGAAGATTCTATCGACACTATCAACAAACTCCTTCCCCGGTATCAACCACCCAGCAGAGAAGGTTTGCAAGATGGTGTCAAGGGTGAATCTATCCCTGATGTCGAATACAGTGACTTGCCGATAGCTCTTATCACTTGCCTGGTCCTGGAGAGTTTAGATTGTGCAAGAAGTGTGGTTGGCCCGTGATCGACTGTTCTTGTACAGTCAATGTACAATCGATTGGGACATAATCAAGACGGCGAATGCTTGGAACAAGTTCGACGGTTTTGAACAACCCGGTTTTTCACACGTACGTCTACCGCTGATCTGGGGGTTGCATGACCAGAGACTTGCAAGCATCGCTCGTGGCTGGGTCTTCCCACCCTGTTCATCCATAGCCTTGACTTGAAGGCTTCAGATCCTAGGGACCGCATCTTTGGCCTGTTGGGTATCGCCGACGGATGAGAGTCATCTCCAACTCGCTGCTGATCACGCCAAACTATGAAAAGACAGTAAGCGACGTATTCGTTGAGGTTACGCTCTGGTGCATTATGTGAACCGATTGGTTGTCCATTCTCTCGATGATTCACGCAACGAAAGGACGCACTTGGCAATTCCTCAATTGCATCACTTCCGAAGCTAAATTTTACGGCATGCCTCTGTCTGATCATCCGACATGGGTGCTCTGGCATAATGGCAGAGGGAAGTGGGCCAGCAAATTGCTTGGGATGAATCGAGATCGTTTGTTCAACTGCACAGGGAACACTAAGTTGCAGGTTTCAGTGATCGTTTTGGACGGTGCTCAACGAAGATTCCTGAACCTGCAAGGTTTTAAGCTTGGAAAGACCTCAAGCATCGGGCCAGCTTCGATCGCTGGCATCTCTCCCGAACTTTCCACGGCATACATCATACTCGACATCGCCTGCGGCCGCAAGGTGTACAATTCGCCAATCTCCGCTGGGGTCATGCGATCTGATAAAGACTCGGACCAGCCGATCAAGCACTGACGCGTGCACTACCCAGATGGTCCAGGAGACGGTACTGTCACACTCCCCTGCATCGGAGATTTTGTCTTTCACACACATAATGGTACAAGAGGCTTGTGACCCGCAGGGACAAAAGTCGACGACATAATTGCAGTCTTCTACGGTGGACGTGTTCCGCCGGAGACGGGGATCGCAGCACGTTATGAGTTCATTGGAGAATGTTATTTCGAAGGGACGATGAAGACAGATCTCATCGCAACAAGTGAAAATCTGAGCGTGTCAAAAAAGGATATCATCCTAGTCTATGTCGCCATTGTCTCGGTTGTATAGTAGAACAGTTTGGTCTGGTCATTGAAGATAATAGTAAGCTACTTAAAATAAGGATTTAGATTCTGCAACCGATGCTCAAGTATAAAGATGCATCTCTCTTCTGGATAAGCACAGCTGCGTACTTCTCAGGGTTACCATTGAATAGCATGACAGCTCTCTAATCTAGCCTCGATGCCACCAGGCTGCCTTCTTTAATCAGACACCGGTGTTCTGAACATCTTACGCAGTTGGTCTGACTACCCGTTGTTGGTCGCCTGTAGAAGCAACTTGTCCACCTTCCGCCATCGCCAATCTATTATCGAGTCGTTCTGCCTTAACAAAACCAATATGGCCGCGCATCATGCCTGTCTGCCTCCACGATTCGAAAGACACACAGCAGTATGCTCATGGCCGTCTAAGAGTGCCTCCTCGAAACTACAAAAACTGTTCGACATGTCGCCCCACCTCCAGGGAACTAACTCCAAATGAGATCCTGAGCTGTATGCATGTTTTACAAAACCTATATGCATACTACTTATGGGATGTAAGGAGAGTGGTGTCTGTCGCTAGTTCTTTACTCTTTGGCAGGCATCCTCTTTCTTTCAACTCAGATCCACTATTTCAAACATCCAGGACGTTGGATTTAGCGCGATCTGGAGTGAGGTTTGTGGGGAAGGACCTTGGTCCCTGAACCTTGGTGAGCGAGCGGAAGATACAATTTGCAACAGTTGATTGGTGAATCTGCCTAGCTGGTCGATCGTCGTCAAGGTGTGGCTTATCAGCCCATGACCTTCTCGCCATCCCCTGCGAGGAAGAAATGGCTTCCTGTCTCCAGGACTTCGATTGTGTCTCCAACCTTTACCTCTCCTGCCTCCAACGGTATGACCTGCATACCCAAAACAGCATTCTTACTGCCCTCATCGATCACTCTGTACTTGCGCATTGTAGTCAGCGGCTCGTTGGGATCGGCAACACCGGTTTCAGGGTCAACATTGGGCAGCTTGCAGCGTGTTGTGCGGCAAGAGATGTGGTAGGGCGTCGACCCGATCTTTGCCTTCGTCCAGGTATCCTCGTAGAAAGCTGGAGGACCGGTGAAGTAGATGTTGGCTCTATAGCGGAGGGCGTTGATGATGGGGAACTTAAACATGTTGTGTGGAGTGTCGCCTTTGGGGAGCTTGTCGGCAACGTCGTGGACTGAGGCGAGGTTGAGAATATGCACTGGGTACTGTTGGAAGGGTTAGAGGTATATTCGTCCTGGAGTTGGAGACAAGACTTACCGAGTCCTGCATGCCAATGGCTGTTTGAAAGCCCACGTCTTCCTTCTTGGGCGCGCATTTGTACACCTCGCGGTACTTACTGGTGTCGATCCTGAACAGGGTGATGGGGTTGGTAGTGCCAATTGTGTACTTCAGCTTTGCAAGCAGTTCTGGGTCAACTTCACAACCCATGTTCAGGACTACTGGCGAGTCCTTCCAGATGCGCAGTGTTTCGCTCTTGTAGCCCTTACTCTTAATGCGCTCTTTAGATGGGTTGAACGGGACTCTGATCTCCAGCATTGGCTCTGACTTGCCCGCCATCTGAGCGGCAAGGATCTTGCCCCAGCTCTTAAGGCCTTCGATCGAAAAATCTGTATCTTGTGAGAACGGGAAGCGAATCAGCAGACATCCCTCGCTCTTGACCCACTCGCCGTCCTTGTCATAGCCAGGTGCAGATGGATCCGGAACCCAGATTTCGGTCTCGACTTTGGCTAGGCGTGGGAACTTGCGTTGCGTGCAAAAGTGCCATTCGCTTGTGACCTTTCCATCGAGACTTGGCATACTCGTCACATACTGTCCGAGGGTGAACTGGCGGTCGTACTTGAGGCCAGTACGAAGAACTTCGCTCTTGTCCAATTCGATAGGTCCAGCTGACTTCAATGGGTAGATAAACAACGCTTTGACGGTCCATGGCTTCTCCTTGGTTGCATCCCCGCCTTTGGCGTACTTCTTCGAGTACTGGTCCTCAAAGTTGCCGCGGCCTTTAACACCAAGTTTCCGGCACCCTGCTGGTGGAGGCGAAGGCCTGTCGCGTTGTGTGAGGGCGAATAGAGCAATAAAGATGAATGGTGATAAAGTGACCAGGATCGTGTAGACAGCTGTACGCGGCGTTGGATCGATACCAAGCTTTTTAATCGCGAACCTGAGAAACATCGAGGTGAAAGTCTGCTGCTCCCCGGACGGCTCAAGAGGGGTTGAGTCAAACTTCATTGTGTTCCTTCTGTTATCGAGCTGGAGGGGCCCGGGATTTGTGGTTTTTGGTGTGCAAGCTCAACTGTCAACGCATGTCGAGTCACGCGTTTTCGATGCGGTTGCCAAAGCCGTTGCACTTATATCTCGCCCCTAGTGTATTTTGACCATGTGGCTTCAGCGATATGGATTCGAGGCGGTGCTGGTGTTGACTTGGCGCACTGAAAGGGGAAGGAGACAAGGATTTGGGTGAGTCATTGCGCCGCCGTTGGTCGCTTGCTCGCGTGACAGCGCGCTCTGGACGCATCGACGTGAGCCGCAACATGACGCTCTGCATCTGGACTGGACGCGACGCCCATATAGCAATTATATAGCAATTGGACGCGTTGCATCATGTTGTACGGTTTCGAGTCACGGGACTAGCTCGCAGTATTCTCAGTCTAGCACGATGGCAGACAAAGATGCGCCTGCACGACCTCAGTCTTCGCGTATGCATAGGCTCCATCCTACCATCCTACTGCGACTGACCTCAGCATAGACAGACTGCCCACTGTCTCGGCCTCGCAAGCTCTCCAGAGCCTCAATGCGCGTGGCGCCCGCGCCGTACCGACTGGCCTGACGCAGCTTGACAAGCTCCTTTCCCCGCCAAGCCTGCCAGGCCACGATGTTGCTGGAGGATATGCGCGAGGGAAGGTGACAGAAGTGCATGGGCCGTCTGGTGTAGGAAAGACTTCGCTGCTTCTACAAGCTGCTGCCAATGCCCTGCGCGAGGGGCAGCATGTCTACTGGATTGGTATGGGAGGTTTTGTGTCGTCTTCACGTTCACGGCTAATGGCGTCTAGATGGTGCATGTGCGCCTCTGATTCCTCAACGCCTTCATGATATGCTCGCTGCGCCCAGCGGCACACCATCTGAGTTCAGCCCAGATGAGCTACATAACTGCTTCCATCACCTCGCCGCGCCGACACTCGCGCATATACTAGCGTTGTTCATGCATCCGCCTGCTTCCTTCCCCCAATCGAATGCGAGCCTTGTTGTCGTTGACTCACTATCCACCCTTATCGACAATGCATACCCGCGCAATACCGACGACCGTGTGAAGAACAAGACCGACCAGTCCAAGTGGGCAGCTGGGCGCAGATATGCAGTCATCAACGACTTGATTGCGACATTTACGAAATTTGCGGCGCTCCACGACGTTGCCTTGGTTATCACATGCCAAACCATCACGCGCATACGAGGAGCCTCACGAGCGCTTTTGGTCTCTGCTATAACTGGTATCGAGTGGGAGAACGGCATCTCTGCACGCCTGCTCTTGTTCAGAGATTGGGTGCCACAGCAGGGGAAGGTGCAAGATAAGGTCGGGGCAGAGAGATTGCAGAAAGTCAGGTTTGCTGGCTTGGTCAAGGTCAATGGTGTGGCCCTAGCCGACGAGGGTGGGGTGGGTAACGTGGTGCCCTTTGCTATCGAGAGTGTGAGTCTATAGAGATCCAAGTATTCGTCGCGTGCATCGATGCACGGCGACTACAGTACTTGCCATGTCTTACTGACGCGAATTAGCATGGATTTTGCGATATCGATATCACTGCCGATGACACAGCAACAACCATGGTACTCCCAATCCAAGCCAGACCGCCCAAGAGGACATTCGACGAGGTCGACGAGAACGTAGCCGAAGAGCCAAATTCGGACGAAGTGTACGGTTGGATCGAAGACGATGGCGTCGCCACCGAGGGACTGCTGATCGATGACGCGCCCATAACTAGCGGCATGGACGCTCGACAAGACTCTGCTGCAAAAGGACGTAGTACGAAAGTAATGCGAACTTCTACGGTATGAAGGATTGGACAGTTATTCAGCATGTCTTTTGCCTAAACGACTGCAATCCTACGAAGTGGTCGCTGTGCCACCATACATATTGCTCTCGAGCATGACCTGTGAAGTGCCGGATAAACATCTGTCCACGCGCTTCGAGGTATGCCCTTAAGTTCAGCAGCTGACAGAGACCTCATCAGCCTGAGATCGTGCATCTACACCGATCACACGTTGCCGGCAGCCCACGGCACGGGCTCACCTCCCCGTGTGGGATGACAACCCCAGACCCCAGATTGATCATCCCCAAATCGGCTCCGCCAGTAACACCAGGTATCTTCACCGCCAGTTGGCGCGCACATCCTCACATCAGCAAAGCCTAGCAGCTTCGTACGACTGTCCACCAATATAACCCTGATCACGCCATTTTCGCAAATAAAGCCGACACCAACAGATCCTCTCAGTATGCTCCTTCCTCATGCTACGTCTCGCCGCCCCTGATCAGTGGGTTGCCGTGCGCCACACGCATGCCGGACCGGCTTGGAGATGGGGTGCATCTTCCTTCGAACATGGAGCAGACGCACACGTGCAAGCCCAGAGGCCTGGACGCCTGTCAGCCACGAGCAAGGTTTGGGAGCACGCTCCGCAACCCAGACCACCGGGTCCAACTATCAACAACACCCGCGCTGTCTTTGGATAAATGCATGAAATGCATGCGCGTGGCTGATCATATCTGCGGTGTTATAGGGGGAAGCGGGGTAGCTTCGTGGGGGTGGAGGAGCGAGGTCAGGTGCAGTTTTCCGCTCCGCGCTCTAAAGAGAAAGATGGAGGATGGTCACTTGATCTGGATGCGCTGAACGGAGGAATCACAAGCTGCTATTCAACCGTCGCCCGCCTAAACGCTTGCAAGGAGCCGTCTACACGTCTCGATAGGGCAGATGCGACGCCTTGCGCACCGGGAGGCGCCTATCTCCACATCTCCAGCCATACACATACGTACCTCCTTACCAGACATCTAAATTGAGATGGGGGCTTCACATACAGGCTTGTCCGCGACTACATGCACTTTCCTTGTGAAAAAATGCAGTGACACACACCGCTTCATTCTGGCGTACAATAGGATGTCACCGCACAACTGAAGTCGAATGAGGATGTGCATCTCAACAAGAATGTGCAGCCAATGATATTATCACTGTGACCAGGAGCAACCGGTACGACCATACCTTCCACATTTGATATTGCAGTAACAACTCTCATGCAATGCGCTCTATTCTGAATGTTGAACAACGTACAACCCTTTGGGTCCTTACCGTGTGCGTAATAACGCCGAGTGAAATAGTAATCACAAATGTTCTACCGGATAGTGGGCACCTTTATCACTGGTGCCGTTTGTTACGTTGAGAAACGACTGCAACTGATGTTCATGTATTGGTTCAGACGCTCAATATGAATGTTATGACGTTATAGTGTTTTCGATGAGATACATTCCTATGACATTTCGGTCCATCCCTCCAACGCAGCCGAAAGAAGAGCAGACAAATGTCCGTCACCTCACCTAGTGAAGTACTAGTTATTCATCAATAGCATATGAGTGCTGGTGTGATAGTCGAATGATACGGTTTCCCGCTGCACTTCAGACGTTGTTGACGTAGCTCGGGAAATCATTGCCCAGGCTTGGACAAGCACTACTTGTTCAAATTATCTTTTGTGGGGGTAATTTTGCAGGTAACCATCTTTGATCGTGATGGCAGGATGATGTTAGACACGTCAGTGCAACTGAGGTCTAATTTCCGATAGGGTCGTGAGAGTTGAAGGTCGAGAGTTGCACTCCGCATGTCACGCTTGTGTAGACGCATTTCGACTTGCTTGGCTATGTACGAACATCTATGGAAAAGCGATTAGATCTTCAGTGAAGGAGGTATTAGCATGTCACCGTGAAAGATTGATTCGAACTTGTATGACATTGGAACGCGGATGAAGCCTTGTAGCTCTCTTGGATACACCATGTAGATGATGGGTCCAAGTTGGCAGTGGGGGTACATAGACAGTCTGCGAATCTGGTGCAATCAGCCTTAGTCGTCAAGACTTGCCGTTCGTGGAATCTTTGCGACGTGGTCTTTAGCTTGCTTCAAGGTTCATGTTTGACATCGTCAATTTGAAATTGATAGCAAGTCTCGGCAAAGTACTGATTCCCTCAACCACGGCCAAGATTACGACTTTCATGGTGACGATGTAGCACTTCTCGAGATACGAGACGACATCACGCCATCTACCTCATTCTCGCGGTCTACCTGCAACATAGGGTTGAAGTCTACTGCTCGATGTTGGTGGTCGTCCAGCAATCGGGCATCCTGGCTCAAATCGTGATGCACTCCAGAGTACCCCACACAAGTCACGTCACCGCGACTTTGGACTCCACAGAAGGGGCCGTGTTAGCCGCCATCTAAACAGGTCAAGTCAAGTCGAAAACCCGCGGGGCAAAGATCACGACTCAGTCGACTTTCTTGATCGTCGCCTTGGGGGTGTTTGCATGGGTGCATCGACATCTAGACTGGTCCGCAGAAAGTGATCGTCGTTAGCTGCTAGATGGAAATGGAAGTGATTAGAGTTGAGATAGGGCGGTTGAAACTGGCGTGATACTGCGTGATGTTACGAAGACAGGATGAAAGGAGAGATGATGTCACATAGGGAACGGGGATGGAGAGAAGGACTTGGTATGCGCGCATACGCTGATAGGGGTTGTCGTTTGTGAGCGTTGGTGCTGGTGCTGGTGCTGGTGCTTCGAGTTGGCGAGGCCATGATGCTCTGCTAAGCGACGCAGGTACGCTTGCCAATCCAGGCATTCCGATGTTGTCGACAGGAACCCACCAGCCACGAGTCCACGATGTCGTGACTTCGGTGATTGCTGCGATGTTAATTTGCACCTATCAAAACACTAAACGTACCTTTGCACCGCAAAGGAACCCATCGGACACACCCCGACCCACCGCCGCATTCTCGACGTCCCCTTTCAGCCCTCGAAACAGCCCCCAAAAAGCAATCCTTCCCACACATCTCTTCTACCAAGCACGTGCATGGATACTCATCCCTCCCATGTGTTGTCTTGTCTCCCACCGGGACCACGAACCCTGAATTCTCCCGAATCCCCACATCATGACAGACTCCCTGCGCCACCGGAACTTCATTCATGCGGAAACACCGAGGTAACTGCTCCGACTAGACATCTGCACATAGGAATATTCCCAAACGACTCAAGAGACGTGCTGCGGCGTCTGCTTTGCACCGAGCTAAAACACTGTCAATAGACGTCCATGCCGGGATTGAATACCGCTCACCGGGTATTCTTCCGTGTAAGCCCGGCGCAAAGTGACCTTGGGCGAAGTATCCAGATCCCGAAGGTACATGTCAGTTCCGGCGGGTTTTCGTGAATCAGGGTCTGAGGCTGTGCGGAGGGCGCTGTGACTGAATATTTTTGCCGGTCTGTTGTACCGCGGGTGTCTGGCTAAACGGGTTAGCTGGATAGAAAAGCAGTGCCAGGGCTGGGGTAGCCAAGGGAGGATAGGTGACAGTTTGGGAATTGGCGTGGGGGGGGGGGGGGGTGCTGGAGGGATTCACATGCTGGCATGTGAAGGGGTTTAAGGTGATGCAGGTACGTCTCAACGAAAATGTATGATGTTACTTTGCGGTTTTGAGTGCTGACTTTTGATGTGCATGCAGCTGACATGCAATGTGTATCGTGGATATCAGATTCGCTCGACTTGACGTCCTTCAGCCCTAGCGTGATGACCACCATAGTGGTAATAGGCTATCGATACTGTGCGAAAAGCCATGTGAAACTCTGGTGGTGTAGTGCTCACGTTGTTCACAGAAGGTTCACGTAATTGCAACATCTGCTTGAGATAACGAGCCTGCTTCGTTGGCATCCGGAAATCCTCTTCTGCGCCGCATGTGAAGGCATGTGCTCATGGAGTCGTCATGTTGAGAGTTCGGCAAGCCCATTGACCGCGAAAGAACTGACTCCCGGCGTAACGGCCGCTAGCAAGTAGCATCGGATGTGTGACCCGTTGCAGTAGGCTCACAAAGAAGTTGACAGCTGTGAGACGAGGATGTGGACGCGATGATTGTCCAGCACATCGACTCTAGTGGTGCATCCGCGGTCAGTGCTACGAAAGGCAAGCTTTTTGCCATCATGCAGGGGAAACACCGTTTGCGGCTGTCCATAGTAGATCTGCAAAATAGATTGATGATGAGCAACCTGGATATTGAAGTGTCAGCTGAGGATACCAGCCGCCTGGTACGCGACGTTGGATTTATGACAGCCGTTGTACCAGATCCCGCCATGCTGCAAAGGCGGGTTTGACATCTCAAAGTGCTTTGAGGAAGTTGGTCGAAGAAAGCCGCATGGTGTCGCTAGACGTTTTCAGACGGTCCGCCGAAGCGGAGGACGAACGGAAAGTGATTTGAGTATTGCGGATGAAGTGACGGCTCATGACTTGGAGCAGATTGCACTGTAGCATCGTCGGAAAGCAAATCCCTTTGCAACAACGTCGCAAAGGAACAACGGCCCTGGTCAAGCGCAAGCGATCGGTAAAATGCCGACGTCGTAAGCTTGCCCACATATCGTGAGCCTCATGTGACGGACAAATTCATGACGCGGATCCTTAGCCGAATAGGGAAGTCTTCGCGCAGAGCCTCCCTGGGCCATGTCTCTCCACCTCCGCAGGCCCACCCCTCTCACTGGTGCAATTTCGCCGGAGTATCTTTCGTCCCTCGATACGGTACCGTGACGCCTCAGTGGAGCAGCGAGCTTTGGCCAGCCTTATCCGCTCGCATTTCCGAGCGTGGAAAGTCGCAGATAAGTGTGGAGACCCCACAGTCGGAGGAGGGTTTACGCTGTGTGAAAGCGGATGCGTCTAGAAGCTCGCTAGACGGACGAGTCAGCAAGGGGCTCACACTACTGATACCTGGTGAGATTCACTGTGGAGAGGTTATCTCTAGCTATGAGGTGGCTGAAAAGTAGTCTGAACGGGTGGAGTTTTGCTTATCTCTCGCTGACTCTGGCCTCCTGTCTTCGAAAGTCTGCAAGGAAAACGAGGGCCCACGGGTCTAGGCTATTGGATGGTGTGCTTTGTCATATGAGATTGGCGTTCTGTGTGGACCTGTGAAGGCCCATCATTGAATGACAGTTTCGAGGAAGGTACCGCCGCCATCTAGGTACCTAGCATGTGAAGCTCAACCCTCAGCCACGCATGTTGCAAGCCGTGATAGAGATGACGGGATGTTTGTCGGTCTTGGTGATGTTTGGTTTGGCAAGAGTTACAGAATGCAGGGCAACGTTCGCAGCTGCCGGGCCGACAACCTTCAAGGTGATGAAAGGCGGACAAACCTCCCGCCGTACCTGCCGATTTGCCATCCAGATTCTGGTGCAACGTGGATTCGTTGTGCCGCTCAGAGATAGGAATGTGGGGAGCGCCATCGCTGCTGCGCTCCAGTCCGGGGTGCAGCTATGGGCATCTCTGGGCACCCGTCAGATGAAGGATCAGAGAACATGTTCGATCCTGATCTGGACAAAGAAAGCCCGAGACAGACCAAGGCGCCGTCTCCAAAACCGATGGATGCCGAGTAAGAGTCAGAATCAGTTCGCCAAACGGCCCAAAATAGTGAGAGACAAAAGAAATAATAAGGGCAGCCGATGGAGCGATAACAGGGGTCTCACAATTGTGGAAAATGTGCTCAGAATGGATACCTGCCGAGTTCGGAAGTGGTAACCCCCAGCGCGCTTGCCTAGCAGAAAGTTCTTGCGCCAACCGCGCTAGCACATCAAGACGAAAGTCCGCGAAGTGCGGAGATCACGATTGTGGAGCCGTAGGCTTATCGCCCAAGGAATGTGGACAGGACAGGAACTGTGTGGGTGTGGTAGCACAGTGGACGACTAAAATATTGTGGGCGTCGTGGATGACCTTCACTGCATCTTCATTCGGGCTGAGACAACCCGTGGGGAATTGGGCGCGTAATCACGGGACGGATGCGTCAAATGCGGAGAATTTGTCGTGATGTGTGATGAGTGTTGTGACTTTTTTTCTCTGGTAGTGCGGGGAAGAGGGAGAAAATCACAGTGCTACCGTGGTCCTTGGTTGCTGGTGTGGGAGGGATACGCACCCAGATGCCTGGATCGCATACTTGTTGCATACTTGTTCCCTACTCCTGATTCTCGTTGCATCACTTGGAACCTGAATCACGTCACGGGCAAACCATAATCATCTCGTAATAGGCAACTAAGAGTGGAATGTATGAGTCTCGATTACGCGCTAGGCGTTCGGGTTGCTGTTTAACCAGTAACCTGCCAATAAGCAGGCGTTCCCCATGCGCCCGGCTGCATGCCAAAAGCAAAGTTGAGTGGGAGAAGAATACAAGACTGGAATCGCTAGGATTCGCGGGGTATTGAATCCGACAAAAGAAAATCTGAAAGTCTATGTTGTTGGTGATCCGAGTTCGAGAACCGAAGTCGTGATAGTCAGCGGGCTGTACCCCTCGTGATTCCATCTATGATTCCGTAGAACGCTCGCTAATCCAAATGACGAAAGTCATGTAATGCTACCATACGCCAATCCATGCAGTGGTAAGGAAATTTTATGGGCGGTTTGCAAGATCCTCGCCAGCTATTGAGGGCGTCGCAGAGGAGTTGCCAGAAGAGAAGCCACTATTCGAGGGGCCGTTGAGGAGATCCTGCACAGCGACCTTGGGTACCTGAGGAACAGGCAGCTTGCGCTGAGCACCTTCAGGTTTTGAAATAATGTCGCCGATCCTGAGACCAGATGATGCGCTAGGAACGTACGGCGCCTCGCGATCTGTCTGGGGCTCCATAGGCGCAAGCGCAGGAACGTAGTTCTGGTTGAGGCTCAAGTGGCGCAAATGCGGCAACTGGAGATCGTTGAATCCGTGCGGTCGAAGTCGGGGTGAGTGGGCTGGTGTCGCAAGAGGAGTGTGGTCGGGGGTGGGGCTAGCGGAATCATGAGAGAATGTCGGCGAAGGCGGTGCAGTCGACATCGGCGAGCCCGGCCGCGACCTCTTCGTCATCCTGTGCGCATAAGGGTCGTCCTCCTCGTGGGAATGCGACCTCGACATTGGTTGTGAAGAGTAGGCGTACTGAGACAGGCCAGGAAGGCGGTGGTTGCTGTACGGGTGGTACCCGTGGCTGGTGAGGTGGTGACGACTGGAATGAGAGTGGTGGCCGTGGCGGTTCTCGAGCCTTGAGGCGGCGTCTGCAAGCAGGTCCATGTTTCTTGACATGCCATTGGGGCTGTTGCTGTTGCTGCTGAGACCTCCGTGGCGGTAGGCAGCCAAGTCGTTGCCGACGTTAGGAGAATAGTTAGAGAAAGAGTGAGGCGGCGAGACGTTTGGTGAGCCAATTGCAGAGCCAGGCGCGCTGCGAGAAATGGTCTTTGGTGGAGGAGGAGCCATCATGTGCGCAAGGCCAGAGCCAGGCTCGACAAGGCCAGCCTGAACGGCGGCGACAGCAGCCTGATGGGCGGCGGCATGCTGGCCTTTGCCCCTCCTTGAGTTGGGATTGTTGTGTATCCTCGAGTGCCTGTGAGGAGGGTTAGCAAGAGAGAAGACATAGTGCAAAAGTGCCGTCATGCTTACCTGGTGAGTTCGTCTGAGCGGGAGAATCGTTTTGTGCAACCAGGGAATGTGCAAGCATGGGGCTTCTCTCCGGTGTGAGTGCGGATATGACGGGTCTGGTGCTCCAGACGGTGGAAGGCCTTGTCACAGAGAGGGCACTTGTAAGGACGGGGAAGGTCCTGGCGAGGCTCTTCCTGAGCCTGTTGCTGCTGCAGGAGGGGAGCCATGAGGCTCACGGTAGCAGTAGCCATTGACGATGAGGGTTGCTGTGTCGATGCAGGTGTACTTGATGTCTGCTGCGAGGAGGTGTCCGGGTTTAGTACGCTGGACAGATTGAAGGGTTGCATGTGATTAGCACCAGAGGCGGCGTGTGAAAGTTGGGGAAGGGGGGTATGGCTGGGGCGTCGGAGGGTATAAGAACAAAAGGCTGGCGGGATTGTGCGTGTGGGGGTCGGTGGCTGCTGAGCAGCGCTGGTACAGGCCTGTGCTGACGAGGATCTGCCGGAATCGAAAGAAAGACACGGGGCGGACTGCTCCACTCGGCTTGGCTACCTGAAAGGTGCGCCGAGTCAAAAACGTATCAGCTAGCGACGCCCCCAGTCGCTGTGCGGAGCGCAGTAGTCTGGAGCAGGGACCTGCTGGAGCTGGTGTGTGTCGGCGATGGCGTGTCGGAGCGATGGCGTGCGTCTGGCTGCCTTTGCGCTTTTCTGTCTAGTGAAGCCTGTGCAGGGTCGGCGCCGGTGAAGCGAGGCGGGAATTGGTGATCGCTGTACCTGGATGGCCCAGATGGAATGACTGTACCTTGTAGCACCGGACGATGTCTGCCTCGGTCTCCGCACTCACGATGCTGGCGGTGGAGTTCCTGGATTGTTGGTGAGCCCGACAAAGGCCTGCAAATTTGCAGCAAAAATTCTTGCTGCTGGCCCAGCGGTGAAGGTCGGCGAGCGCACCACGATTAGTCACGGCGCTGCAGTGGTCGCTCTGGTGAGGCTGTCTGTGGAGACGGGCAGAACGTGAAGCAGCAATAAGACAGCGGGGGCCCGTCCTGTGAGAGCCAGCGAAGCAGCGTACGTGAGCGGGCGGCAGTTGTGCGTGTAACTGTGCAATGCAGAGGTGATGTGATCACGCCGGATGACAGGACTAAAGAAAGAATCGGAGAAGAATGGGGGAGGCAGTGTCTGGAGAATATGAGGAGCCCCGCTGCACTGGACTGGAGAGATAAGAGCAGCCATTCATCGAGACGTCACACCTGCCTGGAGTTGACGCTATTCTGGGACATCACGATCACGGTGCCTGGTTGCTTCATGCACTTCTTGCGGTATTCGTCGCCCTTGCGCCTGGCCTTTTGTTGTGCATTATATCGATCAGGCAGGGCGTGAGACCAGAGCAACTGCCACTGTACCACAGGAAGGCTAATCATGACTGCTGAATGGAGAAACTAACCAACAAGCAAGCTCAAGAGAGGGACCTCAGCCCCAGGACCACGTACCCATCCACGATAGAAGGCGAGACTCCTCACTCCGACCACGGTGCCAGAGACCTCCTCCAAGTGGACCGTCCAAATCCACTGGGTCGTGGGTGATGCTGGCGATCTCACTCCGCGGTTTGACAGGACATCACACCTCTCAATTATTGGTTGTGCCAGATGACCAATTATGGGCTCTCCACACAGAGCTGATGGTATCCAGGTGCCTCTGGATGTGTTGCACTGCCGCTGAGCCTGGTGGAGGACTCCATGTTTCGTGGGGGATGATCTGGGGTATTGTGAGCATCGAAAAAGCAAAGGCACCAACGAATGCATTCTTTGGAGCAGCAACACGCACTTCATTGCCAGCAAAGGCAATATCAGGAGACCATCATCATATCACAACTGCTCGCCAGGAACTCATTCTACCCAGCCAATGCACCTACCCACCTCGGCCCGCAGTATTCGCGTTGCACTCGAACGAAGCACAAGTCGGTGAAAGAGCGCAGCACAGCACCATTGCGGACAATCGTCCAATCTTCACACAGCACGCAAATTGCAGGCCGCAGCCTGCATCGCCGCAGCCCTCAGCAACCAACGGGCGATGTCCGTACTCTCTCTATCTCTCTTCATATCGGCCCTTGCGGAGCCCCATTCGCTCATTCCATTCTCGATATCTTGGTGGGGCGACCCCTGTCAGCTTGGCCTTCACAGAGTGATCTCCAGGGCACTGCCAGGTGTCCCCTGAGCTCTGGCCCAAGACGTATGACGACGATGAGTGTCCAGCATCAAACCTACAGACTTTCTGTTTCACGCTCGAGTGCATGTCAACACTGTGTGGTAGGATTCTCGGTGCATTGGGATAGATTGTGAGCGAGGGTCCGCTATTATTATCATCTCTTCTAGAAATTCTTGACAGCGCTCCTAGCCCGTCGATAGCCCGCCCCGCTTTGTGGCTAGCATGGCAGAAGTTTGGAGATTGTTCGGGGCAGCTGTCGCTGACACGCTGACACTGTCATAGCAAAAAAATTCACTCGCCCGCAAACGACATCTTCTGCCCTTTGCACGTGTTCGGAGAATCTCGGGCAGCGCGGCGGTGCTAAGGTGGAGACGCCTGCTACGTTGGTGGCGCCACGCTGCTGTCCTCTTGCAGGCCGAGCTGCAGGTACCAAAGCCAAACACTGCGCCTCTATCACGACCCCTCCTTATCGTGCTCGAGGCCACTCGCTCGCATCGAGCTAGCTGTCGCGAAGACTGCACACAGTTTCATCCTCCAGCTGGGACCACAGGCCTATTTTCCAAACGCGACACATGTGCTCTCACTGGAGCGCATTTTGCGCAGCTTCCGGTAGTCACGATCCGTTGATTCAACGAAACCCCGCTGCAGAGAAAGTTCTGCAAGCTCTTCGCCCAACACATCTCCTGACACGACCAGAGTGCATCGTCATTGCGACTCCGCAGTAATCACCGCGGTACTCACAGATCGCTTTGCGATGCATCGTGCCGACGCATGCCGTGCACCCGAAAGTAACGCGTTATGCGCTCGAACAGATCTTTCAGCCTCAATCAATGCCGGTGTCATCGGTCAAGCCTCTCTGGGGCCCCGCATCATAGCCGTCAAACGTGTTCAAAGGTCCGATGAGGCGAAAGAAGCAGCTATCGATGTTCGGCGACAACGGCATGACATCAGTCCTTGAGACAGCGCGAATGACTCCCTCAACGTTTCCCTGCCCCCAACAACGTACTTGATGTCATTCCGTGAGCTTGTATGTCACGCCACGAGGTTCGAGATGCTAGAGAAATCGCCAAGCCACTCAAGGGCGACCTGTGATGAAACAGGTACGACATTGTACGCCAGAACTTAAATCCTCGGTGAGAGGAGTCCAAAACGTCCATGACGCATCAGACAATAACGATTCAGCATCAACAAGTCAGCAGCAAGTCAGCGACAGACTCAAATCCAAGCCGGCTACTTTATGTCTTCAGATGAATCAACACCATGCACACTCCGTCCGGCCATTTCGCACCATCTGCCCGGTACCAACATCAGCTCCAGCTTACACGAGCCATCAGTAATCCCACCTTCGTGCTGATCGCATCGCGATGTCTTGGCTACTGGAAGTTGTGCTCCCTTTGCTCCAGTATTACCCCACGCCCCCAGTGTGACGATGATCCGCGGATGCAGTACGCGCAATGAACAGCGTACTAGCCTCTTCAACAGTTTGAGCAAGGCTGATCGTGACACCTATCATCAACCAAAGTCGACATCTCTTTATTGGCACAGTGGTGATCGCTGCACTTGCCTCGCGTCACTTGCGTGTTTGGAGATGAGGCCCACCGCACTGGCGCGCACACAGAGATCACAGCCGTCACAAAGGGAGATCCAGGCGCTTAAGAGCTCAATTCGAAGGCCGTCGTGCAGGAGGTGCTGACCTTGTCATCAATGCTCAACTTGCACAACCAACGACCGCAGTCAATACAAGACCGGCAACTGCTTCATCCGACAACTCTATCACGTCTCACAACTACTGTCGGTCTTTGAAGCTTATTTTGTGCTGCATAACGATCTGCGGCTGCTACTCTGGGTTTGCGGAGACCCCAGGTTCACAGATCACTGCCACAGCTGTACTAGTGCAGTCAAGATCTTCCCGAGCTGTTCTCCCGACGAACACCGAGTCCACCGGCAAGCCTCACCTTCGTATCCGGTCTCTGAGCTACGGCATCTGGCCACATCTGACCAGCCGCGGCCGATGTACCTAAGCACCTCCGATACTCAACACCACTAACAATGTGCGCAAGCGAAGCTTTCCAGTAGGGTGCCGGCTCAATAACAGTAGAACGCAAATACATTCGTGTATGATAAGGCGATTCATTAATGTGCTCTGGGTATCTATACTTCCATCGAACGTCCTCATGCGCCTCTCCGATGGATCCCTCCGACTTCGCGGCTTCGAAGTCGGAGATATGGCGGGTCTGCTAGCATGCAGGCGACAGGAAATTCAACGCAGCTAAACAACCACACGTCAGCATATCCTCAGCTTGCCGGGGGGGGGGGGGATACGGAAACATACCCAGATTGTCACCCGCATTACATGTCTGCGCTGTGCAGTAAGTCACGGCATTGAAGAATGGACCGCATAAGCAATCGTCGCTCGTATTGGGATCACAGCCCGCCTTTGCAGCGGCCTCGTTCCAGCAGTCAGTCTATGAGATTGTCAGTCACTGCAGTTTTATATGAGAAGACTGTTGTGCGTACCGGACATCTCCCAACTTTGGCAACATTCATCCCCACGTCTTCATTATCATCTTTCGGCTTCGGCGGCCCTGGGCTTGCAATAGGGCTTGCCAGTGCAACAGCCACAGAACCCACCAGCATCGCCATCGAGATCGTAATTCTCATCTTGCCTTGCTCTCAACTTGTAACGATCGTCGGGTTCAAAAGAACAGTGTACGTGTCGGTCCGTGTGTCGGGATTGTGAAGTCGGTGAGTATCGCAACGGCAAGACCGCACACACCACAGGAACACGTACTTGTATATGTGTCGACGAGGAGTATCGTGGCACAAATGCATCAGTTTGAGGTGTGCAGGGTAATATTGGGAAAGTTCTATCGTTCATGCACTGCCCGTTTCGGGTTTCTGTCGCACTATCGGTTTCGAAGTGGGTGAAACGGGGCGCAAGCAACATTGTGAGAGCGGCAACGGTGACGGAGGTCGGCATACTAGAGGTGCGATATAGTAACGACCATAAACACTATCAAGAAGAGACGATGGTAAGTTGAACTACTGGAATGCATCGCTGAAGACCCAAAACGAATGCAGCGCAACTCACCGTCCCGACGAACTGGACAGACCTTGTCTCAATCACGAGAACACCAATGCACGACATTCGGCCTTCCACATCTCGTTCCTTCAGTCTTCAACAGTCCCCTTGGAAACGTCATTCTCCTAAGCCGGCACCCGATCAAGCCGTCTCAACACCTCTGGTCCCGTCCCGCAACGCGACTTACTCCTTCAACTATCACCAAAATCAAATTCACCCGGTGGTTAGCTGCCTCACCAACCGGGCACCAGCCGGCTGTAGGCACAGCTGAAGCATCTGAAATGCAGGCACGGTACGTGAAATCAGGCACGGACACTCCTCAGGCTTATCAAACAGTGTCTCTGTCTGAGTGGTAAGAGGCGTTCATCTACTTGAAGCAATTCTTCGGTTAAGCACCTGAAGGTGTTTCATAACATTCCAGAAAACTGCTCAGAAGGATCTGAGACTCCAAGTGTATTGATTGCGTCTGCCGCTGTCAGGCTGGATTGGGAGTTGAACCACGGTTCATGAGTCTTCTCTTGTGTTTACTCGTCGTCACTATACTCAGGCGACTAGCACTACAACGGTCGAGCGCCTGTCTCATGCTCCTCTCAGCTTCCTACCACTCCGTTCCACTTAAAAGTGTCAAATCGTTCCCCTTCAAAAGAACAGCCACCCCCACTTCCCACGAAGATGTCATTCAAAAAGTCCTGCAAGTCCACTACGCTCTGCAGCCTAATCAAGCTATCTCTCAACTTCGGGAATGGCAGCCTGTCGACCCTTTCAAAGTACACTGTCGTGAGTTGGGATGTTGTTGGGCGGAGCGACACCTTCGAAACTGTCTGGCCAAATTTCTCACCACTTCGAGCTACAACTTGCTAGCCTCCTCTCAAACCACGTCAGTCACTGTCGTATCTAAAGCTGAGCTACTGGAACTACTCACAGAGACTTATTGTCTCCAAGGCTCATAGAGCCAGGCGAAATCAACTATGAAGGAGAAGCTAGCGATCACGGAACACCAAACGGGAAAGAAAAGCTAGCATTTCTTGTGGGACACTTACAAGCTGTCCGAAGTGTTGATGAAGACGAAAGATTATGCCAAGGCCCACCTGCACGGTCGACAGTCACTGCGGGGCTGCAATAAACTGCGAGAGCAAGGTTTTGATGGTTACGAGAAGAGCTTGACTCTCCTCATACTGATTTGTAGCGAGCAAAGGAACCTTGAGGATGAGGAAGCGTATACCGCCTTGTTGGGTAGCCGCCAGGCAAATATGAGAGACCAATATACGGTGCTTGGGCTTGGACTTACCACGGATGAGCCGTTAGAGAGCCCTCCAATCGACGCCCCATACTCAAAGCCAACACCGAACGCGACCAGATGAGACGCTGAAAAGGGCAAAGCTCAAAAGCACCGCTCACCAACACAGTCGAGTTTGTCAGATCCGCGCGAATCATCTCAGCTCTTATTAGAACTTGGACCGCAAATTCAAGGTCACCAAACTCCGATCATGACAAGCTACAGCAAGGACACAAAAGTTCTGCCGTCACCAATCGGAGTCGCACCGCTCAAGCCGGCCACATCTGACCCTACGACACCAACGTTGCCGGATGAAGAGAGCAAACCTCCATCCGAAGAGTTTACGCCAGCTCTAGAGTCGCCGCGTAACCGTCCATCATTGTCTCCATGTTTGCACAGCATGGAGTTCACGTCTGCAAGATCTTCAGCCTTCCTCGAGCCCACCTATGCCTATACAGGTCTCGCGACACACCGCGGATAGCTCGAAGCTTTCTAAGAGCCCAGAACACACAGCAAAGCACGTATCAAGACGTTATGGCGTTATGATAGACGCCAAAGACCCTGACAAAGATTCGGACAAGGAAGACGCATCTTCATATATCAAGCTTCTGATTGCCCTATGTCAGAAAGGCTTCGGCCGAAAACCGTTATTCATGATCGGTCGCGGCCGTGAGGGTTATAATTGCATTGCGACCATTGACGAAGACCGCAAAGAAGAGATAGCTAAGGTGACCGGCTGCAGCACCAGGGAAGAGGTAAGGTATGCTGGTACTGTCAAGGCATATATGTCACTTGTGTCGCTTTTAGCAAGGCCTCGAGGGACGGCTTCTACGAGTAACGCAACGGACAATCACTCGAATTCAGGAATGTTTCACCTTAGCTCGGATAAAGAAACTTACTTGACATCTTCTGAGGCTAAGATGGATCCACCACCTTATACTCCGGAAGATGGTCCTGCCACCTTGGCCAGCACTGTACCAGAGATCATGGTCTCCCCTACGATAGACGATATGCCATTTGCGAGACTTGCGCCCAGTAGCGCTGTCTACGATGCTCCTATACGACGTGCTGCATCGGACTCTTACCTTCCATGGCACAGAAGTTCAGCAATGGCCTTGCATGATAGGGGTGCAGAGGCTAGCCCTGAAATATTTTGCTTAACTCCTCAAACGAGTCTGGACCCGAAGTCCTCGTCACATCATCGTGCCGCGTCAACTGTTACAAGGCCCACAATATAGACCGCGGGGGATGATCGAATGCTTACGCGGTCTCGACAGATGGATTTCAATTCGCAACGTCCGGCAGACTCCTTTGCTTTTGAGCCTCGACCCAGGAAGTCTACTGCTCGACCCAATGTCACTTCTGATGTTATCGAAAACTCGGTGTACAAACCAGATCACTCCACCTGGACCCGGTTAGTCCGTCGTCTCGGGGATTTTCGCATCTCCCGATTTCACTGTCAAAGACTTTCTCCTTACAGGATCGCAGAAGTAAGAGCGATGACCCGAATCTAACGAAAAAGAAGTCTCTGAGATTTACACTGCTTCCATCTTCCATGACCAAGTCATCTTCTGTGAAGCGAGCGGCCATCATACCCGAGAACGCACTAGCATCGACACCCACCTGATCGGTATGTAGCGAAGTTCTGTCCGACTTTACAGATGAAAACGTTCCTCTCCATGTAAACAAGTGTCTGGACAAGTCTCCAGACCACGCTGTTCAGGAAGCTCAAACGGCCTACGAACTGCCAGCGCCGACGAGCACTTACACGTATCGTGCGATCAGACCTGACGGATTCCGTGGGGCGAAACTGCCCAATCAAGATCTGACTGCCTTGTCGAATTTGCATAGGGCTTTTTTGAGAAGAGACTTGTCCATGGGCAAGTTCAAGCACAAAGCTGAGATCGGCGTCCCGCTTCTACTAAGTTCGCTAGTATACAGTTTTCACTGTGAGAGTGATGAAGAGAGGTTGCTCTGCATAATCCAAAGATGTGTTGCTGTCCTGTCTGTCGTGATGGTCTTTTATATGGCCATCAGGAGGGTATGTTTACATAACGTATATATGATACAGATGAGTGTGGAAAGTGCTTGTCAAGGGGAATAGGAACCACTACACCAAAAAGTGGTACATGGGACGTCCTTACCCCATGAACCGTCACAACAGTAGTCGAAGCGCGCTTCAAGCTTCCCAGCGCCAAATCTTTGTGCTAGGTAACACACAGTGCGGTAAGACTTGGCTGTCGAGAGCTTGGTGTTATGCCAATTTTACGAAAGAACCCACGATTAGAGTGTTCAAGAAAGTCGTGGACAGGACCGAGTTAGTCATCCAGGGCGGTTTTGGAATGAAGTTCATCTGCGACCGTATGCGCCGGCCGTACCGTGGAGCTCCTCCCGTGATACTGCTGTGCTTCGACATCAGTTCAGTTGATTCTTTCGAGAATGTGTCAAAGATACTTGCAGGCTGCAAGAAAGATCTTAGGGCCGAGGCCGCGAAGAGTGTTTGGACACGCGATGCATATAAACCGACAGCGAAGATCAGCGCAAAGGCTGCCTTTGAGACGTCAGTTGTCATGAAGGGAGGGCTTGAGGCGCTTTTCAATCATGTTACGCAGATGTCTACCCGATGATTCTCAATTCAATGTATATTGGCGCATTTGTGAACAGCCACAGTGGGGCATAGGATGTAATGTAATATTTTTCAAAGAGTAAGTGTCCTTAACAAGGGAACAGATCACTAAACTCTCGATGGATCGCAGGTACATTGTTGGTGGAGAAAGAAACCACATAGAATCTTGGGTCACTTACACCGCGAGCGACATGCAATTTTGAATTGGTGCACTTGGGGTTTTGACACATAATCTATGGAATGTGAGCAGAGATAGAGTGAAGAGTGTCACTGTGCATCAGCTACAATTCACTGACACGCAGGGACATTCGTACAACCTCCAGAAGAAGCCGCTGAGGAACATGGACTTGTCTAATCATAGTTTTCACCAGTGTTCGGCAAGGACATAGGTTTGGTGAAGGCAGATTTGGAAAGGAAGAAACAAACACACAAAACTCTCTCTTTTGTGTCTTTGGAACTCTCAGGGCGATCTTGAGGCTTCCAGGGTAAAGCCAGCAGGATAGGAAAGAAGCTCTTTTAAGAACCATTAAAAGTTATAACGTGTGGAACACGAAGTCGAAGATCTTCCGGTACAGAGACGTCTCCAGACTTAAGAAAGACATGTTTCATGTCGACGTCGTCTTTGAGGACCCGGATTAAAAAAGATCAAAAGCAATGACTTTATGCAACAAGCTTTCATGACGAACTCTGCCATACTGAGTTCGGGCAAAGCAGAAGGGACATCGGGCAACGTTCTCCTATTTTCTAGCAGACGACAAAAGACGAGAGGACATGAACGAGTGGTACAATGTCTTTTGATCTTTCGTGATGCACAGATGCTCAGGTGATAGAGTCAAGAATCGGGATAGTGTCGAGCTCAATAGAAATATACAGCTGCAAAGCAGCGCAGCGGCTTGCACATAATTCTGGAAATCTTGCCTTTGAGATCTAGTGAATTCGTCCCTGCCTCACAGACACCATAAAACTGGACTCTGAGAGCTTTGAATGGCTTCAGTGACGACCCAATTATAGAATCGTTCGTGGTAATTGTTCGTAGAAAGCACAACAGAAGAGAGTCAAGATAAGGAACCTGGGCTTGAAACTTCGTGAGGGATGGCGCAGCTGTAGAGGAGGCAGAAAACTCAGAGCATGTTTGAACAGTGTTCGAAAGAAAACATGGTGGTTTGCCATCACGTGATTGAACTGAATCGATTTGGCATTGGAGAAGGATAGGAATCGGTTTGTTTTGGGAGCGTCAAGTCCGAGGCGAAACATGGCTGTGACCGAGTGCCACTTTTGACTATATCAGATTTGAGAGCGTAACAATAGAGAAGAACTTCCCTTACACAGAGCACTGAAGTACATCATGTTTGGAATATTCGACAGTGTTCTGGTTGAACAATAGGGATGAATGGTCAGGCCGCAATCGACCTGACCAGGTCACGAAATAATGTTGACCTCACTGACGTTATGATTTATGGAAGATGAGTTTTGACCCGTGTGTTACAGTCGGGTGATCTTGGGGGGAAAGCCTTGTCACCGGACATGAGGTTGTTTCGTTGTGGTTTTGGAGTGGAACAGATCAGGGATGGTTCAGAGAGAAGCATAGGTTTTCTTGGTCCTGTTTTCAAGACAGCAGGGACGGACGCACATAGCGCATGGGCATTTTTGTTCTCGTTCTTCATGTCGCCAAGGTAGTCAATTTGCGTGAACAAGGCCAAGACGGCTTAAGGGTATATGAATATGTCTACACCTTGATCCCGAACATGGCTGCGTGAGTGCGCAGATTCGAAGGTAGGAATAGGCTCGACGGAATATGGGGACGTTAGTTTCATGCCTTAGTTGAAGGTGATTCTGGTAGACAAACAATTTACAAATCCGTGGAATTCGTCGCACATGGAAGTCCCTCTGCCGCTTGTACAAAGGTGCATAGGAATGCAAAATCAAGAGTGTTTGTTATGATCGCGCACCTCTTGAATCCACAATGGCACACTCACCCATCCCACAAATCGATATCAATCAATCTCCCGTTTCCTAGCTCCCGCCGTGCATATGCAATTTGATGTACATTTAAGTTTGACGTTCGCTTCGTGATGGGAGATGAGTGTTGAGTGATGCGTTGACCGGGCGCTCGTTTAACCCTAATCTGTCATACAGGACTATTGACGCGCTATAATGATCGTCGAAATGTGCTGACCCCCTGTCCTTTGACACGCTTGCAAACCTTCACGCAGGTACCCGTAAAAGGCTTGATCCTGACCGGCTGATGAAGGGTAAATAACAAGACCAGTGTGGGAGAGGCATACTTAAGCCCTAGGTTGGCAATCTAGATGATGAGGCTGATGACGTCTGTGGTGTCAACACTGATCCATGGCATCCGTGAGTGGCTGTGAAGGAGTGAATCAGGGTCTTGGAGTCTCTGGTACCGGGTATCTAGCGGAGTATATAGCATCCTCGATCAGGTGTTCTGACCAGTCAGAGTGCTTGTGTTCTTCCTTGCATGGTTGGCAGTTGATGTTGACCCATGGGTCGGGGGGTCAGCACATTTTGACGATCACCGATATTGTACTAGTGCGCGGTCCACATGACTTACACAGGAATTTTTGGAAGCATGCAAGTACACGCGGCGAGGTACTTTTGACGCTGCCGATTTCCGTTCTCGGAACTGTTAGCGGCCCTGGTTTTTGGGTTATGGTAAGGAGGGTCGATATCGAGTGTTAATATCTGCGTTTTGGAATAACCAGTATAGGTCGAACTTGCGTAGGGGAAGGAGATCGGAGGAGAAGGAACATGTCACTCAAAGCGGGCAGGAAGGTGTAGTTTTCATGTACTATATTGATGACGATTATGGTCAAAGAGGAAAAGTGTAATCTGCTAAAGTCTTTGTACTGAAAGGAATGAAGGCGCCCATAAATTTTCGTAAACATCTTGGAAGACGTGAGCACGTCGTGCCTTTATCGAGGTGGTACCATCTACTGTTGGGTAGGCTTCTTGGGAGCAAGGAAGTTGGTGATCTCGTAGGAAGCAGCGTCGCGAACGGAGTACTTGTCGTCTCCGTACCAGTAGCCAGTGTTGACAGCGTAGCTAGAGTCCCAGGTACGAGTGTAGAAAGAGCAGTAGGTACCAAGAGGAACATCGTTCTTGGTAAGGACGTAAGAAGTGAAGAAGTTGCAAGTCTTGTAGCTGCCGTCCTGAGCGGGGTGGTTGACGTCGTACTCGGTCTGAGCCTCGCAAGCAGCGGCGCAGAGAGCAGGGTCGTAAGGGTTGTCGTTGAACAGCTTCATGCCGCTGTATGTGTCGTAGCCGTCGTCGAGAGGAGCGTTGATGGCAGCGGGAAGGCTGGTGCCAGCCTTGAAGTCCGGAACAGAGGGAAGAGCCTTGCTGATCTTAGAGTAACCGTTGGAACCAGTGATGACGACGTGGAAAGTATCGCCGTTGGCATCCTGGGGACCGCGCCACTGGCCCTCATTGGTAGCAGCCTTGCTGGCAACATTGTAACCGTAGATGGAGCACTTGATGTTGGTGACAGGCTCAGGGTTGGCACAGCCGTCCTTGGGCTCGAACTTGGGGTCACGCTCGTAGAAGATGTTAAAACCCTGGCAGTACTTCTCGGAGTCGCAGAAGGAGGCACAGGCCGAGGGGTCGTAAGAGTCAAGGTTCTTGTAGGTGAGGTAACCGATCTGCTGGGAGCTGCCAGTCATGTCGACGAAGGACTGCTCGTAGTCAGAGGGAGTGGCAGCACCGCGGGCAGTCGACCTCAGGACACTGTCGGTGGCAAGGTAAGCGTTGGTGCTGCCGTCACCGGGGACAGTTGCACCACCGCCGGGCAGAGGAGCACCGCAGCTGCTCACATCGCGCTTCCCAACAACACCCTCCTCCTTGACGACGGCAGCGACGGCGGAAGCGGCAACAGTGGGGTTGTAGGAGACGGGAGCCGCCTTGGTCTCCTCGACCTTGGGGCCAAGAATGGTAGGGGTGGGAACAGCCAGAGCAGCCTCAATGTTGATCATCTGAGGAGCAGCGGCGACGAGACCGCAGATAGCGGAGGCAGCAATAGCGTAACGCATCTTGATGGTTGGTTGGAGAGATCGACCGAGGATTGGAAGAGGGAAGATGACTGTTGATCAAGAGACTCTGCGAGTTGAGTGGTGTGATGATCTCAATAAGGCGGATGTAGACAGTATACTTAACTCTTGTGTTCATCAAGCTCGTAGACACGAGGTTCTCCGGACTCCGGAGGACATCGCGTACGCCAACTCAATAGCTCAAACTATCGGCGGTTGGCAGCTGCTCGGCTTGACCGCAAAAAGTGCAGAGGCGCCTTGGAAATTGGAGATAGAACGCCGGTCAGTCACGCCAGTGCACGAGGCTTGCATCTTGTCGTCGATTTTAGCTGACTGACTCTGGAGCAAGGGTACAATGAAGCCACAGGGCTAGTAGTAAACTGTAACCCTGTAGAGTCGATGGGGCTGACGGCAGGTGGTCTCAGTGGACGCCCGTGCAAAAATAGCGACGGGAGAGCGACTTGAGGCTAAAGCTTAACCTTGATACGGCTCCTCTGCCGAATGCTTCTGTTGATCCCTCTCTGCCATGTGGGCTCAGCTCCGCGCGAAGTTTGCGGTGTTGGTGTAGAGACGGTGGCTCTTAGTGTCCTCGAAGAAGACTAAGGTGACGGCACGTGATGACGCTTTGTCTTCTTTCAACGACGCCACAATCGGCTATGTATCCTTCATTTCCCCTTACGACACCAACATCGTCCCTGTGTCAATGAAATGGAAATGTCTTCCCACGTCGCAGCGTCAGTCTCACGATCGTTCCTGGGTGTCTACAACAATCGCAATACAGCAACGCTGTGAGGCCACCATATGCTAAGGTTACTGCACCCCAGCGCCGATGTACGTTGGTACCGATGTTAATCCCTAACCTTATCGAGAACAGAGTCTAACGATGCTGCACAGTCGGCGCTACCGTCAGCCCGACCTTGTGACCGGACTGTGGGAGCAAGCCACTGTCATACCCATGCTGGCGCGTGCTAGCGGTGACGAAACTCTGGTACCGCGCAAGGCTGATAGGCGAGTACTTGTCAGAAAACACATCTCACCAGGTGTGCTGGCTGGCTTCGCTTGGATTTCTGCAGGCTACGACCAAATTTGGCAGCCTGTGTCTTGGTCAGGAAGATTCGGTACGGGAAGTGTTCAGACTCATCGCTCACGCTTCCTTTATTGGCCCTCCAAGACAGTGAGGTACTTTGGACGCAAAACTTCAATAGTCTAGATTTGGACATGCGCTGCTGCCCAAGATAAGCGATGAGTACCCCAGATACCAAAGCTCTTGGATGTACACTATAGTCTCCTGCAGATGTCTTGTCCGGAAGAGGACCCCTCGATGTGTACCACCATGCATACTTTGATGCAGACAAAGGATAGCACAAACAAGTTTTACACAAAAACAAACAAACAGCAGGGAAACAAACAGTCGTCGCAAGCTATCCCATGTGATGGCTGTTGGGTGTTAGACTTGCGGGGCGACCCCACCCTTTCTGACACGTCTTTTTCAGCTCAAGGCCTTCACCGAGTCGGTTGTTTACACCTCGTTTCTGTGGTCGTCTAGCCTCATCCACCTCGCCAACAGCACTCCATTACGAAGCTGAAGCGCTAAGCAAGCCACACAGCCACCATGAGATTCACTGTCATACGAGAATACACAGACGCGGGATAGATATGCGACAATCATCACTTGAGGCATTGCTTGCAACAATGCCTGTGATGCTATGGCATCAGGCTTTCAAGCCGTTCGAGCCTTTGGCGCCTGTCTACGCGGCCGGACATAGCACGTTGTTCTACCGTTGGAGACAAAGACCCATGAAACACCTCCAACTCACTGAAGCCACGCGTTGGGCACTTCCATGTCGGTAAACTCCATGTTCATGCACACTGTGCTTTTACCCTAGTCCGCTTACTTCTCATCGCCCTCGCCTACCCCGTGTTTCCAGATCATGCTTTTCTCCATCTTTGCGCTCTAGACTACACTGGCAGTCTGCTTTAGCCCAGAACTAACAACCAACATGCAGGAAGCAATCGAGCAAGCCTCGTATGCGTAGAGTTACGTGCTAAGACCGGTGAACATGGAGGTTCTGGATCTTAAAGAGCGGTCTTGCTGTATCTGCTACCAGCCCTTTAGCCCCACAACGTTGACTCAAGGTGGGCCCGAAGTGGCGGTTCAGTTGCCATGTGGACCTGTCTTTGGGGAAGTGTGCATATTAAGCTGGGCCCTTACAAACAACCCATGTCCGTTGTGTCGGAGGGATGTCTTCGCAATCAACGATCATCCTGCCACCGGACATCTCTCAAATTTTCGAATCTCAAATGCTCAGCTCAACAGTCACACCATGAGACGATATTTGGCTTGATGAACATTTCTGGAACAGTTTTTCTGCAAGCCTTGGAGACGCGGTAAGCTTTGCTGACATTGAGAAACTGATAGATTTCTACTCCGGCGACCACTCGAACGTGAATTCTGACTCTCAGCCTCAAACGTCTATGGAGGCGCTAGCGTGCGGCGAACATCGTGACTTCTGTCGCTGCAGCGACGAGGAAGACACAAGAAATATGGCGGTGCCACACAAGCGCGTCACACCGCCAGCGACAGCCCAAACAAGACGAATGGGTATCAAAGTGTTCGACCTCATGGGGATGGGCTTTCAATTCGCAGAACTTGGCCACCAATACAGGCTACGGATGGATGAGTCTCTCAATGAACCGAATTTCACCGAGACTCATTTGTTTGGTGATACTGTTGGGATACAAGGCTTGGCGAAACAGTGCGCCAAAACGGGCATTGAGCATCACATTTCACTACATAGATAGTAGGCATTCTGTTGCGATCCATCAAAAAGGTACTTTTTTCGCATCGCACGCTCCCGACCACGAGTTGTGGCTGAGAGCATGTCCTGGTTCGATCGCTGAAAATAGAAACATCACTGTGCTAGCAACGAACTAGCGAACGTTCAACAGAAACTCGGCATATTACCACCAGCTGCTAAACTGCGCACACTATCACGACAGAATCTTGCCTTGGAACTATGTCCAGCCTATGCAAGCCGTAGGTCTCATCTATTCCTTGCAACTCACGAGTTCCTGGACTGGCATACGGCCCCGTGCCAAAATGCCCTACAGTCAAGAAGGGCAATGATTTACAGACACATTTCATCATCGATCAGTCTTGCTGCAACAGTCTCACCAATCATCAGACCAAGAACCCCAACCCCAGGAAGACAAAATATTGCCTAGGTATACATTGAACCACAGATTAAGCAGAAGCGTTGAAATAGCCTTCATTTCTCAACGTTATGATGGCGAAACTCACACAAAAAGCTCGTCATAGACATTCAAGATTTAAAGCTCCGCGACGTAGGAAGCATCCAGCCACAACTCTCTGTAACAAGCATACAGCTTCATCATTGTCTAGCCACAACACCATTTGCGACACAATCCCTAGGCGAGCCTCGCGAACAGCAACACAGTAATAGCATAATAGCCAAAACTTCCACACGAAGCTTGTCATGCAGATCGAATACAACCGTCTCCACCTCGAAAGAAGAACGGCCGGCCACAGCCTTGATGTCATGCATAGATTGCCGGACTTGATAAATGTTGCCCAGCTGCATGCAAGATGGATTGCGACATACGCCCCAACGAGCCTTGCGCGATCGTATCTCACAGCCCCGTATTAATTACTGGCATAGGAAGATAAGAAGGGCAGCCACATTCTATGCTATCAAACATTGGATAAATATATATACATACAAAACCTCCGGCTATGTACCCCAAGAGCCCCTTCATGAAATCCCTTACGACTAAACCAAATCCAATTCCCCATCACAAACCATCCCAACACCACCGAGAACAACGAAGAAACACATCACAGTCCTCATCCCCAATCCCCGTCTTGGGTCAGACCTTACTCGCCCTGTTCGCCTCACCGTCATTTAGAAGCGAGCTGGCATCAGTGATGGCTCCCATCTCCACAGGCCTTTCCTGCAGAGGCAGGAAAATACCCCGTGTCCATACTGCCCTGATGCTGATGACCATACGCACCCGGATCCGGACTTCCAGGGTGTTTAGCAGGATGCACAGCAGGATGGGACAGGAACTGAAACGCTGTTTGGCTGCCATTATGTCCATGATGAGAATGCGTGTGCACTTTAGGTTGTTTGTACTCGACCATTTGGTTTGGACTGACGCTGACGCCGCGCACTGTGCCGCCTGTGCGCTCGATTGCTTCGCGGAGGGGTTTTGTCCGGCCCCAGCAGAAGAAGAGCAGGGCGTCGAAAAGAATCGCGCAGACGGCGGCAATGACTATGCCAACGATGGCGCCGGTGTTCAAGCCACCTGAGGGATGTGAGGCAGTGGGTGCAGAAGCCGAACTGGATGAAGAGGAAAGCCGGACGAAGGATGCAGGATTGCCGGATGGGAGGGGAGATTCAGCTGGAAATGGTTCGCCTAATAACATATCAGTAAGGGTGTGCTATGTTACTGGTTGAAGGGAGCTTCTCAGGCTGCAGCATGTATGATGAGTCCATCGCCAGTGTTCGCTGCTTGTCTAGACTCATACCGCTGTTCAGATTGATGCCGCCGACCATCCCATACATGATGCAACTCCCAGGCGCAGAGCAGTAGAAGAAGATCGACTCTGTATCGTTGACCCTGGTACTGTATTTCGGTGGGTTGTCTAAGACCTTATCCACTGGGTTGAATCCGGAGAAAAAGCCTGTTTTGCCGGACCCGGTCATCTCATATGGGATGCAAGGAAAGCCATATTCGGCACGCACAATACTGTGGTTGAGGGGGTAGAGGTCAAATTCGATGATGTCTCCTACAGCCGCCTTGGTGGTCTCAGGGCGCATCTTGTGGTCCAGCAGGCTGACCTGGATAGTGTGCGTTTGGGGTGCCGACGGACTAGTACTGATGCTCGACTGAAAAGTTGTTGGAGAGGGCGATGAGGAGGCGGCTGCTGCTGCTGCTGCAGTAGTGGATCGATGGAAGTGGTATCCTGCGCTGAAGCGCTGGCGTATGAGATGATCGGGAGGAGCAGTATGAGCCAGTCTGGCCTCCTGGTGGTGATTGAGAATCTCATCTTGCCTGCTGCGCCTGGTTCGAGGAGGTTTCTGTGATGTCGTTGCGAGATTCGTGCCTTTTGATGATTCGACCTGAGCAGTGAGCAAGGCTGGAAAGACATGGGGCAAAAGGCTATTCGAGGACGCAAACGATCAAAGATAGAACGCAAGACGAATGACGGGGATCTTGCACATGGTCGGCGCGGCAATAGCGTACATCTCGATACGCTATTTGCTTGCGAGGATAGCATGGCAAGCTTCTCGACCTTTCTGACAAAGGAACGTCGAGCAATGCGTGGGCTAGACGTCCATGAGTGGTCATACGAACCGCAACAATGAGAAAAACAAAGGACGATCCTTACGCTTCGACCAATCACATCCATCATCTGGCGCTCTTCATCGCTCCAGCTGGGTGTCCTGGGTACCAAAGCAACCTGCAAATGGTTTATGACCCATCTCTACTCGTAGCTGCACTATATCGTGTTTGTAGACAGCCGATTTGCCCTACAGTGGTCGTTTGGCCTGCGACATCAGCAAGAAGGTGAAACTAAAGGACTGAAAGTCAAGAGAGTTGCGTCGATCTGAGTGAGGATTCGAGATTATTTTCTATTACGAGGGCTGAAAGTATCAAAGAAAGGGACTGCTGGTCAAGCGTACCGGAATGGTGGTCGCAAACCAGATCGCTTGGTATCGTAATGGCCGCGGTATCGCTCACATAATTCATAGTTAGTCGCTGCTTCAATCAACATCTATCTCTTGATGCAGGCTTCTGGAAGACGTCTTTTCTTTGACGTTCACCGTGAGCCGTGGTTGACCAAGGGCTGGGCGGCCTCTCAGCGGCGGACGGTTGGGGTGGTCCTTAGCTTTGTAGGCATTCAGCTCAGACCAGGATCGCCGAACCCAAAGTTGTCGCCGTTGCTCGAGGCGCTGTTGGTACCCGAGCCATAACCAGAGGGCGTTTCGGACTTCTTGTGTCGTAGCATGGACGGATCGGGAAGAGGATTCCAGATCGGGAATCCCTGCGGTGGCTGGCTCTCTCCCTTTGGGGTACCGCGAGCATATTCAGCCAAGCTGCCGTTGATGCCAGTAAGAGCCCACGCAAACACCGCAACATCGCGAATACTTTGCATGAACGAGTTTTGAAATTGCATTGATGGCCCTGAATGCAACATGGACGGGTGTTGAGCACCCAGAGGGTACGGTGGCATCTGTGGCGGGGCCGGGTGGAACATAGGCTGCGACGCCCATGGAGCTGCATAAATACCGGCGTACTGCTGTGCCGTCTGTGGGACTGGCATCGCACCAGGCAGCATTGGTCGAGCACGACGAAGGCACACAACAAGACCGTCCGTGGTGCACGAAATGACGGCTTCGAGCTCAATGTCATCATTGTGGTGTACTGACGCAGAACCTCCCAACGAGGACGTGGACGAATGTCTCCGTGAATCATCACCGAAAACGCTGCGGTATGTATCTGCAGGATCAGTGCTGTCCCCAGATTCTGTGCGGTAGTTGCCTGGCCGCTCTTCGCTGTTCCAGTGGGAAGCGTTCGACTGGTGTCCTGAGTTCATGCCACTGAAGGAAGTTTGGCCACCGAGTCTCACGCCTTCTTCAGCAGATTCGTCGTCGTCGCTGGTAACGTCTGTCATTTCGTCGTCCTCGCTCTCGGAAGACGTCAATTCCGGTGGATCCTCCTGGCGAGGATCTCGGAACATGAAGCGCATGTAGGCAATCGAATCGTTCCCTTTCGCGGATTCGAGACATCGGACAGCTTCGGTAAGACAGTTCAAGGCGATGCAATAGTAAAAACTCCGTCCCTTCATCTCTTCCCCAGAGATGCCAACGATTTGCTCAATGCCGCTTGTGGCGTACATAACAGTCAAAGTCCGTGTGAATCGGTTAAGGAAAAGGGCCGCACGGGGTTCGTGAGTCTGATCTTCTGGGCCAAGATCGAACTTGCTGGAGAGATGGGACAACATGTGGTAGCGAGGGTCTTTTGGTGACGAGGCGAACAACTTGCGCACGATAGGTGCCTCGACGGCACGGTCTATATGCATGTTAGTTGATTGCTCTTAAATTTAGCATTCCGGACACTTACTTTGACTTTCCATGCCGTGCCTGTAGATACTTGTGCAGCATACCATCACATTGTACACGATCGAAAAGCAACATTCGCAACCAATCCAGTCTCCCTGACGGTTCTTGAGACGGCAATAAGACAGCACAGCCGCCTTGTCAAGGGCTACTCCACGGCCATATTTTGCCTTGGCGAAGTGCAGTTCCTCGGGATGGAAAAACTGCCATACCGAGCGATTGACAACCTCGTCAGGTGTGTGACCGAGGATGTCGACAATGGAGTCAGACGAGTACAAGATGTGTGCTTCATCGGTAAGATCTATTGATATAAGCGTCATGTATGTGCTGGACCGCTAGATTGGACGTACCGTGGATGGTGATGAATGTAGTATCCATTGTAGCGAGTGACAATGGCTGGTTGACAGGTTGACAGTTGACAGGTTCGACAGGATCCTTCCTCAACCGCTAAAGTCCAACGTGTGTCGAATCTAATAATTCGTTCTGGGACCAGCGGTAGAGGAGTGGAAGACAGACAGATGTGGTTCAGACGAGGAGCAGCGGTGACTTGAAGTACGTGTGGGGCCTGCGGTTCCACGAGGGCGTTGGACACACCGTGCGCTCGGATTGTGGTGGAGGAGTACAGATGGCACTCGGCCAACGGTTACAGTGCGCAGGCACGCGGCGTTATGTGCAACCTGCAGGGGTATACGAGCCAGTCGCAGAAATGATGTAATCGCGACAGCTCGAAGCTACCCCGGTGAGGAGGTGAGAGCTAGAATATTATATGTATGGGGAGTCCTTGCAGAGGTGGTGCCATCCAGGACCGGCTGGCTCTTGAGGAGAGTTCCAGCAAGAACGCTGCCAGTCTGCATAAATCAGCAGAAACGACGAAAAGTGGGATGCTAGCATGCAAAAGACGTTGAAACTAGACCTCTCGGGTCACAAAGCGCAGCTAGGATCAACACGGGACGAGGGCGCCACGAGCTGGGAGAACAGGTTCAGACCCTGCGTGAGGCAGTGGAAAAGGCAATACTGAGCGAAGAGCACCTGAGTGCGGAGGCCGTGTGTCTGCGGCGTGGTATCCGGAGGTCAAGCGAGAGTGCAAGAGGCTGCTGACGACCCTGGCTGTGTCACTGCAGAAGGGATCGACGCGGAAAAAGTGGCCTGGGGTGGCAAGTTGCGGCAGCGGCGCGGGGCGACGGAAGAGGTCTCACTGCTCAGGCCATCAAGCAGCAGCAAGAGAATCAGGAATTGAGCACCACAGAACACAGGGGCCGTACGGCAGAAAACTGGCGTCAACACACCAGGCGAGGTGTGCGTCGCTACACAGGGCAGGAGCAGTGCTTGGCGCAACGAGGGTCGCTCTTTCCTACAGGCAGGTTGACTTTGCCGCCCACGTGCCTAGGCGATTAAACTCGTCGGAATCTTCCTCTACCACTGACACTGAGCTCAGCCTGCAGACACATGCCGGGAGCGACTGCCGTCACCCCCGTGCGAGGGAACGACAGGGCAGCTTGCGCTCTCAGTTGTTTGACAAACCTCGGCGCGTTGTGGCACGACTCGTCATCCCAACCTCTGCCATCGACGATCAACACCGCGCTAGCGCGCCATACGCCAAGCTTCTCTTCTTCACTCTGCCAGCTCCACCACTACGCGCAGCCTTTAATTGCACACAGCGTCTCTCAGTTTCGAGACATTTCCGCGACAGGTGCCGAACTCGCTTAACCTTACTCTGCTTGTTCATGATCCCCACCGCTCACGCAATGTGATCTGTCCAGGTACAGTCTGGCCTGGCTTGGTTTCCCATTGGCTCGCCCCTCGACCATAGCCAAACTCAAGCACGAGGGGCCAGCACCCTACATTAGGTGCCCTGAATATCTATACCGAGGATGTCCGCAGAGTGCATTATCCTACCATCGAAGCCCACGGTGTCCTGTTCTAAGAGGGGCATGCTGGGATTAGATGCAGGCATGTACTTGCACACCGGGTACGGTATTAGTCAAGAAGATATCAGGCAGCAAGAGTAAGGGCTCAAGGTAACTTTTGGTGGATCTTGAGACATGAATTGGTACCCGTATACCCTGCCAGGCGTGGACGCTGTGCTCGCTGTCTACGTGCAGTGCCGCCTGTGTGTCACTTCGCAACGCATCCAAGGAGCATCATTGATTGGCTTACAAGCTGATCTACCGATCTGTGCTTGACAAGTACCGACTCTTGAATGACCGACATGATGGAAGAGCTCGGAAGAAATGAGCTTTGTGCTCCTACCACAGCAGGCTACAAGTGGGGCCTGCTGCTGACGATATAGGGAAATTATTTCGAGACCACCATGACTTTCGGACGAGAATCGAAGTAGCCATTCTGAAAGAGCAACGGAAAGAGCAACGGAAAGAGCAAGAAGGCTGCTCTCTCTTGCTGAGTTTGACGGGCACGTCGCCAGGACGTTAGACTAGTGAGTCTCGTCTGGTATTTTGACCGTCTCGAGAACCATCAAGCCCTATCCTCGGGTTGGAGCATATAGGCCAATGCTTTCTAGTTGCGATATTTTCATCCGTGGTTGAACGTGTGCCTCAACACATGCTTGGGTGCAAGAATGGACTACTTTCTTGAGGTGCAAAGCATTGCTGATACAAACAAGGCAGATCGAGCAGCTTCACAGACCCTGCCAGGCAACGATCACAACGGAAAATAAACAAGGCACACTTCAACTGCGGATCGGCTTTCTCCAGCACTGATGGACCAGAACATGCAAAACACTGTAAGGATACTGTAGACCGCGTTATATGCCTACGTGAAAAGCCCAAGTGCTCTATGCACTGCATCATATCAGCTTCTACAATACCTCTTTACGAGTTGTGCACAGTAAATACCCATGACGTCCTCAGTTCGACCCTGTCGTTCGCTGACAGGCAAAGTGATTTGTAGGGTCATAGCTTCCACGGTACAGCTCCTCTCAGACCCAAGAAAGAGATTTTCATTTCCTATCACAGAATTCCATTGTGGATCAAAATTCGATAACTGACTCCTCAGTTCTTGAACTTACTCTGACATTTGATTTCCACCGCCACGACATAAACAACTCCACGACTGAGACCTCGCATTTCTTATTCATACCGCCTACACAGACTAACACGAAGGCGTAAGCAAGAAGCACACATTCTAAAAAATCTGCCTCCTCTGCCTCTGACGAACACCTGACGCCTCTCAAAATGAAGTGGTATGAGTACCTGCGTCTCCAAGTGTGCCACCACGAAGGCTGTTTCCGTATCGTCCGGCCCTGCAAGCGAGATGAGCATGTCCATACTTTGTGCCAAAAGCACAAGCTGGATGTGGTTATCGCTGCATCCAAAATGTTCAACAAGTGGTGCAAGGCAAACACTCCTCGAGGCGGCACTCCACCACTAGGCCCTGGTCTAAAGCTGACACCGCGAGTCGTGGTTCAAAGGATACAACCAGCCGAAACGCCACAACTTCTCGAGTTTTGGCGGAACAGGCTCACCAGAGACAGATCGGGCAACACGCGCTCCAGCGAAAACAGGCCAGAGAACATGCAGCTATCAGGGAGCCACTACAGAAACGAAGACTTTATTTTGCGAGTGCCTCACAACGCAGTTACCGTGTGGATCTTTTCAACCCACTATGGGCGACACGATCGTCATCGACAGCCTCAATGAGAACATTATCGTGATGCGCCCCTCCAGCGACGCTACAAGGGCGGACCTGGAGAGCGCAAAGCTCCAAAAGCGCGAAGCTCTAAAAGTCCAGACAAAGCAGCAAACCGGCGCGCAGCTGTGCTCAATGCGGTCAGAAACGGGAAGCAGCATACCTGAAACATACGACAAAGCATGCGACTACCCTAGCGCCCTTTGTCTTGCACCAGCCCTACAGCGACAGCAAACGAGCTGGAACACATTCTACACGATCAGCATTAATAGCATACACATATCAATCAGAATTCGGATAAACAGCCACTACGAGTCAAACATCCACGATTCTTTATCTGGATCTTGGATTTTCTGACTAGACAAATGTCATTAAGCATACGAAATCATCAACAAAGGCACCGCATCGCGCTCACCTCAACCACCCCAGATCACAGCCACATCTTACAGTTACAACACTCCATACCAGTCTCCAAACACCAACAAGGCCCAAAAGCCGCACTCACTATCTGCACCACACCACACCCCATTCCTACCCACAAAATGCTCGCCACCCTCCTCTCCCACCTGAACATATCCTGCTCCTGCACCAAATGCACCACCTTCATACATCCTCTCCCAGAAGGCGTACCGCCAATCCGTTTCCCCACCCAAAACTCCTCCCGCCAAGCCTCAACTTCTCCCTCTCCCTCCCCTAACCCGCCCTAACATCAAAACCCACACCTCACTCTACCCCGAGACTATGTCCTACGGCCTCGACACTGACTCCTTCGCCGTCGTTGTTGCTCATGCGACCTTCGCCTTCGAAGCCAAAACGAAAAGTTGGTGGACCGCTAACATTTCCGTGGCTGGAGCTCTCACCGATATGGTCGGAGGCCTCTGCGCGGATCATGTTTACGTCGGGGAGCTTGTGGACGGATATTAGCAGTCCAATTGATAAGGCGTAGACACCTATTAGTGCGAAGACATCGGGTCTAGCAACTTGCGCGCAGGACCAGTGCGAGAGGAAGGTGGTATCTGGCTTCGGGCGTGCAGTGTGCAAGACATGCGAGGAGGAGTTGCGAGGCGCTGCGCTGGGGTTGGCGGCGCTGGTGGAAGACGACGAACAGACTCGGACAGACGAGAAGCTAGGTGCGAAAGGGGCGTTGAGTCGGGCTGATTCCCTGCTCTCTCGTAGGACTTCACCAGAACAAGAAACGCAGAGCAAAGACACGCAGGAAGGACATGACCCCCTCGTCGCCATACCCACCACACCACCAAGCACAAAACTCATGCTCACTCACTCGCTCAACACCACACTAACACAAAGCACCGTGAGAGAAGAGGACGAAAAGCAAGAGACCGACCCACCACTTTTTCCCCTCCCCAACACCTCCCTCGACACCAGGTTCTCTAAGGAACAGACGCCAACTACGAAGTACGCTATCGACTTCCTAGCCCTACCTGCGAGTGGTAAGACTTCAAAGAGGAACAGCGGAGAAATCATGAGACCCGCGATGTGCGCCCCTGCAGATACCAAGACCACGAAGGCGGGGAGTGAGGCAGGGAGTAAGCGCAACAGCAGAGAGGTCATGACAGGGACAGAGTCCACTCTCTTCTCTCTTCTCTCTCCACGCGTCGAATTCATCGATGAAGTGGAAGTTGCGTGATAGGTGAAGTGAGTCGCGTTTGGAGTGGGCGGCTTTCAGCTGGCGAAGGTCAACGGATCGTACTTGATTGGCTGATGTCTCGAGGAATAAGATGTAGGTAGGATAGGTCTCGGTGGATTAGTAGTACCGCGAAAGTCATTAGAGCAAAATGAAACAGTATCACAAATTTAAACTTTTTGAATATTCGTCACCACGCCTCTTGGCGGGTCAAGCCGGCATCGCCAGCTGTAGCTCATCGCATCAACTATCCTACGTAGCAAATAAATGTGCTCTTCGCATCTCGCTATCTCGCAAATCATCCTCCAACGCCTTGTCGCAACCAAAGCCAACGCCCTTTTACAGCACAGCCAAAGAAGCCATCGCTGAGATAGAACGCCTTGCTTTTGAAACCCCCCATCTTTCCATCAAGACAAACTCGTGGCGGCGACTGAATTGAACGTTACATGTCGTGAAGAGAACAAGGCTGAGAAGAAAAAGCGTGTCGCCGGACACGATTACATAGTGTACACTTCCAGAAAAGAAGAAGAAGATTGGCAAGCGTCGAGCGGCCAAGAAGAAGGGGTGAATCCGAAAGAAGGCGCCCTGGGTATCATGTCTCATGTCGGAGTGGGCGCGGTCGTGGCGGCGGCAACGGTTTGCATGGGCTGCGGTTCCTCCGTAACGATAGGCAACGACAGCTCAGCAGTCTTGCTGGGTGGTGAAGCGGTTGGCAGACTTGCTGCCGACAAGGTAGGTGAGCTGGTTGACTGCGACGCCAGAGGTGTGCCAGTCGAACTCGTCGTCTGTGCGAGCTTCGCCCTTCTGCTCGCGAACTCGCTCAGGCTGAGCTTCTTGCGTACTGGTGTAGGGTTGACAGCTTCCTGGACAGCGGGCGAGAAGGGCGAAGCTATCGCCAGGGGGGATTGCACTGACAGTGTTCCAGTCACACCCGGGGTGACAGCAGAGTCAGCAGAGAAAGGATTGGTCAGCTCGGGCTTCGCCGGCATGTCGACCTTCATGTCGACAGACTTTGCAGGTTCATCTGAGCTGGGCGCTGGGGATTGTCGAGCGGACGACGTGGCTGGCCATGGCGGCGCAGGTGGATTCATAGGAGGATGCGACACTTCCTTTGAGATTTCCACTGCAGGGGCATCAGGCATGTCTTCAACCTTTGGCTCCGCTGTTTTCGGTGCAGCAACCTCGTCGGTGTCTTGCATATCGACGTCAGCGGTAGGAATCGGGGACAACTCCTTCGCCGGTGTCAGCTCCTTTGATCGTGGCACAGACGCATGATCCAGAGTGATCTCCATCGCCAAAGAGTCGTCCAGTGGTGGAGACGGCGGTAGTGGAGATGGCTTGTTTGAAGATACGTCCTTCAGCGCTGGTGATCTGCCTTCCGTCTTTACGGAAGCAGATCGAATCCGCTCGCGCTGTAGCTTGTCTTCCTGCGCCTGCTGAAGGAGCTTGCGCTTGAACGACATTGGAGGCTTCATTTCCACGCGTACACTAGCAGCGATACCGTCATCTTCCGTTTGTGTAGATGCCTCGACATAGACGGGCTTGGGTTTCGGTGCGCTGCGAGCGTTGGTCTTCGATGAGCTGCCGGACGCCTTCCGTGCCACGCCATGGCTGTGTTCGCGATGACGTGCTGAGGGTGAAGGTTCTGGATATCCCAGCCGTTTCTGCGTCCCTGAGTTAGCATGTGTAGATGTATATCTTGATGTGTATCTTACTGAGGCGGCAATGCTGGGCGTATTGAGGGTAGACCCAGCACTGTTTCTTTTCCCTCTCTTGCCCTTGTGTTGCTCGTCCTCCATCTGCTCGAACAACCTCTCTTGTTGTTGCAGCTTTCGCCTCTCACGGTCTGACATCTTCACGTCACCATCGAGCGAGAAATGGGTAGCGGGCGTAATATCCCGACTGCTGGATTTATGCGAGCCAGATGTAGAACGGCTGTCCATATTGTCATCGTCAGCGTTGTCGCGGTGCAGCGTCTCGCTGCCAGCGCGGCTGTTGGTCGCACGGCCCGTGCTCAAAGGTGAGATCTGCGACTTCTTCAACTTCTTGTTCTTGGCCTTGGTAGGCTGTGCAGGCTCAGCGATGGTACGACGGGCTCGCTCCAGCAGGCATTCATGGCCGGTCGAGGTGTCGCATGCACACCCACCGAAATTGGCCAGGACGCAAGATACCCATGGCTGTATCCTCTTGAAGCCGTCCTTTGCGCCATTTGTGACGACCTTGACAAGTTGTTTCTGTACTTCGGAGTCGATATCCCACCCTACAGTAAGTTCCTCGGTCGGCTCGATCTGTCGTGTTGCAACAAAGCAGAAGTGATAGTCACTGCTAGCTTCGACGAGGATCTTCATGGCCATGTTGGGCGAGCAGCTTCGTCTTGCGTAGCGCAAAATGTTACCCTCTTGCCGTGTGTCGATGTATATTGGCAGGTGTGGGGGGAAGAAGACAAAGGGCTCCGGATGGCGCAACAGGTTCCATCGATTTTCGGGGTCCTGACAGTACTCCTCTCTTCGTCCGACCAAGCCCTTCAATTCCCCAACATATCCTCCATCAGCGATCGGGCCGTCGGTGGTGATGAAGTGCCATTGCGGGTTGAGGCCGTGTGCTGTTATGCCAGAGTCAACCTCTGTTTGCTTGGTGATGGCCGGTGCTGTCGATGTCTCAAGGTCTTGGATAGTGTTCTCAATGCGCGAGAAGAGATCCTGCGGTTTCTTGCCTCCACTGGCCTCGGCCAGGGCGTCTGGATCCTTGAGCCACATAGCAATATCGCTGGCGACGCCCAAACTCGTGTAGGAATTGTTGTCAGCCGACGGTGGCTCGGGCGCTGTGTAGAGGTTCATGAACTCCAACGAGAAGTCCTCGATAGGACCTTCGATGTTGGTCGGAGACTTGACAGGGCTGTTGCCGTTCACGACGACAGAGCCTCCTCGCTTGCGCGACGCAGGGGCAAGTGCTGGTGCTTGGCTGACAACGCCGATGGAGCCTGAGGGACGATGGTTTGTCTTCGGTCGCTTGTTTGGTGGGGGCAAGTCTCGTGGGCTTCCACTCTTACGTTCAGGGTTGTAGTGGAGGTCATTGTTCGAACTTGTTGGCCAGCCGTTGGGCTGCGCGGACCCGAGTGGATCCTTGGTGCGTTTCTTCGGGTTCTTGGTGGTGGTCTTCGGTCGACCCTTTCGATCTGCAAAGTTGAGCAGTTCTTTCCGTTGGCGTTGCTTGTCGGCAGCCCTTCTCGAATCGACGAGTCTTGGGCTGCAGTCTGTGCATTCGTGCACGTCAGGCACATGCTCGGCAGACTCATAGTAACAGACGATGTGCTGCCATGTGTCGCACCTCTCGCACAGCACAGTATTGCCGTCGTCGTCGGCAAAGCCGCAAATGCATTTGATCGTAGACGACTCTTCTTCGTCGATTGTACCATCTAAGCCTGGGGAGCCGTGGGAGTAGGCTGGCGGTGGAGGACCGGCGCCGAAGAAGGCGGCCGGTGCCGGTGCCGGTGCCGGTGCCGGCTGAGGGTCAGCATGCGCCTGGATCGAGGAGACGTCTGTCATCCTCTGGCAGACACGCTGAGGATGAGTGGTGGTGTGTAGTGGCTGGCTCAGGCTCTGACTGTGTTAGATCGCATGACGCCCAACGCGTTGACGGTCCGGCAGGGCAGGCAGTAGCAGCTCACGACGACCCAACGGCTCGTATCGACAAGTCTGACGGATGCTGTGGTAGACTGGAGAGCTACGGGTCGTCTGCGGCCAAGGAGAAGAGGCTTCCGTGTCCGGTTGCAGCGAGTGCAGGCGTGGAGGACAGCGTGGACGGAGGCACTACGGTCTCAGTGAGCGAGCGCTAACGGACGCCTGTCATACGAAGACGATGTTGAGCTCGTGGACGGCTGTCTGAGTGCGATGCGCGGGTGGTAGGGCGGAAATCGAGGTGCGACGGCTCGTGGGTCGCTGGCTGAGGGGGCCCGTCAAAGGAAGGGACGCGCGCGAACACTAGATGGGAGTGTCGGCAGGCGTGCGCTGTGCAGTCAGTACTTCAGAGCAGGCGTAAAGATGGCGTGGACGTGTGTGCGACGACGGGGGTGTGTGTGTCTTTGGGAGTCAGTCGAGAGGCAGAACCGAGAGAGCGAGGAGATGGGTGCGAAAGAAGGAACGAATCAATCGAGCTTAGTGTGAAAGCGGCCCGTGCGCTGCCTTGAGAACATTTGGTAACGTTTAGAGGACGCTACCTGCGTTTAGCAGAGGGGCAATGTAAGCGGGAATCAAGGTTACGGGGTGCGCCTGTGTGGCCTGCATCATTGCTGCAGCGGCCAAGCGCCTCTGCAGCGGCGCCATGAGGACTCGCGCTGGCCCAGGCCTTGCAGTGAGGGACGAGAGGCCGGCGTCGAAGAGATAGAAAGATGCAACAGCAGACTCGGGAAACTGGGGCTGAATGTGTGATGAGACGAAGGGCAGCCAGCGTGGCCCTGGACCGATGCAACGAGGCCAGCGAATGAGAGCCGCCGCGACGCACTGGGCACGAAGATTGCAGCAAGACTAGCGGTGCATGCGGCATGGCGTCGAAGGTCTCGGGCTTGCGCGTCCGGGCCTGGCAGATCAGGTTCGTCGTCATCGATGGCATGAAAACAACGCGCTGCTTGTGTTGTGGGATGTCGACATTATTGTGATCGTACCTGCACGCTCTAGCATTCCACAGTCTCTGCTCGGAGGCGCGGGGGAGGAAGGAGCAAACGGCGGCACAGGCAGCACAGGCAGCAGCGCTGGGCAATCAACGACAAGAACGGCAAGAACCCCCGCCCAGCCCGCCCGCTATCTTGAAACGTTTCTTTTCACAATGACGTCCATCACAACGGCGTCTCGAGTCGCAGCACTGGACCCACACAGGCTGTGGTCGACCGAACGACAACAGCTCAGCTCCGGTGAGAGCCGTGACTGCCAGTTCTTCCTTGTTTGTTTGCCTCGTTGTGGAGAACACAACCAACAGCTCAGGGGCGTCCAGCACGCCGTTTGTGTGCTATCAAGGCAGCAGTCCCTCGAGCCTGCGCCGCTGTCACATGGCTCGTGCAGGAGTGAATTGTAGTGGAGATTCCCCCAGACGCGTTCCATGCATAGACCACGCTGCGCCTTGAGCAGTGTTTGTATCTCTGCTCAGACAGGTACGTACCGGTACATCTCGACCGAAAGCACCTCGACTCGCACTTCGACGCTCCGCATCGAGTCCGGCATGGCGCCGCTCTTCTGCTCTATTCAGCCGTAGACCGAGGAGTCGCAGCATATCCCACGAATGAGCTTGGCACATGGATATCGTCCGCTTTCTAGGATCTTTCGCATAAGCTGGCCGGGGTACTTTTCGGCCACCCCGCCAGCGCGTCTACGCTGTTGCTGAAGGTCTATCTCGTCACCGCCACCTACTCCAAATGGTCTCTCGTGAAGTTGCAATAGACAACGCTATCCGCGATCTTAATGCTGGTGTTTTTACAAGCCAGCGGAAGGCTGCCAAGGCCTATGGCGTCCCCCGATCATCGCTCCAAGCGCGCCTTGCCGGTCACCAACCTCACGCGATAGCTCATCAACACCAGCAACGATTGACTCCGCAGCAAGAGCACTTCTTAGCTCAATGGATTCTTGACGAGGACTCTCACACTCAACCACCTACACGCGCTCGCGTACGAGAAATGGCTACCCGAATCCTGCACATGAACAACGACTTCACGCCACTCGGCAACGAGTGGATCTCTCAGTTTTTATCACGACAACCACGCGTTACCTCTGTCGTCGGCCAATCGACTGCAGCTCCACGAGCTCAGGCAGCTAGCCCTGACGTTATACGCGCCTTCGTTGAGCTGTTTGAGCGTACGCGGATAGAGCTGGGCATACAATATGAAGATGTGTGGAAAATGGATGAGACTGGAGTGGCACTAGGGGTACGTACAAACACCCAGGTGCTAGCAAGCTCTATAAAGAAGAAGGCTTACGTGAAGTCTCCAGAGGATCGTGAGTGGGTATCGATTATTGAGACAGTCTCAGCGACCGGATGAAAGCTACAACCGCTAGCAGTTTTCAACCACCATTCTCTACAAACCACCTGGTTTCCAGCACAAGGAGTCCCTCGTTGGCTCTAAACAACGTCAGAGAATGGGTGAACTCCAAATCAAATTGGCTACAAATGGCTACATCGTATTTTCATACCAAATACTTCACCAAGCACCGACGATATCGATTCCTCCTTCTCGATGGCCACGGCTCCCACACACCAACAGACTTCATGTGGCTTTGTAAGCAACCCAAGGTCCACCTACTCTACCTCCCACCTCACGCCTCACACCTGCTACAACCTCTTGATCTAGCTCCTTTCTCAGTACTCAAATCACGCTATCGTAACGAGATTCGAGCTCTGCCAGCCCTCGATGACGCAGCACCAACCAAGAAAAAGCGCTTTGTTACATCATACAACAGAGCAATAGAAGAAGGGTTACCAGAGCGAGTTATCCGAGCTGGTCGGACGGCTACTGGACTCTTGCCATACAATCCTGAGCTGGTACTTTAGTCATCGCAAGCACTAGGCCGTCCTAGTACCATTCCGCCAAAACCACAGGCTTTAGATGTATTTGAGACTATCTACAGTACTCCACAAAGCTCACAGGCACTGTACAAAACTCAGTAGATACTCCAGCAATCAGAATCTCTTTCATAGAGTACCCGGCTAGTGCTTAGCAAGGCAGGTAAGGCTATTACATGAGCAAATACTTGGGCAGCTCAGCTTGAAGCTGAAAACAAGCCACTACATTATCAACTCAGTCAATTCCAGAGTACTCAGTGGAGAAAGCGAGTCAGAGTTGATCAAAATGAGCGCGTCAGCAACATTGAAGCTATCAAAGCTGCTATTGATCAGGCTGTTGCTCAAGCTGCCGAAAATGCTAGCAAATCTCATACACAGGAAGCAAAAAAAAAGCTGCTGCTGCTACTGCGCTTCAATCTATGTGTACTCAGCGGCAAATATATACTCTATTGTTGGTAAAACTCGGCTTCAAAATCGGTGTTGGTGGCCAGTGTGGGTGGCCGAAAAGTACCCCTGGCCGAGAAGTACCCCCTGGTCAGCTTGCATCCACTTTCATTTACTCGTTTACCCGTTTACCGTGAAGATATAATACTAATTGACAGTATGCTTCAAAGGACACCGAGAACCTCCTGGATCGTTGCTGGTTCTCAAGATGGCCACGTTGGTTGCTCGCCTCTCAGCCTCATTATGTCTCGTGTCTCTTGTCTTAGCATCCGTCCCAAATCCACGCACAATCGACTCAGATCTAACGGTACTGACTCACAACGACCTTTACGGTAACAGCAGCCACAGACAAGCTTCAGCAATCGTCGTCAGCAAACGTCAATCACACTCGGCCGCGGCGTCGAGCTGTGCGGCTCTGGGAGAGAGCCTATGGTCCAACGAGCAACATTTGCAAGAGCTTGGGTTCTTGGAATACCTTCGATATGACAGTAAGACACAAAGTCAGGATCACTATTGGGTGGCAGGCACTGCACACACCAAATGTAGCGCCATCACTGCACGAGGCCGCACCCAACAGCTGCCGTGCGATACACCTCTGCCAGCTCTCTGTCAAAATTCTGCGGCACTGAGCTCATTGGAGTCAACAGACACTAGCAGTAAGTGGCAGACAGCAGTCACAACTGGCAATGCAACGGTCATAGGCTACCGCGATAAACACTCGTTCCGTTTCCAAGGTATCCAGTACGCTACTATACCCAGCCGCTTTTCACACTCCGTCTACCTTCCACCTGCTGGCTCGAACATCTCGGCACTCTCATACGGTCCACAATGCATACAGGGAAGCTGTAGTTCAGGTACGGCATCCTGCAGCGAAGATTGCCTGTACTTGAACATCTGGACGCCAGTCCTTCCCAGCGGCAAGAGCTCGAAGACTACAAAGAAGGCGGTACTCGTCTGGATTCATGGCGGGGGGTTTGTCAGTGGCTCTGGCAGCGACACAACGTTCGATGGTGGAGCAATGGCGTCTCGTGGTGATGTGGTCCTTGTCACAATCAACTATCGACTCGGCAACCTTGGCTTCCTAGCACTGGAGGGTACGTCTCTGACAGGCAACTACGGGCTCAAGGACCAAAACACTGCATTGGAATGGCTACGTGCGCATATAGGTGCGTTTGGTGGCGACAAGGACAGGATCACTGTATTTGGCCAGAGTGCCGGCGCAGCCTCTGTGCGAGCACTGCTTGCTTCGCCAGAAGCCCGTGACAAGTTTGCAGGTGCAATTACCCAGAGCACCCCTCAAGGCCTGAACTACGTTTCGACATTCTCGAAGTACCTGACCATCACGGAGGCTACCAACCGGACCAAATCACTCCTCGACGAGACTGGATGCGCCTCAAACAACAGTGCCACCGTCCTCACATGTCTACAGGCCGTCGACCCCCTCAACCTCACCACCGGCACCGTGGCCTCCTACCCAGTAGTCGACAACAAGTTCCTCACGACCTCCTCCCTCCCCCTCGGCCCCACAGCACCAAAACTCAACATCCCCCTCCTCTCAGGCATCATGCATGACGACGGCTCCCCCTTCACCAGCTACCCCAGCACCGCAAACATCACCGCCGTGCTCCTCAGTCAAAACCTCCCCTCCTTTATCGCCAACTCCCCCCTCTTCCCCCTCCCATCCGCACCCAACACCACAGAGTCCATCTTCAACCTCACGTCCCGCGTCGCAACAGACGCCATGTTCAGGTGCCTCGCGCAATCGACCGCCGCCACCGCAGCAAAGAACTCCGTCTTCAAAAACACGTACGCATATGAATTCGACCGCGCATTCCAGCTCCTGTCCTATAGTCCGAATCCGCCTGCGTGCGAAGCGCCACGCACGCCGGAGCATCCTTTTGGTGACCCCAGCTTGCCATATTACAAATGCCATTCGGGGGAGTTGTATTATGTTTTTGGCACGCTGGTTAGAGAGGGTGCAAGGATTAGGGATGATGATGATATTCGATTCTCGCAGTACGTTCTTGACAGTTGGACGAGTTTTGCGAGGACGGGGAGCCCAACTCCAGACCCGCGTCTCTTGGAGGCGCGGGGATTCACCAACACATCTGCTCTTGTGAGGGCAGCGGGTACATGGGCGCCAGTGGAGGAACGAGGAAACGGCAAAGAACTAAGGGTGCTGAATATTGGTGCGAGGAGTGAGGGATGGAGAGAAGTCGAGCAGTGTGAGGCGCTAGGCTTTGGGCTGGATTATTACGATGTCTGAGGTGCTCGTGTAGACCAGGTCTGTCCTCAGCGCCGCCTAGGCTAGCATTGCAGTCTCTGCCAACTTCACGCATATCATCCGTTGCATGTTCAGGAAACTCTTGGAACGAGGGTAGATAGGTTCAACAGATACGAGATAAATGCCTCATAAATTGTCATCGTCTCAACACCTTTTCGACTCTTTTAAAGCTCCCATCATATCTATAAGTTCCTTATACAACAGCACCTTTACACTTCCTTGCTAGCAGGTGCGATGTCACTGCTCGCTCTTGCCTCCTTATTCATCTTCTGCACACGGTTCCACTCCTCGCGCTCGGCCTGCTCTTCTTGTTCCTCTGCGGTAAACTCCGGAATGTCGTCCTCGATCTCCTCGGGCAGGATAAGGTTGAGAATGACGTTCACGAAAGCGACGACCGCGAAACCCGTCTCCAAGACGAGCTCGATGGCGTCGTAGAAGCCTGCGAGCGCGCGGTTCGGACCGCTGTACGTAAACACGTAGGAGAACCAAGTCGGCACCATCGTCGCGCCAAAGCCCAGCGTGAAGCCCGCAGTCAGGATAAAGCGGTTTCGGCGCGTCATGGGCGTGCGCGCGATAATCGCGATTCCGCTCACCACGACAGCGGAGAATAGGAACGTTGTCATACCGCCCAACACAGCCGGGGGGATAGCAACGAGCGCAGCAGCGAACTTGGCAAACACGCCCATGACGATGAGCCAGAAACAGCACGCATATCCCGCCTTACGATTCGCGCAGCGGGTCAGTGCGATAACGCCGTTGTTCTGCGCAAATGTACTCATAGGCGTTATCGTGCACAGCGCAGCAATAACCCCGTTGAGTCCGTCCGCCAGCACGCCGCCCTGGATCCTGCTATCGAAGAGCTCGCCATCCACAGCGAGACGGCTGACGTCGCAGGTCGCTGTGATGTCGCCGATGGCCTCCATCGCAAGCACCATATACACCGCCAGCAGCGGGAGCACAATCGGCCCATAGACGGAGAGCTTGAAAGTCTCGACCCAGATGAAGCTCGCGGCGGGTGCGGCGTCGATGCCAGAGCGGTCGAAGTACCCTGTGGCGCCCGCGATGATGCAGCCGACCAGCAGCCCGATGACGACGGCGGTAGATTTCATAATCGGTGCGCCGAAGCGCTCGCAGATGATGATGGTGATGAAGACGCTAAAGCCTAGACCTATAAACTCCGCACTTCCCCAGGGGAGAGCACGGGGCGCGTTGATAGTGGGACAGAGTCTGTAGATGCCGGATGTTGGACGGGTCTGGCATCCGCTGCTGCCGCCGGCCCAGTTCTGGAAGCCGGTGAGGATGAGCTTGACGCCAATGAGCATCACTGTTGGTCCAGTGACGAGCGGGGGGAAGATCTTCTTCAGCAGCCGCGGGGACGTGAAGGACATTGCGATTTCGAGGAGCGCGCAGCAGGCGCCGGTGCCGAGGATGGCGCCGTAGCCATTGGGGCAGGGGAGAGGGTTGCCTGAGGCGTCGGAGGGACACATGCCGTTGGCGTACATTTGGCCGAGGGCGCCGGTTGCGACGGGGATGGTGGCGAAGGAGGTTCCTACGACGGAGATTAGGCCTGTACCGACGTAGTAGGGTGTGCGCCAGATGTGGAATCTGAAGGTGTCAGTTGGGATGTGCAAATCGTGGGGATTGTGTTGACGTACCTGGTGATCTGGATGGCAGAGAGGATACCGCAGACAATAAGCGATGTCGACACGAGATAGCGTTGCTGATTTCCAGTCAAGTTAGCAGCATTGGCCAGAATGATTGGAGGCGTAATGACACCAGCCAGCATAGCAAGTGCGTGTTGAAACCCAAGGAGAAGAGCGAGAAACACGGGCATACGATCGTGAAGACCGAAGAAAGGTGCTGCACGGCGGGTCTTCTTCATGAACGGAAGGTTAGGCTTGAAGAGGAAGGCATAGTCGTAAGTTCCAATGAGCCCATCCCTGGACAATGGTCAGTCACTGATAATGCTACATGAATGATAGAAGTCGTACTTGGTTGTGCAAGCCTTTCCAAAACGCCTACACTTCTCTCCAAAGCTCCGCTTCGGTGCGTGGTCTGGTCCGATGCGGTCCGCCATTGCTAGTGATTTGACAGTGCAACTTGTCACTCTCTTTTTTTGTGAGGCGTGGAGCTCCTCAAGTAAGGTCAAGTTCGGAGTTGACTCGATCAATATTATGATTCGTCCGACGAAAGATTCGAGTGTTCACTCTTCGTGGAGGCTGCGGAGTCGGTTGATGTAGAGCTTGGAGATTGGAGCTATGAGGTCGATGGTGCTGATATCAAAGTTCGGTTACGCAAAGGTTGTGTCGCGTGGTGCGCTAGCGGCAGCTAGTTGATATGCTTATGCTGCAGTTCTGATATTGCGGGGGAAAGACCTGCTGGAGTAACCGTGGCGAAGATCGGTGGCAGTGATCGTTATTCGTGGTAGCGGTAGAGGCGTGTCGATAGGCTGAAGGGTTGCGCTTGTACTTTATAACATATGACAATGGTAGATCGATATGTGCTTTATCTCTGAGGCAAAACCCACGATACACAATTGCCCGCCTCTGAGGATCTAGTTCGTGCGGAAAGCCACTCAGAATAGCCGCTGAATGGAGCAAGCCGGAACAGGTCGTAACCCGCCGACAATGCTGTATCTTTTCCACGGCAGACGGTTCGTTCATGTTGGTGTTCTTGATGGCTGAGGCGGCGCCCGCCTACGGTTGGTAAACTCTAAGATCATACTGATAGCAGCATGACGTGTGATTGGCTCAGGGTGAGCAACCAGCTTACCTCATTCTCGGTGCCGCCCGATAGCAGAGAGGGACTTCGACGATGAATCGCAAGATGCGAGGAGACCCCACGTCTGCTGGAGAAAGTTTTGGTGTTGGAAGATGTCAACGTGTGTTCGTCGCCGGATGCCGAGCAGTCACGGTGTTGTGCGGTACTTCGCAGTGTAGTGAACACAGCAACGTCCACAATATCGGAACTATTCTGAGCAGTCTCGCTCAGGCAATGCGGACACCGCAATGTCGTGGATCATGTTGATATCGCGATCGTCCGGCATCGGAAGGGGTGAAAGTATACCTGCCATGCCCCAGTACATGCCCATGGAAGCAGCTTCACAACAGTAAGTACCATTGAGTACAAGCTTCGACTTCTCCAACAGGGTTTTGGCTTCTCCTTCACGCTAAATGGAAACTGCTTGAGGCCAAGGATGATGTGAGTTCAATCAAATCTCGGGCCTGCACAGTACTGAACCAGCACGCCCACCACTAGGGCAACATCAGTAATGACTATTGCATATTGACGAAGTGAACGTTGTCGTGCAGCGAACATGCGTTCTGTTGACTGTGGGGTAAGGTCGTCTGCCAATGCTGGGGATGCGGGATTGAAGCAGAGACTCGAGCCAGAGACCACAAGGCGCAGAAATGGCGTCATGACGGTTGTGGTGGCTCGAGTCCTGTTACCGACATCAGTCTCATCAATGAGCATCGTTCATTCAGAAGCTGAAGACTGAGGTCTGCGAGGACATGGTGAGGGCATGGCTGCAGATAGCACCTTGGCTCAATACAAGGCTTGGACGCGGTCTGTCATCTGAAACCGAGGTGAGCGGTTTGCAATCATGATGTCGCGGTGCTGCCTGCGATCAGGTTGCAGCACCACTCAGCGTGATATCAAGAAGCATCTGTATGGCTGCAAACTGGCGATAGGGTTGGTGTTGAGAAAGACGCAAACCTGACTATACTGTATTTGGAACAAGTTGCGAGGCGCGAAGAACCGGGATGCGGAACCGTGGAGTCGGCAACACAAGCCCTGCAGCATGGTGATACACTGTCGGCAAGAGTTGTTCCAGCAGTAAGACAGCACATTGCATTGACGGATATCGTGAGAGTGCAATTGAGTCTTGCAGGTCGCATCAATTACAAGCAGTGCTTCGATTGAGCATCAGGATGCAAGATGTCAGACTGCATGCCGTCGGTAAGCTGCAGGAGAGTGCCGCGGTAGCGTCTTCGCGATATCAACAGCCGCTTCAACGACGCTTGGGTGGCACACCTTGACGATTTTGCCACCTGTCATTGGTGACGGTTCAAGCGGGGCCCTGAGGTCGAAAAGAGACCGGCTAGCGATGACGAAGCCCAGTGGCCTCACAACGGCGTGAGGTTTGCTATGCTCCGGAGCGGCAATTCTCTGCAGGCTGGCCGAGACGCGTTTGTGACAAACAGACCGCTCTTTTGCATATGCTTCATAGTTTGCTCGACAACTGCTTGAGGACGCTCGCCGGACTGGGCACGCTGAAACACGATGTCTCTGCCGTGGTGATGCCGTGAGGCTGCCGATGGCGAATTTCGAAATGGAGCGAGCCTTCGAGAATCTGGGGAACCGTACCATCTCCGAGAGCTGCAAGGCTTGCGAACACGGAAAACGCCACCCTTTCGATCTCGACACCGAGATCAGCGCGTTTCTGCTGTCTTTCTGCGGCAACGATCTGCCGCTCGCACAAATTCTTTTCGCACCGTTACTGGCGCGCGGCGTCTGCTTGCCCGTGCTAGACCCTGGCTAGCAAATGACTGGCTACGCTAGGCCGCCGATGACAAAAATTACGGCCATGGCAGGTCTCGAAGGGTTTTTGGTGGAGCGATGCAAGGTCCCGGTTTATTCGCTTAGCGTGCAGTGCGTTGGGGATTCAACAGATAGTGCTTTCCATTCCACCGCTGCTCGCTATAATATCTGGCTGCCCCTGCCCTGTTTCTCTTTCCTCATCCTCTCCCGCTCCTGCCTCTCTTACCTGACCCCTCTTCTTGAGTGTGGCATACCTTCGCTACTGGAGCCCTTAGCTGTGTGCTTCCTGGAGACCGATCGGAGCTCAAGAATTCTTTGAGCCCCTACACCCTGCGAGTACCGCTCTTGCAATCAACCCACCGATATCCTCGCATCCTCTCTCCACCGTCATCATGCCCTCCTCCCAGGCTGTCTCTGGCGACCTCGCCATCAAGCCCGAGTTCGTTGATCAAAAGTCGCCCATGGCTTCGACCAGCGAACCCAACCGCAACCCCAAGTACGACCCGAAGAAGCCACACATCACCGACCAGCCCATCACAAAGGCCAACTGGTATAAGCACGTCAACTGGCTTAACGTACGTTCTTCGCAAACCTCAATGCTGCAGCGAGCAATTGCTAACATCGTCATCAGGTCGTCTTCATCATCGGCGTCCCGCTCGCTGGCTGTGTTGCCGCTTTCTGGACCCCGTTGAAGTGGCAGACTGCTCTCTGGGCGGTCACCTACTACTTCTGGACCGGTCTCGGTATCACAGCTGGTTACCATCGTCTCTGGGCGCACAAGTCCTACAATGCCACGCTGCCTCTGTCTATCTTCCTCGCCGCTGTTGGTGGCGGTGCTGTCGAGGGCTCCATCCGCTGGTGGAGCCGTGACCACCGTGCTCACCACCGCTACACCGACACCAACAAGGACCCCTACTCCGTCCGCAAGGGTCTCCTGTACTCCCACTTTGGCTGGATGATCATGAAGCAGAACCCCAAGCGCATTGGCCGCACCGACATCACCGACTTGAACGAGGACCCCATCGTCGTCTGGCAGCACAAGCACTACATCAAGGTTGTCATCATCATGGGCTTGATCTTCCCCTCTGCCGTCGCTGGTCTTCTCTGGGACGACTGGAAGGGTGGATTCATCTACGCCGGTATCCTCCGCATCTTCTTCGTCCAGCAGGCCACCTTCTGCGTCAACTCGCTTGCCCACTGGCTCGGTGACCAGCCCTTCGATGACCGCAACTCGCCCCGTGACCACGTCATCACCGCTCTCGTCACCCTCGGTGAGGGCTACCACAACTTCCACCATGAGTTCCCCTCCGACTACCGCAACGCCATTGAGTGGCACCAGTACGACCCCACCAAGTGGTCCATCTGGCTGTGGTCCAAGCTTGGCCTTGCCTCGAACCTGAAGCAATTCCGCGCCAACGAGATCGAAAAGGGCCGTGTCCAGCAGCTCCAGAAGAAGATCGACCAGACGCGCTCCAAGCTCGACTGGGGTGTTCCTCTTGAGCAGCTGCCCGTCATTGAGTGGGACGACTACGTTGAGCAGGCCAAGAACGGCCGCGGTCTCATCGCCGTCGCCGGTGTTGTTCACGACGTCACCGACTTCATCGCTGAGCACCCCGGTGGTAAGACCCTCATCAAGAGTGGTATTGGCAAGGACGCCACTGCCATGTTCAACGGTGGCGTCTACTTCCACTCCAACGCTGCCCACAACCTTCTCTCAACCATGCGTGTTGGTGTCATCCGCGGTGGCTGCGAGGTTGAGATCTGGAAGCGTGCCCAGATGGAGAACAAGGACGGCGTCATCGCCAAGGATGCCCATGGCAACCCCATCGTCAGGGCTGGCGACCAAGTTACAAAGGTGGCTCAGCCTGCTGTCAGCGCGAGCGCAGCATGAGCGAGTGTGTATATCAATTTGAGCGAAGCGATATCCGGAGTTGGGGTTGTTTATTTCAATCATCGGGCATAGTAATTTCACTTCCCAGCGTTCGCTAGAGAGTATCATAGAAGTGATGCTCTACCATTAGACGGAGTATGATTACAGTCTCATTATGAGTGCAACGGCCTGCAAAAAGTCTATCGGCATAGCCCGATAAATGATAACTACTATGACTTCAGATGTTTCTCGCCTTGATTGTGACGTATCTCTCGCAGCTGCCTTCTCACAACGCTTGGCCCGTGCTCACTCCAACAATAACGCACGACCGCTGCTCTTCACTACTCACACTCCAATGTTTTGCTTCGGGCACCTGATGTCGCAAATATCTCCTTCGCTGTCTGCTTCTGACATTCATCTGTTACAATGACGCTATCAAACGGGAGTAACGTTCCACCCGCAAAGCGGCGCAAGCTGGACACGGCAACTATAGGTGAGGCTGAGAGCACGAGTACGACTCCCATGAGCTTGAACCAACCTGTCAGCCCGCCCGTATCAAGACGAAAGACACCAATACCAGCTTCATCTTCGTTGCTTGCACCTGCGCCGACTTGGAGTTTCGATGACGTACCTAAACCAACACTGACATTTCCACCCTCGCAACCATCCCCACGGCACAAGCAGGCCAATCAAAGTGCTGCAAGCAGCAGCGAGGCATCGAAGCAAGAGAATGTTGATGCAGTCGCTGGGAGCAATATCAGGCGTATTGCTTCGCCGCTTCAACTCACCAGGATTCGAGATCTGGCGCCTCATCAGAATGTTGATACTGTGGAGTTGAAGAACATCTTGGGTGATCCCATGATCAAAGAGTGTTGGAACTTCAACTTCTTGTTTGATCTCGACTTTGTGATGTAAGTACATTCTCATTTCACGTCTAGCAAGAGGATGCTATTTTGGCGGCTGGACTGATCACTGTGCAGGCAGCAATTTGATGAAGATGTTAGAGATTTGGTCAAGGTCAAAATCATACATGGCTTCTGGAGGCGAGACGATGAGCGGCGGATATATCTGATGGTACGTCTACACTTGCCCTCCTTTCGAGCACAAATGCTACCCATCGAAGTCAAATCGCCCGTATAGGGCGGGCGAACGCTAACTCCATGCAGGAGACAGCGGAGCAATATTCCAATGTTGAGCTTATCAGCGCATATCTTCCAGATCGATATGGAACACACCACTCGAAGATGCTTGTGCTCTTTCGACATGATGATTGTGCCCAGATCATCATCCACACTGCCAACATGATCTCGAAAGACTGGACAAATATGACACAGGCAGTGTGGCGGTCGCCCCTTCTTCCACTGTTGACATTCAATTCGATGCCGAATGGGCCACATACCGTCGGAAGCGGTGAGCGGTTTCAAGTCGACCTCCTCCGCTACTTGGGCAGATATGAGCATCGTCTGCGTAAGTTGAGTGAGCAACTAGCTATTTACGACTTCTCCACTGTCAAAGCCGCTTTCTTAAGTAGTACTCCATCCGGATCATCACGACAAGTCGTCAGCGAGGCGAATCCCACACAGCAGACTTCATTCGGCTGGCTTGGTCTGCAAGAGATACTGAGCGCGGTACCCATTGCAGCACAGAAGCATTCGAAAACACGACCGCATATCGTCCTCCAGGTTTCGTCGATCGCAACGCTGGGTGCTGCGCCAACATGGCTCTCGCACTTCCAATCTATGCTCTCACGCACTCGCACACCACGACAGTTTTCGAACAAGACAGAGCCCAAATTCAACGTTATTTTCCCTACGCCAGAAGAATTACGCACCTCCTTGGATGGTTATGAATCTGGTGCCTCAATACACACAAAGGTGCAATCTCCACAGCAGCAAAAGCAGTTACAATACCTCCTGCCTTTGTTCTGCCACTGGAAGCAACCGTCGTCGTCGATATCAGCTCCCTCAACAGGGCTGCGTAAAGAAGCACACCGAGGACCCGCAGCTCCACACATCAAGACATACATCCGCTTCACTGACGAGACGCATGAGAGCATCGACTGGGCGCTCCTTACGAGTGCCAACCTCAGCAAGCAGGCCTGGGGTGACGTTGCAGATAAGCAAGGTAAAATATGGATTCAGAGCTACGAAACAGGTGTACTGGTGTGGCCAGAACTCTTTGGCGAGCGTGAAAGCAAGGTCAGCATGGTACCGGTCTTTGGGAAAGACGCGCTACAGACCGAGGACGTTCCCACAGAACCGCTTCTGCAACGTGTGCAGGAGAGCTACGCGGACAACGGACATGGAAAAGATGATGAGACCGGGAACGAGAACGAGAACGAAGATGAGGAAATCGATGTACAGCCACGCCAGAGCGAGACAAAGCCGGAGAGCGATAAGGGCAAAGCACCTGTTCACAACCTTGTCAAGAAGCAGGTTGTGGTCGGCTTGCGCATGCCCTACGACCTACCACTCAGCTCGTACGCTGCAAAAGACATGCCTTGGTGCGCGACTCAGGAATACTCAGAACCGGACTGGAAAGGGCGCACATGGAAAGGCTTCCAGCCACGCTAGCTGGCCATCAACGATGTGACACTGTGTAATGGTGATTTGATCCGCCGGAGACCCCCAAGCTTATCGTAGTCAACCACGCAGAAGGCTTGCGGCTAAAAGAAGTCGTTTAGAAAAAGCGATTGACGTGCGAGAGAACATGCACAAGTAAGAGAGAACAAGTTCACTACATATACCCCCAAGAATCGCAAAACTAGCTATGATATAGAATACACGCAACCGTCAAGTACATCGCACTGAAAGCATCATTATCGTCAAGTTGCACCAAGCCACCGTATCGTATTTTGTCCCCAGATGTTCGTTGTTGCAGAGGTGTGTGGAGTGGAGGGAGTGGGTAGATCTATGTGTGGGTATCTACGAGCGGCCGTACGCCCGATCGACCTCCTTCTCGTACTGCTTCAAGATGCCCTTGCGGTTCAGCTTCTGCGCAGCGGTAGTAAGGCCCTGAAAGACTGCATTAGTACCATAACCCTCGGTATGCAATTCGTGGATACTTGACTTACGTTCTGCGGTGTCCACTCCTCATCAGCCAGCACAACGCCCTCGATCACCTCAAACCCAGCAAGTCCGCCCTTCTGCCCTACAGACTGCAGCTGCTTCAGCACAGCGTTGTTGATCTTCTCGTCGTGCACGAGCTCCTCAAGATGCTCGCCCGTGGCGCCCGTCTCAGCGGCCAGTTTCTTGAGCGCGGGCTCAGCGGGGACGATGATGGCGATGGGTTTCTGGCGGTCTTCGGCCGCGTAGACGCAGATGTTCTGCACGATCGAGGCGCTGCGGTACACGGACTCGAGCTTCTCGAGCGCAATATATTCGCCGGCCAGCGTCTTGACGAGGTTCTTCTTGCGGTCAATGATGCGGATCTGGCCCTGGGCGTCGAACTCGCCAATGTCGCCTGTCTTGAACCAGCCATCGTCGGTGAAGGACTCGGCGGTTTCTTCCGGCATGTTGAGGTATCCCGACACGACGCTGCCGCCGCGGATCCAGATCTCGCCCTGCGGGGGCTTGTTGGTGGAGTAGTATCCTGCGTCCGCGAAGTCGACGAGCTTCATTTCGACGGACGCGGGCATTTCGCCGAGCGCCGAGTCGGTCCAGGCGAGCGGGTCCATGAGCGCACCCATGCCGCATGTTTCGGTGAGACCGTAGCCGGAGATCATGGGGGTGATTGCGAGGGAGATGAAGCGCTGGGTTTCCTTTGCGATGGGGCCGCCGCCGTTCATGCAGATGCGCAGTCTGCCGCCCGTGGCCTCCTTGACCTTGTTGAACACGATTGCGTCGAGGATGCCGGAGCCGGGCAGGCCCGAGCTGAGCAGGAAGCCCTTTGCGGCGTAGGCGCCCCAGAACATCCTGCTCTTGACGGCGCCACCGGCTTCGACTTTGCTGATGATGCCCTTCTTGACTGTTTCCCAGACCTGGGGCACGCCGACCATGACGGTGGGCTTCAGCTCGCGGATGTCACCGGCGCAGTTGCGCACAGAGGTGTCGGAAAGTGTGCGGATGGTGCCGTAACCCATGGTTCCACCCCAGTACAGGACCGCGTTCTCGAACACGAACTCGAGGATGTGCGCCGCGGGGAGGTATGCGATGAGGACGTCACCAGGGCCAAGGTACTTGCCAACGATAGCATCGACACCAGCAACTGAGATTTGTTAGCGAAGCTCTGATAGATTCTCCCGGGAGGCTTGCCAGCAGCAACGACATTGCGGTGCTTGATCATGACACCCTTGGGAGTGCCAGTGGATCCAGAAGTGTACATGATACAGGCAAGGTCGTCGGCCTGGGGAGGGATAGGCTGGGCAGGGTTGTCGTTGCCGAGACTCAGCAGCTGGTCGAAGCTGAGGACCTTCAAGTGGGGATGCGCGCTGGTAAGGGCATCAATGTCCTTCTGCTTAGCATTGTTCTTGGTGCTGTAGACGACAACGCTGACCTCCTTGGTCTTCTTGAAGGGGTTTACGAGCTTGGGCAGCAGCTCAGGATCGGTGAACATGATCTTCGCGTGCGTCTGCTGCATGCTGTGCGTGAGGCCCTCTTCGCCGAGCGTGTCGTAAGCGGTGACAATGGCAAGCGACTGGGAGACGGCGCCGTGGGCGGATGCCAGCCACTGCATGCTCGTGGCGGCGAACAGGTGCAGGCGGTCGTGGGGTTTGTAGCCAAGGTGGGCGAGAGCAGATCCCACCGTCAGGGCCATCTTCTCGAACTCAACGAAGCTCTTGTAGCTGTAGGCGCTGAGCTCGAAGTACTGCCACTTCTTGTCCACCTCCTGCTCCTGGCCGTCGATCATCTTCTTGACCTTCTTCGTCTCCTCGTGGATGTTGACGACCTTGCGCGCACCGACGGCCTTTGCGTTGCCAAACTTGGCGGCCGAGTAGCGCAGGACATCGTACAGTGTGTTGACGCCCTCCTGGGGCGTGTTCCTGAGGCCGTCCTTGGACACGAGGTTGCGGCGCGGTATCGTCTCGCCCTCGGGCTTCTCGACACCAGGCGCCTCGCATGTGTAGGGCCCGCTGCGCGTCGCCGTCGCCTGGGGCGCCAGCTTCTTGAGGTTTTGTCCAGCCATGACGGCAGGTGTGTTCTGTGTTGGGGGGGAGAGGAAAGTGTTGAGGGCTCTGGTGCAGGTGCAGGTGCAGGTGCAGAGCGGGGGGTATCACAGCAAGCAAAAAGAAGAAAACGAGCAGACCGGTCGTCGAGCTGCGCAGTAGCAGAGAGAAACGTGTCGCCAGCGGAGAGCAGCGGATGTGACGAGGAAAGCAAGAGCGCGGCGGGCGATAGTTGGAGCTTGCTGGCGAGCTTGAGCTGTCGCCGCCAAGCGAAACTGAGCAATGACCTCACACCAATGCTGGCCTGTGACGCGCGCCTGGACAGTGCGAAAGAACAAGTGGGAGAGCTCCACAGTAAAGTCTGCTCAGCGACTCTGGGCGTGCCTATTATACACTCGCCACGGACACCTCGCATCTCTCGCATCTCTCGCCATCAGCAGTGCAGAGCGACACATGTTCTTAGGCCAAGCTGTCGCTCGAGCCAAGACTTCAGGATCCTCCCCCCCAAAACATTTCGCTTGCCCGCGCCGCCTCCAGCCTCGGACAAACACCCGCCTGGGCCCTCATTCGCCAAGGCCTCCTGCATCCTCCCACCCATGTCCCTTTCCAGCACTCTGGGGGTGGAACCCATCACAGACCCTGAGGAAGGTCCGTAGTCCCACGCAGTTCCTCGGTAACCCGCATTGCCACAACCTCGCGATTCGTTGTCATCAGCAGGGGCTTATTGTGTAGCGTAGAAGCCTTTGTAATCTTCTCGCAAGAGATCCCCTCAAGAAGTTTAGGCTTCATCGATGCGCATGCGGAGACGCTGGAACTCAGCGTCGCCGGCTCAGATCTGGTCATGCAGCAGAGCAGAGGTCTGCTGACGAGCGATCGTAAGGCGGGGACCACGGGCGCAGGTACGTGAATGAACAGCCACAATAATGCCCCAGACTTGGCTGGGCTTGGTACATGGCTCCGGCACTCGTCTTGGTTGGGATGGTGTTGGACTGTCATCAGCTCAGAGGACTGTCATCGGTTCGCCATGGGTGCGGTGTTGATGATTGTCACGTTGAAGGTAGGTCACTGACCTTCACGCAGTGGTTTGGGCCGTCACGCCTCGCTTTGCTGAATGGATCGCCTCGCCCACCAACATCCTCTTCACATCTGGTCTATTGACATCCAACTCAACATGCATAGAACTTGGATCAGGCATCTCCGGCATCGTAGCACTTACGCTCGGCCCTAGAATCTCCCGTTTCACAGCAACAGATCAGGACTATGCTATGAGATTGCTGCGGAAAAACATTGCTGAGAACCTTGATGCTGTTTTTCCTGCGGCTAAGAAGGGAGGGAGAAGCAAGCAGAAGTCGCAGCCATCAAATTCGAGCAGTGACCGAATCAAGGCCGAGATCCTGGACTGGGAAGAGGACTCGGTTGAGCAGTTGCAGCCCGTCGACCTTATCGTTGCATGCGATTGCATATACAACGAAGCCCTCATCGAGCCATTAAACACAACGTGCGCATCAATATGCAAGCTCAACACTGACGTCACGAAGCCTACGCTGTGCGTTGTAGCGCAGCAACTGCGCTCGCCAGACGTCTTCGAAGCATGGCTCAAGAGCTTCCATCGCTTGTTCCATACATGGCAGGTGCCAGATTGGTATCTAACTGAGGGACTGAGGGAGAATAGTGGGTTTGTGGTGCATGTTGGGATTGTGCGGTGACGTGGACATTGCCCGTGAAGGTTTTGGTACTTCGACAAGAATAAAGGGTGCTGTTTACATCTTCTGCGGCACAGAAACAACACATTCGGAGAACGTATCGCCATTTTGAGGATTGAGAATCACTGATAAGTAGCTTGTACAAAGTCCAGAACTAGTTGAAGTTCAAGCATTTCGCAGCCGTCCAGACATGACAGTGCATAGCTCGTCTTTCTAGCAGCGAGCCAGCACAACATGCCAAATATCTTGGTATGCTTTTCCACAAGGAGATTGAGCTGTGAGGTTTGATGAGAAGAGGTGCTACATCTTTGTGGAGCTGTTACGCCCCAGTGCCAGTTAACACCCTCCGGCAGCTGCCGAACATCGTTTTCAGCATATGTGAACTCTGGGAGAGCCGTAGAGACTTGGCATCCTCCTTGAAGGGCTTTATTCCATTCAGCATATTACGACTGAGTAAAGCAAGGGGAGAACACAACCATGGCAGCCTCGTCCGTGCGTTTGTCGGAGGACATCGAGCTGATTATCACGGACTTTGGAGTCATTCAAGGTCAAACAGGTAAGTGTCTACGCATACCGCAGCGGTACCATGTTTTTCAGAGCAGAGGAGGCAGCGCAACATAGCGACGCGCCCACGCCTTGCTGATAATGGAGGGAGGAGTTGTGGTGGAAGAAAGCTCCCGCGTGTGAGGATGACTTTATACTCCAGTGCCGCGCAAGATTCTCATCTCAGTGCTGTACACATTTTCGACGTGTGTGTATCTTGAGAGAAGCTCGACAGACATGACGTCCTCAAAGAGTTTTGTTTCTTTTGGCGTGAGTAAAGCGGAGTTCACCGCAGAGAAATTATTCATTCAACGATCTCAGCGTCTTTTAAAGGAGAATATGATGAATGATCAAGACCTTTTAGGAATAGATCAAGTGTGCAGGCGCAGTTCTCCAGAGATGTGGTGCCCTGAACATAAATTGGGAGCAGAGGAGTCGGCACGTCATGCGGGCTGGGCTACTGTTTTTTGATCAAGCAGAAAAGACATTACGGTAAGAGGGGGGAAGTGCCTCTTGAGTGGATTTGTAGTCTAGTGCTTTTGAGAGGGTTCGAACGTTGCCGAACATTGAGATAGCCGCTTTAGATTTGCAGAAGCAGAAGAGCGGGACAGACATGGGTTGCCTCTTGACCACTTTCGTTTAACAGATGGATAAGAGAGAGAGAGAGTCTTCAAGACAACACGTCCATACAACAGTCGCCCCACGGTTTCTGGAGATCATGAAGCAGGTGTTCCCTTTTCCATGTCAGATGGAATGTTCACACGCATGCGTCCACACAGTTGCCGAACCCTTGGGCATGTGATTCGGTCGTTTTCATCTGCGAGCGAGCTGGGCCGTAACCTATTTTCCCACGGGGACGTCTTTCGCACACGTGGTGCGAGCAGGCGTTTTGGGAGGACAGAGTCACAGACTGAACATGTTTCTGTTTCCGAAGCACAGAAAGGCAAAGCCATGAGGAATAGGTTCATAATCTTGAGTGGCTTCTTTCAGAACATAGCTCTGCCCATATGTCGATTATTGGTGGAAAGCCAGCAAACATTGATTGTGGTTTCGTATTTTTCGAAAACGCGGGGGGAAACCGTGCGGAGAGAAGTGTTTTGCAGTGGCAGTGGCCATTACATCCCTCATTCGGCCAGAGGGAAAGTCATGACATGCTGAGCGATCCTCTTCTAATCGACAAAGGTTGAGACCTACGCAAAAAGGGTCCCATGAATGCGAACTATGTATTCTTCTCGAAGAGAGGTGTCAGACACATATGGCTGAATGATAGCGTCTTTTGAACGAGAGAGCCGGGCGACCATGGATAGCCCTTGGACTTCTTTTTGGTGGTAGGAAGGTCTTCATCGCGGTGTGTGCTTCGCAGAATCAAAAGCAGCCTTGAGATGTTGTAATGCTCAAGAAGCCAAATCATACGGTGCCGTCTTCATCTTTTCGATGGAAAGGCCGCGAAGCCAGGAAGGTCTCCAGAGCAGTCTTCGAGTAGACCGTTTTTTGAATACATTGCGTTTGAGTGCAGAGCATCGAGGTCTCCAGTTCCTGGTTTCAAAGGAACGGAATGTCCATGTACGAGCGACGCATGATGACTACAAAACAATTCGGGAATTTCTTCTCATTTTCCATTCGGAAGATGCAGCTAGAAGACTTTTAAGCTCAAGAGGTCTTCGAACGCGTCAATTTTGGAACATGGCCTTGCTGAAAGTTGGTTTTGCGATGCTCACAAGTCGATGACAAGAGCTTTGATAGAAGGCAGACAGATATATATCTCAGTCTCAGGAATTCTTGATATATCTGAACTTTGGTGTGGGCAAAGAAACGTAGAGAGGCATTGAGCTACTGAGATGCATGGAGTCAGAGGTTCATCCTGCTCTTTGAACCTGAAAGACTTTTGCATCCATTCGGAAGAAGAGAAACTGGACAGGAAATAAATCAAGTCTGGTCGACTTTCGAAATTGGCAATGATTATTATGATGAGGCATTAGTTCAAGTAGAAACGGCCAATCTGAGCTTGAAGGAGGTGGAAGAAATAACAGGAACTTATATACGTCCGAAGACCTTAACGAAGACGAAGTGCGATCACATGCAAGCTAATACTGTAAGTTTTGACTCGATGAAAGACTGCCTGTGACACGCAAACAACGGAGAAAATCGATGACTGTCAACGCACTCTCAGATCAAAATCGAAACCGCAGTCACCTCCGGCTGCAACACCTTATACTCAACCGTCCCCTCTGTCTGCCTGTCACTCACATGGGTAAAGACCCCATCAAGCTCCTTCAGTCTGCTGTAAAACAGCGCAGCAGCCTCCTTGATAGTCCTCGAGCCCCACTCCTTGTTCTCATCATCTGTCCTGCTCTTGTTGACATTGTACAGTGACTTGGCGTACGTGATCAAGTTGTACCTATTGTCTACTTTGAAGCTGAGAAGTTCGGGTAGCTGCGCGGCGAGCAACCAGTCCTTCCACTTTAGACTTCCGGAGCCGATGGGGAGGGCGGCGGTTAGGTCAGCCTCGGTGTACTTTTGCAGTGTTGTGAGGTCCTTGGGGAGAGGTAAGCAGAGCGCAGGAGGCTTGGCTGGGACGAAGCTGTAGTAGTAGTCTTGGAGGTAGTTGACTGCCGTGTGTTGGGGCGAGGCGGTGTGGATGCACATCGTGACTGCATCCACGAGCTGGTCCACAGTGGTGATAGTTGGAAATGTGGGAATCTGACCCATAGTCTGGATTTCCTTGCACCAGACTGGGATGTATTGGTCTTTCTGGACGTCGCTGTCGGATTTGTACTTCGTGCCTAGTATCGACTTGACAAAGTCGTGGATCACGCCCCAGAGCAGGTACATGTCGGTTGCGTAAGGGTAGTTGCGGTACTTCTCTGTTGTCAAAGCCTCTACGTCGAAGCCTCGTTTCTTGAGGTCATTGGGAATGTACTTGTCTTGGAAGTTGAAGTGCTTGTACGAGTAGTTGACAAGTGCCATTACACGGCTTGTCTTGGGATCGATCGATGGCCCGAAGCCAGCGAGTCTAGCTATGACAGCCGGTACCAAGACATCGCGGGCAGCTTTGTTCAATGCCAGAGTTCTGAACCAATGGGGGCTCAGCGTCTCGTACAGGATATGGTTCTCGGGTATTGTCCGGTTGGTGGCTACGATGATTGCTTCCTCCACCATGTGCGTATCGACAAGGTGTGTTGCTACTTCGTGCCTCGCCCAGTCCGCAGTCTGAGCGCAAGTTTTGGCGTATCTCCAGGCCCAGTCATCCTTCTCGTCAACATCGCTCTTATCATTCGGTGCCAAACGGCGATTGAAGATAGTAATGGACTTGCTCAGACTGCCCTTGTGGTCGATTGTGATGGCCAGGGGATGCAATCGACCGTCGCAGTGAAGCTGAAAAATCACAACAGGCGCGCAAGCAAATCGCAATGCCGTGTTTCCGGTTGGCTTTCCATCAACCAACTCTGGCACGACATTCCGGAATTCCTCCTCATCATTCAAGCCAGTAGCTTCGCGGAAGTACGAGTAATCTTGGATGAGCAAGTCTTTGCCCTCCGAGAGTATCTTCTTCATACCATCGAGCCCCTGTCTGCCAGCTTCCGCGATGTAGGCTTCCACCTTCTCAATGCTAGCCTTTTCGATGGTTGACGGATTGACTCCAGACAGATGTTGTTGAGCGAAACAAGCATCGGAGTACCAGTCAGCCTTGTTGCCGACGTTCTCGCCATTCATGATGTCAGTCTTCTGGCTCGGATGCTCTCGGTTGTACTTCTCGCAGTCCGCAAGTGTTGGTCCTTCAAACGGTGTGCCTGTTTTGATAACGTCGTCGGGTATGATAAAAGACATTGCCTTCGCAATGAGGGAGACAAACCCAAGCTTCTTGGTGTCAAAGATGTTGCCAACTCCCGGCGCTCCATTGTCTTGCTCTGGCGGCACTGTGTTTAGGTGGGGGGGATAACCGTCCTCAGAGGGCTTGCTCCACTTGTATATGTCTTTCTTCTGGGGGAGATCTCTCTTTTTGGGGATAATGGGCTCGAAGCCCTGCGTATCGAAATGCGAAACAGCTCTGAGATGAGGTCAGTGTGTCGTTTTACCGGTACGCAAGGAACATCTTACGCCTCCTCAACCAAGCTATAGATCTCTGTCAATGCCAGTCGTGTGCCTTTGTAGGTCCCCTGCCTGAGTCCTCTGGTAGCAGCAAGACTGCCATCAACAGTACCGGGGTCGCTGGTTTTGAGAACAATGCCTTGCTTCAAGAGTTCGTTGATGAAGATGCCTTTATCCCATACGGTCATGTCGTCTTCTTCCACATCATATGTGATATCTCTTCTCAAAATGTCACCCAGCCTCGGTAAGGGGCCGAAGCCATTGGTCAGAGATTCAGCAACAATAGACATTGTAGAAAGAAGATATTAGTGGTAAAGAAACGAAAACCAGGGTAGTGAGTGAGAGGAATCTTCGACGAATTTGTGAACTTATGAACTCTGCAGTTGCTCTTTGCAATATCGATCTTACAAGGCTGGCGATGTTGGATCGCCAGATTGGGTCCACTACCAAGTAGATTGCATATACCTAGCCCTCGGCTTGACCGTGGCTGCCCTGAAGGTAGTCAGAAGACAGTTTCTAGATGCGGTGAAAAGCACAGCTCCGCCACATAATCGCGAATTCGATGCGAACTATACGATGCAAGCGGACATGTAACCCTGTTCGGTTGGCGCATGCGAGCTGATGCACAGCTCTCAGATCCGGGCCTCAAGGCTGACTGTTCAACCGGGTGTACAGCAAACTCAGGTCTAGTATAGTACGCTTACTGTCAGCCTTCAAAGAAACACACCGACTGGATGTGACTTTCTTCGGAGGCTCAGCCATGTTGACCAGGACAGATTCATAGAGTCCGCATGAAGAAATCTGCGTGCGTCAATAGTTAGAAATTGAAGTTACCGCACGCCGTAAGACGAACGGCTCTGTCGGCTTTGAAGGACACCACAGGCTGTCAGTTGCCTACTGCGCATTGTGATTGAGCTGAGAGACCAGGCTGCAGCGGCCCCCGGAATATGAGAACAATGAAATGCCCGGTTGTGGCTGGCTGCTGACATCTTGCCTGCATAAACTTATCGCTTGCAGACCGTTTGCAGTATGCGCACTTTCAGTGCAGGAAGTTAAGCGAGGCTATAGAGGACAGCGTGAAGCCCGTCGTCGTGTGGTTGTGGATGAGTAGTCGGTGGCTGGCTGCAAATGCGATGCGAGTAACGTTATGTTGTGGGGCAAGCGGCAGAACCGGCGGCCCGCAACGGACAACACCTGGCTGATGAACGCCTCAGCTACAACGCGCTCCATGTCCAATCACGCCAAGCTGAAGGTCAGCACACCGTTGATACTCAATACGGATGTTACTACTGCCTGCAACAATGGGTCTTCACCGCCCATACCAGACAGACAATGCAAAGTCGTCGAAATGCACCAGTCAGCCTCAATGGTGTAACGACAACTGGGGTCCGCTAACTGGTCGCCACGGACTATTTTCCTATGTCAGCCAACGATACTCTGTGCTTGTGTCGCTCTGTGCATCCCAGCATTATGGCTATGTCAAAGAGAAGGGGCAGCACGCTCAAGGATCATGCGCTCAGCCCGTCTGACTAGCCTTGAGCTAACAGTGACACCCTAAATCCAATCTTGACCTCCTTGTTGCTCACAAATAGATATACCATACTTAATCTCAAGACAGACGTTGGATTGTTGACTTACTCCAGCTACTCGACATTGCTCAAAATGCCTGACCAAACCAACAATTCTACCAACGGTGCTGCCAGTGGCGCAGCACACACCCGTGACACACTTCCAAAGGAATTGGTTGACGAGATGCAGAGGCTGTTTGGCAAACATGCAGGCTATCGGACAAGTATGCTGGCTTAAAGCTGAGGTTGAATTTTGCTAATCTCTCCAAGCTCACGCCAAAGGTCTCCTCGTAGAAGGAACATTCACACCAACTGAGCACGCCAAAACCCTCTCGATAGCTTCCCATTTTAACCAAGCCTCGACTCCTATTATAGCACGCTTCTCCGTCGGCGGCGGCATACCTCACATCCCAGATGTAGACGACGGTGCCACCCCAAAAGGCCTCGCTGTTCGCTTCCTGATCGACGAGCACACACACACTGACTTGGTCAGCCACACCTTCAACGGCTTCGCAACTCGCACAGGCGAAGACTTCCTTTCCTTTCTCCAAGTCTTCCGTGCCTTTCAGACCACCAAAGCCGCGCTCGACAAAGCCAAAGCCGCAGGAGGCGACACTACCAAGGAAACAGCTGCATTCAAAGCAGCTGCCGGCCCCTTCCAAGCCTTCCTCGCCAGCCATCCCTCAGCAGCTACATTCGTCAATTCACCCAAGCCCAACCCCTTCAACTACGGCACCATCACCTACTACGAACCCAACACGCACGTCCTGACCAACGCGGACGGCAAAGTGACCAATGTCCGCTACCGCCTAGACCCCGCTGACGGCGAACATCTACACCCCAACGACTCAGCGCAATTGAAGAAGCTCGATCAAAGCTATCTCGAAGAAGACCTACACGAACGGTTTCCAGTGAAACCCATCGTCTTCACTATTCAAGCGCACATTGCTAACCCCGATGACGTGCTTGACGATGCAACGATCCCGTATAAGAGCACGACATTCGTACCAGCGGGCAAGTTGGTCATCAATAAGGTGAGCGATGACAATGTTGCGAAGCAACAGCAGATCGCGTTTAGTCCGACACCGGATCTGTGTGGGATCAAGGGTATTGCGATAAGCAAGGATCCGCTGATTCAGGCGAGGAAGGGAGTGTATTATATCAGTGCTGAGCAGAGGAGGCATGAGAAACAGGTAGAGTAGCCTTGTAGTATGGGTAGATATTATTGTTACAATGTCACCGAGGACCATCTTCTTGAGTTGTGAGTGTTAGTTCACCCTCGAGAGAGAAGCTCGCATGTTTATTAGGGTCTCCTTGCTATGACACTGTCCTTGAGGAACACTGTCTTCTACAACCATATCATATCCCTGCAACCGGTCGTCTCTCCTTTTCGCGCGATCTCTTTGATTGGTAGCAGCGAGAACATAGCTCTTAGATCACACAAAAACTCACGTGCAGCGGCTATCAGTCCTTCCATTTACCACAAGCCTGGATGTCTTCATCCAATACCAGACAGCGGCCTGAATGTCAACAGAATGTACTGCAATCCTTCTCCTTTTACGTGTAAGCCTGTAAGACTCAAGCAAATCTGCTCTGAGAATCCCTCGAATCGTTGAGAGTTGCGCATTTGTGCCTCACAATTTTTGCAAAACACGTATGTAGCTAGTGTTGATGTGCAATGTGATCAGCGATATTTGGCCCTGCTATAATACAGTTGAGTCTGCATATCGGTGAGTTGCAGAAGATACTGACCCCCCGGTTTTTCCGAGTACAATCAGTCCCTACACAACATTGTTGTCCTCAAGGCTGATATTAGTATTAATGTGATCGCAATAGCATGCTGGATCTGATAGTTGGAGGCATGGTGTGCTTGGATTCCAGTGTTGTGATAGGAGAGAGTAGGCAATGTGTAGTGGTGACAGCAAGATGGTAGAGGTGGTAGCAATGATACTATGTATGATGACAGGCTTGGCGAGATTACAAGCTGTGAGTGGTGGTGAAGGTATGGGTCAGGGTCTAGCACCCACATATATACCCCTCTAGTGCCCCCGGTCATCTCTTACTCCCGAAAGTCCTACTTAGTGTATGTAGTAACCAGAAAAACAGGGGGGTCAGGATCTTTGCAAGTCATAATATCGATTCTCAGTCTCATCCCGGAGATTGTACCCCGTGCTTCGATTGTGGTCGCGAGCTCCAGCCATGTTGGGCTCGAGGGACGACGCGAATCTTGCTCTTTGAATGGTCAAGGTGCCCTTCTTGAGCTCATTGAGGTAGCGCAGCGCTACGATTGCGTTTCGGCGAAGGTATACATGTTTCTTGCTATGGACCTCACGTATCTTGTTCGAAAACAATGTCAAGTCAAACACGGAAGTCGAAGTTCATACGAAATCATGAGTCGAAGCATATTCTTGCGTCTTGGAGGGCAATGTGAAGGGTGTGAGCCAGGCAGACAAGAGCATAGGAGATTGGAAGTCTCTCTTTGGTGCATCATGGCAATGCATATAGTATATGCGGAAAATAACGTATGATTTGACCGTACGTGTAGCGGTCAGACGGCTATTAGATGAGTGCATGCCATGAGAGAGGTCGATGTCTGAGGTTCACAGTAGCTGTTGTTTAGTGCGAACTCAGTCTTATTGTCAGTGTTAGCAGTAGAGATGAGTCCATATTGTGGACAGTCTGTACATGTCAAAGGATTGACGATGTAGTACGGTATACACGAGCATGCTATCGGTGGTATAGACAGCTGACATACACATACGGTGAGCAATTTTGCATGTGAGAAGCCAAGTTCAGCGCTCGAACCTATCTCGAAAAGGTGAATGATAAAATGGTAGCTGTTGGTTGGACTGTCAACGTCGGAGGAAAGTTGCAAAACTCGAGCACAAGGGTGAGCGAGCACTTCGCTTCAATGCCTATCTCCCGCGGAGTTCGCTGCCGGTCCGGACCGTTAGGATCCAGCTCCAGATCCTGGGGAAATTCGACGATATGAAGCGAGGGAACACCTGACCGGTGGAGTGCTAGGAATTGCATCCTAGTCATGTTAGTGCCATGGATGGAAGGTGATGCTATCTTAGTATCACCGTAAGCAGATCTTGTGGGACCGTTGGCCGAAGCGTAGAATTGCGATTCATAGTGGACGAGATATCCCTGGTGATGATCGAGCTGAGTTGTGAACGGCGACGTTCGAACGGCGACGAAAACGGTCAGGGAGTTGTGGAGTGCCAAAGATCTTGGTGCTCAGCGATGATTGCACCGGGCAAAAATCCCAAAGTTTACGGAAGCTTCCGTGAGTTCGTACGGCTAAGTTCAGACGTAAAAAGGACGCATGCAGCTAGTGATTGTAGGTCAGATTCAGCAAATGGTCTGGAGACAGTTTGCTTGGATATCAGTAATCAAGCCCTCAACTCAAGCTTCTTCTTGGTATTCTCCAGCCTTCAAGAGTGGCAAAACCTTGTGTTCTTGAGTTGCGAGAGGTCTTGAGCGTAATTTAGTAGGTTGTCTTGTCGTGACACCTGGGATCATGCATGCTATTGATTGGGCCACAGCCGCAAACAGTAGCGAGAGGCCTTACAGGAGCGGCATCTGGACTAGTTGGATTAGGTGCAGGTGTAAGTAAGATTTGTCTGGTACGTGGGTAAGCGAAAACAGACAAATGGTAGATATAGTGGCTTCCCCCGGTGCTCAGGCGCAGGGTTTCGATACTTCATTTTCTGTGATTGCCGATTTTTTTGTGCTCTCAAACAGCTTGCAAGGCTGAATTTGAGTTTCCAAACATCAAAGAGCAGGCTGATCCCTTTGACCCCCAATTCATCCTCAAAGTAAATGCACGTGCCGTTCGCATTACCTGACAGGAACGGCTAGACGCCACGTGAGGAAGCCATAACAACGGGACTTGGCTCTGCAGCTAATGACGGGTGTGGATCTCTATTAGCGCTTTTTTGAGATCAAGCTTCCGATGGCCAGCGCGTACTCGCTTGTTTATGCTGGTTTGGGCAATGGTTTTGCTCGCGCGTCGCCGTCCGCCAGATGCACAGTGCAGGCCGTCTCTCGTGGAAGCCACAGCTCCAGAGTTATTGACCCCTGTCTGCCATGACCAGAGTAGAGGGAAGGATGCAGGCTTCGTGAGGGTCTGCACATTGCTTTTCGGAATTGTCCGTGGATGTGCATGTGCAATCTCGTCGCAGCATTCCGGCCGTGATCGGGACCCATCCATAGCGGTTTCGGACACATTGCATGTTCATTTCTTGAGATCCGTTTGTCTTGGATTTTGGGGGTGTCGTTTTGGCTTGCGGATGACATCCGCGCTTGGATGTTACCGAGAGGTTGGGTACGTGGACGGAAGCTGACTTGGTTCTTGTTTAGGGAGCTAAAAGGTACATGCGCCACCAGTTAGATGCAGTATCGCGGGACCGGAATATTGCGATGTACTCTCGACGATGCGTTGACGCCTGACCATATTTGCGAGGGTGGTAATTATCCTCGAGTGATGCTCTGGTCGAACTTGGTCGAAGCAGACGCGTGTCAATGGTCATCCACGGGACAGCATTTAACCGCTGTAGGATAGTGCACGATAGTGCACGGCGACCTTGAGGTGTGGGGAAATACCGGCCGTACCGGTCAAGACTGATGGCAGATGACCCAACGGCGACTAGAAGGTACTTTGACAATGTCGTTTGCTAGTCACGCCATTTGAATAAACGGACAGTTGCTGAAAGGCAATCGTCATTCGACCTGAATGTATTGTCCTGGGTAACTGGGTTCTGGTGATAGTGTCAGTCGCGTTGCGGTGAGATGAAAGCGGCTGCATCTCCGTCATTAGCGAGGTAGATCGCTCGTGTTCCAGCGAAACAGACAAGATTATGTATCTACACCTATTTGGTAGTTAATCGTGATGGAAGAGGCACCTCTGGGTTGATGTCCCGGACGATCACTGGCGCTTTGCTGCCTTGCTGCCTTGCTGCCTTGCTGCCTTGCTGCCGTAGCAGCCCGTCATCTTGCTCGGCTTTGATAATGTTTCTGACAAGAAGGCCAGTAAGCTGCGCCGTACGTGCATTCCGCTGCAGGTTCCAGGGGAGCATCAGCCGTCGGCGAGGTCAGTTTATGGGTTTGAAAATGTCATACCTATCACAATCCGACGTCCCAATCCTCGGATCTATGCATAACCCGGGCGCAAATCATATCAGGATGCGCGTAAGCGGGTAGAAACGCGGGACCGTACGGCTGGCAAAGGGTCTTGCTCCCCAAAGTTCAGCTCGCTGGCCTCAACGCCACCAGCGCAAGTTGCTGTCTTTGATCCATTGACCGATGACGAACAGGTCATCAACATGAATACCCTGGATATCTCTACCATGAAAGAGCAAAAACCCGAGATTGGATATTGGCGGTAAGGTTGGACGGCCGACGGTTAGCAGGCTGGTCCGCCAACGCAGCCCACCGTGAGACGATGCCATAGTCACCCACGCCAGTCCCGCCCTGGTCTGGCTCCGGGTTAGTCAGTGCAGGTTAGTGCAGTATCAGATACAGCTTTGCGGCCGCATATCTGGTACGGTTAGACTGTTCTGGCAGGGACTGAAGGTGCTGGAGTGCTGCAGGGTCAAGGATAAATTCAGCTTCAGCGATCCATGCAGCTCTGGGTCGGAGGCTTGACATCGACGACTCGGTGATGTATGGTTGTCACAACCTGTCATGCTGGATGATTTTGGAGGGTAGCGCAAGATCTGCTGGCGTACGATTGTTGGCACGACCCCGGAGCACGCCAGCTCTTCCGAATCCCACGTTCCACCGGAATTCAGTAGACAGTAGCGTCGTGGACTAGAGATGCGCGAACTGTGAGGTCAACGCTACGGCTATCGTCGTCCGCTGCCAGTTGACTAGCTGGGCGACCGTCCGCGTCATGTTGGAGGAGACTGCTCTTTGACCTGAGTAATTGTTGACGTTGGAAGAACCTTGGCACCGGCAAGCGCATCAAGCCTTCCGAAGCCGACACGATGAAAGAATGTGACCACTGCAGCTTCACCGCGCTGTCACTCAACACACGACTCAACAACAACGACAGACGCTCGTCAGGTTCGTGCTGCTATTCCGGGCGAGTGAACTCACCCGTCAGCGCCATACGACATACCCCTCTCCTTAGCTTGCCCGCCCAGAGATCAATGATCCCTGGGTCGCTCACACAGACCACAGCCGCCATCTTCACTGCGGTTCCTGGGTGCGGTGCCCTCCACGGCCCTAGCGCAAGCCATCGACCAGCCCTGGGCGCCTGGCACGCAGCTCGATCGAACCTCGCACTACCGCTGCCGAGTAGAAACATGCTTCCTCTGAAATCCACCTATTCACTACTCCCGTCCTTGTCCGTCTCCGCAGCAATTGCATCAGACGCCAATTGACTGTCTTAATTCGAACACATTGGCCCCTGCTCATCCCGGAGCAGCATAACTCTAATCTCTGATCTAGGCCATTCACATTACCCTGGGCTGCTTAAGCCTCCTCTGGGTGTGCCGACAATTTACGTACAGCCTTCTCCGTCCTGCCTGCCAACGGACGGCTTGCCGCTTGCTTATTTTGGCCTCCACAGCGGCGTTTGACACATGGTGCGTGCTTCCTTGTCCAGTATAACTAATACAGAAACCCATTTCTCCATATGGTTCCCGAGGGCTTGGGCTATTAACTTTACGTTGTCTCGCTCCTGCCCTGCAGAAGCTCTCCACACCATCCAGTCAGAAACGACGCTGTCAACTTATTACTCACGTCAAAGGACGGCCATCACTTTGGTGACTGTTTGGGCCCCGCGAAATTCACCGACTACCGATCGCCCTAACTGGAGCTATTCCCTGATTTGGCGCTGCCGTGCCCGCATCCAAGCGGACAATCATCTGTCCGCGGTGGCTAGTGTGATCTTGCTTCAAGATCAGGCGTCTCCCCAAGTACACTATCCCGTCTTCCACCTCTGAACGACTGTAACATCTTGGTCACTTCCACCTACCTGCCAACCACATCGATACCATCACAGACTCTATCAGCCCAACATGGCGAACGCCCGGTCAAAGTCACCACCGGGCGGCGCCGGTGACGTTTCACCGACGGGCAACGGCTCAGGCTCGACAGCCACTACCAAGATGCGCAAGAGGACTAAGACTGGTTGCTTGACATGTCGCAAACGCCGTATCAAGTGTGGCGAAGAACGCCCAACCTGTGCCAATTGCATCAAATCCAAGCGTCAATGCGAGGGCTACAACCAGCGAGTAGTCTTCAAACCTCCTATTGGTGACTGGCCCAATCACCCAGGAGTGGTCAGCACCATTCAATATCACACTTCGATGCTCCCTGGCACACGAAATCCGCAGTTCCAAACACCTCAGTCGACTGGTCAAGCTCAAGAACATGCGCCTGCCCCCCTCCAACCTCGACCTTCGGGCAGCTTCGACATCTCGAATATGGACGCCGACAGCACCATTGCGATGTCCACTGCTTCCCAAGTACTTGTTGGAGGGCCTAACAGCTACTCTCCAGAGCAGACCTATCAACAGCCACTGCCATCACCACATCAGCAGCCGCTTCACTCACCCCATCACCTTATCCAGAATCCTACACCAACCACGTCCTACTTCCCGCAACCGTCACCAATACATACCACTTTCCAGATCCCATATAGCCACGGTCAGGACGCAACATTCCCTGATCCCCAACGATATACACAGAATCAAGGTCTTTACCAACCAACACCGGCCTCGTACGATAATTTCGTCGACGCCAAGCTCGCTACGTCGCAAGCACTACCCACTCAAGCAGTCTTCCAACAACAGTATCCTTCACCAACACAAAGCGAGGATTACAATGCACACATCCAGCACTCAAACATATCGCCACGAGAAGACACCATTCCCCATTATGCGGGACAACGACCTATTATGCAGCGATATAACAGCCATCCGCACGTAGCTGGCCATCATCCTCAGCTCAGTCCAGTTGGTGTGAGCCAGGCTGGCTATACCTTTTCCTCGTTCTCGCATGCAGATTTCACACATTCTAGTTATCAATCTGTCCAGATACCCTCACATGATATGATGGCGGATGCAAAGTACTTACCTCAACCAGTTCTCGGTATGTCTCATGTTTAGTTACATACCTCATATACCCCAATGACTATCATTACTTGTTCCTCAGTGCTCCAACCTAAAGTCATCGCTTTTCACAAGCACCGTGTCTGCCATCCCGCGCCTCGTACCTACAAATGGCAACCCCTTAGTGGCTCATGCCCCATACATATGACTAGCTAACCGTTGATGCCACTCTTAGAACAACCTACCGCCGTCTCTCAAACTCAGACCGAAGAATCACGACTCCTGCTCAGAGGGTTTGCTGGTGACGACCATGTCAGCCCTTCTCAAGTCCTCGACGAGGCCGCGATCGAATACGAAGACGACGACTACTGGGATGTGCAGTCTGACGACGAGATGATCGATTGCGACGGTGGGGAGAACACAATGGTTGCGAGCAAAGAGTTCGAGATCATCCGTCGCATACACTTCGAAAACTCCAGTGAGCTTGGTATCAGACGCTATGACACATTCTTGTATGACGGTCTCTTAACACGCTACAAGCCAGAGTATGCAGCGAGTCCACTGAGAAATCCCAAGGCAGCTCGGGTCTTTGCGCACTTCATCCACGTGGTAAGTAGAATTATTGTGACTCCTCTTATTCCCTGTACATACGTACGAAAGCAATCTCAGGCGATCAGTAAAACGCGTTGAGGGTTTGATAGGCGCATACTATGCGTAAAGTTCGCATTATAGCTTTTTTTCCCGAAGCACTCGCTAATCTTTACGCAATCTTAGACTGCCGTCAGTATATCCATTTACGAACGAAACCCCAGAAACTCATCCTTGATCTTCGAAGGCCCGACACCTCCTGCGCAACAAGGACTGTGGACATACATATTACCTCTGAAAGCTCTCAATCACCAAGGCTTGTTGCACGCTATGCTTGCGCTTTCGAGTCTGCATATTGCAAGACTACAGGGTGCATCTATAACGCCTTCGTACAAGCACTATGCATACTCTTTGAAGCGCTTGGGAAGATCTCTTGGCAATCCAAAGAAACGTCTCTCGATACCCACGCTAGCAACAGCTCTACTTCTTGCCTTCTATGAAGTCTGGACAGCTGAGCACACGAAGTGGTCAACTCATCTGGTTGGCGCAGCACAACTGCTGACTGAGCTCGACTTTCGCTCACTGACCCGCGAAGCTCGACGTCTGAAGGCTGCGCAAATGGCAGAAGAAAGGCAATTCCCCTACCAAAACCCCGAGATGCTTATCGACCAGCATCAGTTCAACGAGAACATTCGCGAGAGGGACCTCAAGCCGGATGAGAATCTCGTGAGCGCAATCATTGGCAAGCAAGTCAGCTACGATGACTTTGGCATGATTGTTGAGGACAACGGTGCTAGACAGGACGCGAAAACAAGACTCTTAGGCGACTTTGACATGAGAAGTTTCGAGACTCTCCAAGATCTTTACTGGTGGTACTGTCGCCACGATATGTGGCAGAGTTGCGTGAGCGGAAACCCTCTGATGTAAGTCACAGAATACGTCCAGTGTTCTACAATCTAATGTCCGCAGTACACACTACCGGAAGTGGTCCGACTGCCCACCACGAGCACCACTTGGCCGAGCAGACGCACTGTACGGCTCTCATGATCATATCGTCTTACTCATTGGTCGTATAGCAGACTTTACGTGTCGCGATCGAGAGCGAAAGCTAAGACAAGCCAAAGCTGATGGCGGACAATGGAGACCTAGGCCTGGAATGCCTGGCGAACCACCAGCAGGCATGAGTAGAAGCCAGCCATCAACGCCTGGTGTTGGGCCTCCTTCTCAGATGAAAGGACCACCTCCCGGATGGACAGGCGGCCCACCACCAGGGTGGAAAGGTCCACCGACACCGAGAGAAAGCCCCCCAAGCGGACCACCACCTGCGATGCCAAACTTCTATGGCATGACTCCCGCTCGACCACACGCACCAATCACTACCCGCTACGCGAACCCAGATTACAAGCGCTCACCCCCAACACCTCACGTACCACTCCCAGAATACGCCGATCTACCATCCGCCTATGAAAGTGCGATCAACGAATGGGACAACATCAACGCCGCCCACACAACCATCGCTCAAGTCCTATCTAGCACCAAATCCTTCGCACCGCTACCACCAGAACTGCAAGTCATCCCACCCGGCGAAACGAGCACAATGACACCCTTCGGCCCCGCCCTCGTCCACCGAAGCTACGACATAAGCGTCCTCTGGGCACTTCTCTACCTCTCTAAAATCATCCTCCTGCGCGCTCACCCCACCATGCCGCCAGCGATGATGATGGCCGTCGGCGTCTGCGCGCAAGCTACTGGACCGTATGCGACGCTCATCGGCCGCATAACGGCGGGCATGCAACTCCCCATGGGCGAAGACCTTTCGCCGTTCTTGGGCTCGGTACTCCAGGAATCGACGATGAGCTTGTTCTTCGCGGGAGTCCAGTACCAAGACCCAGCACAGCGCGAATGGACCGTCACCCGCCTCCTCGAGATCGACCGTCGAACCGGCTGGGCATCAGCGGGTATCATTGCGCGCGGAGTCGAAACGAGTTGGGAGAAAGCGGCGCAGATGGGCCGCGGGCCGCCGTATAAGCGCCGCACGAGAAGGGTGGGTGAGGAGGGGCCGCTGGTGCTGGAGGAGGAGGGTGCGAGTCCGCCGAATTGGAGACATAAAGAGGAGAACAATGCGATGGGGAAGGGGGCAAGGATGGAAGAGGTGGTGGATGAGAGGGGGCTGGATGAAAGGAGGTTTTTGGTCAAGCCGAGGATGGTGACGTGGGCAAAAAATGTGTTTGGGACGGAGGAGGATTTGCAGGCTGGGATGGAGAGAGTTGGTCTCTGATTATTGGATGAGATGAGAAAAGAAGGGGATCGATGAGATGCGGAAAGGAAAGGAAGGTGAAGCCAGGTGCGAAGGATGGCGATTTCACTCACTGAGGAAGATCATGACCGGCACAGGAGCAAGGCGAACTCTGTGCGAAGCAAGGCACACCAAGCAGCCGAAACGACTCGAACTGTCACACGCAATTGGCAATCACGACCTCACAAGACGAACGACAGGATGACGAGGGCGGAGCAACTCCACAACACCATCTCCGTACAAACGAAGGAACGCGAACCGCGGCACCTCAAAAATCCTGCCTCCCCAGCTCATCTTAGGAACAGTCAGAATCCTCAGGCCAATGTTCACTGACGGCATCAATCCATCGTACCCGCAATGACATGGCCTTCAAAACCTACAATCTTTCATCATCGCGATTGCTCAAGGCCAGCTTCCAGACCCCCACAACACCGACCGATCTCCTCCACTCTACATCACAACATAATCACAGCAGCAATGGCCAATCGAGGCAAGCAAGAAAAACCAATAGACTTAGCACTACATCATACCCGCTTCTAAAACCAGTGCAGGGAGCTAAAATAGATCACGCTGGAAGTTTTCGTAAATACGCTGCGCTATCCAAACATGTGCTGTCTATGCAGTCTCCCGAAGTGAAACTTGCCACCAGATTAGGCCGTCCAGGGCTCCCATCATGACAAACGTACCCACCAAAATAAACTGTATGCCGCGAAACACCTCATACGCCAAGTCGTGCAAGCTTTCTCTTCCCGTATCCTATTCATCCTCTCAAATCCTCGGGTCATCTAGAAGAACCACCAAAGCAGCCCGCCCGCCCCACTCGCCAGCACGCCCGCCCAAAACACGCCGTCCGCCATATTCCCGCTCTTCCTAAGCAAGACCTCGTGATCAGGGAGAGGCAGCCCGCGCTTCGCCTTCGCGGTCGCAGTCGCAGTGACGAGCGGGTTCAGCGTGGTGGTGGGCAGCATCTTGGGGGTCGTGAAGGCAATGTACATGGGCATCATGGGGGAGCCGTCGAATTTGTAGAGGTTTAAGCGCTTGATCTTGTGGTAGTCGTCTACGCTGACTTCGTAGCGCTGCAAAACATCAGTGTTGACACCAATAGATGGAGAAGAAGAAGAAGAAGAAGAAGAAGAAGAAGAAGAAGAAGAAGAAGAAGAAGAAGAAGAAGAAGAAGAAGAAGAAGAAGAAGAAGAAGAAGAATAAAAAAAGCAGGACTGGGACAGGTGGAATTGGGTGGGGACTTCAGGGGATTCTGGGGCGTTCGAGAGAAGGGAGACGTACCACGAATTTCTCAGTCGCGTTGTAGCGCGTGTAGATTGAGTGCTCGTACAGACATGGGTCGGAGTACATCTGGCGGCCGTCGACTTTGATGGGATACAGTTTCAGGGAGCCGTTGTTGAACTTCTCGAATTTGCCGTGTTGCCATTGGATTATGCCCTTGGGGCACTTGGGGTCTGTGGCTGTTGGGGCGTTAGCAGTGCGCTCATTCTTGTTCTGTTTCCACCGAATTGTGCATCTTGTGCAATACGGGCTGGGGAGCTGGGAGACACACGGTTTGCGACAGCACGGTAGTACGATTCTTCGAAGTAGCCGTCGGCGGAGAAGGAGTAGCTGATTCCGGTGTGTTTTGGCTCGGTGAAGTGGTCGTTGACGGGGTCGTAGAAGCCCTAGTGCTGCCATTAGCGCTGCCTGGAGCCTATGGCGGTGTTTGAGGAGCATACGTCGCCGGTGAGTGTCGAGTTGGATTTGCTGCTCCACGTGCCGACCAGGTCTGTGAAGTCTTGCGCCCGCGCATGCATCACCGCTCCTGCGAGCAGCAGCGCTGCCGTGAACGACACCATGATGGCTGTCTTCCGTGCGTGTTCAAGCGAGCGTTCGTAGTTGGGCGGTGTGAGCGCACAGAGTGCACAAAGTGGAGGATGCGTGGGCAGCGGTGGTGGTGGTGTAGTATGTTGAAGTTGGCGGTTGCGTTCCTGGATCTCGAACGCAGTCGCAAAGGAGGCGGCGAATTGCAGGGGTGTCAGACCGACCCCGGCTAGGCGCAGATCAATGGCGCGCCAGCACCACCACCGCCCGCATTTTAGCACGCGCCGTTGCAACTGCTTGCGTGAGGCCAGTGTTGTGCTTATCGATACGCAGCAAGCTTCGGCTTCAGTCCATCAAGGATACTCTGTACGTGTTGCGAAATCTCACGCGGGATCGGTACAGAGGCAAGTGAGCATGAGTTGGTATTGCTGTTTGCGGAGCATCAGTTGACAGTGACAAGAGCTTTCCCCATGGCGGCCGTAGTAGCAGTCAAGAAGGAAATGAGGAAGACGATCAAGGCTATCTTGAAGGATGTCTCTGATGCGGCTGCTGCCACACAAAGTACGTCCTCTCATATTCAACTGGGTACCGCAGTGCAATTGACCATGATCAGCAACACATGCCACCAACGCTTTGCTAGCCATGCCAGAGTACAAGGCAGCTCGACGGATAAGTGTGTACCTGTCTATGCCCACTGGCGAGATTAACACGTCCAACGTTGTGCGTGACGCTCTTGACCAGGGCAAGACGGTCTTCATTCCTTACACGTACAAGGTGGATACGCCAATCGACGGTCAGCCGAAGTCGATCATGGACATGGTTGAGTTGGTTTCGATGAAAGACTTCGAGTCGCTCGAGGCAGACAAATGGGGCATTCCCACACCCAGCAAAGACTCCATCTCATCACGTGCGAACTGCTTTGGCACCACTGGCATCACCAACGGCAGGACGGGACAGATCACCGATGGCCTGGACTTGATCGTCATGCCTGGCATGGCATTCGATTCGACTTTTGGCCGACTCGGACACGGCAAGGGCTTCTATGACTTCTTCTTGAGTCGATGTCACCAAGCGTCGCGCATGCCTTTTCGCGGTAAGAATTACTGATATTCGAACATGGCTGATGGGCTAACTAACCACGCCAAAGTTGGTCTGTCTTTGACCGAGCAGCTGCTTCCGCCAAACGAGTCAGTCCCTATGGACCAGTCCGACTTCCGCCTCGACGCCTTGATAACCGGGGACGGCGAGCTTCGTCGCGCTTGATCGGAAGCAACGCAAGCTGTTCTCGCCCTAACGTGTTTTCCTGCCACCACCCAGCACCTTTGCACGCGTCAACCTCGGCCTCCTTCCTGTACAATCGAAAGTGCGAACCGAGGTGCCTCGGAGCCGGCTATAGCGCTCGTAATCATTGGATTTGCTGAATGAGAGAGATGTTGTCGCCCTTGAGCAAGATCTGGCCGATCTTGCGCCTTTCCTCTGCTGTGCCGTCCTTCTTTGCAATCGTGACTTCTACGGCGTCGTCGATGACGAGGTTCATGAATTCGTCGAAACCCTGTACAGCATCAGCATCCAGCGCGACACGTCCTGTGCTTGTTGGCGCGTACCCTGAGCTTGCCCTCAATGCGCAGACCGAGGTTTTCGTACAGCCATACTGAGATTGTGGCACGTGATTGCAGAAGCTTGAAGATGAAGTTGATAGGGGGAAGGAGGACTGTTTTATCGTCAGTGCCGTAGTGCTCGCGAGAACGCGCATGGTGGTTCGGTGGTACCTTTTCCTCCGCCGCGGCCTAGGGTGTGTTAGCTACCGGGCTGCGAGTGTGTCGACTATCTTACCACCACGATTCATGTTGATAGGCTGGTCGGAGTGCTTGGGCGATCCCAGAGCTGTGGAGATATGCAGAGTCGAGCTGTGAGGGCGCTGCGGTGGGTCGTCGGAGGTGCAGCTGTGAGTTCCGCGAACAATTTGGGAAGCGACAAGGCTGGCCTTGGCGGGCAGGCGCGGGCGCGGGATCGCCAGTCCGTCACTTCAAGCAACTTCTCATCATACCCCCGAGCAAACACGCAAACACGCAAACAAACGTCGCGCATCCCGGCCGCCTGCACTCTTCTGCCGACTACTATCACCTCGACGCTCGCGCCTCCCCGGTTCATGAAGCAGCGCAAATAATACCCCGCCGCCGTCTCCCCACCACGCTCCTTCCACTTCCTTTCCCCCCACCATTCCCCCGGACCACCGGTCGATATGGCCGCAAACGGCGCTCAGCAGGTCTATGAGCCTGTGTTGGCTGCGCACAATCTTATGCAGTCGGCATCGAACCGCACACAGAAAGAGCAGGCGCACGAGTTCTTGGAGAAGTTTCAGAAGTCGGTATGTTGGGCACAGGCGAGGTTATGGGCAGACAGGGCTGACGGAACGGGTGGTAGCAAGAGGCATGGACAACAACATTGGCTATGCTAGAGTCAAGCTCGGTCGACGCCGCGGCGAAGCTCTTCGCTGCCACCACCTTGAAGGGCAAGGTATGTGCGGCCTGCGTGTGGTGGTGCTTCCTTCCTGACAGAGCCAGATCGTATACGACCTCCACCAAATACCCCGCGAACAGCTACCAGAGCTTCGAGCGTCCATCATGAGGAACCTGACCGTCTTCCACGCTGGACCCAAGCCTATCAGGTTGACGCTGTGCGTTTGTTTGGCGAACTTGGCGATACAGATGACAGAATGGAAGGACGTCCTCACAGACATCGTTAGCGCTCTTGGGTCCGACCCAGCCACACTACCTTGCGTCTTGGATTTCCTCCGCGTCCTCCCTGAAGAAGTCACGCATGGACGAAAGATCGCACTCACAGTACGTCCGGTCGACCCACAACCTACCTTCAGCCTGCGGCACCTTTCCACGGTCCCGACATGTGATATCAGAGTCAGAGTCTAATGCTTGGTGGTCAGGAACACGAATTGACTATGAGGACGGCCGAGTTGATTGAGGACAACGCTGAGCAGGCCTTGAAGCTCCTCGTCGCGTATGCCACGTCATCACGTAAGTCGACGCTGTCACTCATGTTCAGATCGGTGCTAACAGATACAGCGGCCGCTGCCCGGAACCCTCAGTTGCTGAACTGCATCACATCATGGATGCGCGAGATACCGCTCGACCAAATCTTGAGCTCACCCCTTCTGGCAGTCATCATCGACGACCTCAACTCAGACGACGATGCATTCGAGGCCGCTGTTGAGTGCCTCAGTGCTCTTATTGCAGAGACAAGAGACGTGGATGAGGCCATGCAATCCATCTTGGTCTTGTACCCCCAAGTAATCGCCCTGCGGCCCAAGCTTGCACAGGCCGCACAAGTGGAAGATTCAGAGAAGTTCAAGGGCATCGCCAGGATATTCGCAGAGGCTGGAGAGTCATGGGTCCTGTTGATCGCACGACTGCCAAACGACTTCCGGGCTCTCGTCGAAGCTGTACTCGAGACTGCGGCCCTCGACAAGGAGCGAGATGCGATTTCACACACCTTCAAGTTCTGGTACGACCTGAAGCAATACTTGACCATCGACAAGTACACACCAGCTCGTATGCAAAACTTGGACATCTACTCGAAACTCATCGACATCATGATCAGCCACCTGGAGTACCCAAGGCCCGAAGGTGGAGACGAGAAGGACTTGTTCGAGGGCGATCGCGAGCAGGAGGAGAAGTTCCGAGAGTTCCGCCATCAGATGGGTGACGTACTGAAGGACTGCTGCGAAGTCATGGGTGTGACAGAATGCCTGCAGAAGCCATACGATCTCATTCAGCAATGGGTGCAGACATACGGATCTCAAGCTGGACCCAACGGTGTGCCAGAATGGCAGAAGCTTGAGGCGCCACTGTTCGCTGTCAGAGCGATGGGTCGCATGGTACCTCCGGACGAAGGTGTTATGCTGCCCCGCCTTATCCCGCTCATCGTCTCGATACCTGACCACAACAAACTCCGCTTCCAGGCTGTCATGGCTCTTGGACGATACACAGAGTGGACAGCTCAGCACCCTGACACCCTCCAACCCCAGCTGGACTACATCATGGCCGCATTTGATCACTCCACAAAGGATGTCATCCGCGCCGCTGCGCTCTCGTTCAAGTTCTTCTGCAACGACTGTGCCAGTTTGCTTGTCAGCTTCGTTGTTCCCCTTCAACAGTTCTTCGCGAAACATCTGGATCAACTACCCGTCAGCAGTCAGGAGGAGATCACAGAGGGTGTTGCTTCGGTAGTCGCCAAGGTACCTGTCGACCAACTATACCCAACACTCAAGCTGTACGTCGACCCTGTCATGCAGCATCTGGCCACGATCGCCAACCAGGCCAAGGACGAGCCAGAGCAAAAGCTTCTCGCAGACAAGATCAACCTCGTCACCATCTTCATTGAGTTCGTGCAACCTGAGGTGCCAGCCGGGCAGGAGAACCCAGCAGTCAAGTACTGCCAGGAGCTGTTCCCCTTGCTCGGAAATCTTATCACACATTTCAACCAGAGTGTGCCGATTCTGGAACGAGTCTGCCGCTGCTGGCGATACATGGTGCTGTCGTATCGAACGGCTATGCGCCCACTCCTGCCTGAACTCGCAACAAGACTGACACAGGGCTTCGACGCATCAAGGCAAGGCTGCTTCCTCTGGGCTACAGCTGCCATTGTACGCGAGTTCTCGCAAGGTATGGAGCAAGTCGACACTGGGTTGGCCAACGATGTGTACCAGTTTTACGAGCAGCAAGCGAGGACCTTCTTGAAGATGCTGAGCGACGTCGTGAGACCAGATGAGCTCCCTGACTGTAAGTTTCTGTTGACATCATGGTCTTATCCAGCTAACGGACGGTGTAACAGTGATTGAGGACTACTTCCGCCTTGCCTCTGACATGGCGCTCTACTTCCCCTCCGAGTCCATCATGTCGCCTCTCATGGAGACTATCCTCCTCGCAGCTTGCAACGCGCTTTCTCTGCTCAAGGAGGAGCCCATCATTGCAACACTACACTTCCTCCGCGACCTGCTCGGGTATGGTCGCAATGCCTCTCCATCGTCTAGCTTCGACCGAACACGACACGAAGTTCCCCAGCAGCTGCAGGACCGGGTTAAGCAGCTGGTCTTGACTGTTGGAGAACTTCTCGTGCAGCGTATCATGACCGGCATGATGTACAGTTTTCCAGAAGGTTGCTTCGCCGACTCTTCAGGCGTGCTTCTCGACCTGTTCGAGCTTAACCCTGAGCAGGTCGCCTCATGGGTCGCGAACACCGTCGCTATGCTGCCGCAGGGTAGCATCACACCCCAGGAAAGCGAGCGCTTCTTGAACAACATTCGTCAACGCATCCAGACTGGCGACGTCAGGATGATAAGAACCATCCTGCAGGACTTCACGACCAGCTACCGCCGCCGCAATGTTGCGCCGAGGGAGGGTCTGGGCAGACTGGAGGCTTCGCGCTTCAGATTCTTTGGTTAGATGCCAGACTCCCGACGTGGGTTCTATTCGAAAACGCAGGATGTGAGAAAGGTATACATAAGGTTGTGTGGTAGCGTGTACATCAGTACGGCAGGTTTCGTTTGGACTGTATCAAAGGCATCGGGGCATTAGCATGATGGAGTGATGGGATAGGATACCTCTGGGCGATGATATTTCGAAAGATGGGTGGGTGCGCAGCTTATATTACATTTCACATTTTCATTAGATACCGACTACTTGTGAATATACCAAACTTGCTCCATGACAAGGTAGAAACCCCCCCTCACTTTCGACGTTTCAGACGAGAGTGTAGCGCCCTGCAGGAAATGGCATCATCTGCCACATGCCATTTGCCAACTTCTTGGACCGAAACGATTCATACTTGTCATCCGCCCCTCTTGTTGTCACTTTCTCAACCCTACAAGATATACTTGGGAGCTACCAGGTTCTCCGGCGATAATTGGAAGGAGTCAGCACAAAAACTTCTGCACCAGGTTCCCCGTCAACATCGAATACCGCACACTGCGAGGGGAATACCAGTGACTGGCTAAATTTGTTGACATCAGGGAGACGCATATACCGTCCGAAGATCATGACATGAAAAAAGGCAGCCCAGAAAGACTGGAATTATCCTGCTGCTATTCTCCATATCCACCGGCTCAAAATCGTCAACCGAATCTGTCAATTTCGATGGACGGGGCGGCTCGTGCCTGGGATCCGCCAGCTATCGAACATCGCACACAGAGTGCCAGATAGCATTAGCCAACGCGCTCAATCTGAAAACAGACCTCAGTGACGAATTTCTGGTGGCACACTTCTAGGAGCCGGTTTTTCAACAAGTCCCGATCACAAGGAAACAGAGTTAACATCTTCCGTCAAAAAGCAAAAGCTTCTTACAAGACCCAAGCTCTGGTAAGCCAATGATCGTCGAGCAATCTATGCAATGCTTCCGACAAGCTCATCTTATGCAGTGGTACGAGCTGTGTCGGATGCAAAGAGGCCTCCCATTGGCAATGGGTCAACATAGTGGTACACAAGCCAATGTGAAGTGAGCGTACTGATAGACAGCGTCCACCACCTGCACACCGATCGTTTTGTCGACGAAGTCCTCTTTTTTTTCCATGCACTCCCAGTCCCGAGTCAGCAGAACAAAGGTGGTTCGACGTGATGTTGAACCTACTCGATCTATCCAGAGGAGTCGATAGCCATTTTGAGCTGCAAAGGCTACTGCACGATCGATAACATCTTTAGAAGCTCGTGCATCGTGAACTGAGACATCCTCCTCCCCGATATCGTACGGCGTTGAATCGTCCGGAGCGTTGGACGATTCTGGCGCTGACCAACAGTATGGCACTGCGACGAACCGCCTGCATCCAAGCGGCCACCCATCGCGGAGTGGCTCAAGCTCAGAGATGCGTCTTGCTCTGAATCTGGTCACTTTGAGTTTGTGTGGAAATAGGGGTATGCTTTCACAAAGGCGAGCAAGTGACATTGCGGATATGCTCGCAGGCGCGAAGATTCTGGAGGAGTTCGACCGGGTTGTGTTCATACGTTGACTTGCGATGTGTCTCGTCACAGTCTTGACTGTTCGGAGGGAGCTTGTATCTTGATTCACATTTTCCACACCTTGCTGCAGCAGTGTCATGTGTCAGGAGTCCATCGCCAGGCCCATTGGTAGGGCGATCCAGATATAAATCTTGCGGTGTACGCATCGTCACAGGTGAGAAATCTAAGGCGGCGCGCCCAACCTCGTAGGTTTGATTTGGAAATCTTGTGCCTCACAATGTGGTCGATGGCCGTGGCTATCTCAGGTACCGTGACTCTGCATTCCTTTCCTCGAGTATCATCGACCATATGATTGGCTGGATCATTCATGCTGTCGAGATGTAGGAGCTGTCCAAGGTGCTCGCCATACTTGCCACGAAGAGACCTTGGGTATCGTATGCACGATGCTCGAGGTCTTCCATATCCATGGTACCACAAGTAGGTCCAGCATGTTGTTTTCATGAGTTTTACTTTCAATGGCATGAGCTCCAAAAGGAGATGCAAGACACAAAAGACGAATAGACTCGCAAACATCTCGACCTATTTCTTCCAGTCATTAGTGAAGAGATATAGCCACGTATAGACCGTATGCAAGATCTTACGCGCAACGGAGCGGTCACGTACCATTTTCTCTGGGCGATATTTCCCCTGGATGTGTATTCGAAGGACCGAGGTCGACATCGTGTGTATTGTGATACAGTCAACATACTACCTACAGACATCGTTCAACCTTCAGGCATTGTATATTGATTGCGATGGAAGAAGATTTGGGTATTGTTCCACGATGTTGAGCATCGACAAGTTCAACGGTGTCACAAAACTTCTGGAACTGGGAGTTTTCCCTGCCCATTTGCGTCCCGAAGCGAACCATCTGTTCGGTCTTCTTGAAGAGCGGGGAGAGAAGTTTGAGTAGCTGAACGGCTACTATCACGTTCCTTATTCGGGCTACTTTGAGGAGAAAGTTGAGAAGTCGAGCAAGAGAAGCTTCATAAGCAACGATCTTTGTAGCTACCAAGGACAGCCGTATGCTGGCGCTCAATTAGACGGACAGAAGACGAGTCGTAGTAGACAGCAAGGTCTACGGTTAACATAACTCCTGGACTGTTGATGTTGATTCAGATCTAGGGGTGCCACGCGACTAAAAATGTGAGAAGAAAGTGGTCTTCAAATTGATGGGCGTACTCTGTGCTGCTATCACGAGCGCATACGAATCATACAGAGACTTCATCCAGGCAACAAGATCAGCGACATACATTGGAATGAGCACTCTCTCGATAGACTGGTTCTGCCTGAAAGGAACAAAGAGTTCATTATGCGTTCGTACAAGAGCAATTGTCTGAAGGCAAGTCCTTCGATAATGTCATACACGGAGAAGGTCGTGGTTTCATCATGCTGCTCGCTGGTGAGTCAGGTGTCAGGAAGCGGCGCTTTCATCTTTACTTTCAGTATCAGCTCTACGTCTTCTATCCGCAAGCGGTCGTTGCTTCTGTTTCGCCAACAATTTCGCTGTCTTCACGATGTCCTTGATCTGCCGCCTGTTGATCTGGATTTTGGCTAGACGCATCAGATCCTCTTCAGCCAAAGCGCTGTTGTACGATGAGATATTGGCATTTGTTGCCACGAATGTCTGCCAAATCTTCAAGCGGTTCTCTTCGCTTAATACTGGAGATTCAAGGGTGGGATGAATGCGTGACTCAAACGCTGCGTCGAGAGTCGTAGCTCGATTCGTCGTCAAGAACATGACACCTTGGAAGTACTCAAGCTGTCTTAGGAAGATCGAGACAAGAAGGTTACGTTTTATGTCGTCGGTTGTTCGCTCTGCGAGAAAGACACCGCACTCGTCGAGGAGTATTGCTTTCCATCTCGAAGCAACGTCGAGTACTCTCTTCAACGTTTCTTCAACTTAAGAAGCGTCTTCGCCGAGTTCGCCAGCGCTCATACTGTACAAGGACTTGTGGATTTTCTCCAAACCCCCCAAAAAATCAGTATATTAGATCTAGCTAACAGCTACCTGCCAAATTCATGAAGGAAGTGGTGCAGCGAAAAGGCGTGGCCTGTACTGTGATGTAGAGTCGATACAGAGGAGAGCCGCACCAAAATTCCAGTTTTTAGTGCTTGCTTGGTGTTTGTTGTCATTACCTTTCTCGATTCTGTACATGCTACAAATGACAATCTCGAGCGGTGGGGCAAGAGCCGCGGGCCGCCACAACTCTGACGGATGACGTATGCTCTCATGAACAACATGGATCAGCGAAAGAAAGCTATTTGCGATAGAGCTATCACGCGGTGTGGCGCAGCCGTCTATGCATCGTCACTTGGATTCCTTCGCAGCTTGCCTTGCCCTGCACACGTATTCTTCTCCAACTGCCCCAGGCAGCAGCTTTAGCCAGCACACCTAGAGCACCGCACACGAGCAAAGAAAAGAGATAGATTTGGAAACTCACCTACAAGTTCTTGAGGCTCTTTATACGAGCGCTGCTGCGCGATATTGTCGAAACGCTGTTCGAGAGTTTGTCCTGTGATCTTCAACTCGCGACTTGGGAAAAAGGTCATCAGGCTAGCAGGCTCCCCACGCCGCCATGGACATCCCCCGAGGCCATGCAATGCTCCCGCTCAACGAAGGAGACTTCCTCGACTTTGTATACAACTACTTCAAAGCCGAGTACGCGCCGATACGATCGTTTTGGTCGACTGCAACCGCCGATCCGCGGCAACCGCAGCGATGGGTCAATATGGTGAGTTACGCTCCCCCCATACCAAATGGCAATTAGACGTGTTGCAAAATGGCAATTAGACGTGTTGCAAGGCACTAATATGAATGGAAGGGCCATGAACTGCAGCCGTTGAGTGTGAGACCAGCGAATGCCCAAGCCCAAAAAGATCTCGAGAGTTTGGATTACTTTACGCGGAAATGGCGGCTTGATTCGGGCTTTGTGCGAGGTCTGGTGGTGCGGTTCGCGAAGTACGAACTGCATGATCGGCTTGAGAAGAAACTTTTCGAATGCGCACGCCTCGACCTGATGGTACGGAAGAGTTTGAAAGAGAAGCACCTCATTGACGCGCTCTGGCCGAGTCCTGCGCCCCGGAGTGAACCGAAAGAGTTGCTTGCGCAAGGTGTGCAGGTCAGACGCTGGTATGGCGATATGTTTGCCAAATACTTCACAGCCTTGCACTCGGTTGATGAGTTTGAGCTGCGGCCCGAGGTCGATCAGAGGATTAAGAGTAGTGGGACGTTGATGCTGGTACCCTTCGTCGACCATCTCGTTATTGGGGCTGTTGATCCGATTACGCCGATTGTCGCGAGAGGAGCCGGGTATGCGAGTAACAAGGCTCTGGACAGCAGAGGGAAGAGTAGGAGTGATGCGTTTGGGGAGCCGGAAAGGTTTGAGATCAGGTTCGATGCGCCAAGTCAGGTGGATGAGACGTATACGAAGAGCGTGGTGAGGCAGTGTCAATGCTTGAAGTGTGGGACGAAGAGGGATGTTCAGGTTGTGATATCTGTGGATCCGAATCCGAATGGTGCAGGAACTGCGATGGGTTCGAAGCAGTCCATCACAGCGAACACGGTTGTTCAGAGGCGTCTGCAGGGTGCGGATAGACAGGAACGAAGAGAGGAGCCAGCTCCGCCACAGCCACCACGACCGCAGCCGCAGATGCAAGATCAACAGGGACCGAGACTAACGACGCCGGAAGAGAAGAAGCAGTGCCCGCGGTGCACATTCCTTAACCACGCCTCTCTAACCGAGTGCGAAATGTGCGGCGCAGATCTTCCGACTAAGACAGTCACTAAACCACAGAGCCCTGCAGCGCCCAGAATATCACACTCGCACTCTACCTCGCTCCCACCACCGACCACCGCACCCAAACGCCTTAATCCAGAGGAAAGAACAAGGCCACCAAACAGACACAGTCTCAGCTCAACACTCTTTTCCATATTCCCCTTTTCGCAACAACACCAACAAGAACACCACGCAAAGCTGCCAGCAACACAGCAGGCTGATGTAGCGCCGGCGGTAGCCACCAGTCATATTGAGCCATCACGACCGGAACCGCAACATGCTCCACAGCAAAAGCAGGAAGGCAAGAGGCAGAGGGATGCGGAACCGAAGTATCGTGGCAACTCGGCATCTTCATCGCCTGCTGGACCTACGGCGCCCCCGGCAGTGCAAGTAACGAAACCCGTACCGAAACCAGTTACACCCCCCACGCGCCCCGAGTCGCCCAAAACTCATGAACTAGAGAAAGAACCAGAGCTGTCGAGACCGCCGGAGATGGCCATGATGCCACTCACGCCTCCGCCCACCATCCAGCAACATCGTCAAGTGCCTGCCGGACTGCCGAGCCATTTGATGGACGACTATGTGCCGGCCTCTCCCTCTTTCCCGGCGTCGGATGAGGAAGAAGATGCTGGGTGGGGAGACCTAAAGAGGAAGGAGTCAAACACGGTGAAAGAAGAAAGTAGTGATGATGAGGAAGATAAGGGGGCTTTGGTAGATTTGGATGCGGTGGCGAGGGAGGAGATGGGTGTTTGGGGGGAGAGGGAGGATGAGTGATTTGTCGCATCAAAGGGTTGGGTTACTTTTGTGGGTTCGTTGTATAGGCTTTGTATGTATGTTTTGATACCAAGCACAGCATTGTATACAAATCCATCTGGTTTCAAAGAGATCTCTCGTCCAAGGAAAGATTCCACGTGCCTTCTGAATCGCTTGTTTGACATTTGTCCATTCACCTGCAAGTATTGAAGGAGGAGACGTCGAATAGTAATGATTTGTGGTGCTGGGTATTTGGAGCTCAGACTGTTCAGATTGGGAGCGCCCGTAGAACTGCGTGGCGCTATCAAGAAAGAAATTCTTCCGTATCTTTCGTGGTAAGCCTTAGTCGATATTGGTAAGACTTTCTCCGGAAAATCTCCTCTGGCGCTGGGAAACAGTGATCAATCCTAGTCTGGGAAAGCTCAATATTGTTGCGCTGTGCGCATTGTCTTCAATCAGCATGGGTTGCCAGTACTTGCGTGACGTGGTCTCTACCTTCTTCGGCTTGTGATATTCGTCTTGCTGTCGCTTGACAGTCTTGGTAGGCCATGTCAGTTCTGACACTGTGCCTCCTTGGTCAGCCATCTGCAGCGAGAGACACCGAGTGAACCATAGCGGTAGTCCAACGAGCTTCACTTCCTCGACTCCTTCGATCTCGGAGAGGACTCCCAGAGCGAACATGTGTGTTTCAATACGCGCTTTCTTTTCTGCATCGTCCGGGCTCTACCATCATTGCCACTGGGGATCTCTGACCTTCAGGTGCTTGGTCAAGATTCTTACGTGCAATCTCTTGAGGACTTCTTGCTCTCATCGTCAACATGCACCTTGATTACTCAATGAAGTCCTGTAGACGGGCTCGGTGGCGGACTACCGCGTGCGAGGAATAATCGTCACCGTTGTTGACAAAGACTAAATAGCCAGTCGGATTGTGCACAGGGTGCTCGTCCACAACCTGGGTTGACTTATGCTTTCCCACTACTGCCAAAAGTGTCCACAGAGAGCTACCATAGCCGCACTGCCTGAAGCTGAAGGTGAGACTTTGGGGAAGCGCATACTCAAAGACGTGACGCAAGAGCTCTGGAGGCAGGTCTTGGAGACGGAACGTGACGTTGAAATGGTCAAACTGTGAGTCACCAACGGGTGCTTATTGACAGCTCGCATGGGTCTCAGCCATTTCAGCTGTGTTTGTGCGAGGTTGCCAACAAGTGGCGGATGTGGGATGTTGTTGACAGAGTGGTGTCTGAGTGCAGCGCGGTAGCAATGAGACTGCATTGTTTTGAGTCTGTGTTGTTGTGCCAAGCCACCCGTTTGCATTGGTGTGAAAGTGGAAGCAAAGGAAGCTCAAACAATTTTCCAGATGAGTCCTCAGAGCTCTTTGCCCTTTAGACCACATATGTGATGGCATCTGCAAGGAAGGCAGTTTCCATATCGAGAGAAGATTTGAGAACCGTTTGTAGAAAGAAAGCATGTTGTTCAGGTGAGAGGTGAAGGTGAAGGACGCACCTGGGAGAATTCAGACGAAGTTTGGTTCACCTAAGTTTATATGTAGGGAGACTCTTTCGGTCATTGAAAAAGATAACAGCGTACTATTAATCACGACAAGAAAAGCACAAATAATTTTGGTATCATGGAAGAAACGCCAGAATGCTGTACCACTGCCTCATATCACGAACGTCCAGCAAAGGCCGCCGCCGGCCTTTTTGGAAGTCGTGATTTCATCGACGAGCCTCACATGCTAGCCGCCAGGGAGTGTACGTTGGGATCATGGCGCCTCATGCACCTCCCCTTCCCCCGTCCGATGCGCATACTTTGTTGTTTCAGGCAACTCATTCCTCGTAGCCCCTGCATCTGCTTCGTTCATCGGATGTGCATCATAATAGCTCATCTGCTGCTGCGCGCCGTGGGGTGCCAGACCCGGTGAATATGCCGGCGCAGCATCATACTGGACACCTTCATGCTTCTCCCCCACTGCCGCAGCATTGTTTTTCCGCCTCCGCCACCAAAACGCCGCACCAGCAACAATCGCAAGCCCAAGAAGCCCACCAACAACAGGGCCGGCAATCCAAGCTTTGCTCTCGCCTCCCTTTCCAGATGACCCGGAACCAGAACCAGAAGTTGAGTTCCCCGGTGTGGAAGAGCTGCTTGATGACGGAATCGAGCTCCCGGACAGCGCGGCGAAAGTCGCAGATGCCTTGTCGCTAGTAGTGCTTGTAGTGTTCTGCAAATAGCAGTTTTTAAACCCGTTTTGCAGCGTCGAGTCAAACACCACACCGACACACTTGTCTGTTGTGGCGCACGAGTCCATACATGATGTTATGTTCTGCGTGTGGATCTGTGTGATGTTGGTTCCTTCGTTGAGCTGGCCGCAGTGGATGTCAAAATTATTGTTGTCCGCGGTCGCGTAGCTATTCGACGACGGACAGTTGGAATCGACACGATCGAAAGACGTGATGGTAACGGAGTGGATCACGCCGTCCTTCGCGGAAGGTGTGGACATGTGGTTATCACTGAAGCCTGTCTTGGGCCAGCAGTTCGCGAAGCCGATCGAGTAATCAGGGTTCCATGAAACGCCTTTGCAAAGCGGACTCTGGTCGGTACAGATCCGCACGCAAGCCTCAAGGGTCGTGGTGTGGTAGAACCCGATGAAGGCTCCTTCGACATGTTGCGTGTCCCAGCATGGCTTTGGGTAGCCAGACCAGCAAGTATCATATGTTCCGTCAATAACCTTGTTGCATTGTATCGTATATCCCAGTCCCGGAACGCCATCTAAAGTATGTGTCGAGAGGTCGGTGGCAGGACACGCCGTGTCGACCTTATCGTACGTGTTCGAGGCGATGAGCGCGGAGTGTGTGCCGTCGGTGGAGTCGACGACGCCGTTCACGGTGGTGTTGCTGTTGCGTATCCAGCATTTGTTGTCTTCTCGCCATACGACGCCATAGCAACCTTCGCCATTGCCCCAGTATCGCGAGCAATGCTCCATGCAGTCTGCCATGGACGGAGATGTGAAGTACTTGATATCCATAGCATCTGATTGGTATTAGCTACTGTTGTTTGGTGTTCTATCAAGAGGTTGGTGACGCACCATTCCCAGGGTTGTTCTGTTTGCAATATGTTGTGAAGCTGTTGAAGGGTCAGAGGAGCAACAGACATACGATACTGTAATGAAAGGTCTACCTCATGCCGTTCTTCGATGTGTATCCATCCGGACAAACTGTATCGTCGCGCACTGCAAGGTCGTTCCTCCGCATCGGTTCTGCAATTACTACAGTGCATTAGAAACCAACCTTGCGCTTCCTATACGGCATTTTCTTTGACTTACACGGCGTCGCAAGCGCAGCACTTGTCCAAATCAGAGCCAACAGGCTCTCAGTCGATAGATACACCATAGCGGCCCTCCTCTTCTATATCGCGTATCGCAAAAGACGTACAAGGTCTACTCGCCGTCCGATCAGCACTCGATAAGTAAACCAAAAGTCAGTCCCAGTACTGTGTGTAAAGTAAGATCAAGCCGAAGTCCTCAAACCCATGGGAAGAACGACACTCAGGCCTCCCACTACCTACCCTACCCACTACACATGCATGTCTTTGAGACCATTGGCTGTCGAGCAAAGATTAACCTCAAGCCACTCGTCCAGCCTCCAACGGCGGGCCATGCGCACTCGGTCCAATGGGCGCAAGCCGTCTCGCCCAGCATTGTGTGCATCGGGTTAGGTGAGACCTGTAAAAGGCTGAATCAATATGGTAGCCGGCAATACGCTGACGCTGACCTCCGTGTCACTTCCCATCGCTTCCTGCCCTGAAATCCGCAACTGCTTCATGTCCTTGAAGTCTATTGCTAAATAACTCCAAGGCGAGCACTTCTGCATTAATTCGAGTCCAGCAGGGGCTATCATTTACATTTGGGAGGTCAGCATATTGATGGAGAGTGCAGATTGCAATTTCCCACGTGCTGTCAGATGCATCCTTCCAAACCAGGATCTTCAGTAGCGCGGTCTCTACGGCTCTTTCCGAACCAATAGGCGCCCCTTTGGGCAGAGGTCGCACAAGGCTGAGCGAGTCTGAGGTGCTATTCTTGTCGTGCCATGATTCCGATATTGGAGTCGTTGTACAGCCACGCCTACCACGATGTCGGAGGTGTAGATCCCATCCGATGGCGAGTGATTGGGCAATAGGCAGATTATTCTTCATTGGAACATAAACTTGCATTACCACACCGGTGTAAAGAACCGACGCGTAGGTATCTGATGCATCCTGAACGCCAACCATGATTTTTCTACCTGTCGCGCCATGACGGTAAGTAAAACAAAGACAGTACAACACGGCTGCTTCTATCGCCTGTTGGTCTTTCCGATACCACGCTTTCCAGCAGTCTGTATATGCGTTAGTGATGATCACGTGTAGATGAGGCAATGGACTTACCAGATGCTTGATCAAAGATCCGGTCTGATGCCGGTCGGCCTCACCCTGCCTGGCCATCCTGTTCATCTTCTTCTGTGACAACTTAGCCATCTTCTCTGCCTTCGTGGCGGCCTCCTCGTTCGTAACACCATCCATTCTCCTGTTGGTGCTCTGGCTGCGGCCCCTCATCTTAGCCCTCTCAATGGCATTCATGGGCTTGTCAATCTCCATAGCATCACCATCAGCAGCTGCAGCACGAGACCGGCTGCGTCCACGAGCCTCTTCTGCACGAGCAGCGATCTTCGATGTGTCGTGACCGAGGCTCTCGAGATGAGATTCCATCTTTGACAGCTTGACGGCCTTCGCCGTCCTGGGAATGACGGCCCTGTTCTTCAGACTCTTGCGCATCTTGGCCTCGTTGCGGATGAGTTGCCTCTTCTCACGGATGAGCTCTGCCTTGTACCTGATGTCTGCCTCCTCGGCATCCTCAAGATCCTCCTCAGAGTCGTAGTAGCCCTCAGCCTCAAGCTTCTCCTCCTCGGCCTCGAGAGCCTCAAGCTTAGCCTCAATGTCAGGGTCGATGAAGTCGTAGACGTTCTGACCCTTGAACACCTCAGGAATGCGGTCGTGTTTCCACTCGTCGTTCTCGAGCAAGTAGTTCTTGCGAAGATCGATGTTATACACACCAGCACCACCCTCCTGCTCCTCCAGATCGCGCTCAAGTAGAATCCTGTCTGGGTCGCTCTTGTCGTACTTCTTCCTGTTGAGGACTGCCTCCGGAATGGACGTCTCACGTGTGACGCCTCCAAGGGGTTGAGCAACATGAATACGGCGAAGAAGCTCTCCGAGACGGCCAGAAGGCTCACCAGCGCTGTTTGTGCCGGCCTTGAGCTTCTCTGCGTTACGAGCAGCGATCAGACGGTCGCAGACGTGGTTGCGCACCTGCATGACACCCTCCTGGGTGTTGCAGGAAAGCTCGAGCATTTCCACCTCACCAGACTTCAGCATACCCTGAAGCTGCTCCTGTGTCTCTGCGTCCAACTGGCTCGGGCGCATAAGGTCAATCTTGTTGATGACAATTGTGATCAGCTTGTTTGCAAAAAGAGGCTTGATGTTGTTGAAGAGAGCGATCTGCGAAGCGACGGAGTAACCGCACTGCTCGCTGAGATCCATGAAGTAGAGGATGTGGGCGCGAAGATGGGCGATGGCACAAATCGACTGGTGCTCAATGGTATTCATCTCCTCGAGGGCGTGGTCAAGAATACCGGGGGTGTCGACTGCCTGGAATCGCAGCATCTTGTAGTCACTGTTTTTACTTATTAGGAGTGTTGGATAGTAGATCGGTATGATTGAACTCACAAGTGACCGACGTAGAGACTCTTGGTTGTGAAAGCGTAGGGCTGTACTTCGACATCTGCGCGCGAGATGTTCTTCAAGAAAGAAGACTTGCCAACATTGGGGAAACCAGAAATGACAAGTGTGCGGGTGTTGGGGTCGATCGAGGGCAGACGACCCAGATGTTGCCTGACCTGCTCGAGGTAGACAAGCGGGTCCTTAAGCCTTTTGCAAATTGTTGCCATGCGACCCAGCGCCGCCTTCTTCAGCTGCTTGCACTGAAACAGCGACTGTCCATACTTTAGGAGACGGACGTAGTCACGGGCGACAGTCTCAATAAGCGACTTGGCGGTCGATAGCTGACCAAGGGCAATGCGGAAGTGGTCTGCATCGTACAGGGTGTTGAGCAGATCGCGGTGGAACGGGTGGATGTCCTGCAGGCGAGGGAAGGCGTCGATAGTTTGTGTGAGGCGCTCGGTGAAAGTCTCGGAGGTGTATTTGACCTTACGGGTGTAGAAGGCTCGGATACGGCTGATCTTGAAGCCTGCACGAATCTGCGTCCGGGTAAGTATTATGCGCCATCAGAGGGTTGCGATCATGGCTTACCTGAGTCGGGAGACGCCTCTGGGTCCTGGACAAAACAATGTCCAAGAACTCCTGGCTCGTAGGCACAACGGGGATATCCTTCCACTGGGTCTTCATTTTGGCGGCGGCGTGGAGTGTTGTTGTCGGACGCTCTGCAAAAAGTCGCAGGAACGATATCGATAGCGCCTGGCGAGTAACTTTTTCTCGAGTGGCGCCTTCCCCACCGCTTAGTCGCCAAGATTTCGGGGACCCTCCCAAACACCAGCCGAGGCGGACCCGCTCTCGCCTCGACCTTTCAAATGAAATGAATCTCACGTTCATTGCTGCAGCATTGATCATTAAAACGCACCCAAAGTATATGTTGAGAATATGATATTGTTGAGAATATGATATCTGTTGGTGGATATGCTCCACGAGTGAGAATTCACTGATGCACTACATCTGCCAGCTTCAAGACACAGATACCACATGCAATGAGATTTGTTTCATGCTTGTAGCATTCGTCGTATTGCATTGCTTTGTCTATCCTCTTAAGTTATCATAGCCAGAAAGGATGCAGTCGTCCCAAAGAAACGCCACACTCATGCCGCATGGACACATCCAGCAACATCAGAACCAGACCTTGAGCATGTCCTGACATCGCCATACGGCCACAGCCCTGGAATCAGCCCAATTTCATGGGGAAAGAAGCTCCCAAGGTTCCATGTTGTACTCGCTGATATCGACTACCTCCCCGTCCCACTTCACTCCCACGCCGGTAGAGTACTCTCCATCGTACTCGCTCAGCTCAGTCGTTTCTGGCCTGGCCGATCGACACGTTGACACTCGGTTTTCGGTTGTACCTTCACTCTTCTACGAGTTCAAGTAGTTCCGGATAGCGCCCTGCAATTTCCCAGCACCCTCACCAAGCATGTTTGACAGGTTCTCGAGATCGTCGCCAGCCGTGATACCGAACTTGCGCACAAAATCCTTGGCAGCGCTTTCAAGGTCACCGTAGTCATCCTCGGGCATGTCGTCTTCAGGGCGGCCGAAGTATGCGTTCGATGAGATGGCTGATGCGCCTTCGAAGCCTGCGATTTGTTAGTAAGGTGATTGAAAGTTGAGGGCACTGATGGTATTGCATACCTGATAGTCGCTCCTTAGCCTGAGCACTTGCCGCGGGGTCGTAGTTGTTTCGCCCAAAGAACTCGTCACTGGAGATACCCTTCTGCGAGCCGAACTTCTGGCGCGCATACTTCTCGCTGTCGTCTTCCACAGGCTTGCTGACACTGCCAAAGCCACCCATCTTCTTTGCTGGTGCTGCCTTCTTAGCAGCACCGACTTGTCCGAATCCCAGGCGTGCAACGCCCATGCCTAACCTCTCGGTGTCAGCATCCCAGCGGTCTGGCTTTGCCGTCGAACCGAATCCTCCGCGGGCGGGGGAGACTGGTGTAGGTGCTGCGATGTTCGAGGCTTCGGCAGCCTTGGGCATCGTTGTAGCGTCGGTCTCAGCAGCTTCGGCGTCTGGGTCGTATCCAAGCTTCTCAACGCGCTCTGCCTCCTCCCTCGCCTTGCGCTCGGCATCCTCGAAGTCCAGGCCGCCGTCAGCAGCAACAACCTTCTTAGCTCCCAATCCCTTCTTCTTTGCGCCTAGGATGTTCTTCTTGGGCGCAGCGCCCGCGGTGGTCTTTCGTACCGTGGGCTTTACGACGGCAGGTGTAGTGGTTTCGGCCGATACGAGTGGCGATTTGGGGCGGTCTGCTCCGTTGCCAGCGGCGCCTGGCTTAAGGAATGGTGACTGAGCACGCGGTGTACCAGTTCGCGAGGGAGGGTTGGAGGGTCGCTTGATGGTGGGCTTGTCCCATGAAGAGAAGAAGTCATCATCCTCGCCGGCGGGCGTGTTGCTTTCGCTGCCACCAGCAACGTCTGGGGCATCTGTAATTACAACCTCTTCAGGGTATCTGAGGAGGAATGTCAGCGCTGACGTAGACTATATGAGGCACAAACGTACAGCTTGGCGTCCGCAGTGCATCGCCTTTGCAGCTCATCCTTGTACTTTGTTGCCGCATTGCTTGTGTATTTGGCCTTGGGGTCCTTGCTGGCGAGCGCAGCAGAGCCACCGTGCGACTGGAAGTACTTGGTCGCACTCTCGTTGCCACCGACCTTCATGATTCGTAGCTGATCCCATTGCCAGACTGTGCCTGGTTAGCATTGCTCCTTATGCATACAATTCTAGATTTCGGTGTTGACGTACTGTCGAGGTTCGTTGAGCGGACGAAGGAGATGTGGACACCCATGTTACGGTGATTCGAGGAGCAGTCGAGACAGAGGTAGATACCGAAGGGTACAGAGCTCCATGTTGGGTTCTTTGCGCCGCAGTCGAAGCATATCTACAGTCCATGTTAGCCATCGCTGACCGCCCCTCCCTGAATAGGGAAACGTACTTTATTCGCGGGCTTTGCCTTCAACTTCGCAAAGATGTTGTGCGATTGCGTCTTCGTAGCAAGCGCCATGTTGACGGTCTGGTAGGAATGCTACTGGTGTGGAGAATAGGAGGTCAACTTGCAGTGGGGATATTTTGGCGATCTGGAATGCCTGTCTGGCCGTTCCAGCTGCTGGGGAGCGCGCCAAGCACGTGCGCCTCGACAACATCTCGAGGGTTCACGTCACTGCTTCCTACCCGTCACCTCTTCAGGTAACTTCTGACATCTGGGACCAATACACGCCAGAACAAGCGTAGCTGGAGTTTGCCAATTGATCGCACATCAGTGCTTCCTCCACCACGTACCCTCAATCTACTAATGTTCAACTGCTTTATCAGCTCACGGTTATCTTCCCCTCACTGTTCACAAATCGCATCCCACTGCTCAGCCGCGTGACGATCATAGAAGTACAAGACTGAGAGCTAACCTGGCAGCTTATTCCACTCATTGCAAATCTTGAAATTCCACTTCGCACGATCACGATACTCTACTTAACTCACATAGATCTTACCATCTCATACAACCACCTGAAAGACACGACTACGTACCATGCCCTCAACACAGACAGTCCCTGCTCGCCGCGGTGCAGCAGCCATTGTACGCGTCAACCAAAAGATCAAGATCATCAACACCCACGGCAACCAAGTCGTCGACACCTGGGTCTTCGCCCTGCCATCCACATCGATAGGCACCCCCTCCTCTCGCCTCGAAGCGCCTCTCTATCCCGCCACGTTCTCTGCTTCCTCATCACACTATTCCACAGCTGCAAATCGTGCCGCTGCAGCACCAGAGTGCATGTCCATGTCGCACTGCCGCGCCAAATTACTGAAGCTCATACCGAGCGTTGGTGATACGCTGGTCAGCCAGAAACGCGCACCTTTGGTGAAGCTGATCGAGGATACGAGTCCAGGTGTGCATGACACCCTGATTGCAGCTTGTGATCGGTGGCGGTACGCCGAGCTAGGTGTTGAGGCATATCACGAGAGCTGTACGGACAACTGCTGGGACGCTTTGGCTGCCCTGGCCTCTGACCTGGGTGATTCAGAGAAAGGCGAGATTCTGCAGGGCTTGCAGACCAGGATGGGCGGGAGGGTGCCAGACCCTTTTAATTTGTTCATGAACATACCGGTTACGCAGGAAGGAGAGGGCGCAAGAAGAGGTGTCAGCTTTGAAGGGCCATTGACGAAGCCTGGCGATTATGTCGTGTTCCAGGCTTTGAGAGACGTTGTGGTCGTTATGAGCGCTTGCCCTCAAGATGTGCTCAACATCAACGGGCAGAGGCCTGTTGACGCGCACTTTGAAGTGCACTGACAAGAGGCGTAACGAGTCCTGCTCAGCGTCTAAGGAACAGTCATGTAACGCCATCAGGATAGGCGTGTCTAAAGGAGAGATGCGGGTTCGAGTTGCACCATGGCCCATTTGTTTTACAAAATGGAAGTATAAGATTGCTACATGCCGAGCCTTGATCTGTACTGGTCCCTCCTCGCTGCCGTTCACTGACAGCAGGATTGTGGCCGTCCCTGCACTTTGCAAACAGCAAACAACGAACACGCTTCTACGTTCATCCTTGTACTGACATGTTCAAGACATCGGGGTGCATGATCTCGCTCCATCGAAGAGGATCCATCGTTTCAAGAACATGTAGTCTGAATGGTCAGCGGGGAAGCTGTTGGCCTATGGCAAGACACTTGGATGCTTGTGCAATAGACTGACAGCCATTGCTCCAGAATACCGAGAGATGCGGATCCGAATCACGCCATGTCCATTCTTTTTGCAGATACCAAGTGATACTCTGGTCTTCGTGCTGCAGTATTGACAAGTCTATATGCATACCAACACCTACAAATGCAGCCCAACCCAATCAATTCCTCTCACCCTACAGCACATCACTCGCCTTACTCGCCTTCGGCCGTCGAAAAGGGTGTGCCTCAGTATTGAAGACCCAATCATCCAAATTCAACATATCCGGTCTCGAAAAGACCAGATAGAAATACTTCAACGTCTCCGCCGTCCAAAAACTCTCCATCTTATCCTCCACATTTCCCTGCTTCACTGTCGCAGGTCCATGGCCGCGAAACCTCTGTCCGACAGTGTAATGTTCCCCGCCGAAGTCGGTTTGCCCAGTGACGTCGAGCAGCTGCCCGTTGGCGTACGGTGTGCGCGTGTTGGCAACGATGGAGGTGAACATGTCCCATGCGTCGTCGAGGTACTCCTGTTTGCCTGTGATGCGGTACATGACAAACACGGATTCGATAGCTTCAGGGCGGAGGAGGTATCGTTTATCCCGGATATTCGTCCAGCCGCGCGGAAGACCTTTGTCTTGCGCTACCTGCTCCACGTTCGTCGCGTACTTGCTCCCGTAGTGCCACCAGACTTTATCTTGCCATTCGGTTTCGTTCCATTTGCACTCGGTGCGGCTTGGGCAGGGTAGCGTTTTGAAGATCTCGGGCGCGATGCCGGTGGGCATGGCGGCGTAGGCGTATATGCACCCTTTTGTTAGCTTCTCGCCCAGCTCGATGTGTGATGGGGTGGAGAAGAGACGACCGGCAAGGCCGAACATGCCGCCGATAAAACAGGTAAGATGTTGCATTTCGGGGTCGAGGGTGACTTCGTTGGGCCGTGAGGAGTGTACGTCGCCGCAGAATAAAAGGCTTTTGCTGAGTTCCTCGTCCTGAAGCTGGGGTCGAAACAGCATGTGCTCGTCGATCTTGGCTGCAGAGTCAGTGTACAGTTTCTGGTACACGGGTTCGAGGCCGCCGAGCAGGGCGTGCATCTTGGGAAAGTATTCGTATGTGCTGTCGGCGAGGGCGCCGAGAGAGAAGAAACGGCTTTGGTTGAACTCTTCTTTGCGCGCATTGAGGGTGGTAGGCCAGAGACCCGGTATGCGTGTTGTATCTTGAGTGAGGTCAAGGAGCCTAGTGATACGCGCTACAGCGTCGTAGTATTTCGACTGTTGAGTGATTTGCGCGAGACGAGTAAACTCCATGGTCAAAGATCCGAGGCAGGCGAAGCAGATGCTGGTTTCAGGTTTGGACGATACTCCTTCGGGATCCTTTGCCTTCTCAATGTCGAGCCAGCCTGTGGGCGTGTGGTTCTCAGTGTCGAAAGCACGGTAGAGCATCTCGCCGAGCTGTATGGCCTTCTCCAGCAAGACAGGCTCCTGGCTGAGGTCGTAAGCGCTCAGCATGCCGCCCAGATACCGAATCGTGGTCTCAAAGACGCTGACAGTCTTCATGTCTGACTTGCCAAAATCGATGGCTGCTACTGCTTCCACCCCTTCGTAGAACTCCTCCTTCATTCCCATGATCCACAGTGTGTCAAGAGAGTCCACCAACGTTGCGCCCCACCCGCCGAAGGTCTTGAGACCAATCCCTGTTATGGGTTTAAGCTCATCCTCTGCCCATGCATATGCACGATAGCTGTCCCAGCTGCGCCTGAACTCGTCCCGAACTGCAACTCTCTGTATCTCTCTGCGCTCTCGTTGTGCCTTTGTTTCAGGTAGGAAATCGAATTGTACTTTCAGAAGCGCTCGAGGTTGCCCAGCTGGCAGCGGCGTGTATGCCTTCATGGTGTTGCGAAAGGGCGCATTCCTCCAGTCGTATGATTGCCGAGACTTGTACGATTTAAAGCTCGAGCGATCGTTCATGTAAGCTTCGTGGTCTTCGAAGGGGATCGCGAGGGTATCGATAGGTGCGCAGAACCAGATGTAGTATGCGCCGAGTGCTATAGCTCCGAGGATGAGGTATGTGAGGGCTCGCTGGTGCTGGCGCGATATCTTTGGATTGCCTGCTGCATTGCGAGGTATCTTAATCCTACGCATCGTCAGGTAGACTGGTAGGGCTACTACCACTAGACTCGAAATGTTGGTCGAGCCGTGGCTGCAACAGAGCAAGAAACAGGAGTATCAACAAGCTGCGACGGCGCCAGCACCGTTACGAGTTCAACACGAAGATGGACCGGCAAACAAGAGAGCAAAACAACAAGGTAAACCTGCTAGAAGAGAAGATGCTGCCGAAACCGCTCCCTGTCGGTGTTGGAGACTCAACGTCACGGCGATTCATTTGTTTTGGAGGCTCATTCGCCAAGAAAGAGCACTGCCGAATCCAGGAAGGAGCTACAGGTGAATACGTGGATACCGATGGATAAACGGCGCAAAGCCATCGAAGCGCTCGTACGCCCGTATACCAAAGTGTGATAGCTAGTGTTGCGCTCGAAGTAAACATCCAAGGGGAAATGTCGCGGTCTGGGTGACGCGCCTTAGCGCGCCCCTCGAACTGGCTCGCTAACACTTGCATAAATGCTTGTACCCTCGGCATCACGATGCTTCTCTACCAATCAATACATACCAAGAATAAGCTCCATCCGTTCATAATTGCATGATGATGCGATGAGCAGCGTGCTTATATAGCACGTATTGATTTTGTCTAACCTTTTTCCCTGCCCATAAGCGCCGTTGCTGCACGGGACTTCCTCATCACACGTGCTGTCCTCCAACGTAACAGTCGTGTCGTCTTCATGACGAGGGTGTGTCTCCATCGTAGTTCTGCCGTGGCTGGTCCGATATGATCTCTAGTCGCTGGCCTTGTACTTCGCCCTGTACTCATCAAGCCTCTTGATATCATCCTCACTGCCCTGGCTCCTCAGGAACTCGACAATGTCGTCCAGTGTCAAGATGGAGAGCACCGGGATGCCGTACTGCTTCCTGACCTCGCCAATGGCGCTCGGTCCAGGCTTGCCGTCGTCGTCGTTCTCAGTAGGAGTCTTCTCCTGCCTGTCGAACGCAACGATGATGCCGACAAGCTCTCCTCCCTCCCTCTTGATGATGTCGATAGCCTCCCTGATAGCGGTTCCGGCAGTGATAACATCGTCAATGATAACAATTTTCTGGCCCTTGAGCGAGGCACCGACAATGTTACCACCCTCACCGTGGGTCTTGGCCTCCTTGCGGTTGAAGCTGTAGCTCTTCTTGCCGTACTTTGCAGCGTCCAGATCAGCCAGCTTGTCGATGGTCGTTGCAGCCAGAGGAATGCCCTTGTATGCGGGGCCGAACAAAACATCAAAGTCGAACGAAGAGTCGGCGTCGCCATGAGCCTTCACGGACTGGGCGTATGCCAAAGACATTGACCGCAGCAGATCTGCCCTGTGGAAGAGTCCCGCATTGAAGAAGTAAGGCGAGACACGCTTGGACTTGAGGGTGAAAGTGCCAAACTTGAGTGCCCCGGCGGACACACAGGTCTCGAGAAAGCTCTTCTTGTATTCCGGAAGTGCCATGCTGTATGCTTTTCTTGTGGAGTTGGTGTGGTGTTGAGTACTTCTTCCCGTTCCGACTCTCGGAAAGATGTTTCTCGAAGTGACAGGGATTAGTCTAGCGTCATCCGTCACTCCTGCAAAAGTTCAACACCACCAGACGATAGCACGACAGCACCGCCCACGCCCCATACCCAAGCCGCCATCGCCAGCGCATCTGTGCTCCGTGTGCTTCTATTTATTAATCTCTTTCATCGCTCTCTTTCGGCATTTTCGGCGTTAGGAGATACCCACGAGCCGACTGATCGCGAGGCGCAACCTGCAACCACCTCCACATCGCACCCCAGTCGAACACATCCAAGATGGCAATGTACGCTTCGCCGATATCTGAATCTGCTATTGCACGTTTGCTAATGCATCACCAGCTGGGACGTCCTTACCGGCAAGAAGTCGACCGCGACAGACTCGCAATCGCCGCAGGAACCACACGACAACTTCGCTGCATCGCCATCAGCGCCCGCACCCTTCGACCCCAGCACCGCCATCCAGAACCCCTCAGATTTCATCCTCGACCCGTCGCAATTACACCCTCTTGCCGGTCTGAATCAAGACACCCTCGACTACCTCTCCCTCGAAGACTCGGCGCCCGCAGACCACTCCGCACTTCCCAGCCGCGGCTGGTCAGACGACCTCTGCTACGGCACTGGTGTCAGCTACCTGACTGCGCTCACGATCGGTGGCGCGTGGGGTCTGTCCGAGGGTCTGCAGAAGAACCCGGCTTCGATGCCACCTAGGTTGCGCGTGAACGGTGTCCTGAACGCCGTCACAAGACGAGGACCTTTCCTGGGTAACAGCGCCGGTGTCATCGCCTTGATCTACAACGGCACAAACAGCACAATTGGCGCTCTGCGCGGCAAGCACGACCCTACCAACAGTGTTGTTGCTGGTGCGATTTCTGGCGCCATCTTCAAGAGCACACGGGGCACACGGCCAATGGCTATCAGCGCGGGCATCTGCGCAACCGTAGCAGGAGGCTGGGCTGTAAGTCTGATACTAAAGCAAACGCAAGAGCATACCCTAACATTGCATCAGATCACACGAAAGGTTTTCTTCGAGCCCGCCCCCGCTGACGTGTAAATGACAACGACAACGACCACCGCCGCAAATCACCACAGACCGAGACAACGGTCTGATTCTTTTCACTTCGACATTCGACCTTTTTGCATCGCTTTTGCTCGATTCGGCGCCCTTCTCACCACTCTCCACGCGGGCTCTGCCTACTGTACAATACTTGTGTCAACGGTGGAGTACATGTTCACTACATGTCTACTTAGATAAGAACGGGTGGTATTCAGCTTCTTGTGTTCAAGAGCATGTGTTGGCGTGTATTGTGTATCTATGTAAGACCTATGGACGGCGCAAAATAATGCATATTGAAACCAGTCAAAAACAACACAATGTCCCAGATCTAGGTACTTGCAAATAACCTAAGAAGTTGTAGAACAAAGTCGGATTGCACTCCTGAACGGATAGAAAAGCAGGTTTCGATGGTTTGCTACAACGCCAGCCCACCGGCTCTGCTTTACCACACGAGATAGAACACCGTCCGACGACCTCAATACAGCGTAGAGCCGAAAAAAGAATGGACATGGCGCGATTCAAAACCCGCATCTCTTAGGGACTTGGGCAGTGCCCGAGCATTAGAGCGTCTTTCCTTGGGTGGCTCGGACGATGGCTCACCTTCTGGACCGCATGCCCTCGGGATCATGACGCTAAGGCAGAGCGAAAAGCTCATGTACAGCAGCCTGTATGGGACGAGTGAAAGCGAAAGTACAGCCTGGAATGAACGAGAGGATGTAGACCAATCGCTGTACGCGGTGAAGTTGCGAGTCATGAGCCATACGCTCGCAAGGTACATAGTATTTTATTGATATAAAGCCTCAAGTTGACCAGCTCCGTTGAGGGCACTGGTCGGGTATCTCAGAAAGCCATTCCTCCGCAAACCCTCCAAACCTTCTAGGTTTCGTCTCCTCCCTTCACAGTTGAGCGCAAGTATCAAGTGCAGACTTGCGCTCCGCCCCCCTCCATTACGGTTATTATGGTCGTCAGGTTGAATAGACGCCTTCCAGATACTGTGATCTGCTTTTGTGTGTGATGCACATCCCATGTGCTTGCCCAATTCCTTCCTTAAAAAAGCAGAGAACGCCAGAGTGCCCGAGAACGCTTGTTGAGATGCGAGAGAAATATCGATGACTCAGCTGGATATCATGATGTCGTGAGATGAGAGTCGAAAGGCCATATATGTGCCGGTCTTGCTGTGTTGAATGTAGTAAGATCGTAATTCACCTGCTAGGTGGTGACTTAGTTGGAGACTGCAAGGTCCTTCACGCCGTTGGTGACTTCGACGGCTGCTGCCTTTGCGGTCTCAAGAAGGCTCTTCTCATCCTTGTGGACCTCGGTCTTCTCGCCGTTTGCGGTGCCGTTTGTACCGTTGGTCTCTGCGTGGCCGTTCGCCGTGGAGGTGATGCCGTTATCGAGCTTCTTCTCCATGCCTTCAACCTTCAAGCCGTCGAAGATGGGGAAGATACCGCTGGTGACGTGGAAGTCGTTGTGTACGATGTTGAGGAGGTACCAGGTGTCGATCAGGTCGCCAATCACGTATCTTGCGGGGCTGGTGCTGGCGTGGCAGTTGGCCCAGTCCTGACCGAGACGGTAGAACTCGTCCTTCCACGCAAGGAAACTAACAGTCTCAACGATAGTAGGCTGAACGATCTCCTTGCCTGGGAACACACCCCAGGTGACGGCATTGGGACCTTCGTTGGGAGCATTTGTCTTCAGGTCGCCATTCTTATTGACCGCGTAGTACGTGAACTCGGGATCGCGCTCGATACGGGTGATGACCTCGGAGATGTACTCCGGAGAAACAAGGACCTCGAGGTAGGACTTCTGGTAGACGTAACCGTTGCGTGGACCCCATCCGAAGGTTGGGTCGGACGACTTGGCACCGTTCACGGCCGGCTGCGAGTTGATTGTCAAGAAACCGCGTCTGTTGAGGTCGATCAAGTCCTTCTGGATTGCGTTGGCTTCTTCGGTAATGGCCTGTTCACTCCATGGCAAGGACTCGAGGTCGCCTTGCATATAGCGTACGAAGAGGTCGGAAATATCCTGGACCGACGTAGGCGTACCCCATAGCTTGATGTTCTGCTCGTTCGTGCCCTTCAGACCAACACCGTAGGAGTCTAATTCACCGAAAGCAGGCGATCGAGAATCTCCCCAGCGGCCGTTAGGGAACTCGTCCCAGTCTTGTGTGCGAGCGACGTAAGAACGGTTGCGGTTGCGCCAGAAAATCGGTCGTACATTCTCGTCGCGGCGGTTGAGGCCGAGAGATGGTCGCCATGGAAGGGGCTTCTCCAGAGGCGACTCGACGTCGGGTAGCAGCTCGAGCTCTTCGAGAACCATGCGCGTAGCTTGAGCCAAGTTCATAGTGTAGCTGTTTGTATTAGTAGAAGTTTTTGTAGAAATGAGCACGACTTACAAATGCAAGTGCAGAATGCCGGCATCGACCAGCCTGCGACACATCTCTGCGACAAGTTCGCTTCCCACTTCACGGACCTGTACATCGTCGTTCTTGATAGGCTCCAATGCCGCAGTCCACTTCGGTGGGACGTTGCAGCGGGTCCAGTTCGCCCGGCGCAGAAAAGCGGCGTGGGTGTGGATTGGCATAATGCCAGGTACAATAGGTACGTCGATGCCCTTAGCGCGGACTTTCTTGACCCAGTCGAGAAAGATGTCGGTATCGTAGAACATCTGGGTAACCACGAACGTAGCACCTGCATCCACCTTCTCCTTCAAGTGATCGATGAGCTGGTCGACATCGTCGTTGTCATCGCACCCTTCTGAGTATGCCGCTACACCAATGTCGAAGTGGTTGCCATATCTGTCTTTGATGTATTTGACCAGATCCTTTGCGTAACGGAAACCGCCCTCAGTTGCCTCCCACTTCTCCCTTTCACGCGGAGGGTCACCTCTCAGGGCGAGGATGTTCGTACAGCCGGCTTGATAGGCGTCGTTGAGGGCCTCGTCGAGCTTCGATCGTTCCATGTCAGTACATGTGAGGTGCATGAGTGTCTCGAGTCCGTATACGGTTTGGGCGACCTTGACCATCTCGGTGGTCAGCTTCGAGTGGCGGCCGCCTGCGCCCCAGGTGATGTCGATGAATTGAGGGCCAAAGCCGTGCATGCGGTCCATGCGGTCGTAGAGGTTTTGCACACCCTGTGCATGTCAGCCATTGTGTCCTCCAGTATACAAGAGCAGTATGTTGTGTACCTGGGCCGTCTTTGGCGGGAAGAATTCGAAAGAGAAGGTGGGCTTCCCTTCAGCCCGCGACCGGGCAAGCTTCTCTGAGATATGCATGGTGGCGATGTAGAGAAGCAAGGGACAAGGCGAGGAAGGAAGGAAGGAAGCTTCAATGGGTCCTGTGAATGTTAGCATAGGTCGAGAAATGTCCCTCATGCAAGTACCCCACGAGTGCTCTAAACCTACAAGGATGTATGAAGTCGAATGTAACCCCGCAAATGCAAACTTTCACAAACTATCCGAAGTATCGAGCGCGGGCCCAACGATCTGCAAGTTCTCTTTGCATGTAGGCCTCAGCAGTATAAGTAGAGTGAGGGTACAAGTCAATGATGTAGGCAGGAAGATTTTCTTTGGTGAAGGCTGGAGGTATGCAGATGATTAGGGTCTAGTTCGTAGTTCGTGGCGCCGTAGGCCAACAATGCCCGCAGATGTCCGATAGTCGCAGCAGCCCTGCCAAGAAGACATTGTGACGCGCATGGGCTGTCCTGGCTCCAATTGAAGATCGTTAGTTTGCGCATGCACTCATGTCAACATTCATGTGTAAGGTGAGCCCATCGTTTGTCCTACAGCTGTACACACAGCATGCGTAAGGAGGACTGACCAATGTTGTGCACTCAACCCCCACACTACCCCTCGTGGGCTGGGGACGAACCTGCGGAGTTCCTAATGCAGCAGTGCCGAACCATGGCATCGAGCAAGGTTGAATACCTCCACGCTTCTCCTGTTTGCCTGTACTCGATCCCTCACACTTCACCTCAGATCTGTCCTGCCATTGACCGTTCGCCATGCCTCCCATCGCGCGCCCTCGCCGCATCGTCGGTGTCTCCCTCAAGATGTACTTTGACCTGACTAGCACACTCTCGTACGTCCGCGGAGTCCTCCAGCTGGACGGCGACGCCTGGAATTCGAACGTCGACCTCTTCGTCATCCCCGACTTCGTCTCGCTCACCGAGTCCCAACGCATACTCGAGTCCTCGTCCGTCATGCTCGGCGCACAGGATTCACACTGGGAAGACAAGGGAGCCTTCACAGGAGAGGTCAGCCCAGTAGTGCTACGGCAAGCAGGTGCCAAGATCGTCGAGATTGGGCATGCTGAGCGGAGAGCACTGTTCGGCGAGACAGACGAGAGTGTTGCGAAGAAGGCCGGTGCCGCAGCAAGAAATGGCCTGATACCTCTGGTCTGCATTGGAGAGAAGACACATTACAGCATAGCTTCAGCAGCTGTGGGTGCGGCGATACAAGAGTGTAAACCACAAGTCACATCGGTATTGGCTGCTGTGTCTGACGACCAAGAGGTCATCTTGGCGTACGAGCCAGTATGGGCCATTGGTGCCAAAGAGCCTGCAGACCCTGACCATGTTGTCAATGTCACCAAAGAGCTGCGGAAACTTGCAGCTGGCAGGAGCGGCGTCACAAGGATCGTATATGGCGGCAGCGCAGGGCCAGGCACCTTTGCAAAGATTGCTGAAGGTGTAGACGGACTGTTCCTTGGGCGGTTTGCTCATGACATCCAGAATCTCAAGAAGGTGATTGAAGAAGTAGGCGGAGCGTAGAGCAACCGCCTTGCGCACATGACATCAGAATACATGATCATGTCGTCTGGAGATGATTCCACATCAAGATCGCTCGGTGACCGAGCTGGTGTCAAGTCTGTCATACATCACATGGCGCTGAGACGACGTTGTGGTAGTCAACAGTGATGACTGAGCATGTCCCCTGAATATATGTCTCCTTATATATGCACTGATTGCCTGCTGTAGTGTGCACAATACATCAGATTCGCGCGCAGATGAGGCCGTTCGCCAGGTTTTTGCTGCTGCGTGCTCCTGCCTTGTTCACCAAACGACGCTGTCTCTTGCCCTCAAACCAAGTTCCAATCTCAACAATACACAAGCCAACAAATCGCACACCACTCGAGCCCTGGCTGCGTTCGTACCGACGACCCTCGATTGTTTCTCGATGCCTTGAGCTACACCATGCTGGGTCCAGCCCTCCAGACGTGCCTGCCCATCTGCAACCGCAATTGCTTGAATCGTTGCCGATCAGGCTGCACCGAAGAGCTCCTACCTTGCTCGAAAATTCTCGACGATTCACAGCCTCTAGCATACGTCCAACACCAGCGCACTCAACCGCTCGTCCGATGATCCTCCAAGAGCAGTTGCGTTTTCGATCCGGCTATACCTCTTGCCATTCCTTCGAGGTGTGACCCAGATCCTCGACCTCCACTTCAACTGCCATCCTGGCTTTCACGAACATCGCAGAACCGAAATCCGACAGCAATACCCCCAAAGAGTCTTCAGCCCTACGATGGGGTTTCCAACGGCGGCCGGTGTGAGCTTCCTAATGCTACGACAGCTACGAGTTTGCGAGACCTCGGCCGTAATCAGACCGGTGAACCTTGAGAACTGCTGTACTTTGAACATACTAAGTGACAGGGTTCGAAGAGAACCCACGGATGTCTGTCGTCTCACTGCGTCAGTGCCACTATTGCTTGACAACATTCGACCTCGACGCACTGGTGAACACAAGCCTAGAAGTTGACGGCATGCCACGGTGCAGCTCTGGACGAACATACGGACTTTTCTGTCTTTCGTGATCAGTGGAACAACCCCTCGGTCAGTTACCCCGGACCGCGCGTACACGCTGAGCTCTTCCCTTCCATTTGGCTCGATGTGGGCATCAAAAACAACCAAATGAAAACCAAGACAGCATACGAAGCTCGATCATCTGACAGCGAGCTCGAACGACACCGCTGGTCCATGACCCAAACAAATGTACGTTCGACTTCTCCCTCTACGACTTGCAGAACCTCCGGATCCTGAGTGTGAAGGTCTACTGAGATCGACCATGGTGTTGTGGATCGACTACATATAGCCTTTTCGATATCGTAGCTGCGACTCATCCACGTCGATTATCCAAGAAAGCTAGGAGCGGAATAGACGTCGAGGACGCATGATTGTCGGCTTATGGTGTTGACAACAAAGTGCAAGAGAGGCTGCAACTCGAGAAGAACGACCCAGAAGACAGCCCTCATTCAGTTGTCACGATTGTCTCCGTACACCTGACAACTTCCTTGCACAACCTGCGAGATCCCTCGTCTCCTTCCCTAGTTCTCGAGATAGTCCACCACATTCGGTTAGACAAGCCACAATCGCGGAACGCCTCCGGGTTACGTTGCTTATTCACTCCCGAAACACCGTCGGATGAACGCAAGGTAACACGCAATCGGGTGTCCTGCATCACACCACCGTCGAGTAACAGTCGCGCTCTGCCAGCAAGCGGGGAAGTCGTGCAGCTGCTGGCTCTAGAAAACAGCTCGCGTTCATGATTGGCCGTCAACACTGTTGATCTGCACAATGTCGATTCATTCTTGACAACTAACGCTACGAACGAGTCGTCAAAAGTACCCTTTGACCGGACCAGGAGCCCAGCACTGCAACGGCTTGGTGACGTGTCGCACGTCACGGACGCATATCTAAGGATTTCGTCTCACACGTTCACGAAGGACCTTGGTGAGAAACCAATTGACTGAAGCCTTCACGCTGGATATTGGAAGGTCCAGTTTAGCTTCGAGCCCCAGCGCCTGGTCCGCGGCATCAGCGTTTCTCGACCTGCGAAACAACGTCTGGGAATAACCCAAGGTCTTGGTAGGACAAGTGCGAGTGTGGTACGTTTCCCCGCAAACTCGATCCCGTTAGCCACTTCACAAGATCCCCCAGTGTTTCGCATGCTTTCGTCTCCACTTTCTCCACATAACCGGTTATGTTCTCTTGGACTGGAATTGCTACTGGTCACGATCAGGAGGGCAATGTCTGACCCGTGTTCTCAGCTACCGACCTTTACCATCACCACTCAATTGGTACTGGATGCTGAGATCCCCCATACGCTTAGCGGTGACTGTGCAGTTTGGCAAGAAGAATGAATGCACAAGTGACGAGTGCGGCATGTGCCGTGCGTCATCGAAGGCTTACAGCGTTCAGTGTTCACTCTGATGGAAGCGCACTCGAGCAACGGCACTCCACGTTCACCGTAGAGTAACGACTCTATAGCTACAACGGTGCAAGGCTGCTTCAAAAACCTATGATCATTCCAAAACGAAAGCCACTTCGCAAGTACGGAACCAGTCATCTGTCGTCGGTGACAAGCCACTCCCTCCTTAGGCTCTATTCCAAACAGATCTTACTTCCTGCCAATGCGGAGAGAGGACAGGATGTTGGCGCGGAGCCGCAGCGGTTGGTCGTGGACTTCAGTGCACTGGATGGCTTTCGGGCTGCAACCTTCTCCAACTCTTTTTTGAACGCTTGCTTTCGTCCGGTGACTACGCTGTTTTGGAATTGGAATCCGTGCTTCCGAGTTTAAGACACATTAATGTATCCCCGTCGACTAGCTTACCGCCTCTCAGCTTATAATCTCCCCTGCCCTCCAGCCGAGCTGTCTCTATGCTCCGTCAAGACGAGTCAACAACATTTGACGACCACAAATTGCTGCAGCTGCAACTAGTTCGCTTCTAACACTAAAGGCGCTGGTCTATTCGGCAACGGTACTGGTATGACATCTAACAACGCACACGAGTCCGTCACCACAAACAACAACCAACATCTCGGAGCCTCATCAGGCAGGGCCGACGCTCACAACAACACACACCTAGGTGCTACATCGGCACGAGACGAGGAAACACTTTCCGCAGGGTCAACAGCTCGAGCAGAGTCCAGCGCCTACAGGATGAGCAACAACAACGGAAAACTGGAGAAGGACTTCTCCTCCAGCAATGGTAAGTGATGTGTTTCCATCAACTTTCAACTGCATACCAATGAAAGTCAGGTTATGAATATGGTGGTACTACGAATGGCGGACATCAGCATTTGGACAACAAAATGGATGAAGACCTGGCCCTGAGGCACATCCGGACTGCTGGCAGCATCTCTATCTCTCCTGAGCTTTTCGAGAAGCTCTACCTTTCGCCAAAGAACGAGGTAAAGGGCGAACTCCGAAAGACATTCGGTAATCCTACTCCTCTGTAAGTCCTCCAAGTCATCTAGATTTAGACATTTGTTAATCACCATAGTGCTCTCATTGGTTTCCTGCTGTCACTCACACCCCTGAGTTGGACCCTTATGGGATGGCGCGGCGCTGGAGGCAGTGGCTCAGCAAGCATTGGATGGTACTTCTTTGCTGGTGGTCTCTTGATGGTTCTCGGTGGTCTTGGTGAAGTACGTTCAACTATCTCTAGACTCAATCAACATGTGGCTAACGACTTTTGCAGTGGATTCTCGGCAACACATTCCCCTTCGTCGTCTTCACCTCCTTTGGCGCTTTCTGGCTCGGATATGGCGCCACTCTTGTACCCTCGTACGGAGCTTACGGCAACTACGCTGATCCCACTATCCAAGGCAGTACTGGACTGGAATCTGTTGGCTTCAACGTCGGAATCGGTGAGTTTTTTTCATCTTGTCCAGCACGTTCCCCAGTCACTAACTCAACACAGCCTACTTTATGATCTCCATGGCAATGCTCTGTCTCGTTTACCTTGTCTGCTCGATGCGAACCAACCTGGTCTTCTTCCTCATCTTCTTCACCCTCACCCCAGCTTTCGGTCTCCTCGCCGGCACCTTCCTGAACCTGGCGCAGGGCAACGCGGCTACGGCTTCAAAGTGTCAAGAGGCCGCTGGTGCGTTCGCGTTCGTCACTTGCCTGCTTGGATGGTACATCTTCTTCGCCATCATGCTTGCTAGCGTCGATTTCCCCTTCTCCCTGCCGATTGTCGATCTTTCGGGCATAATTAAGGGCGCGAGCGAGAAGCAGAAGGTCGACCACGTCGAGTAAACCTGAAGCGATATAGCATCGGCGGCGTTGACGGCGAGGAGAAGGAGGACATAGGATCTACAGCTTGTAGTATGCTTATTAGCGACGGTGTTAGCTGTCTACTGAAGCAGCTGGCGTGCTTTTCATCTCTTCAAACTGTTGATATCGATTGCGACGTAGTTGTGTGTCGACGAGATCCTAACGTTGGACCGACTAAAGCTTTAATATATCCTTGTGTTTGCCTATCGATAACTGATATGAATGGTGTATGTGATGATTCACTGTCTTGCTTCGTCAAAACAGATTCGATTAACTTGGCTCCTACACCTGTTCACGATGGTGTCCAGTCCACCCGGAATGCTCTAATGCGCCTAAGAATACCCGCACGTCATCTTCCATTCCGTTTGCCACTCTGTTGCAGTACTATCCCATAATCTAATACTACTTCGATCCCCAAATAGATCTACATAATACGCTCACCTACTCCCATCGATACTGTCGCCTTTCTTGACTAGCAACTGGAATTGCTCTGCGTTTTCTTGGTTCTTCTTGTTCACGTGCAATGAGAGTGGGAGAGAAAACCCAACAGCGAGTCTGCGCTCTGCCACGAATATGCTGACGGCTTGCGTCCTTTTTCGGCTCTCTCGCATGGTAAACTCGACATCGGCTTAATGCGAGTTCGAGGATTTGGTGTCGGGTTTGGAGACGGCGTGCACTACACTAGGTCGGATCGCGAAAACCGGCGCTGAGGTATGGGAGAGCGTAGAGGTACTCCGTGTACCCTCCTGAATCTTTTGCTTGCGTGGCTCAACGTTAATGCTCGCTAGGCGTGGGATCAGGCGGTGCGGTGCTCTTCACACGGTGTATACTAATCTCAAAATGCTCTTCGCATTCATCAAAACTACCTACGCACATTCAAGGTCGCTCCCCCGAATCCAAGCCCCACCCTTATAGAGCACCGTACTATCGCCTTCCTTAAGCTGGTACTCCCAAACCCTTCCTTGACGACCGAGCCGGGAGATTTTGATATAGTACTGTTTGTAGATGCGATGACCCTGCTGCAGTACGGGTATCGTGACATGGTCACCTATCAAGAATTCCGATCCTAACTGCCCATATGCTGGATGGCGCTCCCCAGGCAAGGTGTCCGACCCAGTCTCTTGATCGACTGGACCCTGTGGAGTGTTTGTCTTGCGGCTGATGTAATCGTGTTCGAGCTCTGTCTCAGTCTTCGAGCTCTCTCACTCTGGTTGATCTCCTGTTGTGCAGACTCTCTGGTTTCAATCGGGGCCGATGGAGCGTTGTCGTTGGACCTTGAAAAGTCTGAAATCCAAGCTGTTGCTGTACGCCGTGATTCACTTCTACGGTAGATGGTCAGCACCTTGTCGTCAGGCATAAAGGTGGCGTCTTCGGAAGGAGCCAGAGGAAGATTTGCATAGCGCGATGGTGCTGATGACAGTGTTGGTGGCTGCATTCGCTGCGTCACTGATGCAGCAGCAACACCAATGATAACCGATGACAGCAGAGTCACGACCAGATGAGCCGTTGGTAAGGTCGTCGCTTGAGATTTGATCTTCGATTCGGGGTCGCTTTTGGTATTGCTGGAGATGCCCACGACAGACTTTGACAATGATTTCCATCCCGGCAATGAAGTCGCCCACTGAGAAGCCGAACCCTGGAGCAGTCATGTTCGAGAACGCGCAGAGGCGGTCAGTGAGCGAGCTTCCTCTCAGTCTGACATAATACTGCTCATTCATCGAGGACATGATCAGTCTGCACTTGATATTTCTTTCACCAACCCTCCTCCATCGAGACATTCGTGTCATCCTCGCCATCGATTTCGAGCTTGGTGATTTGTTTTTGTAGTTCCTTCAATCGGCTCTCGATCTTCTCCAACGTATGATACTGTCGAGAGCCTCCATTCTCTTCCACGCGGCTTAGGTAGTTTTGCGCTGTATGCAGCTCCCGCTGACAATTGCTGAACCTGGTAGCCTGCTCAGCAGCCGGTGTTTCTTTGCTGATGGGATACACATCCCACTCGTCCATGGCTGTAGCAGCTGTGTTGCCCACTATCAGGTCGCTGATCCAGAGTGCAACGTTTCCACGAAGTTGCAACAAGCTGGCTTGTTTGTCAAACGGCGGGGATTTGACCAGGTCGTCGAGTCGTTCGGCAAGCTCCCTAGCTTGGGCGAGTTCTTCGACCTGAACTGCGTCCTCGCGGGCTCGAGCGTCGCCCATACTTTTGCCATCGCCGCTGTCGATGGACATAATCCTGGACCGTGACCGCCGAGCATCTTCTATGTTCCGTTTCCTTGCGCGCTTGCTCTTCTCGTTGACTTCCTGGATCCAGAGCGAGAACATGGCAGGGTAGAAGCTCCTCTGGTCCACGGCGTGAGGTGCTTGTTTGCGAGTAGGATGCTGCACGATGAGGCGTTCGTAATACTCCCTTGCGAGCTCAAACCCTTGTTCGCTGAAGATGTCGGTGTCAGTGTCAGTGTCAGTGTCAGTGTCTGCTGCACCATCTGGCTGGTCTCGACTGTTGCTTGCTACACCTTGAGGTTTTCGACGAAGTAAGATCTCAGCGCCAACGGCCCAGCGACCGTGGTTGCGAAGATCCACCGTGCTGCCGTGCGTGGCCTGAGTCCTCAGGATCATGCCCCATGCTCTGCCAGCACGGTCGTAGTCGCCTTCGAGTAAACATCGGTGCATCACAGTGGATAGCACATTGAGGTGTGTTCTCCTCAGATTACTTGCCTCTGTCTGGCTACTAGCATGGTCACTTTGTGTCGCAGTGTTGTTGACCGTGAACAGACGCGAGGGTGGCCCAGCAAGCTCTTTCTGGATCTTAGCTGTGCCTAGGTATGGCTTGGAGACCCTTGCAGGTGCGTGAGGAAACGGTGAGGAAGGCGCTCTATACTCTTCCTCGGGCAATAGACCTGCGACACGTAGCTGTGCTAGCTCGGCTGAGGCAAATGAAGGGTGTGAATGCGCGTTTGATCGTAGCGAGCGTGACTTCTTGTCAACATCAGAGCCCGAGCAAGATGAGGACGAGTGCTCGTCATCGTCTTGCTCGTCGTGGTGCCTGTTCCTGCGCTTCTTGCGGTACTGGCTTGCACGCAGGGAGAGTGTCGATTGTTGCTCGGCATGCAGCTGGGGAGCAAAGTACTGCATGTTTGTGTTTCATGTAGGGACCAGTGCGATATAGGCAGCGCTGTAATAGGCGCAACGGCGTCGCATGAGCAACCAGCCAAGCACGCGCAAAACGCAGACGGGCGCAGACGGACGCAGATGGGCGCAGATGGGCGCAGACGGGCAGCGTCGAGGAGTGCAGCAACGCGCTTGCAGGCACTTGGGAAACTTCGGCGAGCATTGTCCTGGTTTTGGGTTGGGGTGAATGTCGCTAGCGCCGGTGGCTTTGAGGCGCATGCATCATCACCGACCTCCATCCTGAGGTGAGACTGCACGATCACCAACGCAGCACTCCGCCAAACCTCTCCCTCCTTCCCTTGACGAGGCGCGCCTTCCACCGCCGAAGGGCCTCTCACCATGGGCCAGGCCAACTCCCGAGCTGGAGGCTCTTCTCCGCCCGAGGAGCCGCGCACATCTCGCCGTCGCAGCTTCCGGCCGTCCTCGTGGGCGCCTGCCAGCAGCGACCGCAGCGACCGCAGCGACCGCAGCGACAACGCGCCCGAGCTGTTGCACGCAGCGCCGCCTGCTATCTCGGCGCCCTCGCCCTCGCGCCGCCTCTCTCAGCGCATAAATCCGTTCTACCGCTACTCGTCCCAGGCTGCGCAGGCACACGATGCTGGCTCATCGCCCACGCTCGAGCCCACGACGCCTCACGCGCCTCACACGCCCGCTCGCCGGCCACAGTCACGGCTGATGCGAGCACGCAGCTCTCTCGGATCTATCAGCGGCCTCCTGCACAGCCGGCCGTCAGTCAGCCACCGCAACACCGAGCCCGTCCTCAGCCTGACCGCGACGCCGCTCAGCACAGCAAGACCCCGCTCGGCCCTGAGGCAGTCGCAGAGCGAACATGGGCCCTCGCTGCCACAGGTCCCCTCGATAGCGGACCTCGATCTGGACTTTGACAGCCTCCTCGGCTCCGGCTCCGGCCCCAGCACCAGCAGAGACCGCTCCGACTCGGACAGGTCAAGGCCGCCAGCCACGCCGAGCTCGCTGAGACGAGATGGACGGGCGCTGTCTATGCTTCCCCGTCTGCGCAACACTCTCGGCTCCTCGCGGAGGCGGCGGTCGATATGGCACGATGACGAGAACATGGACAGCATTGAGCGCCTACGCAGAGGCGAGGACCAGGCAGATGTGCTGTCTCGTTTGCTTTCGCTCGCAGCAGCAGCAACCGCGGCCTCGCTCGTTGGCGAGGATCACCAGGCCGCGACACGAGACGGCACGTTCGATACGTTCCTGCAATCCCTGCAGAATGGCAGCATAGCGTCAGCTTTGAGGGGCAACGAGGGCGGTCAAGGCGGCGAGACTCCAGGAGGCGCACCGGCACCCCTGAACTTCTTCAGGATGTTCAGATTCGGCACATCAAACACTATCGGCAGGACCAGCAGAGAACGAAGTCGCGGCAGCGGCTCTGGGTCAGATGCCCAGGACGGCGAGGAGGACAGTGAGGGTCGCATGGTGCCCATCATCATCGTAGGCATTCGTTCGATCAACCCGGCATCCGGCACAGGACAGGACGACGGCAACATCCCGCCCTTCCTCGACGCCCTCTCCAGCTTCCCCACACCCCCAACATCGCCCGGCGACAACGACACTGTACTCCGCCCGCAAAACGGTACACGCTTCAGCCACCGCCGACGTGCGTCCATGGGCGGCTTCAACTTCCCCTCCAACTACGACAGCCAGCGGCATCACCGATCACGGCCGCAAGACCAACCGCGCCCCTTCGCGCCATCCCTCGCCGACTCACCGCCAGGCCCGCAGCCTCCACCCTCGACACCCGCCACAAACGCGGCACTATCTGCCGATCCCTCGGGATCTACCACCCCCACCGCAACAGCCACACCACCGTCCTCCACACCTCATTCGAACGCACCGTCGCGACGAGGCAGCTTCGTACGCAGATCACCTGGATCTACACTAGAGCCGACTGAAGAAGAAGAGCCACAAACAACAACACGAAGCCCCCGCCAGCGTCGTCTGAGCGAGTCAGACTTCACAAGATATGGCGCTGGGGCTCCCAGAAGACGAGGCGTCGTCGAGCCGGACAACAACCCGGGCGAGGGCTCAAGGAGCTGGATCATCTATGTGCTAGGTGGCAGCTACCCAGAGAACCACCCAATACTCACGACACCCAGTCTTTTCACCGACTCACCGACGTACGAGGACATGATGCTGCTGTCGTCCATTCTCGGTCCTGCGAAAGCACCTGTTGCCAGTGAGGGGGACGTGGCCGCCGCACCTGGATTGTTCAGAATCGTACGCAATGTGTCCGGTCTTGTGGCGGAAGAAGTCGAGGGCGAGGAGGCAATCGAGCTGGCAGCTGACGCACGTTGTCTGGTGTGTCTTTGTGATTTTGAGGCAGAAGAAGAGGCAAGGAAGCTGGTCAAGTGCGAGCATCTGTTCCACAAGATCTGTATTGACCAGGTAAGTCTGACTTGAGCAGATGTGAACTTTTAATAACTGACCTGCGCAGTGGCTAACAACTGGCCGCAACTCCTGCCCGCTCTGCAGGGGGCAGGGTGTCGATGAATCGCCAACGTCTGACGTCCCCGATGCACCTTCACCGCCATTGTCAACACAAGCGCCAGAAGCCGTCGCGTAGTATCAGTTGCTCTTCATGCTGCGATATCTTCTCCTTCTTTCGAACAGATACCTCGGCTGTATCGTTACGGCCGAACGATCCATCTTCCTATCTTGCATATCCTGACGGCCGATCTTCCACTACACATCTCGTTTATCTGGTCTCGGTGGAGCTTACGCCTATCCCATCATATCTGTCACTCACAGCGCTCGGAGTTTGGGTCTGCTTTACTAGCTGCAGTTGCAGCATTGGTTTTACTTTAGCATCTAAGGGTAGGGGTAAGGGTGGCATCTCTGGGGCGTACATTTCACACGGAGGGAGGGTATCTGGAGTTGAATGGTACCCTGATCATCTAGGTAGTCACCCATAGTAGGCGCATACGGGTGACGGATATGCTGCATCATGGCGGCAGTAATGAGAACAAGAAATACTTCGGACCCAATCTCTACCTTCCTTGCTGTTGCATGCACTTCTTGCCGGGATGTAACAAAAGCTCGGTGTAACAAAATAATTGGACTTGGACATCTGTTGTCTGAGATGCACGCACTCGCTGTTGACGTACTCCGACCGTCCGAGCGAAGTGCATACCGCAAATAGCCTGCGCATCGCTTTCGGTATCCGGTCTAGCGGTGCATCCCTTCCACACGTTTGCGCCGTATCGCGTATAGCAACCCTCGTCTCATTGTAGGGGTCTGGCCATACAAACGCGGTCGAAATCTTCCGTGAAACCTGCCTTGCTGTGGGGGTCCTTGCTGCGAGGGCTCTGGTGGGGTGGGTGGGGAATCAGGACGCCGTGCCTTGCTGTGGGCGCTCTGGGTGGGGTGAGTGTAGAATTCTTGAATGTGGAGATGAGCCGTGGAGGCATTGCCGCGATAGGTCAATGCTGGCAGCTGAATCTGCGCAGGATGCGTGGTTGAGTTGGATTTGCTGGGTGGAGACGGGTCGTTGTGGGCGTTGCTGGAACGGGAAGGGCGTTGGGAGAGGGATTGCTAGATCCACTGGCAGATGCAGAATATTGTTAACTTGTAGGATCTCTTGAATGCAGGTGGTCTGTTCTGGGCATGGATTGCGAGGCGCGGATGACGCGAGAGTTCAGTTGCGAGGTTATGATAGGTACGTGGGTAGTAGACTTGCACACTGCAAGAAAATCCATATACAGCAGCTGCCAGAGATCTGGAGGTCTTCAGAAGTTCTTGAACAGTTGGTATGGTTGGATTTTGTCTACCTGGCAGCTTACAATGCCTCAGTTGATCTGTCTTGTTATGCTCCCGCAGACTTGGGGTTTGGCTGCTGCTGCGACCAGCTTTCCCTTCTGCAACATGAGAGGGAGGCTTGGCTAGTATGTGGAGACTACCAAGCGGTCGTTACTCGAATCGAGAAACTAGTAGCTAGCCATACGATACCTGAATAACATGATTCGAATCGAATGTTGAGTTTGCGCTTAGCTCTTGAGCAAGCGAGTGGTTCGCTGAGACGAGGAGACATTGTTCCATTGCAGATCCAAGGCTTCAGGGTGGTTTGGCGTAGCGACTCATAGCAGCCACGACTGAGATTGCGGTTCATCGATGTTTGTTAGGTTTAGGCCAAGTTGATGCAGTATGTGAGCATTGCGCACGGACGAGTTGATCGAATTTGTGGACACAGTGCAAACTCCGTAGAAGGACAGGCCTTACGTGTGAAGGTTGAACAATGCTCTGCAGTCTAGCATACAAATAGAACTTGACAACGATCGTCAGTCGTCCGAGAAGGATACACGGGGTTGGAGAGGCGAAGCGCAATTTCGGATGTACTTTGTACTCTGTTTGGAGCCCGTTCGAGGCATTGCTAGTCTGGCAGAGGAGCCATATCTGACTTTGTCGCTTGTTGAATGGCAAGCCTCCTCCATAGAGCTGCCTGATGAACAGGCTGTCAGGGTCATAGCTGTTGTCCTGTGGCTTGCGGCTCCTGCCGAGCGTTTCATGCACTGACGATAATTGACAATAAACTCAATTTGATGTCAGCCATCAACTTCCATGTCGTGACGCAGGTGCACACGGGTGGCAGCACCAAACGGAGAGCCACATGTGTTTTCATGTGCAATGAGCAGGCATGATCCTGAGTCAGACACGTGGACGCCGGTGTCCCGGCATCTGCGGCATGCATGTCTAGGGGTGTTGCTGGCCAAGGCAGGAACTCAACGATACGTTGATATGTCGTGCCTTTGGGTGCTGGCATTGGGTGCTCGCACACACACACACAAGCAAGCCACTGAGTTTCGCAATGACGCTCGACGAGAATCTCGACGTTCAAAGTTTCGTCAGACATGGCACAGCAGTTCCTGCTTTAGTCAGTCAATGCTCAAAGATGGCGTGTCTTGAGTTGATAGCCTACACTTCCTTTCTTCGGCGACGTCAACTCGACGTCGAATTAGAGAATTCTGCAATGCTGATCTGCTAAAACTTGAAGAAGTTGGGTTCGATCATGAAAGCATGACGTCTGGAAGGTGCACGGCCGTCTCTGAGGTGCCCACTCAATGATTGCCGAAAATAAACGGTGCATTTTGTGATGGACTAGGGACGCACGGCATCTGTAAAACAGCTGAAAGATGGTAAGTTTCGCCCTGTTCCACAATACACAAGACGTACTGTGATATCCACTTATGACACGTACTGCATAAGGCCCTTCACATCGACCAAGCGCAAGAGAATTCCTGGCGTTGCATATCATTGCCAGGCTTGCACATTCTTGCTGCATGCTGACAATTCGCAGGCTTACCGCTCGAAGATCACGAACGATAGGCTGGTCACTACGCCGCTCACGAAACAGTAGACTTGCCACTCAGATTCGCGCTAGTGTGAACGGAGAGAGACCAGACAGCCTCAAGTCATGCGACTCAGAATTCTTGCACCAATCTTTCAGTCTGAAGCCATCGACAATCTCACTAACGGATGGTCATGGCGCCTGTCAAGTCTTGGACGGACGCAAGTCACCCATACCATAGACCGTTCTGGTGGAAACTGGGCCCGGGCGCCAGGCAGGAAACGGAGGTTAAGATAGCGCATGTTGTTCTCGAAAGCACCGCGGCTGGAGATGGGTGCAGATTGCTGTGGTCCATCCAGCTAGCCATCTTTGGCGATGTGCTATCAGTAGAGTGATGAGGCTCGAGGGTTGGCCTTCGAGAACTGCCACCGGACAAATGCACTGCATTATGCATCGGGTCATGCTCCAGTTTGGATCAGCAAGTAATGAGAATGGATCCCCTGCTCTATACTCGACGAAGACCCCACGTAGTGTTCAGTAATGGAGGACACGGCTGCCTCGAGTACGAATCGTGACTGCCGCAGAAAGCTTCGTTCTCACAGCGCCCGTCACTGGTCTGCGACGGTCTGCGTCAAAGAACAAGCTTTAAAAAGATGCCCCACACTCCCTCACTTACCACTTGGTGAAAAATCGGAGCCGACATGCATCATCTCCGGTGTTGCAGTCATCTTCTGGGTGCACTGGGACCACCCGCCCGCTGCAAAGTCGATCAAAATCCACAATGCCGATGGGTGATGAGTCGCAAACCTGACAGCTCGGTGTCGAAGGAGCCTGGAGTCAACGTGCTGCTGGAAAGCCACCTGGCCATGTGCGGTCCAGAAGTCGTGCTGTGCCTCAACGTCCTTCGTTGATAGGATTGCCGTCGCCGTGGAGCACACGCAGGGATATGGAGAACGCCAAGGTCTAGGACCGTGGAGTGCATGTTGCGTTGAGAACCTCCAAGGGTGCGCGGAAGACGGAAAGGGCACGGTTCATAGCGCCTGCCCGGGGGGTGGACGAACAGCTCACTCCCAGCAGCTGCTTTTTCCTTTTTCTGCACCCCAGCCAGGCCTGCAGATGTCTGATGAGCACTCCAGCTGTACGTTCCTGGCATCGAGCAGAACTGCTCGTCCTAACGTGCCGTATAGCTCAGAGCTCTTGCCACGGGCTAGCCCAAACACAACAGCGAAGCTCTATCTGCGGCTGCTGTACTCCTCTGCCCAACATCGCCCCGTTTCAGACTGGCACCTTGTCTGCCTTCATCGTCAGTAGTTGTGGTGCGCCGTTAACCACCTTGCTCCGTGGGAGTGTCAAGAGTCAATCGCGCATTTTAAAGCCGCTTGGTGGTTGGTGCTAGCTAGGGCCTAAGCATCGCGCAGGAACCAGCCTGCATCCGCCTAAAAGCTCACTGCGCCTCTGGATCAGGCACATGTATTGTCAAGCACATCTGCACCGACTTCCACTCCATCAATTCCGGGACCCTGCCGTAAAGTCGTTGTCAAAAGAGAGGCGATCGCCTGCGTACCCCTGCATCTGGAACCCGAATGACGTTGATCACATATCGGGCCTTCCGTCACCAGCAACTACCTCTCCAACACCACACTTTTCAATCACTGTACGCCGGAGATGTCTGGATACTATCCTCCAGGCAACAATGTGCCGTTCCAGTACTACAACACCGATCCAAATGCAGTTCCTGCTTCCAACACGCGTAATGGTGCCCCGCTGCCAAGGATGATAGATCCATCCTACAACGGAGCTCTAGGAATACCAGAAAACCCATTTCAACCTGGGATAGCCGGACCGTTCGTGCAGTACACGGAACCTCACATGCAGTCGAAGTATGGCGAAACGTACGAGGACATCTCTGGACCATTGGGATCAGCGCAAGGCGGAAATGCTCGTGTAAGGCGGCGAGCATTGCCTGGCGAGCAAGTGAAGCATCGCAGGACGAGAAGCGGTTGTTTCACATGCAGGCAGAGAAGAGTCAAGGTGAATGCGCAACTATGGTCAAATCTGAAACATGGCTGATGTGGCGACAGTGCGACGAAGCTCATCCTATGTGCGACAGTAAGTTCTCTTCAGATTCAATGATTTCACACGTTTGACGTGTTTGAATCCAGGATGCCGAAAGGGTGGTCGCGAGTGCATTTATCCAGACAAAGAGTCCAGCCAAAAACCGATTCGTAGTGGGTCCAAATCGGAGAAGTCCTCCGCGGAAGGAACCTCCTCACCAGAAGACCATGAAGGAGAAGGTGCCGACCATTTGCCTATCATCCACGATGATAATGAAGAGGAGGATGATGACATGGAAGCTAGCTACATGGGAAAGAGCCAGGATCTGCGCGATTCGTCCAACACGCCCGCATCCACGCTTGACCAGAGTACCTCACCGTCCACAGAAGCTTCTTCAACGGTTCCTCCGGCTGTACGGCAGTCCCTTTCTCGGAGAAGCAGTGCACAGGCTACGAAAAATGTGGCAGCAACTCGAAATCCTTCCCATGTGCCCAAAGATGTACAGTTCTATTTGAACTACTTCAAGGAGCACATGACCCACCACCATTATTCCTTGAAGCGCGACTCTCACAACTTTCTTAACGGCGACTTCCTGACTTACGCTATGAAATATGAGCCATTGAAGTATGCAGTGGTGGGGTATGCAGCTTACTTTCATACGATTTCACAGCCAGATGGTCGCATGTCAACGTTCCTCCAATTCTACAACGAGTCGGTCTCGCGCCTTCGGCTGTCCATTACAAAGAACAAGAAACAAGGGCTTGCAACTTTCCTCACCATTCTGCAGCTTGCAAGCATCGAGGCAAGAGCACCTTAGAACTTTGTGCGAGTCAACGCTAACACGTTCTGACAGGAAATGCTCGGTGATTGGGTCAATCTCATGGGCCACCAGAAGGCTGCTTTCGACATGCTCACTCGCTTGTATACACCCAAGACCATTACTCAGTCCGACTTCTTGCTCAAAGTACTATTGTGGTACACTCGCTTCGACTTGTTTGTTGGCCTCCAGTCAGGTGGAGAGGCAGTATTGAGCAGAGATTGGTATGAGGCAGTGCACGAATGCTACGTCACGAAGGTACGCGACAATCCTGAAGATATGGGTTACAAGTACGAAGAGCGCTTTGCATATTCTCGGATCGTAGCCAAGGATTCGAGCGATCTTTTCTCCCGAATGGGAAAAGGTCTCCTTAGCCCCCAGGAATTCATGGAGCAACTTCCAGTAGTGAAGAATAAGGTCGAAGGTTTGGCCAAAAGTATTGGCCCAGAGTTCCAGGATCCTACCCACAAAGTCAAGAGTATTCCTGGACAACCGGGACCCGACGATATTGTCAATGCCTTCGAACCCAACATCATCTACGGTGACGATCTATGGACAACGAACTTTCTAATGCTGGACTTCTGGAGTATTAACTTCATGTACGACATCTCGACGTCTATGGCGTTTAAAAAGCCATTCGAACCGGAACTCACGGCACTCGCGTACAAGGCCGCGCAAATTTTCGAGGCGATGTGCGCATATCCTAAAGCACCGCACGGTGCCATTATCGAAGCGCAAGTCAGTTTCGCCATTAGCACACTATTCCTACCCAAAGACCCAAAGACGATGCAGTGGTGTCGACGAACATTCGCGAAAGTAGAGTCTCTTGGGTATATCTACCCGGATGCCATGCGTAATCGCATGCTGGAAGCTTGGGGTCTCGAGCCTTCTGACTGGTGGCTGCCAAATGATGAAGGGTGCCCGCCTATCATTCGCTCGATCAAGGACTTCATTCGCGAACGATCAACAGCGCCTAAGGACCAAGTTTCTGAGGATCTCAAGGAGATGAGAGGTATCTTTAGCAGTCTGAACATGTCCGACTCCCCAGGATCGGACAACATGACTATCACAAGTAGCGATAGCGCAACAGGAGCAATGGGTGTAGCAGGTCAATTCACTGCGTCGCCCGAATGGTGATCACAGCTTGGAAAAGACAATAAATCTCCGTCTTTCGCATACTTAACCCGACATCTCGACATGTCGCTTTGATCGACAAACAAGGGAGAAGTGGCACTTGAAAGCCTACACGTCAGCCAACGTTATGATACCGACGCACCGTCGAGCCTCCGGACCACGGATATCTACAGCCCCAGCGTTTCCGTCTGAAACGAGCTAATCAACGATGCTCAGCCCTGTTGTGTCTACTTGTCGTCGCAGGATGACTTCCGAGAGGCGTTCTGTAACACGTTGAGCCGCATAGCTAGCACACTCCGCTGCGTGCTGCATCCAAGGCTACACAGCAGCATCTCTGTGGCACAGCCTTGCAACAAACTTGTACCAAATCAGGCAAATCGAGCGAAATAACCCCACCATGTGGTTAGACGTTGATCGTACTGCAGCTACTCCAGCTATTGCGGGATGCTAGTTTCGACGTTCTTTCAGCAGTGATCGAGTCAGGAGTCTCCATCGAGCGGATTTCAGCGCGGCTGCAAGGCGTTCACAGGGCTTAGGGAAAGATTGAAGACTAGGGCATGTACCCACCGTAAGTAACGAAGCACGGACAGGAAGATGATGCCCTTTACAATCCATGCTCGTCGTGAGTGGCAACTCACGAGTGCGATCTCAACAAGCCAGCGAAGAGAGCCCGGCACGGTTGCACATGTTGTGTCTCTATGCGCCCTTCAACAGCCTTCTAAGAAGCTTCAGATGGAATGTGGCCATCTGTCATGCTCCAGGTAACGAGTAAAGACTCCGTATGTTCGGTCATGACAGGCCGGCTGTCAGACCGTGTGATGTAGCTAGACTTGAACACAATGAAGTGACCATGATAGATCGTTGTCAATTCACCATGGAATAGATGGCTTCGAGAAGTGCTCATCTACGAAGCTTTAGCTGGTCTGCTTCGATACTGTGTACCTCATTGTCCAACAGTTCAAGGTTGGCTCCCATTCGGCTAGTGGCATGCAGGGATCATGGCACTAAGGGAAAGCCGCAGGCGCGGAGGGCTCAACGGCACATGCAAGCTCCAAGCAACAGCGACATCACTCGAACAACTCCCACTTGATACCCTTACTTGCTTGCCTTCACACATATACGTCACTATGGATAACCTTGGCAAAATCTCCGCGTTCGGAAAGAGCTTCGGGTACGTTGCTGGCGTCTCTACCTATGTTTTATTACAGCATTGCGCAATCACAGATAGGCTGACACGGTGCCCCTAGTGCTTCTTTTACACCCTTTGCTGCCAGGACACAGCAGTATGTCAAGGAGCAGCTTGGTCAGGCTGAGGACAAGGTGCGACTCCCCCCGAAAGGCGCCTGCAGCAGCTTCCCATGAGCTTGCAGGCCTCCCAGCAACGAAAGCCTGGACTGGTACTGATACACCATATGATAGACCCAGCTTCCTCCGGACTACATTGAGCTCGAGAAGCGCGTCGATGCGCTGAGGAAGGTGCACACGACCATGCTCCAGGTCACCTCGCAGTACTCCAACGAAGCTTACGACTACCCTGCGAACCTCCGCGAATCCTTCAACGATCTCGGCCGCACCGTCTCAGAGAAGGTCAACCTCCTGTCAAGCGCGACTTCTCCCGCAGAGGCTCAGGCAGCCCTCACCGCGCCTCCTTCTGCGAAGCCCCAGCCTAAGACCTTCAGCCATGCTGTTGCCCGCGCAGCCCTGAACAGCTCGCACATGCTCACCGCTGAGCAGTCCGGCTCGAGCGAGGATCCCCTGGCTACTGCCCTCGAGAAGTACGCCATTGCCAGCGAGAAGGTTGGCGAGGCCCGTCTGGCGCAGGACGCCCAGATCCAGAGCAGATTTCTGGCTGGCTGGAGCACGACTCTCAACACCAATATCCAGTTCGCAACACGTGCGCGCAAGCAGGTCGAGAACTCGAGACTGAGTCTGGATGCCACCAAGGCCAACGCTAAGGGTGGTGCTTTCACTCTGCCTGGTCAGGCAGGCCGCAAGGACGGCGGTGAGGATGATCTGAGCGAGGAGGCTCGTGCTAAGATTGAGCAGGCCGAGGATGAATTCGTCGGCCAGACAGAGGAAGCTGTAGGCGTTATGAAGAATGTACGTCTCTCGACTTCTACAACATGCTGGGCTACATCTCTGGGAAATAAGTACTAATCCATTGCAGGTCCTCGACACACCCGAGCCCCTCCGCAACCTCGCCGACCTCATCGCCGCCCAGCTTGAATACCACAAGAAGGCATACGAGATTCTGTCTGAGTTGGCGCCAGTCGTCGACCAGTTGCAAGTCGAACAGGAGGTGCGTAGACATCAGTCCGATGATTTCTAGAGTCATTCATCCCCTTCTCTGTCGCTCTGCACTGTGTCTGATGCTCGTTTTTAGCAAAAGTACCGCAACCCCCACTGATCGGTTCGTTGTATAGGCCAGCTACCGCAAGACACGCGACGAGGCTTGAGATAGCGGTGTTTGATCTCGTTTGGATACTGAAGGGTCATACCATGGGTTCTTGACACGGGTCTGGATCGCCTGTCAGTCGGGCAAACGACGCTTTGGAAGGAGGACAACCTCAGTGCTAACTGGTCACTTCACATCTGGTATGTTTGGGTATTTACGCAAGGGAAAAGAATGCGCTATTGCGGTGTGAATAGTCTAGTTCCAATGGACTCACCACCTCTTCCCTTCAAGCAACATGCACCTGCCTCCAACGGCCAGTGACGCTCACGACTCTTTTAACCATACCTCAACAGCCTACGAACGTGACTCAAACCTGCCCGTCCTACTCAGATACCCCACTCTCATCCCTAAACTGCTTCGCCTGCGTCCTCGCAAACTCCCCAATCCTCCCCTCCTCCTCACCCCTCTCAGGGATAAACTTCCTCATAACATCCCTAACATATTCCTCCGGCACCCCCTTCGTAACCGCATCCCGTATCCCCTGGTTCATGCGGTACACATACTCCTCCCGTGGCTGATTCGGGCTCGTCCGGTTGCGATCAATGTACACCAGCATGTCTCTCGTCTCGGCGGGCGGGGAGCTGGTGTTGGCGCGCTCGGAGGTGCTGCTGGGCCAGAAGTCGCAGGGCAACAGTTCTTTGGTGTAGGCGATGGGGACGCCTTCGTTCCGGTCGAGACGGCGCTCGTCCGAGGGGAGGAGGGAGTAGACGAGCCCGTAGACTTCATCGGAGTAGGTTTGGGAGGTGTTCGTGTTCTCCACGACGTTGGCGTAGCCGCGGTCGTTGATCAGCCAGGTGTAGTGCGGGAGGCGCGCGACGCCAAGGTATTGAGAGGTTGGGCAGCGGATGGACATTTGGTGGAGCCAGAGGTTGGAGCCGTAGCCGAAGTAGGTTGTGGGCGTGGTGAGAGGGGTTTCTGATAGTGACATGTTGGTTATGTCTTGTGGTCCTGGGGTTTGAGATGGCGATTTGGTGGGTTTGGAGCTTGCTGGGTCAGTAAGGGTTGTTGATGTGTGTAGAACGACTTGGTATGCTTTATGAAACTTGAAGTGCGTATAAAGCTTTGAGGTGTGCAGGATGACCTGATGTTAAGGAGAGGTTTGGTACGAAGATGGTTGATGTGTGAAGAACAGGTAGGTCCACGTGTGGTGTTAGACTGATGTATATAGTATGGACAATGGGATGAGATTTCATCCAACGTCCCTACCTTTCTTATGGAATTCGAAATCGTGTGTACAGAGTAGTGAGTCTGTACGAACTGAGTCAGTTGAACATGTTACCACGGTACGATACAGTTGATTGATGATGTTGTGATTTGGTCAGTACAAGGGGGGCGGCTTAGTGTGACTCACTTTAATCAGACCTACAGCTTCTAATGATAGAGTCTAGCTATTGGTATTGATGGTAACGTGAAAAAGATGTATGTTTACCTTCAATGTCGCAATTCGAGTGGTGGAGAAGCACACGGCGCTAGAGCACCAATTGGGGTTGGGTTTTGAGGGTCCAGCTGACATCATCGCTCGGAAAGCTTCTGGCGCGTTTGTGGTGTGAGCCGCGACGCGACAATCTATGCACTTTGGTGTTTGACAGATCCTAGAACGTGAGTATCCTCATAATTATATATATTGATTCTCTTCGTATTGGCTGCTTCCTATCTACTTGCTATTCCGTTGTAATTCGCTTCACAGCTCTACAGTGGATCGAAGAGTCATCAAACCTTGGATTTCATTTCGCCGGTAATCAATTGCAGTGTGCACTGCTAACAATACTGTACACAGATGCCACATTCTCATCATAGCCACTCGGGGCAATTCTGCGGCCATGCGAAGAACAATCTTGAGGAGGTCATCCAGGCTGCAATAGCTAAAGGCTTCCACAGCTTTGCACTGACCGAACACATCCCAAGGGCACTTGTGGACTTCTATCCAGGAGAGGTACGTTTACTCGATGTACATGTGATGATGCGCATACTTAGTCCGGCTGCTAGACAGGTAGTCATACCGAGGAAAGCCTAGTCAAGCTGTTCGACGATTACTACACTGAGGCTGTACGGTTACGAAACGTCTATTCGAACCAGATACAGATCTTGATCGCCTTCGAATCCGAATGGATACGACCGTCATCGCTCGATACCATCCAAGGTATTCTCGACAAGTACACCTTCGACTTCTTCATGGGTTCCATCCACCACACACATACGATTCCGATTGACTTCGACCGCGCGATGTACGAGCAAGCTCGAGAAAAGGCAGGTGGCACGGATGAGAAGCTTTTCGAAGACTACTTCGATGAGCAGTATGACATGCTCCAAGCACTTCGGCCGCCTGTTGTGGGCCACTTCGATCTTATACGCCTCTTGAGCGACCACAAAGATACTGCATTCGAAGGCATGGAGGGGGTATGGAAAAGGATGAAGCGCAACCTGGAGTATATCGCTTCTTATGGCGGGTTGCTGGAGTTCAACTCCGCAGGACTGCGCAAAGGCCTGGCTGAGCCATACCCTTGCTTACCCATTACGAAGATGTTCTTGAGCATAGGAGGTGGTTTCGTGCTTTCTGACGACAGTCATGGTATTGAGCAAATTGGCACCAACTACCCACGTCTCTTGAAATACATTCAGAAGACCGGAGTCGAGAAGATTCATTTCGCTGCGAGAGGTTGTGGAGACCGGATAGATAGCCGCTTCCCCAGTGCAGGCTTCTCTACCATTGCAATGGCCGACCTGGCGGAATTACCGTTTTGGTCGAAATTGCCATAGAAGGTCTTGTGAGCACCGCGACAGGCGCCACAGATCCACTGCCGCTGACCACCGGAACCAATCTCCGCGCAATGGCATTGCAAGAACTTCAACGGCTGTCTCATCAGTGGCTGTAGCATGCATTGCAAGGCTGATAGCTCAACGACGATGCCCATTGCTAAGGAGTCCTCGGATGTTGACTTCCGTATGGGAAATCGAACTCGTGCAGAATTTCAAAGACCTGGCGCTGCAAGCGCTCGCATCAGCGAAGATCGTGATACCAGAACGCATTGTTTGGACTCCGAACCACAGCTCAGGCTCTAAGTGGCATGTTCAGGCTGCGTACCGTGAGCTGATAATTGCAGCGTTACCGAGCAAGCAAGTGAAGTAGCTGCGGTCGGCACTCCGCCATCGATGACGGTGTGGCCTCGCAACATGGCAAAGGCTAGTATTTTTATGCTTGCCGCGAGAAGCACGATAACCAATGCTTCCTCAGGGACGCAACGCCCATTCACGGTTCCTGCGGACCTGGAGCTGGTGCGGAACTCGGGTTGTTACCCGCTCCAAATGTGATTGGCGAAAGAGGCTCGCTTTGAGCGAAGGTTAGGGCCGGGTTCTTGGGTCCACTTACACCGTCCACTTGATGTCGGCCTACTGATAAACCTTCGAACAAAGGTGTCACTGTCCTGAACTAATGAATTCATGATGCAGTACATCCACGAGATGCCGGAGATGAGCGCTTGCACGTTCGGTCCTTCGATATATTACATGCTAGCTTGACCGTTCAAGCTTCCATGATACAACATTGTACTTCTCCGTTCTACGGCGCTAGTGTAACATTCAGTCGTTGCGTGGTAAAGACATTGGCTGTACGACAGCTTCCCTGCGCTATGTCTGAGGTCAAGCGAAGGGAGGAACAGCCAAATGCAATCTTCGTTCGAGGAAGCCCCGAAAGTTAAGCTCACTCAAACGCTAAATTGAGGCACCGTGAAATCGCACGCATTGATACCCATCCAACAGGTTCGGAACTTTGTGGCGCCTGACAGTGCTTCAACTTGATTCGATTTGGCACGGCTACTGACGACAAATGCCCATGTGTCGGCAATTGGCTCCTCTTCGCGGCTTTAGAGTTCAAACGACAGCGCCACAGACCCATTGCGTTGCTGCTGACTTGTCGAACCATCATACCGCAACTTGCAAGCTAGATGTTGTATCACCAGTCTTTGGCACCCCACCGATCCACCCCACCTTGCTTTGCAACGACAGAACATCGCATTCCCGCGCCGCAGCACTTTTCGACCCCTCAAACACCGATAATGGCAACCTGGTGCTAACCGTCTTTAGACAAGACATTGCTTTGACGCCCAATCGAGGCGGGAAGCGAAATCCTCGCCCGGCAAACGCGGGAAAGGAACACATCTGTCGTTCAAGCATGTCAACTGGTGGAGCTCGGATCGCGCGTCAACCAAGATACGTGCATATGATGAGCGGATCCAGGGGCTAGACCTGCTGTCACTTCCGACCTTCGACAGGCCTGATTATCGGGCACAGTTCCCTAAGAAACGGACAGGCCCTAAAAGCGGCTGTGGCTCATCGGCCGCGGCCACGTCTCAGTGTAAGGGTGTGAAACAGGTGCATCGGTGAGGGGCCAAGAATTGTTTGCTACAATGCAGTAAGTCATTTTGTTCTACTACTCTTTTGCTAAACCTAAATCGTTCACGGTTTGAGTAGCAATGATGTCCAAGCTTACCCACAGAGCACACAGAGCCTCCGGATTGTACCTTCCTAAGGCCCCTCCTCGACTACTAAAAGCTGGACCCTGTCATCGTCACTGACGTACTTCTTGGACCCTTCCTTCCTCATCACTAATATATACCTGCACCTTCCTCAGATCTGAGGTAGTCACCAACCCAGCAACAACACCGACTGAACGACCCACTTAGCTCCGCACTGGCCCGCTATCAGCATCATTGGCTGCACATAGGCCTTCACATTCATAACAACGACATTCTTTGCTGTGAACCATGGCTATCAACAAGACGATCATCGACGCAGGAGACAGATCACAACTTGTTAAGAAGTACGATGAGGTCGCAATCGAGTACACAGGTGAAAGATTACTACCAAGTGACAGCACAGTATCTGACAACCTGCAGGGTGGATACTCGATCCAAATAAACCAGACCAGAAGGGCGTCCAGTAAGTTCAATGTTACCTTGCGCCTAAAAGAGGGCTCTCACGCTAAACACACTGTCAGATTCGATACGTCTATCGGGCGCGGTGACACTGTCACAGTAATTGGTGCCGGGCGTCTCCTCAAAGGTGTGTACTTTTGCGACTCTCGCTCATGCCTCGTCCTTTTATAAATGTCTCTGCATAAATTGTGATGGTTACTAATTGACACGGCTTAACTAGGCTGGGACAAAGGTATCCTAGGCGACTATAAGACTGCGGATCCCAGTGAGGAGGTGGGGCCTATGGCACTGAACGAGAAGGCAAGGTTCAAGCTCCCTCCGTAAGTCAAACAGCTATTCACTAGACGCAGTTCTCGGGCATCACTAATGAGCTGAACAGAGAATACGGCTATGGCGTCAAGTGAGTCGATCCTCTCATTCAGACCTTTCCAGGAGATGGCCTCTTCTACGCACCATTCCATACACCAACATGACTTGGCACTGGAAACGTCACACTTCTCTACCAGAAAGCCAAACTCGAGACAGCGGATATTTGAACGCAACAGCTGACCAGACTCCCTCTAGTGGTTTCCCCGGGCAGGTTCCAAAGAATGCGACACTGATCTAGTGCGTTTCCATTTCTTGTTCTTTCGCGGCAACAGTGATGAATTACTTACATCTTCCATTTCACATCGTCATGTTACTCGTTCACCTCGAAAGCCTCTTCAACACTCATCCAGCTGACGATCAATAGCGAGATGGAACTCAAAAGGATAGGTCCACAGAGGGCGCCGTAGCATGTTCGCCTACGTCACCGGTTAAAAGCCGCCTCTAGTCACGAATCCCTTGGAGCTGCCACCACGGTCTCTTCTTCCAGCGATCGCATGCGTCCACCGCAACGTCGTAGGACATATATTCCCGGGTCGGGTGTGGCTGAGAGATCGGTTGATATCAGTTGAGGGCACTTTGAAGATATCGGCTTGGCCTCCTCATGTCAAAGGCTGGGGTTCAGAAGCACTAAGAGCACATTTATCTCGCGGGAGTCAAATCATGGGTTTCTTTTTCTGGAGTTTTGAACATTGCTTGATACCCCGGATATCGCAAAAAGTCAATTGTTACGGTTTGTTTTAGGTTATTCACGAGGTCTATACATCTTGTACTCTCTAATCTTCTGTTTGCATCCTTCCGTTGTACCTAGCCCTGTGTCTTAATGAGAAGCTCTGTTGGGTGCATTCGTGGCATCTCACTGGGCATCTGTAAAGTTTGAACCAAGTAGATAGTACGTCCAAGCCGGCGAACCGGTTCAAAACTCTTGCGCGTTGTCGAAACAGCTAGGCGCATTACTGGAGACACATGTCAATTGAATGTTCGTTGGCGACGCTAGCCTTCCGGATTAGCACGAGCACACCGACATTCACGCCACCCAAACACCCTAGCAAACGTCCCGAACGTCCCGTTCGGCATGCCGAACAGCAACTTAGACAGATCACGACTCGACGACACATTTTTGATGGCGGCAGCAGCGCTTCATGCACAGTTCGGCAATTGTTGGCTTGCGCCACCTTTGCCTGCCGAGTTTAGCACGAGCTGCTAAGTTCCTCTTAACATAGTCCGCCTCGTGGTAAGTCTGGGGCATTCTGTGGACTCAGATTCTGGCCTTTGCTAACCTTAGAGTACTCATTGCATCAAGTATTCGATGAAGTCGAATACTATCCGCTCATAAAATCCCTAACACAGTCAGTCTCCCTTCGTACTTTCAAGATGTTGCTGTTTTCGCAGAACGATGCTGTACCTTGAAGCCGTTGACAAGGTACACAACAACCCCTGCATTGATCCATACATAACCTGACCATCCGCATACAATGCAGGCAACACCACATCCGGGGACTGATATGCAGCAACTGAGGACACGTCAACGACATGGCCTGTCCTGGTGAGCGGTAACTGTACCCTCACTTCTTCACACCGATGACGGGCCGCGGCCGCTCGTCGGGCCGTGGCTGTAGCCGTCTGACTCTTCCGCTGGAAGCGTCCGCGGGTGCGGACTTGGAATGCGGATGTGTGGTCGAGTACAGGAAGATGGCATGATCATGATCGGTGGAGGCGGGCTATAGTGGTGGTTTCGGGCCTGAAGGATTGCAACTGCGTGGCGTGATGTGAGGCCTTGAAACAGCCGCTGAGAGTGAACGTACAAACTCTGAATAGGGTTTGCGGCTCGGATCTAATCGTATGAGAGCCATGGTCATGGGCTTTACGAACCCGGAATTCGGTGGTGTCTCGGTCTGAGGATGAAGTACATGTATGAGTGCTGCGAACCCGTTACACGCTTCATGCAGAGAGGATCGATGCATAGCAGTCTCCATATGTCTGCATGTGGAAACATGCCTCAAGTCAGTCTCGAACGAGCAGGTGCATGCTCAAGAAAATGTGTAATCGATTTTCAGTCGCGATAAACGTCAAGCTTTAATAGGCTTCAAGATCGACGTAAGACGGGGGATAGCGCTCGTGCGTTGAAGACATATGCATCGGATATACCGAGTAAAGTTTAGCAATGCTGCCCAATGTCGATAATGCTCAACCGCTGGCCAATAGGAATTATGCTTTTTCATGCGCGAGAATGCTCCGAGGGGACAAAACATGCTTTCTGGCGCTATTTGCGGCGCCAAGGTGTCACTCATGCCGGTCCGCCGGGTTGAGGCGTAGGTGCTTACGGCCACGTTCCGGGATTCGATGGGATAACTCGGAACACATTCGAGTGTACAGCGACACTGACAAGTAGGTTGGATGACAGATGATCAGCCGAGTTCAGGGATGCTGTTGATCAGATCAAAGCGATCCTCGCGGTCTTTCTACAGTATAAGAGATCTTATCTGCAATAGGTATCCGATATGGTAAGACGACTGGAGTGCGTAAGCCATTGTGTGGTGGAGTGACTCGACGACTCAGCAATAGTGAGAAGTTGTATGCTATAGGCATGCGTCAGTAGCTCATGCTGCCGGTTTCATGGACAACTCAACATCGAATTCAGGGCGTTGCCGTACTTTCGGATCGACACAAACATAAGGCGACTTCACCGATGTGCTCTTGAGCAGCCGAGTGCACTCATTTGCTACATTCTGTTGCATCTTGTGGAGAGCCCATGGCTCATTGTATATTGAGGTGGATCGAACGCATGTTTGAATGCACCGACGAAGAGTTATTTGTGCCAGTACACTGGACTCCTATGCTCTCGAGGCCCGGTGCTGTACGCAAGCTGTCTGTGTCGGTCAGCTTGTGTGAGACATGATTGCGATCAAGATAGGTATTCGACACGGTTCAACGGAAGTAAGCATCCATACAGACAACGATGCTGTGGCGTGCAACAGTCTCGAGTTGGGGGCCTCATGGCAAGGCTGGAGGTATGCGTCATGTCATCCGTAAGGGCAAACAATAGCTGATACCCTGGTCGATTGATGTCTCTAGTTCTAGACCAGAATAGATAGACATGGGTTTCCGGCGTGAGGAATGTATACCTTTGGTTTGGACACCGATCGTGATTCGCAGCAATGTCGTCTCGTGGAGACGCAGTGTCCTTTCTTACACCTGAAGTCGAATGTACAGAGCTAGACGAGCCAGCCACAAACTGCAACGCAAGGGTCAATGGTTACACGTGTGTAGTCCTGAGTAGTCCAAGTCACATTGCACCGAGTCAACGCTTGCTTCGACGTCGGGCATCTTTGATAAGGTTTTTATCGGTGTACTCTCTGTGCTCTTTCTGTCTGCCAGCTCAAAAATGGAATTTGGCCACAGTTTGCTTGCGGTCGGCTGATGCACAAAATGACGCCGCTGCAGATTTGAGCATACAGTTTGACGCAGGGTCTGTTGCTTCTCACAGACCAATTGTTCGAGCGACTGGCCTCCCAAATTAAAGCAGTCGGAAGTTACTTCGCGAGATAATGACAACCCGCAAGCTTCGTGAAGCAGACTCCAAGGCACTCGATAGGCTCTCGTTGTGGTCAGATGCGAAGGCAGTGCGTATGCGCGTGGGAAGGACAACATCTGCTTCGCCATTATGTGGTGACGACGCCCTCGCGACGCGTGGCACGGCAGGTGTTGAACCGCTTAACGAGAGATCGTGTGCGTTGTTCGACTGAATGCTGATAAATCAACTCTGATAGCGACCGAAATTCTGACAATGATGAGTCCAAGAGAGAAGTGCTGGCATAGTCGACCAGACCTGGTCAACGCAGATATGCACACCCCGGGGCAAGGAAGGAGCGCTCTCCACGTGACGCAGTGAGCGAGCCGCCACCACTGGACCCTTCTCTTTGCTCCCCTCAACACAAGCAACTCTGCCGCGCCCAACAAAGCAAAATCTAAATTACGCCTGCGGGCGAGACTGCAGGGCCACAACAGACGACGAGTCGCAACTTCTTGACGCTTGCGCGGCACATGGAAATTTGAGGTGCCACGACATCAACCACACCTCTTGTCGCAGCGCTCAGCTCCACAGTCCAAGCCTGCCATGGCAATCGGAGCGGTTGGCGGGGGAGCAGAATTGTCGACAAGGAAAATGACGCCTGTTCGCAGCACTTTATTGATCTCATCTTGAGTTCATCTTGGCGGACAAAGGAAATTACTTGTGGATATGAGCTCACCGTGAGTGGTCAAAGACAGCGACAGCGCTGCGCCGGCCTGGCGCTTATTGACACGAGCTTTGCTGTTGGCACAACCACGAGGGTCATCACGATGGAGCTGCAAGATGACGGTATTTTCAGCAGAAGACAGGCCTTTACTCATGCTCTTGCATCACCCTGATCGCTATGAACAGCGCAGCAATCGCTCTGCATTTGTGCCGCCAGCCGACGTGGGATGAAAATCAAGTCACGAGACAGAGCCCTTCCAAGGCCTGGCGGCTTGACAAGCGGAATTGCAGACGTTTAAGGCCAACTGCTAGCTCACCAAAGGCTTCATTGGTGATTATTCTCACAAAACATCATGAAGCACACGGAAGGTGTTGTTCGATTCTAGAATTACAGAATCTGATCCCTGGTCCCAACATCTGCCAACCAAACAACTGTTTCGCCGGCATCTCAGGTGGACTTGGACGAATGCGCCCGAGATGTTGCCTCGTTTCAGTTGAAATCTCTGCGACTTCTGGGGACCACAAAAACAAGTTGACTCTGGATCGGTCACATCCTGGTCGTAATTTACTCTGCTTTTGGAGGTTTCCCGACAGCCTCTAGGCTAAATTACAACATGTGCATGGTAAGCGTTCTGCCGATCAGGCACAAGCCGCGTCTGATTGGTATACTCTTTGCTGAGTCTGGCTAAGGTCTTGCCGTTCGGGGGGCTACGCATGCTTTCCCGCGCCTGTTCTCCGGACAAGCCACGACGTTTGGCACCGTCTTGAACAAGCCTACGCTATGAGCGACGACTCGTTCCATGGCGGGTGGGTTCGCGAATGGCCCCGGCTGCATGTGCTAAGATTCAGCCATCTTATTTACTTCGCATCCCCCAGGCGTCCCGAGTCTCCCCTACCGCAACAAGCAGGACTTTGTCAACCCGCATTCTTTTTGCTGAATAACTTCACTCCTTCAGGTGTTCAGCAGTCACTCTCTCGATCGATTATTTTACAAGTCGTCAACTGTCTTTACGAACAATCCGGTCAAATCCAGCGAAAATGCAGCTCATTACTGTCCTTTCCGTCGCGACCTCCATGATCGCTACTGCTACTGCCAACGTCAGGAGCGCAGTCGAGCTTAACTCAGAGTGCAATGCCAGCGAGCCCATGGCTCGTATTCACAACCGTTGCAGCTACGACGTTCACCTTTGGTCCGTTTACAAGGGCGACGGCTGCCCTACTGATGAGATGGTCACCCTGAAGACTGGCGAGACCTACCGGGAGAACTACGCCAACGCCCAGGGTGGATCCGTCGGTGTCTCTATCAAGATCTCTAAGTCCCAGCAGTGCAAGGGCAACGACATCACTCAGCTTGAGTACTTCATCCAGAGGGACTCCCCTGGCTTCAACTTCAACTACCTCGATGTCTCCTACGTTGACTGCCCTTCCGACACTGCCGACTGCCCCACCAGGCAAGAGGGTTACTACCTAGTCGCTGGTGACCAGACTGGCTTTACCAAGGCTTCTTCCGACAACTCCTGGTGCCCGGTCATGTCCTGCAACGACCCTGCCTCTTGCAACAAGATCTCATACGTCCTTGCCGATGACGTCCAGACCAAGACTTGCGATCCCGGCCAGAGCATGGACTTCTACATGTGCGGTGGAGAGGCTCCTGGTGAGAGCGCCAGCAGCGCCAGCAGCGCTGCTCCCAAGTCCTCTGCTGCTCCTTCCACCAAGAAGGCATCTTCCTCCACGGCCCAAGCCACTTCCAGCGCTGCTGCTTCCTCCACTGAGGACAGCTACGAGACCGAGTTCAAAGTCGCCGCCGCTGCTGTCACCCCTGCTCCTGAGGCTGAGCAGGTCAACAACCAGAAGACCAAGACCGAGGTCGTCTACGTTACCGCGTACGAGACCATCAACGCTAAGAGGCACGCTCACGGCCACGGTCGCCGTCACCAGCCCTTCCACGCATAAATCTTGCCATTTTGTCAATTTGTACATGATTGGCATGTTAGGTGTTGGAAGACCGTGTAGTCGCATATTCTTTACCGACAATCCAAATACCTATTTCGCGATATACCCAGGGAGAGAGAGGAGAGGGATGGAATCGATATCATTCCAAGTAATGACGAGGCAGACAGCGTCGCAGGCAATAATATTATTTCATACCAACATCATCGACGCGTACCCTGCCATTGCTTGTGTTTGTTTTCCACTTCCTCCCTGCGACTTCTACTTCGCTCGACAACTCCATTGCGATATAGACATGGATCGGCGTTTCTTTTCTTGGTCACATTCTTATCTCACGATGTCATGACATATACCATCTTGGGGTTCTGGCCCTCACTGGGGTTAGCGGGATTGGTTTCTCCTTTCTTCAATTCTTCAGGAGCATGCCTCCTTCCTCTTCAAGACGGACAAAGGAGATGTCCCAGGCTTGGTGCGTGCCCCTGTAGTCGAAAACAATATAGACTGTCGCTATTACTCAAATTACTTCCTCAATTTGCTCGCCTTGCCGTGCTACCCTGACTCGATTTGTTGTGATGTGAGCCTCTGCAATTTCGCTTATTCGCTTGCGTGAGTTTATTCGCGTCGCACGACGCGTCCTGCGGCCTCACGCTCTCAACTGGACAGAGTTCCGCTCGCTACCCCGTGCGAACAGCTCGGTGTCTTATGAGGACCCCTTTCTTCATGTTCTGTTTCGCGATCTAGGATAAGGTTCGAGACATCCGCAGAGACCTGTCAACAACACCACACCCTCAGACCCGCTCAAAATAAACATTGTGTTTCGACTGTTTATGTTCAACCTCATGCATTCCTCTTTCAACTTATATAGACCGTTGGAGTGGATGAAGATTCAAGCTTTGTGATCGACATGTCCATCAAATTACTGCTGTTTCCTGCTGCAAGAAGCATCCCACCAGCCGTTTCTGCACCCTTCCAAGATCCAGTTCATTGACTTTGCGTAGCCTGTCGCATTGCATGGTACAGTTTTATGCAATTTCCAAAGATCATCATGGTTTTCCAATCATGCCTGAGAACACAGATCTCGGGATGACAGGCGGATTCCGCCCACTACAGTCAAAATGTCCAGAGCCATACGTACCATGGTCGGCCTCACGTGGCTTTCCTCCAAATTCTGGAAGCCAAGAACGACCATCAACCTTCGCACCTCGAAATCGCATCCCGGCAACCTTTCTCGTCTCGCAAAATGCCGGTGCCTTGCAGGCCGTTAGCAGCCACGCGCCGCTTCAACACTCAGACGCAGGCCTTTGCGACAGACTTTTCGCCTTCCTGCAGTAGTTTTGCGTTCTAGAATCCCCACTTCCTTCACCTTCGCGTGCACTTGGCGCGTCCTTGCATGAACAGCTCAACGCCTTCTCCAGTTTTCCACCCACACACGCGTCAAGGAGCCCACAAATGCACCACGAGTATGGTGTCGGCGGCGTGCCGATATCGATAGGCTGTACCGGTATCGATAAGCAAATCACGTACTTGCGCAATGCTTTCGTCACCGGCTCATGCACCGTTTCTGATCGCTGTGCTCATTGCGGGGCGCTTTTTACGATGCCAGCGAATGAGAAAATTGGTTGTCTAAGAAGTTGGGCGTTGTTGGTTGTTCATGGCGATTTCGGTGGGGAATCTCAAGATTCTAGAACTTCAAACATGTTGAGTCCGACCAACCTCGCTGCTGATCTCTCCAGTCCTCCACGGCCTCCACGGCACCAACTGACAGCGCGCGACTCCGACCAATGCGGATGATGTCAAAGGCTTGGTCATGAAAGAGCAGCGGTGTTCGCAACCCTGTCGATATCCTAGATGCTGGATTACAGATAAGAGATGTCTGTAAAGAAACAAGAACTGTCTACAAACTAGACTAGGTTTCTGGGGAACTTGTTCCGTGCATCCATCTGCAGCTTCAGCAAATTCGGTGGCTGGCAATCGGGCCTGAACGGCCTCATCAACTCCCACAGAAGAAGTTGAGGGTGGCAGATCTCGGTGGAACTCATCGTTCGAATATTGCCTGAAGACGAGACAACTATCGTATCAATTTTGAACGGACGTGACCGTGGAGAAGCCCATTACGTGAGTACGCTCCGAGGACACTGAAAAGAACACCGAATCGATTCTACCGACTCTCAGGAACAAATCATATCCTGTCAGCCCCTCGCCTCTCGCCTCTCACTGCACTGCAACCCTCCGCTTCGACCTCAGACCATCCAGCTCGCTTGTTCCACAACATGTCTCCCCAACATCCCAACACAATATGCAAGTCGCTTCATTTCACCGAATGTGAACCTTTAGGGCAGTGTGAGTTTAGTCATCCAAATCATCGGTACGGACCAGTATCGCCATGGACCAAGACGTATGCTCATGCACGTGAGACTTATCCAGACCAATTTTCCGAGTTTACCTACTTAAATCTTTGAGCCTCTGAACCGAATGCCTTCGAAAGCCTGCCGCCCCAGGTTATGTACATATAACTTTGCACCAGCATGCCATGAATTCTCACTCGTACCCAACAACAGCAGTCGAGAATCAGAAGCTTCACCTTCACACGTACTACTCATTAGAATCTCCAAGCGATGCTTCCGCGTCTGTCCTCGCATACTGTCTTTGATATCATCCACATTCACGCACGTAAACCCAATATCTCAGCAGACAGTGACACACCTTCCCACCATCACCTTATATTCCACTCACCTTGGCCTCTCGAGGCCCAGCATCTCAGTCTTCTTATGTTCTAACCGAACCCATACGTACCAAGACACATATCTCGCTATCACCAATCTGCCTCCCGCTTCCTTCAGGATAGCCCGCTTGCTTCCTTTCGCCCTGTCACGAATACCCATGGGTCTGATCAGGATTTCCAAACCACTCAACTCGAACTACGTTCAACATAGCTACCTAGCTGTCGTGAGCAAGGAAAACTCGGCACTAAAATGCAGCTTACGAGAGCCCGAATATGAAAGACTTGGGCGCTCACGGCTGGCGCTTGACTGGATATTTCCGCAAAATGTTATCGCGGAGCATCGCTACCTGACAAAAGTCGATACTCCAATAGCCGACCTGACCTTGCTTGCGTACGCAAGCCTATGTAGCTAGTTGAGGTGAGAGAAGCTCGCAAGGTTACAGCTTCTGGCCTGTCACTGGCACTAACATCTCATGTACACTGAGAGGTAAGATTGGTCTTCAAGATGAGCTTGACAATGCTGGGTTGCGTAAGAAGATATGCTTGGTCTCATGCATCATTGGGTCGGACCAAACATCAAAGCGCAACTATTAAGCCCACGTCATTTGCTGTATCTGTGGTCGATATCCGTAAGAAGAGAAGGTACCCGCGAAGCAACAGAGCAGTAAGTGAGATGGACAGTGAAGCATAGGAAAGAGTTTACTAAAAAGGACAGCATGAGCGATATGGTTGGAAGAAGCAAGTATTAGTGCAAGGTCTAGTCTACAGAAGGGAATAATGAAATTTTTGCGCCACCAACATGAGGGCCTTCCAACCGTGAGTACCACCTTCCTGGAAGGTGTGCTTGGTGTGAAAGGTACGAACAAAATAACGGGAACAGAAGGGAAACAAACGAAACAGCTGCCGCCCACTCCTTCAGCGCCAATGTGCAAGAGCCAAACAAAACACCGATGTGCCAACCTTCCCACTCTAACGTTCATATCATCCATGTCTCAGTGATCGATCAGCTGGTCGAGCGTACAAGACTGGCCGGTGCCAAGTGGGACGACTGAAGGTGCTGCCGTATCGAGAAGACAGTCTAGGAGCTAGGCTGAGCGGTAGGCTTGGCGTCAGCCTTGACTTTGCTGGCGACCTTCTTCTTCAGGTCGTCCTCTGAGAGCTTGTGAACGTTCTGAGGTGTGAAGATGACGGGCTTGACGGTGCAGCGGACGGTGTCGCCGTTCTTGCCATCCTCAACCGCGTCGCAGCTCAGAGGGGGAAGCGTGATGTCGTTGGTGGATGTCCAGGTCGCGCTGCGGAAAGGTCAGATAGACTGCACCAGGAAATGGGTATGAGAGGGGTCAGGTTAGACTTACTCGTTGCACTTCCACTCGTGTTGAATGCGGTAGCTGGCATCAGTTGAGCCCTTCCTCAGGCCAAAGACCAAGTCGTCAGTCTCCTTGCCCTTGATGTTGCACTCGTTGGAGTTAGGGATGACGGCGCCGTCAGCCTCGCAGTTCGCACCGTCCTTGATTGGGTCGTTGGCACGGGAGTCGACAGTGTACGAAGACTGGATGTTGAAGCTGATGAAAGTGTAGTCCGAGTTGTGGGTGATTGTGTACTCCGACAGGATGTAGGAGACAGGCGAGCACAGGTCGTCGCCGGAAGCGGGCTTCTGCGCGGGGACGGCCATGATGGCGACAGGGAAGAGGAGAGCGGCAACTGTGGTGAAGAGCATGGTGGATGGTGGTGAAGTAGAAGAGTTAAATGGGGTTTTGGAGTAGAAGAGAAGAGTTGAGTGGGTATAGATGCTGAAGAATGGGTTGAGTGGTTGTATCGATGCCAAAAAGCTTTCGAGTTGAGTGATGATGGGAGAGTCTGAAATGCTGATCGGGCAGTCTTATATACCCAGTGTTTGTGGTCTGAGCACTCGACCGTGGCGTAGGTCCTGCAGTCGGTTCGGTCAAGCTGCGGGTAAACATCTCGTGGAGGTAGGAACTGAAGCACAGACAGTGAGACGTGAAGGAGCAGGCCGCAAAAATTACGCGCAGGGCAGCGACTGACGCGGCCGACATGAGCCTTGAAGATGCTGCAGCCAATTCATAGATATGCTGTGTACCTGGTATATGGTCTCTGTAACGATTTAAAGCTCATGAGCGATGAGCGATACCGAATTGGCGCTGATCTTACAGGTGGTTAGCCAGACAGCTGTACTAATACCCTTGATACCTGATGTACATCACTCCTCGGAGCTGAGGCAGCATAGCTGAGCCTGCTCTCGGATAGTCAGCTGCGCTTCGACACGGACGTGACTGTGAGTGAGTGTAAGGAAGGTCCGCATTTAGCAGGAACGTCATCCTCCAGCAGTACCTTCTACGCACCATCTCCGCGGACGATTTCCATTACGACAGCTAGTTCCGTCGAGTTTCAGGAGTTTCTTGCGAGTAGGAACGCTGTGGAAGCTCAGTGTTGGAGCCTGATGTACCTTCTCTTTCAATTCTTCGGCGAAGGTCTGGACCAAGCTCAGCAGTCTGAAGATCCAAGGAGCAGAACGTAAGGCGTTGGATCTTCTCAGTGTATTCTAAAGCAAGCAATGACAATAGAATGTAGCTCAGGCATGGACAATTACATCCACATGTTTGATGACGGACGTGGGTTAGGTTGAAGCGCTCCGTAATTGATCAACCTCACAGCGAAGTGAAGCCGTCAAGACCCCACGCCTCAGGCTGACGGAACATACTGTCTGTCCCTCGCTCTGTGCAATGTCAAATGTCAACGCTAAGGAGTGGATGTAGGAGTGTTGGTGAAGCATCGAGCAGGGGTAGGCGCCGTATCGATAGTGGCTAAGCGAGAAACTGTGGGAGCATCGTCATCTTGCCAGCATGGAAGTAAACGCAGGACAGCACCATGAACATCACTCCGGTCTTCAACCAGGTGCTGGCAAGTCACAATGCGCAGCCTGTCGAGCCATACGTCTTCCGCGTGGAGAACTTGGACGAGTTCCTGAAAGAAGCATACCGGATTGTAGGCCACGTTACTTGTCGCAAGCTTGAGGGGTGATGCTAACGACTACAACAGCGAACACACATTACGAAGCTTCACACAGACCTCAAATCGATACGGCAAAGTTATCTTTCCACTGCACCACCGCCAAGGCGAAAGCAGTTTGCGCGCGCCAACAATGCCGCTACGTCTACAGACAACGACTCGATATACCTCACCGATGTGCAACGTAACGAGGTCGATGCACAGGCGAAGCAGTCGCTGCGAGAGCTAAACCATGCGATCAACGTCTTACGAGAGGCTGAAGGAGTACGGCAGACTACGGTGTCGCAAGTAGCTATACGAAAGCGCGCAAAGCAAGGGCTGGGCGCATTAGGACGATGGGCAGCAGGAGGCGCAATAACGGCAAAGAGCCCAGAGGAGGAGCTTGAGGAGGCAAAGGCAAAGACGATAAAGGCACACAGGGAGAGCATTATCTGGACTCTACAGAATGCGTTGGAGCAGTGCGGTCACTTCCAGAGCTCGATGATGGAAATACGGCTTATGAGGGAGGTCGAGAAGAGCAAAAGCGTGCTCTACAAGACAAGGGCTACCATGCCGTCGAACGACTATGGTGGCATGAACGGTGGAAGCAGTGCAGATGGAATCTCGAAGGACTACCGTGGGACTACGTCGCACGCCAAGGACGAGTCGAGTGCTGCTATCGAGCAACAACTCGACCCTGAGCAACTCCAGCTGTTCGCGCAAGAGAACCAAGACATGCTCAAACAGTACGAAGACCAGCTTGACAAGGTTCGGTATGTGGTCTGCCCCTTCCTTGCCCCTGAGGTCTCGCTAACAATGCATACAGCGCCGCCGAGAAGTCGCTCGTGGAAGTCTCGGAGCTGCAATCAACACTTGCAAGCAATCTCGAGATACAATCTGCGCATATCGAACAGCTGGTAGAGGACTCGTTCAATACAACGGAAAATGTCGGGAGCGGAAACAAGGAGCTCAAGCGGGCAACGGAGAGAAGGAGCACAGCGCAGATGGTCTTCTACGGCACGTCTGCCTTCTGCACACTGCTTGTCCTGTGGGACTTGTTCATATGACAGACTGGGTTATCAAAAATACACGGTCAGCTGCTCGTACACACCCAACATGTGATGGTATCACAAACACAGCCTCGTCTAGCTTAATCGCGCACTCTGAGGATGCTTTCGCCAGGAATAGCAGGTGTGTCCTCGTGCTTGTCGGCGTTTTGGCCGTTGCAGACCCACAAGCCGCAGGTTGCTCGGGCAAACCTCGTAACCTCGTAGAGCTCAGCTAAATCTTTCTTGCAATCCCGCTCCATGTGAGAGGTCGACAGCGCACGAGGGGTTGTTGACATCACCACGGACCATGACTGAGAATGGTGTGCCTTGTGCCTCGGCTTGACGTTAAGCTCCAGTCCCTGCGGCTGTCAACCACAGCCCTTAAGTAAAGCAGCCGGAGCGCGCGCTGGCGATGCATAATTCAATCATATCCCTCTTTCGTCTCGAGCGGCTCTTCAGCTCCGTATCCCCTTGACCAGCAGCATCGTCTAGAGACATTTGCGGGGGTTAGCGCAGACGCGGGGCGGTCGCGGCTTCCCAGTTAGGCCTGTGAAACGTAAAGCAAAGTATATGGTGGTGTGCTCGAGGTGTTGCAGTCATGCCAGACTCACCTAAGCAACTCCTTACCTCTGCTTCACCTGCCTCTTCCTCCTCTCAGTCCTCCCCCTCCAGCCTCCGCCTCTCCCAGATATCCACACAGCTCGCCCCAATGGCTGCCACAGCTTTCGACGCGAGCGTCGTTCCCCAGGCGCCCGAAGACGCGCTCTTCGGGCTGATGGCCGCGTATCGCCGTGACACCGACAGCAACAAGGTCGACTTGGGCATCGGAGCTTACAGAGACAATAATGCCAAGCCCTGGGTCCTGCCTGTGGTGAAGAAGGTGAGGGCTCTTGCCGCAGCTGCTGATGTAGCTATCTGCTCACCATCTGCTACAGGCCGACGAGATCCTCCGCAAGGACCCCGATCTCAACCACGAGTACCTGCCCATTGCCGGTCTGCCTGACTTCATCACAGCTTCCCAGAAGCTTGTCCTTGGTGGTGACAGCCCCGCCATCAAGGAAAAGCGAGTGCGTCGCTCTCCCCACCATGACGTGACACATCGCTGACACAGTGCGCAGGTCACCAGCTTGCAGACCATCTCCGGCACTGGCGCCGTGCACCTGGGCGCGCTTTTCCTGCAAAAGTTCTACAAGACCAACTCTGAGCGCACTGCCTACTTCTCCGACCCCACATGGCCGAACCACTTCCAGATCTTCTCCAACGTCGGTCTGCAGCACAAGACATACCCCTACTTCTCCAAGAAGACCAAGGGTCTCGACTTCGATGGCATGTACGGTGCGCTAGAGAGCGCGCCTGAGGGCAGCATCGTTGTCCTGCACGCTTGCGCTCACAACCCCACTGGTGTCGACGCCACACAAGATCAGTGGAAGAAGATCGCAGAGGTCATCCGGGCGAAGAAGCACTTCCCCTTCTTCGACACAGCCTACCAGGGCTTTGCTTCAGGTGACCTTGCCAAGGACGGCTGGGCCATCCGCTACTTCGTTGAGCAGGGCTTCGAACTCTGCATTGCTCAGTCGTACGCAAAGAACTTCGGTCTTTACGGCGAGCGTGCTGGGTGCCTCCACTTCGTCACATCACCTGCATCTGATGCGCAGTCAACAGTCACCCGCGTGGCCTCGCAACTCGCCATCCTGCAGCGATCCGAGATCTCGAACCCACCCGCATACGGTGCTCGCATTGCCTCGACCGTCCTGAACGACCCACAACTCTTCTCCGAGTGGGAGGCCAACCTCCGCGAGATGTCCGGCCGCATCAAGGAGATGCGCAGCGCGCTCCGCAACAAGCTCGAGGAGTTCGGCACACCAGGCACATGGAACCACATTACAGATCAGATCGGCATGTTCAGCTTCACAGGCTTGAGTGAGGAGCAGGTTTTGAAGCTGCGTGAAGACTCGCACGTTTACATGACTAAGAACGGTCGCATCTCTATGGCAGGTCTCAACACTAACAACGTCGAGTACTTCGCCAAGGCTGTCGACAAGGCTGTCAGGGCTACGCAGTAGGTTTAGGCGCTGACGACTACGATGAGAAGTCACTCCCACAAAGGGTTGAGACTGCGAAGTCTAGCAAAGACGTGTCGCGGACTCAAAAACGATAAGAGGAGCATCAAATGATCTCCTTGTGTACCTATAGACCACTTTCGACCTTACTGAATGAAGGCTTCATGAATCACGATTGCATCTTCGCCTGCCTCTAGCTCCCGTTCTGAACTACGCATATCTTGCTGACCCGAACAGTCCACTACGCAACAGCCGGTACGCGAGACGACAAATTTGTTGTAGGGGCATGATCACGATGATCTTAGACACGCCCAAAATATCGCACACCGCCGACAGAAATTACAATCTATACATAATAACCTCAAATCGATGCATCGCATCATCTATACATTACCCTCCAACACCAAACATATATGGTCAAAAGCGGGTCTTCACAACATCCACGCATCACACAATCTCCCTAACACCTCTCCCCGGCCCAAACCGCCCCAACCCCACCCCCAAACTCCAACTCTTCTTCCTCTCCTTCCTCCCCTTCTCCTCCTTGACCTCGAGACTATCCCCACTCAGCCTTGCGACCAATCCGCGCACGGGACTGCGACTCCGTTCAATCCCCTTCCCGCTCCCGTGTCCAGGCACTAGATCATTCGGCGACGTGCATCGCAGGACCCCCAGACTCTCAAACGTCGGCATGCGAATCGGTACACCGAGAGATTCATTTGTCAGCATGCTGCTCTGCAGGGTCTTGGGCGGGGATGTGGAGCGTAGTGGTAGGGATGCAGTGCTCTTCAGCAGCGGGCGGTCCTGCAAGCGTGGTGGCGAGATCGCGCGGGAACCTGTGAGTGGGAGCGAGGTCGTGCTGGCACCGGACATGGCGCGAAGGCGCGTCAGGGCATCGAGTTCGGGCAGTTTCTGCGTGGGTAGGTCGGCGAGGGAACTCGTTGGGCGGTCAGGTGTGCAGGGCCACGGGATGGCGACGGTTTCTGGCTCGAAGGGCTCGAAGGGCGCGTAGGGGAGAGGTGGGGTTACGACTAGTGTTGTTGTTTTTGTTGCAGTTGTTGAGGAAACGCTGGGTAAGGCGGTGGTCTGGCGCAAAGCGGGATGCACTTTCGTTTCGCCTGGCGTGATGGGGCTTGGTGCCGGTTTGGGGCCGAAATCCTTCTGGTCGAGTAGTGTGGGCGATTTGGGTCGCAGTGTGGGGTGTGTGGTCTCCAGTCTCAATGACGGTGTCTGTGGTTGCGGTGGTTGGGGGGTCAATTTCGTAGAGCTCTTGGGCGAGTTGATGTTAGCCTTTGGTGACGGAACCATGATGCGTGGCGACGCTGAGCGTGCGCGTGGAGAGACGTGGAGGATGTGCTTTGGAAGATGGGGGAGAGGGCGGTTCATGGGCGGTGGAGAGGCCAAGAGAGGCATGCTCTTTTTTGTGGAGAGATGGCATGGTACAGCAGCTGGGTTGTACTTTGTTGCGGGGAGTCGGGGGAAGGAGGTCATCTGGGCGATGTCGTCGGATGAAGCGTGGATGGTGATTTCGAGTGAGTGGGTCGTGATCGCGGTGGTGTTGGATGTTTGCCGGGAGTGCAGCTTTGAGGGCGAGGAGCTAGTGGAAATGCTTGATGCGTCGGTGTCGGACCGTGATGTGTCGTCGACGAGCTCCTTTGGGATTGACTCGGTCTTCAGCTTCGGCGAAGCATCTGTACTGGAAGGCTTGAGTGTCCAAGGTATGGATTCTTTCATCAGGTCTTCCAATTTCGGGGTAGAGGGTTGTGTTTCCCACTCCTCGAGCCTTTTCGCTACCCAAGGGTTCTGTGTACACCTGAGCTTCGAAAAGTAGGCACTGCAGGCTTGAATATTGGACAGTGGGTGACCATAGTCCCGCAGATCCTCTAGTGTTGTCTGGAACTCGATGTTAAAGTCTTCGAGGCTGGCATACGAATCTATGTGTAGGTTGAGAAAGTGGCAGAAAGCGTGATGGTAGTCGTCGAACTTGAAGGCTGTGAAACGGCGATCAAGCGCCGCCAGCATCTCCTGGGCGTTCATATTCGATGGTGGTAGTGGTGGACCGGCGTGAAGGACTTCTTCCATAACTTCTTCCGACAACGAAAAGAAGATGTCCAGTTTGACTTCGCGATCCTGTCGAACCCACGCTCGTCGCTCGTCCAGTAGACTTGATTGTAATGTGTTAGACGCCCTTGTTGAGGAAACCGTTTTTGATCCTAATTTGGGCATGGGCACTGGATGTGTTCCATCACAAAAGCCCCACGTCCCCTTGGTCTCGCAAGCGAACCTCACGCCACGACGCCATCTCGAGTACTCGGCCCCTGTAGCATGAGCGTGAAGGATTGGCACACCCGGCAGGCGGAGCGAACTGAGTGCCGACATCCTGTTGAAAAGGAAGGCAGCCGCAGCGCTCAAACGGGAAGCTGGGTGGTCCGATGGAATACAGCGCGACATGAGTTCCTCGAACGCAACAATAGCAGACGGAACTCGTGCCCACGCATACTGGACACCATCGCGACTATATGCTGCACGCTTCGAAGACCGACGTGCGCGCTGGTAGTGAACCAACCGCAGCCTCGGGCTTCATCCGCCCTGTCTGGACTTCCGCGTCCCACAGCAACAAGCATGGCGTTCGTCCTGCAGGGGCCCCTGAAGTGCAAAATTCCCGTGGCGGAGGTTTGCATCTTCGTTGCTGACCACGCGTGCCATTCTGGGCTCATGTGTGTGTGGAGTCAGCAGTTCGTGGGAGAGATGGAAGGTCGATGGACCAATCGCGACGTGGGTTGTGAGGCTTAGCGGGTCGAACTGGGTTGGTGTCGGGGATCAAAGGTAGTACACCAGCTTGATGTCCGAGAAGTGGCACCTTGTTCTTTTCTGCTGATGGTCAGTAGTCATGTGTAGATGGAGGAATCGATTTGCGAGGTGGTCGAGTCCGCAGGTCGACGTTGTCGTGGTGTGCTCGCACAGATGATTGCTGGTGCTTCACAAAGGTTCCACATCTACAATGAAGGACGATGCAGAACGAAGCAACTGCATTGTTACGACAAGTATAGAACGGGACTATTGAAACCAGAGTATGGGGAATGTATGGATGCACGAGGCTCCATCGTTGAGAGTGTGGTGCCGAGGAGACGGTTCGCGGTCCGGCTGTGGGGGCTAATTTTGGCATATTGAGGTTCAGACTGTCGGACTGTCTAGCTTCGAACCGGTAGTTTTTGCGTACCCTAACCGCTTTTGCCGAAACAATTGAGCAATTTCAAGCTTCAACTCTCATCCGCTTTAATCTCACAGCATTTGCAATGCCAAACGTTTGCTCATCAATATTTGATTATAATGATATATACTATATCACAAGCCATAATTTCATCAAATCACTAGCACTAACCAGCAAGTGATGTTGGGCGTTGTGGCGGAGTGGTTATCGCGCAAGACTAGAAATCTTGTTCCTTCGGGAGCGTAGGTTCGAATCCTGCCAACGTCGTCTTTTTTGCGCTTGCCTGCGCTCTATAGCGAAGGCTCTTGGGGCGTCCTTTTTTGCTGCCTTCTTTTCGTTCGTATAATGCACTTGGTGCGATACTGACTGAAATCGGTCTACGGTCAGGTCTTCGTTGAGAAACGAAGCAGGCTTGAGCTTTGAAACACCACCTCATGCTTCAATTAAAGGCCTTCTTAAGAGCATTACAAATCGATAGCGATAAATCAGACCGACTTTGCCAACAAGAAGTCTTGAAATGGATAAGATTGGATTGCATCGCGTCGATCAACATTTGCTGTGGAGTAACGAGCGACATGGCTTCCATTTGACTGCGCGAATTGATCATCCATCGGAACTATCAAACCTAAACGAACGAGTTGAGATCAAGCATTCAACTGGTCGTCTTAGCCACCGCCATCACCACCTCTGTCACCTCCGCCTCCATTCCCTCCATCGCTCCCGCTGCCTCGACTGCCTCTGCTTCCGCTGCTGCCCATCACTCTTTGGAAGCTGGTATTGGAATTCTTTCTGACGCGAACAGCTCTGCAAGGTATGAGTAACTCCCTCTTTTATCTAACGAACGACACTTGCACTTGAAGAATCGTATTGATTGCCGCACCTTGTCAAGAGAAAGAGGAACGTCTGCCTGAAGTAATACTTCGCTGTGCTTGCAAACGACTACAACTTTATAGATCACAGAAGGATCACGATCACATAGCACAGAGTCGCCATTCCATGGCAATTTATTCAAATGCTGACAGCCAAGATGCGCGTTGTTGATCTTGCTGACCATCATCACTGGTTTCATCAGTGAATTCGATGATATTCGAGAAGCACACTTCTACATGTGAAGTATGTATATTACCAATTATTAAAATTCCTTGAATTGTCGAGGCAAATCAACTTCAAACATCAGTCTTCCAATCATCCCAAACCCTCAAGTATCCACCCAAAAAGACGTCAACCTCCTCATCGCATCGTGCCGTTACCACCTCTCCCCCTGCCTTCTGACACTCTCAACACCCTCCTCCACCTCCACCATCTCCTCCTCCTCCACCGCCGCCGCCGTCACCTCCAAAACTATAGCCGCCATAGCCACCGCTACAGGTACCGGCGTGGGCGTCGGGGCCGCCCATGGCGAATACACCACCATGATGGCTAGTATGGCCTGTCGCAGGTTGACCTCTGGATCTGGCAGGCTCATCTTCGCCGAGACCAGTTATGGGGGTGCTTGACATACAACCCATTGTGCGTTGGGGGATGAGGTGGTGAGGTGAGCGAGTCGAGTTGTTACTCGCGAGATGATGGGGGCGAAGAGGTAAGCGATCTGATTTGGCTGAGTAAAAGGGACGATCTGGGTTGACGAAGGGTTTGAGGGTGAGTTTCTCAAGGTTGTGGCTGAACTGCGGTCATTCTAGCGAAGAGCCTGTGGTTCATCTTAAGCAAATCCTCAGAAACGAGCGTTCGTTCTACTTGCGATGTGTTGTCTGCAATAAGTGGTGGGATTTGGTCACAAACATCTTGCATCCTTCTCGCGACGGTGCTTGGTGGAGGCTGTGCTGAAGTGTTATAATGATTCTGCTTGGCCGTACAGTAAGTCTGCCTACGTCTGAGCCTTGAGCGCCCAGAGGCTTGGAAGGGATAGGTAGCAGATGAGCATAGACATGACAGCATTGGACAGACTGTTGTGATATTTAGGGTAGAAGACGTAGTAACATTGACGTAATAACATTAACGTAGTAACATATGAATCATTCAGCACGACAGTGTCTGTGCGGGGTATCGGTGGAAGGAGAACATAGTCCTCGACTTGAGGCGAAAAAGTGAAGACAAAGAGGAGAGAGTCAAAGAGTGAGCCTAGCTCGTTCCAGTGCAGGGTAAACCGAGAGAAAATCGAAGATGGAGTTCCGGGAAAGTGTAAACATGGTCACCGGAGTGTCTTGCCGTTTCAAGTGGGGCCTTCCGGAATGCCTCGTATAGCTTCGTCACAGCCTTGTTCATCTACTAATCAGGTCCCTGACCCTAGTCGCGGCTCCTGTCATCGATCAGTCACACGCACCTATCACGAAGTGCTCGAGCACTTACCTTCACCGTTGTCGAAAGGCTAAGCTTGATCCCTGTAGCTTACAGTCCTGTCTCGACTGGTGACAAGGGAAGTCGTACAGTCGACGTAGGCTAGTTGCGCAGCACAAGAGTAGGCTTGTGGTCGTGCTCATTATCTTAAGTGTATTGAGTACTACAGCAGTCCTTCTTCATACTGTGCCCGACAGGAACCGCCATGGAAACTGATGGCTATTGAGGTCGAAGGTTGGCTTGAGCTTCCAAGGGGCATGCGATCTATCGTCGCCGTTGATACCATTCATCTTCGGCAAGGGGAGGTCCTGCAACAACGAAACGGTGCGGCCAGATCCAGTCGCAAGCTGGAAGGTGCTTCCACCAGGACTAGTCCTGCCAGACGAGCTTGTTAGGGCCATCTTTATGACAGCCGTGATGCGACGAAAGCGCTCGAAGATATCTTCATTGCTCTCTTGCGGATCGCGTGGACGTGGCATTTGCGAGGCAAGCTGATCGCGGAAGTACTCGAATGACTTTGCTACTTGTAGCTCTGTGGTGTCCCATCCAGGCATCGGCGAGGAGTGCAGTGCGAGTTTGCTTAGACTTGTTATGGTAGAGACCAGGTTGAGCCAGTCGACCAGACACAAGAACTCGTACTGGCTGGACTGAAGCTTTGTGCTGTTATCCAGGAACTGCTCAATCGAACGAAGGCAGGTCACGCGCAATGAGAGCTGAAAGCCTGAAGCCCATGGCGTGCTGTCGCGATCAGTCAATTCGATTGATGCCGCTGTCTTGTACAGGTAGGTGTGTGCGGCAAGCTGTATCCACTGCAATGTTTCTGGCGGTGGTCAGTACGATGGTCCGAGCAATGCGGTTCTGCAACTTACTGAAATCGCTGGCTTGCAGCTTTGAAGCCAAACATATGCTATCCCACTTCGCACTTAGACGTTTGACCTGCGTGCGAACGATCAGAGCCTGCTCAGTCTGGCTCATGAATGTCTCCTGTACGTCTTCTGTGAATTGGCAGATATCAACAAGGATGGGCAGAATTGCGTCCGACTTGTGCTCCCAAGATAATGCAAGTTCTGATGCATACGTTCGGAGTATGCTCGAGTACGAAATGCTGCGAGCTTTACCAGGCTCAGTAAGACCGATATTGGATGCCAGGTAATAGCAACCAAGATATGCTCGTTTTGCCTCCCTATCTCTGGGGTCATCTCTGTGTAACGGACTCCTCATTGATGTCGAGAGGTTGTCTAAGACCAGGTCACCTGCGATGCCAGCGCAGATCTGTAAAAGCATGGGTATCGAGACAGCCTGAGCATCCATATAGTGGTGATGCCAAGCTATGAAGACAAGAAGTCCTTGCAGCAGATCCAAGCTCTTCTCTCCGCTCATGACTTTGACTGTCACTACTTTACGGAACTCGCGGCTCAAAGTCAACTGCAGGAGCACCGAATCGTAGGACGCTACTGTCAAAACAGCGAACATCAACATTGGCCGTTGCTGAAGCAGATCGCGGCAGGAGCACTCCTTTGGCAGAGTCACGAATGGAAAGTAGTCGGCCATGGTCCGATAGGCGTCCACCAACATTTGCATGTGGACGAAACTAATCGACCGGATAACGGGATCAAGTCTGCCGAGGCACGACAATGTGTCGTTGATCGATCCCCAAAAGGAGAGAGAATCGTCCGCATTGGAAACGGGGATAGGAAGGACTGGCGCATTCGAAGCAGGAGGCGACGTCTTCACCGGTGCGGGCGCAGGCGGTGATGTTCGCTGGGCTGTCTCGGGAAATTGAGAGGGCACGGTGGTTACCGACGGCAATGCGGGCTGTAGAACTGAGACCGGTGCCATTGTCGCCACGATGGCAGATATTTTGTCCAGCTTCTTGTCGAAGTCGCGCATTTTGTTGGGCGTCTGTCCATCTATCCTGGGTTTTGCTGGCCTTCTACGTGCAACATGCTCGATGCACTCGACGCGCGCTTTCTGACATCTGAAGCACGTGTTATGCCGAGGGCGCGGAAAAGTACCGGAAAAACATACCTTTGGCATACAGACGCTGTGTCTGAGGGAACACACCGAACTTTGTGCTTACGACCTATCGAAGTTAGGAGAGGCGCATGCAATATTTTGCCGGTTCCTTACAGCGCTCACACGCAAACGCATTGCCTGACCTCCCTTCTCTTGCTTCCATGGCGATCGTGAAGCTGTGAGGTTTGGGAGACACCGAGGACTCGCTAGTCGCCGAGGGCACCAAGGGCTCTTGCATGTGTGGGGAAGTCCGTCCGATCATATGCCAAGATTTCGGGACAGGCTCCAGATATGGAGGGGAGGCGGACTCAGGCGCTGCTGTAAATGTGTGGTGGTGCACCAGATGTAGACGGTCAAATAATGTCGATACGACGCCACACGTTGAAGAGAACACGGATCAAGCCGCAGCACGTTGAATTATGGTTTACCTTGCGCAAAGGCGCACGCACCGAATCACCAGATTCGAACACCGGTGATGAGCGGATACCCGAGGTACCGGGTGATTGATGCTCCGGGCAGCATACAATCTTAGGATACAAGTATCCGTCAGAGCCGCTTCACGCTGAGTGGTCGCTCCGATCGTCGCGTGTGCGAGCTCTCCGAGCTCTGCCAGTTCAGCGCTATGTTGAGGTTGATGGCGGGGCCACAGCTAGTCCTATTAGACCGGATGGAACGGCGTCCTCTTGCCGCAAGTCGTAACTGACGCTTGGAGGGTAACACCAAAATCATGGCTCCGAACGATCACAGCGATCACGACAGCTACGTGAAGTCGGGCTTCGCTGGAAAAGTAGGCTGGGGAAACAAACCTGCGCTTTTACTCGTCGACGTCTGCAATGCGTACTGGAGTAAGGATAGCCCTCTAGACACCAGCGAAAACCCAGCTTCGGCGGCTGCACCTGCCTCGATTGCGAAACTCGTTGCCGCCGCCCGCGAAGGGAAAGTGCCTTTGATATGGACACGGGTCGAATACACCGAGCCAGACATGTCGGACGCTGGCGTGTTTTACCGCAAAGCGCCGCTGCTGAAGATGTTCTTGAGAGGAAACGAGACAGGCCTGGAGTGCTGGGTGCCAGGTTTAGAGCCACAGGATGGTGAGCTCATCGTTGCCAAACGATACCCCAGCGCATTCTTCGCCACAGACCTCAGCACGCGTCTTCAGCTGAAGGGCATCGATACGCTGGTCATCTGCGGTGTCAGCACGAGTGGTTGTGTGCGAGCGAGCACTTTGGACGCAATGTGTTTAGGTTATCGTCCAATCGTAGGCCTTGGCGTTCAAAATTGTGAATCAGGCTCACCACCACACAGGTCGTCAGTGAGGCTTGCGGGGACCGTTCGAAAGCTGTGCATGATGCGAATCTATTCGATATCCAGGCGAAAATGGCGGACGTGGTGTCTGAGAGCGAGGCCATTGAAAAACTTAAGACTGGTTGGATATGAGAGATCTGTCGTCACCATCCCGATTTATTCCGATACGTTTAAATTCACGCGGCCGTGTACATTCTTTCCCCACACAGAACGCCTCAAAGTCTCCGTTATCTTGGCTCGAAATTGGGCATCGACTGTCTTTTGCCAGTCTGTACGGTCATGGTCGATACTCTAGCAAGATGGTCAATTACTTCCACTGCTTGCTCACCTCAAGTACAATCACCCAGTCATTCCTTTAGCACGCAGCACTATAATGCACTTCTTAAAGAGAGTTGTCAAAGCGAATCCAAAGACATTTGATTCTCGACAGGGTATCGAACGCACTAAAATCCTTCTACGCGTCTTCCAGAAGGACCTGCGAACACCAGTTGCGCTAGCTGACATCGCATTCACCCGCACCCGCAAACCGGGGCCAATGCGGCTCAACTTGGCGACGCGACATCGACACCACTAATGTCGTTCATTCGCTGCAAATGCTAAGGAACCAATGTCCGCGGCCGCCTACATGGTCAACATTCTCGACACAGATCATTGTTTACCCAGACGTTTGCCTTCGATCAGCCCTTTAGCTGGCCACTCTCTTCCCCTTCAGGGATCAGCATCTCCTTCTAAGTTTGCCAAGGGCGGTTTCCTCATGACTAGTGTACAGCTGAGGTCTTACAAGTGGTGCTGCTTAAGGCGTGAAAGATTGGCCATCACATCGAAGAGCATGCTCCTACACCTCGTTGCTCTTCCTGGTCGCCTGGGCTTCTTCCCCGGAATCTCCTTTCTTCTTCTTCACATCTTTCCAGCCCATCCCCAAGCTCACTACAGTAGCCAGCACAGCAAGACCGACCAGGAAGTAAAACACGTTACGCAAACTGTCAGAGTACGCCCTCAATAGACCATCTAGCTCCTCTTCATGCCCAGCCGGTACGATATCTCGAACAGCACTTGCACCGGAACCAGCTTCCAGTGCTGCAGCTGGTGACACTGAAGGTGCATACTTTGGAATCGAAGCCGTCAGAGTCTGGGTAAATATGGTGTTGCTGACGACGCCAGCGACCGAGGTACTGAAGTTCTGGAAGAAGATGAGTACGGCCATTGCAACAGGTATCTGAGCCGACGTTACAGCGTTCTGGACGGCTACAATGGGCTGCGAAATGTCAGTATGAGACGACACGATGCTACAAAGAACTCACGACTTGCATGCCAGCTCCTCGACCAGCTCCGAAGATGATTTGATACCCAATCCACTGGGCCACGCTCGTTTTTGGAGTCCACATCGAGACCAACCCAGCGCCAATTGCCGTAAGAATACCGCAGAAGAGGCCCCAGGGAAGGTAGTATCCCTGTCTTGTAACTAAGATCGTCAGTACAGCACTATGCAGCCTCACAGACTGACTCATGTCACTTACTCGCAGCTCCGGTAATGACAACGAACAGCAAAGCGCTGAGAATACTAGGCAAGATATGTACACCACTCAACATCGGTCCCTCACCCTTGGCAGCCTGAAAATATGTTGGAAGCCAATTGCTCGCAACAATACTGCAGCACATGAGCGCTGAACCGAACACGCAGCTAGTCCACACAATGCGCTTTCGAAGCATGCCGCCAGGGATCATAGCTCGATTGCCCATCCTAGCCTCCCAGGCGATGAAGATCAAGGCTGTCACACCAGCACCACAGGTCAAGCCAATGATGGTTGCGCTGTCCCAGGCGTAAGTGTTCCCACTGCCGAACTGCAATGCTACGAGGAACATGACTGCTGCTGGTGCAAACAGTGCGAAGCCTATGAGGTCGAGTTCAGGCAGCACCTGTCTGACCAGATCGAAGGTAAATGGCTCTTTCTTTATGATCTCCGGGATTCTCACAAACACAAACAATGTCGCAACAACACCGCCAACTGGCAGGTTGATATAGAAGCACCAACGCCAAGTGACGCGCTCAGTCAGCACACCGCCAATGAGTGGCCCAGCAACGATGCCGAGCTGCGTGAACCCAGCAAGTATGCCTGTGTAGAGAGGACTCTTGTCAAGCGGTACAGCGCTGGAAATGATGGTGAAGCCACCGTTGAAGATGCCGGCAGCGCCAAGACCGGCGATGACACGGCCGCCGATGAACATTGAAGAGGATGGGGCGAGACCGCATATTAAGGAACCGAGTTCGAAGAAGAGAGTGAAAGTAAGGTATGTGTACTGTGGAGATTGTTAGCTATATGGGAAGTGGGCGAGGTGCTGTGGAGGTGAAGTACCTTGTTGCTGAAGTTAGTGTATAGCTTTCCGGACAGTGGCTGTAAGATCGCCCTTATGCAGTGTTAGTCCTTTGGACTTCGCTGTGGTAGCACGTTCGGAGAACGTACGCTGCTAGGTTGTAGGCGCCGATGTACCAACCGACATCAGGTAGCGCGTTGAACTCGGTTGTGATTCGAGGGATGGCCTGGCCTGGTCAGTGATTCGTGGCAGACTTTCTGATGGCGTCATGAACTCACGGTACCAAGGATGGACATGTCTAGCAGGACCAAGAAGCTCACAAGGGTAACGCTGCCGAGTACGATAGCTAGTCGGAAGCCTGTAAGGTATTGTCGCCCATCTTGGTGAACAATTCCGACTTGGTCGTCCAATGCTTTTGTCTCTAAAGCGGGCGACATTTGTTCTGGTGAGAAGTGCCAACGAGAAGATCAAATCAAATCCCATAGGCGTGCACACAAAATGCAGCTGCAAGTAGCCGTAAACTTTGGTAACATTATAACGTATGCGTTCGAAAATATTCGACGCGCTACACTTTGAATTCCGTTAGGCAGCATTTCAGTACGGGAATGAAAGATGGCGTACGTGATGATCCCAAATCCGAAATCCGATCCAGCGTAAACTGCCTCTCAAAAGTTGCAAGCATTGTTCAACCAAAAGTCATCTGAAAACTCCAATGATGGCAAATCAATGAGGCTGAAGTCGGTGCCAGATGTGAGCGAATCCAGACCGAGCGACGGGTCGTGTCGCTCCACTGGCACTCTCCATTGTGGCGCAGTAGCTCGCATAGTCTCCGCTGCCTGCTTGAAGATGCTGTCTTCACCTATTTCAAGCTTCAGAGCAGTATTCGTCTGTTCACAATGCTTAATTGCGCGTTCAAAACAGATAGCCGGATCCATCGTCATACGCGCCATTGCTGTGTCCCAGCCGTTAATTTGCAAGGTAAGCAGGCAATAGCAGAGCTTGACACTGTAACCGAACATGATCATCATGGGTGCAGTGAGGTGGCTTAAATCGAAAGCAAGGAAGTGTTCGGAGCATGCTTTGCACGTTTGTAACAGCCCGGTGAGGTACTCAATACACTTTAGGTTGTGGTCGGAATAACGCATGAGTAGAGTCGGTGGCTGGAGCAGGGCCAGCTCGTATATTGCTGCTTCTGCAGCATATAGGTACGTAACGACTGAGCCTAGGTTGCACTTCAGGAAACAGCCAACGTTGAATGAAGTTGTAAAGCTTACTGTGTTGCAGTTGCTCGGGGGTGAGCGTATCTTTTGTCTGGTTAAGAGAACACTTCAGGGGCGCTATTGAGAACGCGGGGTGTATGGTAGTCTCAGAGTCATCCGAGACTTGTCGATAGATGTCTCCTGCCTCAAGTGCCACCTTTGCGAGGCGAGCAAGAGCGACGAGAATGCGGTCACCCTCGACCTCGCTGTGCGCGGACAGAATGAAACAAGCGGAGTCCAGCTGTGAAGACCATCTCATCGCATCGTACTTCATAGTGGTGGATATGCTATCACAATCAGTCAGTGGGGCTCACGTGAGGGATCCATGACGTCTTACATCACACTGAGTGCAAAACAAGCAATGTAGGCTCGTCGACCTGCGTTCGTTTGGGTAACGTTCTCTTCGTTGCCTACAAGATGAGGGGGGTTTGAGCTGGGACAGCGAGCTGAGTTAGGACCACGGTCTAACTTCAAGTCACTTATGAGAGGTCGGGCCAAGCCTATCATCGCCCCCAGAAAAGGCTTTCCGTGGGTGAAGGACAGAGACCTGATGTAACACATCAGTAGCGCAACAGTCATTTTTGAACAAGACCCTTACCATGCTATAGAAGTAAGCAGACTCAGTAATAGAGGTAGACTTCGCTCGCCATCAATCAGTATCTTCTGGGTGAGCACTTCTCGGAGCTTCTTGCCAAGGATGACCTGCTTCGAGGCGACTTTCGTCGTCAACGCTTTGACTGCCAACGCGAAAGTAGGCTTTTGATTCTGCAATTCAGCCGCTGTGTAGTCTGACGGGATATTCACCAGAGGGAAGTCCGGTAAATGGTGTTTACGGAACGTGAGAAGCTCTTGCTCGGTAAGGTCCAAATCCCTGGACTCCTCGTGTAAGTCGCTGTTGGGTGACAATTGAGATGACCCTGGTGTAGGGATCGTGTCTGTCAGTCGTCCATGGTGTGAGTTGTTTTGGTAGCGAAGTAGTGAGACGATATCATCGAGCTTTTCTTCAAGCACTGAACTCCTCGATGTTGTGTTTCGCTTCGCACCTCTGGTACGCATGGTCGTAGAAGGTATACAGTCCTTGCCAAGCCGCTGACACCTGAGAGCAGTGTTAGATATCAGTATCAGCGACACTTAAACATTAACGTAAAAGTCATCCAGGATGCTGTTCGTCGTCTGGCTTTGGCTCCGAAACACACGTGCATTCCTTGCATATTGCATAGCAAGACGACCCAACAATGCCCACAACACTTTTCGCTTTCGGCCAGATCAAGCCATCAGTCCAGGACAATGTCGACGAGGCTGACTGGCTGCGGTTTGGGACAAGACTTACCTTTCACATGTGCCTGCGTCTCGCACTATGCATCGGCACTTTGCTTTCACACAACTTGTGCAAGCTTTGCCATAAGGGGCGGAGCCTGGCATGGCATCGGCGGCTTCCATTTAACTTGTGACGTGGAAGACCGTTGGATTGTTTGGGTCACAGGTGATGAGACTGCGGACCGGGATTCGCTTGCACCAATCCCGCCGTGACGCCATCTCATTCAGGGCATGGACATAAGCGAAGGAATCCTTTACTAAAAGCCACAAGGGTCACGCTGATGCCTTGAACATGTGGGGCCATCAATGTCAACGATGTCGAATGCTGTCAGCCACAGTAGTGATAAGAGAAGGGTGTCAAAGTTGGCGATGTGACGAGTGGGCCCAAAAGCACGCCATCCGAATGGGGCAAGGGCAAGACACGGTTCCAACGTCTTGCAGCTGATAAAGAACACACTTTCATCGATCATTAACACAATGCACAAAGAGCTGCTACAGGAAATCTGCTATAGGGAAGGTCGTACCCGAGGTGGCTGTTCTGTCTTCGTGACTGCATCGCCGGCCTCAGCCCTCTGTCTCCCCGAAGCAGCTCATACATGAGGCGAAACTCCGAGGCAAACCTCAAGGGCATCGACAGATCCAAGAAGCGCTTGCAGTTGAGAATAAACTTTTCAAGTTGTCAGCTTCGTTGAGATTGAAACATGCACGCTAAGACATGGTCCGTCCCTCAACTTCGGGTCATCCAGTACACAATCAAATCACATACGCGGTTTACACGTTGCAATATCAACCGGCGAAGGCGTTCCTAGTACAAGCCTAGGCTAGAGCAGGGCCTTGCGTGATTACTTTGCTTTCCCTAGGCGTTGTTCTCGTAAACAACTTACAAATGCATTGGAAACGAGCTGAAGTGGACCGAAGTCAACAGCTAGATCATACAATGAGGTGGCAGCGTGCGTTGTTCGCAGGTTTGTTGTTACCCTTAGTGTGGACAAATGCTTATTTACAACGTACAGTATAAAGTGTACCGGCTCTTCGCGGAACAACGATCCTACTTCATCAAGTATATACCGAAACCCTTTATTAATGTAATTGCAGCCTGGAATGGCGCGCGCAACAACAATCATGATCATGGATGTTTTGCGACGGCTCTGTGGGTTTCCATTGTAAGAGTTAACTGGCGGTCATGGGAGCCTCGGGGTTCGACCATCACGTTCGCATCAAAATGAGTTATATGGGATGAAAAGGAGCTTCCTTCATCCCTGACCTCTCACAACATGCCTACGTTGACGACCCGCTCACTGCAGAAAAGCATCGAGAAGGCAAGATACACATTGGACTTCTTAATCCAGACATCCGGGCCAAGATCAAATACGAGATACGACAAGCCGCCACAGTCTCGATCTTACCTTCATCACCATACACTTGGACCTGGCGGACTGGTTGAACTTGAGGGATCGTTACGTTTAGCCAGTATATGATAAGATAATGGTCTTTGGAAGTTAGCGGCAACGCTAAAAACGATGACAGCAGCTCAGATGCTGGACACACATCCCGCGCAGGCAATGACATCATCATCCAGAGGCTACTCGCGGGTTTCACTGTAAGTGCTTCAGGGGTGGCCGCAACCACCTGCTGCAGCAACAGTGACCGAGCGTTACGCCTATGAATGCATAATGCGTGTGCTGATCCAACAGTATCACATCAACACCCGCTCCACCACCAGATTCAACCCCTCTATTCAAGCAGGCGCCCATCACCTGTGCTCAAGCTCGCCAAGGAAGCTTCTTCACCCCCTCACACTTATCGTTGCTTATATACGACATCGCCTTTCAACATTTCTTTTCGTTACCGGAGGCTACAGTACATCAGCGATCAATCAGACATACGTCTTATCATGCCTGACCTGAGCTGTCTTGGTCAGAAGGAGGCCGGATACGTCCTAAAAGAAACCCGCATACTTCTAGAAAAAGCGACCGATTTGCAAACCTTCGTCTCAAAGAGCAATATCACCCCTGAGTTTCTCCGCTACCATCTCAGCGAATATCATGGAGGATTGATTGCTGAGAAAGGGAGTGCTTACATCGCCGTCGAAGTATATAGAAAGATCTACGAGACAATCGCCAAACGGCTACGCAACAACAGTACGATGCGAACGCTGCGCACGAGACTGCTGAGCTCGACGTCGATCATACCGAAGAGTAGAAGGTCATAACCGATCAACTGACAGATATGAATACTATCAAGGAAGAGGGTTTCCAAGAGGTGTCAGCTGAGGAGCACTGGGGTACTGCAGCCAACAAGGAAGAGCCCGACGGTGATCACCACGATACACCAACCTCCGAGGACGACAACTCGCATACAGATACTACCAATAAAAAAACTTGAGGAAGTGGACGACACCTCCAGCCTATCAGACGACTTGGATCTCATCTTTCATGCTTCGAACGATTACTGGTATGGCACAACTAGTGAGGATCAGTGGTATAGTATCGACACAAGCACTGAGACAAAAAACCGCCGCTAACCTCTACAATCCGCCCAATCCCTCCGACAACCACCCGCAACCCAAAATCATCACTCAAATGCCTGGGAATACGTCCTGGGCCTCCATGGAATTGATCGACGCAAAATACAAGCTCAACGCTGAGCCGACCCCCACGGCTATTCGTTCCAACTCGGTCGCCACTGATCAACTCCAAGTAGCAAGTGATTATGCACTACGAGGCCGAGCAGATGTGACTTTTAAGTACGATTTACCGACGCGTACATGGCTCAGTTCGTCTTCTACGCACGAACAAAATACACGACTTCCCGATTACACAATTGCCCAAGCCTTACCCGAATCATCGACACCGGGTCCCGTCGATGCCACAACTGCATCAGCACATGATCAACCAGAGCAGGGCAGTGCTGGCAAGCAAGTGTGCTCGAAGGATTCTGATCAGATTGGTGGGCAACAGACGGACAATGCAGCGCTGGCAGGAAGCCAAGTAGACCAGACTCAAACATTGACTCGTGGTCAGGATACAGATCGCAATCATTCGGACACGCCTACGGGACACTCCTACTACGCGCCCAAAGCCTTAAACGCCCATCCGCAACACGTAGTCAGCGTCCGTCCGGCCTCGGATGCTGAAGCTCAGTCGAATAAGGACAACGCGGACAATCCGGGCTCTATGCGTGGCGATGCTGTTGCGCAGGATGATGAGCAACGTGACTACCGTCGTCCTCAATCTTGTGCGTGGCTCCGCGCATTTAGTGACCGGTTTGTGAAATCGAAAAAAAAATTCGTGTTGAGACCTCGTGTGTACGAGGAAGATGTCTGGCAACCTGGACCAGCTATCCATGTTTCGCGTCCATGGCCTTGTTTGCCCTGGTCGACTATCGCACTGTTAGTCTGGCAAGATGTATATATCCCTCACAGTATCACATGATATGCAATCAAACAGCGTGAGTGCTGCGCTGAAATGTGAACTGAAATTAATCAAGTTGTTTTTTCCCATCCAACCAACTCGGTTCAATCCCCGAACAAACATCCACATACGCATCCCACCTCCTCATCTCCTGCTCCCTGCCCTCAACGCCTCCCCACCCCGCCGTCACCCCCTCAACAGTCCAGAACATCGTCCACTGCCCGTCGGGTAGATTCCACATCCCCGTGCTCCGTTCCTGATACCACTTATTCACCGGATTACTCGTTCGACTCCTCCACACCACACCGCGCGGGAAACACGTCCGGACCAACGCGGCCCAGACGATGTCACTCACACCACCTGAGCCCTGCGACGATGTGAGGACGGCGAATTTGTCGAGGTAGGGGACCCAGTGCGGCGAATCCGTGTCTTTCGATTCAATGGCGGAGCCGAACTGGTGTTGACGCAGTGTCGAGGGCGTCTCCCACGTGCATATCGCGCCGCCCTCGTAGTCACCAGCGATGATTACGCCAGCCACGCGGCCATGGATGCGCGCTAGGTAGTCCTTTGGATCGAGCTTGCGGCGGAAGGAGTCGTTGATGAGATCTACCAGTTTTGGCAAGTTGATGCGCGGGTCGTTGGCGAGGTCGATGCTGGGGTAGCCGGTTGAGGGTGGTTGCCAGGGGCCGCAGACGCGTGGGTCAGGAATCATGGTTAGGGGGATGCCTTTTTTTAGGAAGGTGGAGGGGTTTGGGGCGTGCAGGCCGTGCAGGCGACTTGCTGGGGATGTTGGGAGGGAGGATGAGACCATCGGTTTGTCGGTCAGGACGTTGTGGATTAATGGGTTGGGGGATGGCTTTGGTCTGCGGCCGGACTCGTCGGGTTCGGGGAGTGATTCGGTAGCAGCCTCGGTGGGAGTAATGATGAGACCTGAGGACGACGGCGGGAGTAGCTTCAACGCTCGCTCAACCACGTTGAGGTTCTTTGTGTGTCGATCGGGAGGCAGGATGTCGCCGATCTGATGTTTTGGACGACCTGGCAGAGGGGCGACCACGTTCTCGACAAATTGTGAGAATGGATTACCACTGCCAAGTGATGCTGGCCCTCCTTCACCGGCCATCGACTTTGCATCCAGCGAAACCTTGGCTAGCTCACCCTTGATATCGCGATACTCAGCTTCGAGGTTAACGAAAACATGAGCACCGTCTGCTCTGTTCTGGGAAGGAATGCCGCCCAGAGGATCCAGAATGATGATGCGGTCCAAGATGGGCCGGTCATACACATCTTGGCGGCTATGCGTGTTGCTCTCAGTGCTGCTACTGGATCCGCCTGTAAGACCAGCGAATTCTCGAACCAACGCCAAAACCACATCGTCGGCCAAGACAGTGACCCTCTTCAGATCTGAGTCGTATGCGAAAGGCGGTATGACGGGTATGACGCCATCGTCAATTGGAGGGAAGAGGAGGTAGTTGTCCTTGACTTCCACATCTCCCCGCACATGCGCCGTGCTCAGCCTGTCTCCCCCTAAGCTCGCATGGCTCAAAGCGTGCTCGACCAGCAGGGCGCCGGGCTCGTTGTACTTCTGCAAAGCAGCCACCATGCGCGTCGCCTGCCTTCTGATTGTCTGCTCGAGAGGCGGTCGTGCGTGTGCCGTGTCGCAAAAGGCATCGTCGTCGCAGTCCAGCACGACTGCTGTGCTCAGACCCAGTTGCGCCAATTGACTCAGCGTCGAAGCAATGCCGCCCAGTGTGACGTCGTCAAGGGCCTGTGGCTGCCGTATCTTGACCAGTGCGAGGTGTAATGGCTCATCTGAACTCTCTTTGAATTTCTCTTCGGGCAATTGTTCGCGCGTGAAGATGGTGGGCTCGTATAGGTTGCCGAGGTTCACGCCGGTGAGCGCTGTGGCCGGGTCGTTGTGGAGAATGGCGCTCACAGCCTGTCTGGCTTTCGGTACAGCATCTGCAGGCGCCTTCTTCGTGACATCGAAGTGCTTGATATAATTTCTCGCGTCGCGCTTGGCGTCGGATTCCTTGAGCAGGCGGGTCAATTGGTCGCGTTCAGCGCGCTGCCGCTCTTTGGCAGAGCTCGATGCTCTACGTATGTTCAATGCATTGAGACATGCCGTGGTGTGCAAATGCGAAGTGAAAGTCTTCTCAGCGACGCTGCTCGTGCTATCGAGCCTGGGGAGCTGTTTGGGCGTCAGTGCCTGTGCAACAACCGAGTGTGGGGAGCTGCAGTGAGTCACTCTTCATTCCTCAAGCAATGCTCACTTTCGTCGAAACCCGCCCCAAGCCCCAAACCGGGGCTTTGCAAATGACCATTCTTCATGCTACCGCTCAGCTGCTGAACACATTGAGGGGTATATGGAAGCACACGCGCAATGTTGCGGTGTGAAGAAATGCCGCGTGCACATGTTTTCTGCAGGGCGGAGCTTTGACGACTTTGTTATCGATACGCTGCGTCATAGCCGATTTCGGTCCGTTGCGTAGTGCTCCGCGAAGCATGACAAAGCCGGGTATGACTTCACGAGTTGACGGAGATAAAATGCATACCGTGGTATATAAGCATACTTGGCGTCGTGAAGCATCTTGAAGCAGACAACCCTCCTTCAAGGCAACCAATCCACCATATCATAAACATGGCCCCACAACTCGCATGGATCGGCCTCGGCAACATGGGCAGGGTAAGTGCTGCCGGCAGGCAATCTTATCAGATGAAAGTTTTACAATCGTGGAAATTGCTGTCCTAATACTGTTTGTCAATGGGACGGGACCATGGAGGCTACGCGATGCATGAGGCATGCTGATCACGAGACCCAATTCTGGCTTCGTCAACATGTCCACCTTCACAAGATCAACAACAACACCATGACCATGACTCGCTAACCGCCACGTCCCCCAGGGCATGTGCACCAACCTCGTATCCAAAGGAAACCTCGACAAACCCTTGATCCTGTACAACCGCACGAAGAAGCGCTCAGATGATCTGGCAAAGAAGCTTGGGACAGACAAGACCAAGGTCGTCGAGAATGTCAATGACGCTGTAAAGGAGAGCGACATCCTTCTCATGTGCCTAGGAGATGATGCAGCCGTCAACTCGACCGTTGATGAGATCCTGAAGGGAGACGTCAAAGGAAAGACCATCGTAGACTGCAGCACCGTGCACCCGGACACGACGAATGCTCTGGAGAAGCGCATCACAGAGAAGGGTGCTGAGTTCGTCGCTATGCCTGGTACGCTCTCCTTGCAGCACCTCCCTACCTATCACCAAAAGTCTCGCTCTTCAACGCATATTGATGTTCACACACTCTAACGCTTTTCGTCACCACTCACCAAATTCCCCTACCTAAACACTCCCCCCTCCACTCCTCTCTACGCCATCCCCACCCTCTTCCTAAAACATTTCACTAACATCCTCAGTCTTCGGCGCCCCCGCCATGGCCGATGCAGGATCTCTTGTCTGCGTAGTCGCGGGCTCACAAACCGCCACAAAAAAGGTGACGCCCTACACCGACGGCGTGATGGGCCGGGCAACCATCGACTTCTCCAACCAGCCGGCTGGGAACGCGACGTTGTTGAAAGTGATCGGCAACACATTCATCCTCAACATGGTGAACCAGTTATCCGAAGGCCATGTACTGGCTGAGAAGAGCGGGTTGGGCGTGGATAATATGCACCATTTTATCTCGGCGATGTTTCCAGGTGAGCTCAATTGCAATTAGGTTTTGGCTGGTTCATAGGCTAATGAGTTGAAGGACCGTACACAGCATACTCCCAGCGTATGCTCCAGGGCGACTACTACAAGCGTGCCGAGCCCCTCTTTCACATCGATCTCGCGCGAAAAGACGCACGGCACGCAAAAGCACTCGCAGACGCGAGTGGGAGCAGTGTGAAAGGACTCGACGTAGCGCGAGCACGATTGGACGATGTGAAAGAGCATCTGGGAGACAAGGGGGATATCCCGAGTGTGTATGGCGCAGTGCGGAAGGAAAGTGGCCTGGAATTTGAGAACGGGAAATAATGTACGGAGAGGCTCGTTTGTAACGGTGCACCGACACCTAGCAAAAACCTCAAGCAGACCAGTTCCTGCACGTTTCGTGCCCACGCTGCCGCATCGTCCCTATGACCTTCCCCCTGGTTGCGTCTCTCTCACACCCTCCGGAACCATGCTGAAGTACCTCTGGAGGTTGCTATGTAATTTCTACCAACTGCTTCTGGTGATATTCGGCGCGATGGAAAGATTCTTGAATACCTCCGCGAGGTTATGGCGCCAGCTGTGTTTCTTCGCAAGGCGAACACGATTCATGCCCTCAATTTCGTCCGTGATCTCATCACCAACGCCCTGGTTGAGACCTTTACGACGGTTTGCTTTGAACCTGATACAGTTGTCAGTTGACTATCCTTTGGGATGGTCCCATTCATGGGCCAGACCTAAAGGTCAGTCCCCTTCTGGGACTAGGAGAACCCTTAAACGCACGATACTTAATAGAGTAAAGGTAAAAGAAAATAGATCAAAGGATATTTAATTCATTGCTCCAGACTGTGCCGTAGATTCCACTCACTTATCGTACGCCGTGGCTATCAAGGTTCCTGAGAAACCTAAAAACGTCGTTTATATAACTCATTGGAGCGAAGGCGTGATGAGAAACCGGTTCGCGGTAGAGCCATTGCGTTGTGTTGAGCAGCCTGCTCGTAGCGATAGCGTGGGGAGGGAAATTGCTGAGAGACCACATGTTTGGGGGAATCTTGTACAAACCTGACCGGTCAAATCTTCCTCTCATCTCGAATTTCGAAGTGAGATCTGGTAGGAGTCGGTGCAATGCAGGGTATGGTGTTTGGACAACAAGCTTTGCGGGATGCGTACGCTGATCATTGTAATGGCTGGAAGCCTTAAGCAATATCTTGTGGGCTCGTTTGCGTGGATCGAGGAATTTGTTTACTGAGCCCATGCAAGGCTTCTTCTCCGGTCGGCCTGGTTGAAACAGCAATCGCATCTTTACCAGTAGGATCAGATCGAGTAGGTGCGCTCTTGCCTCTGGTTTCATTAGGAACTCGCGGCTTTCCATATACTATGTTTTTGCACAAGTGCTGCATGTTGTTCAAGCCCCAGTATGATGGTCTGGCCACCAGCGTATCCGGCCAGGGTCTTTGCAAGTAATGGCAGAAGACTGCTGTCAATGCATGGAAATTCATTACTGCATAGGTAGCCTTGGATGGATAGGCCTGCGACCTTTTCGAGGAACAGCCCAAGTACGGAGTGTGACGCCTTCAAGAACTTCCGTGTTGTTAATGGTGTTGAATCCGAAGTGTAGCTTGCAGCGCAGGGCCCAGTCGTGCAATGGTTGCATCAGACTTCTATTTGACATGTTGTCGAGATCCGTACTCTTCGTTTAAGGTAGGGAGCACAATCTGAGATTCTGAAGTGACTCGAAGGGTGTACCATACGCATCTCAGGTAATGAAAGCTCTGGAAGGAGTAAAATACTCATGATTTCGTGGTCGTAGGGTGAGAGTCTGTATGTACAGCCGTTGAGTAGCGGGACCTAGCTACTAGCGCTGTGGGGGAGGCTGCAGAAGCGCAAGGGGACATTGGAGCCCTCGTCATCGTTCGAACACTTCTTCCACCCTGATACGCGCAACCACAACCACAAGTGTTCGAACTCATCATCGTTGAGTCTTCAGTACCAGACGCTCGACGACGAAGAGGGTTTGCGCGCTGATCATAGGGCCCTTTGCAATGGCGTCAAGCCAGCGTGACCTCGGTCTCCACTTTCCCGACATATGCAACAAACTCCGCATCGCCGTGTCGACGCTATGCCACCAATGGCGAAGAAGCTGGTGAACCCCGCGATGTCTACCCCAGTATCTACCCCAGCAAAGCCTTGGGTTGCACCTGCCACGGTGACATTCAGCCTGTAAAACGGCGGCAACAGGATGGCAGGGATCCTAACCTGGTTAGCATACCCATAGCTCAGTGAGGAGTGACGCCAAACGTCTTGGAACGTGGAGGTACTTGAGGTTGAGACCCACGCATCTTTCTTTGCTATCAGCCCTAGTAGAATCCTTTGTCTCCAGCCTTGGCATATAGTTGCAACGATTTCGAACTGTCAATTCATCGCTATCAAGGACACACCCTCGAGGATTGACAATATGGGGTTCTTCAAGAAACCCACTCTGCGCACCCGCGACGACCAGCGCACGAGTGCTGCAGAGCTTACCCTACGAGCATCAATCTTACCGCTCTGTCTTGTCACTATCCTGTTTTTCTTATGGGTAAGTTACTGTTCTCAAAAACATCGATGATATCTAACATTTGCTCAGGGATTTTCGTACGGCCTCATCGACACCTTGAACAAGCACTTCCAAGTGGAGCTTAATATCACTCGCGCCCGTTCTTCTGGACTACAAGCAGCTTACTTTGGAGCTTACCCGCTCGCTTCGCTAGGCCACGCCAACTGGTTGCTCAGGCACTGGGGCTACAAGACTGTTTTCATCTGGGGACTCTGCCTGTTTGGCACCGGCGCGCTTTTGACTTGGCCATGTCTTGTTTATCATTCGTTCGGTGGCTTCTGCGCAGCTACCTTTGTGATAGGCAACGGGCTAGGCTCGCTCGAGACGGCTGCAAACCCATACCGTTAGTGGTTATCATCTTTGATTTTGCTAAGAAAGTGTGGCTGATAGTTTCTCAGTCGCTGTGTGCGGTCCTCCAAAGTATTCAGAACTGCGCATCAACCTCGCGCAGGCTTTCAATGGTATTGGAACCGTGGTTGCGCCTGTACTCGGGTCTTACGTCTTCTTTACGGACGTTGGTGAAGGCGCGGAGGCTCTGAAGAGCGTGCAGTGGGTGTACCTAGCGATCGCATGCTTTGTCTACATCCTCGCAGTGGTGTTCTATTTCGCTACGGTAAGTTGGGCAGATCAGGTACGCCGCGCACGCTGCTAATTTTCTTAATCAGATTCCCGAAATCACGGATGCGGATATGGCATTCCAAGCCGACGCCACAAATGCTGGCACCGATGTTAAGCCTTTTCGCAAGCAGTACCGCCTTTTCCATGCTACATTCGCCCAGTTCTGCTACACTGGAGCACAGGTCGGCGTCGCAGGGGCATTCATCAACTATGTCACGGAATCAAGAATTGGCAGCTATCAGAATGGGGTACCTCAGGCCACGAGCAACGCAGATGCTGCGCGCTTCTTGGCCGGCGCTCAAGGCACCTTCACGCTTGGTCGATTTGTTGGATCTGCGCTCATGAAGTTTGTAAAGCCTCGCTGGGTGTTTCTTGTGTTCATGACGGCTTGCATGTAAGCGTCCTGAGCTTCCCTTGACGTACTATCTCGCTAACATGTGACAGTGTCTTCCTCATCCCGTCCATCACCGAGCGTAACAACACAGGCATGAGTATGCTCTTTATTGTATTGTTCTTCGAGTCCATCATCTTCCCTACCATCGTGGCTCTGGGTATGCGAGGACTCGGCAAGTATTCGAAGCGCGGTTCTGGCTTCATCGTAGCTGGTGTATCAGGTGGTGCCGTGGTGCCTCCACTCTTGTTCGTCGCCGCAGACTCTCGAGGACGAGCGGACGTCGCATCGGGATATTCACCCACTGCCTTCGCCATGGTTGTTCCATTGATGTTTTTCGTTGCTGCCTGGACCTACACAATCTGTGTGAATTTCGTTCCTGCATACAGGAACGTTGCCGACAGCTTCCACGAGACTGAGATTGGCATCGTCAACACGCCTGGGGCCAACGACCCGGAAATGCAGCACGGCTACGGCGCGAAGGATGGCTCTCCACTGCAGACTGAGGCAGTGCATCACGATGAGAAGAAGGTTTGAGATGAAGGTGACGAAACTTGTAAAGCATTCACTGTGTAGAGAATGGTCTCAAACAGGCAGGTGGTCAGACACAAGCATCAAGCCTCGCAAGTAACCCCCAAATAAGTAGACAGCGCTTGATATGGTCTTTGTAGAATTGCGAGACATTCGCCTCCCCCACAAACCTCGTTCTTTGGTAGCACAGGGTTCCGTAGCTCCCGTACCCCTACGACATCGTGCCGCGATTGCCGTGCTGTGTGATGAGCAGGAAGGCGCGTTCCTGAGGATCGTCGCTGCATCAACAACGCCAACAAGCTTGACAGCTGCACACCGGCAAACAAAGCATTTGACAACACACTAAGAATATTGCTCCACAATTGCTTGAAAGAGTCACGCCTTTATCGTTTGCGTATTCGCACGTATTCGAGACAATTGCCGAACGAGCCGCTAGCCTCCAGAAGGCCCATGTTCCCCGCCTGGCCCCTAGCGTAGGCGCGCTGAGGCGCAGGATCAAGCCGCAGCAGCTCACACCTCAGCGTGGAGCAGTGTCTGCCTCTTCCACCCCAAGACGATGTACAGTGTGTCTCGCTACTTCTGCTGCGCCGTACCGCAGCCATAGACTACGCCCACGAGCAATGCGGCGGTCATGGACAAGAAGGCGCTCTTCTTTCCGTGGTAGGTGCCTAGTGCGATATGAGCGTGAAGTGAGACGACAATTGCTGACCACGCGGTGCTCCTACAGCGGCCTTATACTAGCAAGCAGCTACCTGTCTACTGCGACGCCCATAGAGTACTCATTTGCCCTCGATAAGCCCTTACACACCACCTGCGTCGTGCTGCTGCTCACCGGCCTGCTCGTTATCGCAGTGGAAGCCTGGCCCGGCCGACCGCACCAGCCACAGCTACCAGCGCGATATGTCGCGATACCACTCAGTGACGGCCACAGCAGACAACATGCCGAGCAACACTGGACCGAGGCAGGGCTTGTTGGTCGCAGGAAGTCATGGAGCGTCAGGGCAGTCGGCGCACTCCTCGCCGTGCTGCTGTTCGCAATATGCGGCCGCATTGGCGTCTTCTACCGTGTTGTAAAGGACGTCGAGTGCACTGGTACCTCAGCTGTGGTACGTACAAAAAGAGTTCGTCGACATGTTACATACTGACTCTACTTCAGACGTTCATCCCCGTCGTCCTCGCCCTCTACCACAGCATCCGCCATCCCTCCCAACGCCAGTACCCCGCCTGGAGCGCTGACTCACGCCCAAAGACGCTGCTCGAACGCGTCGTGAACTTCACCTATGGCGACTCGACGCGCTACATCGTCCCTGCCATTCTGCTGTCGATCAGCAGCTTCCTCGTTCTGATCAAGACCAGCGCGCTGCGGTCCACCTACATCTGCCCCGTCTCGAACTCGACAGCGGCCCTCGTCCCTACGCTGCAGTTTGTAGGATTCGTTTTGGATACTATTGTTGTCCAGTCGTTGTACCGCTTGGTTGACGACGGCATCTCTCCGGTCGATGACTGGACCATCCAGCTTCAGGATGGCACATCGAACAACCTACTCATCGGTCTGACCCTCATTGTACGTATCATGTCTGCTGCAGCAGCATGACAGTTGCTGACGCCTGACAGGCTTCCTCACTAGTTCTTGTTGTTACTGGCATTGTTGTATACCCTGCCATACCTGAGCACCGCGATTGGATGCTCTCATTTCCATCTGAGTATTTGCTTGGCTTGTTACGTTTATCGTTGATGATACCCCTTATGACCTTTTGCTTTTTGAAGTCGGTAAGTCAAGCCATGCTCACAACCTTGGGGCAAACAGCTGATCGAATAGGCACGACTCTACGGCGTTATGAGCGCGGTGCTCACTGTTGCATTTTCCTCTGCATACATCGGCGTTCTTCGAGCACTAGGGACCGGCGCGTCTCACGCATTCCCACCAAAATCTACAGTGAGCCTTGTGCTTTGCTTGACGCTACTCACTATTGCCCTCATTCTCCATTTGGTCACAGATACCAACATCGAGTCTCGTATACGCTTCACCGTGCCGGTCCGGCTGGGCAGGAACCAGTCGGCAATCTTTGTTCTCCTTCTCATCGGTTTCTCCATCGGCGTTGTCGTCTATCGTCGCCGGGACCCCATCCTCGAACATCCTATTACAGCCCTGATCGAGTTTGCCAACATTCAGCACGAGCAATGGGCGTCACAAGCCCACCGCAGCCAGTCACTTGCCCAGGCTGTCGTACACTATCAGCAGCGCTATCATCGAGATCCTCCACCCTACTTCGACAAATGGTACCAATTCGCTGTCGCACGAAATTCCATTGTGATCGACGACTACGACAACATTGAAAAAGATCTCGCCCTCTTCTCGTCATACACTCCAGATGATTTGCGACTGCGCACAGCGACCGTGTTGGCTACACATCAAGGAGTTGGAGGTGTACGCATTCGCGACGGTTCGGCAGATGCGCTAGCCGGCGTGCCTGAAGAGCAGAAGTGGGTCATCGATGGTGCGACCGCCATGATCATGCACTTCGCTGAGTACCTTCCTGACATGGATCTGGCATTCAATCTCGGTGACGAACCTCGTGTCGCTGTGCCTTTCGATCGGCTACAGAACGCTCTGAGCAACCCGCAACGATACCCAGTACCCGAACCATCTCGAGCACGGCTCGATTTCAGTATTGACCGCGCAGACAGATGGCCTAACATCGACAACATACGTACCGATCCACAGTTCTTCGAGGATGCCCGACTTAAGCCATCATTCCAGACGTACGGATCTGTGGCTTGTTCTCCCGAATCTCGTGCGCGCAAGGAGCGTCACTGGAACACGGGGACCTTTTGCCCCACCTGCAGCATGCCGCACTCCATGGGCGCGTTTGTTTCAAACTGGAGCATGGCTGCTGACCCATGCCATCAGCCCGACATTGCGAACCTCCACGGAGTGTACCTCAGCCCGTCCAACCTGACAGGAACTCATGGCATTGTACCGATCTTCAGTCAAAGCCGAGCGTCTGGATATGTGGACATTCGATATCCATCTCCCTGGAACTACATGGGAAGGTCAAAGTACGACTTCGATGAGAAATACCCAGATCCACCGTTTCAGCAGAAGGAGGATGTCTTTTTCTGGCGCGCTTCCACAGAAGAAGGCACTAGTACAACTGGGACCTGGAAGGGCATGCTACGCCAACGCCTCGTGCACTATTTGAACTTCAACACGACGTCTCGAGTGCCTATGCTGCTTCCGAAAGGTGATCACAGCGACAGGCTTGAGTACATCATGAAGCGCAGATCCGATGTCAAGAGACTGCTCGAAACAAAGGTCGATGCTCAATTCACCGAACTCAATCATTGCGCTGGCCAAGACTGTATCGACCAGTCTCACGAGTTCAAGCCTACTGATGCCATCGACCTTAGGAAGCACTGGCGCTACAGATACCTCTTCGATGCCGATGGTGCAGGGTTCTCGAGCCATTTCCTTCCTTTCCTTCAATCCAACTCTGTCGTTCTCAAAACTGGCATCTTCCGCGAATGGTATGATGGCCGCCTCGTTGCCTGGAAACATTTCGTACCGATCGATCTACGACTCCACGACCTCTTCTCCATCCTCGCGTACTTCGGCGGATACGGTGTCGAAGAGAGGAATAAGAGGATGATGGAGGGCAGGGCCAAGGATGCTGAAGCTATCGCACGGCAAGGCAAGGTCTGGACGGAGAAAGTGCTCAGGAAGGAGGATATGGAGGTCTACATGTTCAGGCTGCTGCTCGAGTGGGGAAGGTTGACGGACGACAAGAGGACGGAGATTGGGTTCAGGATGGGTAAGGGGAGTGGAGAGGTTTAAATGAGAGGCGTTAATGGGTCGGCATAGCGTTGCGTGGTGTACTTGGGAATGGAAACATCATTGTCTCTTGCAAACGATTGGTCGATGCACGGTGTCGTGACTTAGATGTGTACGAAGCGATCGACTCACTGACATCTTCTTTCCCCATACCAACTATTATGATAATCCCAAATCTACAAGCAAAGAATGGCATGCTCTTTCTGCGCTCTGCCGAAACGTCTAGCAGCCACTGCACAAAATCACACACTTGAAGCAGGCATGCTTGCGTGCTTTGGTTCTCTCCACTAAAAATGGCGACAGTCATTCTATTTCCAATTCCACCAGTCGTTCCTCCATGTTTTGACCGAAGGCGAGCAGAAACTTCGCATGTTCTGCCGGTATCTCCAGTGGGCCGTGACCAGTCTGATGTAAGTCCCGTCAATGATCTTGCTTCTTCATACTTGCCTCTGTGGAGTTGAATCTCGAAATCCTATCTGTCGGGTTTTATGTCTGTTCCGTGCAGTCCAAAATATCTCACAGAAGCCGCGCACATGGTGAAAGCTGAATCTATCAAGATCGATACTGCACGAAAGAATATAACGAGCCTTGGGCTTGAACGACCAAAGACGTGCGTAGCTGAGGCACTTCGTGCAAGCTCACATGTATGCTTAGCCTTGTAATAGGCAAGCAGGAGTCTGAAGGCTCCTCGCGCAGCAAGGAGAAGAAGACAGTCTCTGTTTGTTTTACGGATCAGATATTGTATGGAAGGCTGTGTTCTTCTCCTTCTTGCTGCGCTTTGTCACCTTTCTAAGGTTGCTATTGCCTCCTTCATGGTTGTTGTCTCCTTCGTGGCTGTTGCCTTCGTGGTTGCGTGGCTCTCCCTTCTCCTTCCTTCATCAGCGCATGCAATCAGTGACATCTTGGCACCAATCAAAGCAATTCGTTTCCTTGGCGCGCGTCGTATTCGGCCAATAAATTCTCCCGCTCCTCTGCCATATCATGCGGATACATTGCTTGCTTCGTCACTTCGTTCCTCAGCTACGCGATAAAGGCTGTCCTCGCCTGCTTCCCGTTGTGATTTCTATACATATTTTCACCTACCCTCCAAGTGTCTGCGCCAAAGGTGGATACACCCAGATTCGATGTGCGAACTCTTTCTTTGTCGACAATACCACGAAGCAAACGGACAAGCTGTGCTCCTTGTCACTCTGACCCTTACTCTTCCTCAAGATTTGAGGTCCACGAATACAGTTTTTGAACTCTCCATGATGCACTACTGTTTCTATACCCTAGCTTTTCGAATTTAACTTACGATTAGGCCATGTGCTTGGGACTGAATCGAATTTGCGAATCCAAACGGTCATGTCTGCTCTGCTGCTCCGTTCAGAAGAAGTCACGGACGCGAAAAATGTTTTGGAGCCAGCAGACCTTGCACCCAGCTTTACTTCCTTCTCTGTATCTATACTGCGGTTACAAAAATTCAGAAGACGTCAACTGCATGTTTTCGTCTGACATTTCGGAAGTATCACAAGGATGATTGTGTCGATTTATCTGCTTCCCTGGAATGAACATGACTGGAAGACATGGGAGTGCTCTTGCCAGCTGCTTCACACGGGTGGGAGGATGTGAAGTTCCGCGCTGCTTTCTCTTCTTCCCTCTTGCATTGGACCCTGAAAGAAAATGGTACAAAAATGTGCCATCAAGGGATATGCCTCTGCTCTCTTTTCGAGAACGGGCATTATCACCTAACATGAAGTCCCAAGAAAGTCACATTGGGACGCATACACAACCTTCTGTTCTCTCTGATCGAAAGGCCGGAGAAGTACGAGTATGTGCAACGCTGTTCCTGGAGTTGTTTCGGTCACTTCAACACGTAGATTCTATAAAATGTTGCGGTATCAGCTGGTCCGTACGAGACCCAATTACCCTTGGTTAGACTGTTATGGACTAGCACATTGCAGGGCCAGTATATAGTCGCCTTCTCCAAGCTAGATAGCAATTCAGCGCAGTCTTCCATCGACCCGATAGTCCTACGTTATCGTGTACCGTAGCTATCAGTATACCACAGCGGCCCACGCCGCCGCATATTTACTATGGATCAGCTTTGAACGTGCCATTCTGACTTTGCTGTCCGAGTCCATGATCGCCAGAAGGAACCGGAACGATAACTAAACGCTCTTGCAGGTGCATTCCGGGTGGCCATATCAAGATTTTGAAGATATTCGGCTCACTCGGGAGTCCAGGCAGCGTGGCTTTAGATTTGCAATCGATCCGAAGTCGACGCCAGCAGTTTGAACTCGTATACAAAGCTGCTTCAGAAACTTTTGAATGAGCTAGTTTGGGTTATGCTTGCCTGATATGTTTGTTCAAGTTGCTTGAAAATGGTGTTGGGCTTCTTGCAGTTCGCAACGGGACAGATGAGAGTTCCACTATTTCGGACGCTTAACATCCCTAATGTCAAGACACTGTTATTAAAGCATCTCACAGCCCTTTGCTTATTACCCAGAGCGGTCGAGCAAGCTCGGGGTGTGCATCTCCAAGGTGACGCAAGAACTCGGCCTCGGTACTGAAAAGCACCGTAGAAACGAGGCACTCAGCGACGGGACAGTGGTCGAAAGCTTGACTGACTTTGTCATCATGCTCCTGGCGTGCAATATGTGCGAGCAAGACGCTTATAGCGTCCGTCGCATCCTGGCAGCCAGTAAGGGAGCATGGCTCATCCCGAAGCAGACATTGACCGCAAGCGCTCATACTTTCTGCAGGTAGCTCGAGGTCTGAAAGGTAGACAATACAAGTTGCGCCACGCAACATGCAGTGTATGCAAGGAGAGGGGGCAGGCCAGCCATACCTAGTTTCAATAAGCCGCGCATGGGCGAGCTGAGTTTTTCTCTCAACGTTAAGATGATGCCCAGCCTCGTCGATTACCAATCTTCTTCTGACCAGCGTTTTGGTTCAGGGCTGCGATGAAGTCTCTTTCCACCGGTATGTCTTGTCTACACAATTCCTGTCGTAACGTCATCGTTGAGGACTCTGCACCAGCCATTGTTGTGATTGTTGCAGCCATCTGTCACAAAATTTGTCGGCTTTTCGCGCTCTTTATTTCCGGAAGACATGGCCAGGTGTTCAGCTTGCAAGATCTGTCGTAGGCATTGTCATGCGAGTCTTTCACTTCTAAGCGTTGATCACCGTCGATATGGGCTGGGATTTGGCGAGTTGCTCATGCAGGATATGCGGTTTCATGCCCGCATCTGTAGTGATTGAGTCTTGCTGGCGGGGAGCTTGCAACGCAGGTAGATGGCGCTGTGCTTTCAGTTTGGCTTCGCCAGGTAGTAATTGCACATCTATTCTCTTCAAAGTGGGCAAAAAGGTAAAGTTTCTTTACTCCAGGTCCATCTGATTCGAAGTACGCTCCACTGTCCCAAAGCGGTGGAAGCGCTTTGCCCTCACATACTTCATTTTCGAGACGAAAATGCATGCTCCGTTACCAAAGATTTTTAGATAGGATGCGAAACGTTAAGGCCTTGAATTGCTGCAATTGTAAGTACTAAGCAAAGGAGTCGGCGACGTAACACGTACTTTGTAAGTTTGGTCGAGCTTTCCTGATACCTAATCGTTAATGCTTTCGGTTTGGAATTCGCGGAGTAAGATCGTTAAAATTGCCATTGCATTTTCGAGTAAGTGTGGCACTATGATAGTGTGCGTTGCAAAAGTCTGTGACCCCCCCTAATTTTGGGTCATAACAAAAACTAAGGCAGGGTAGTATGGGTCAGGGGCAGCCTAGAGGTATATATGTGGGCTCTCACACGTGCCAGACCCTGGCCCAGACCTTCACCGCCACTCGGAGGCGCTGCTGCTACCAAGCTTAGGATCACATACATCATTGTTGTCATCATTCCTACCACCTCACCGCCACCACAACATCCTTTAAGATCCTTCAGCCTAGTTACCGTCAGCAATTAGGCCAGTATTTACCCTTTACCAGACTCAGCTTATCAATGCGAGTAGAATGGTATACATATTGCCATGTTACTCAGGCAACAGGAGTATGGTATTGTACATGTCTAAAATCAGGGGGGGCCACAGACTTTTGCAACGCACCAATACTGCTCAACAATTGTATATTCCAATGATTTGGAGGAAAGGAATCGTTCTCTAACACCCCGTACTGTGCGTACAATACTTGATATTCTAAGGTGGATCAACGTATACGCGCCAGTGAGGTTGGTATGGGTGCTGTTTACAATACTGTGTACGCCACATGGTGGAGCCAATCAGACTGCCTACAGCGGGCCCACATTGAAGACGTTACCTTCCTTTACGATCTCTGCTCCCCCACAAAACAACAACCAGCACTTTCATGAAAACATCAGCAAGAAACGATTTGCGGGAGTTCCTGGCGCTGTCCTTGATCTAGAGAGGCTTAATATGTTGATTTCAGTCTCGACTTGAATTGCCAGGCCCTGACCCACTGTCACATTATTGAATTCCCCAGGGCCGCTGCAGGGAAAGTATCATCGTCATGGAGTATTAGCGTCGAACGTTCTCTCAATACGATCACCCCGCAAGCTTCAAAACCAGGCTCGAGATCGCATTGCAGCAAGGTCGAACGTTGCATGGCTGGTGTCTGTCAAGACATGTATCGACATATGGGACATGAGCCTATTCGAGGTTCACCTCAGGCATTGGTGGTAGCTTCGATGTAGTTACGAGTACCTTGGAACTCCATTTCGATGTCCTCTTTCGGACAATGTGTCTCCCATGGAGACAAGACTCACAATTCACTTCTCCTAGACGGATAGGCATCTGTGAAGTGTGCACCGGGCACGGTCACGACAACGATGACAACGACGCGGGGTGCACGAGATATTATCATAGCGGCTCCAATACGATTTACGAACCATGGATGTAGTTATGCAGGCCCTCATAGCCTCCCAAGAATGGGATGAACAGATTGTCTATAAAATCCCCCCACCTCCCTCAAGGCACCAGCCCTCTTCACATATCTTTACGAATCCACACACACGCATCTCATCAACATGTACGCAGAACTCATCACTGCCGCTCTTGCGCTCACGCCTACCACTCTCATTCCTCGTCAAACGAGATTAAATTGCCCTGCCACCATCTCCTGCCCAGCCAACAATGGCTGCTCGTCAACAGCAGCCAATGGAGCTGCCTTCCAGCTGAAGTGCACGACCAACTTCAACGGCCCTGTCATTGCGGTCAACCAGGTCAATCAATGTACAGGCACGATTATGCTTCATCAATAATAACACATCACAGGCAGCGACCTTTGCTAAATGCATCACTGCATGCTCAGTTACCTCCGGATGCAAGGGCCTGAACTACAAGGGAGAATTCTGCTACCTCCTCGGCAACACCATCAACGTCGGTCCCACTGTCTCTGTGTAAACCTCCTCAACCCCAAGTGCAGTACCTCTCACTCACAGTTCATAGCTCCAACGTCAACGCTGCAACCCAGACCCGCCCCGCCACCATAGCCTCACCTACCGCTGGCTCATCCATCTGCACCACTGCCATCACCTGCCCTGCGACCGACGGCTGCCAGTACACCTCGAACAGCAAGACATTCTACACTCGCTGCGGCTTCGACTTTTACGGCGGTGACATGGCGGATGGTAACAGCAAGGTTGCGAATATGAAGCGGTGTGTTGATAAGTGTGCGACTACAAAGGGCTGTGTAGGTGTGAGCTTCAGTACTTCGACCAAAACGTGTTACTTGAAGTCCGTTCTCCAGCCTGCCGTGTACAGCAGCAACACGAACGGTATGTGACTATCCACGGTGATGATGTTCACGATGCTGATATGATTGTAGCCGCGTACCTTGCTGGCCAGTAAGGTATGGTAAACCGTGCTTTGACAAGAGCCATGTTCTCCTCTTGCGGGCGGGACTTATCGATCCAACTCTCATTGTTGCTCATGAGACCATGGTTCTACTTCTGAGCATCCAAATATGTATGGCTGTAGGGAAAGGCACGGTCTATCAACATGTACGGCACTTTGTGGTAAGGAAGCACGTGGGGACAATTCGTGCCGGAGTTTGTATAGACGCCTTGACAGTGTAACTCGATTGGAAAATACTAAGATGTTTTGCCACTCGTATGCACACTTGCACGATACTCGTTTCCTCCGCTCTTGCACGCAGGACGTTGTACGTGAAAACGTATTTATATTCATATGTGTTGATGATTTCGAACTCTCGCTAATGAGCGCACTCATATTTGTACCGCTTCAAGAGGGGTAGGGAACCGGTACGGGATAAGGGTTGCTTGCCGCAGTACCAACCTTGGGGCTGTTCAGGCAAAAGGGCACTTTGTTGGTGTTGAAGTCACCGTAGGTATTCGTACCAGCCGCGCACTGATCGACACCATTCTGCATCCTGTTCAGGGTGCAAGGACTTGGCTTCGGATATCCGGGGAAGGTGGTCGCAATGGCCTGCGAGGGGGGCGCGCCAGTTGGTGTCGGGCAACCGAACGAATCGAATGCAGCGTTTACGGCGCTCAGTGCGCCGAAAATGGAGTTGAGAATGTTTCCGAACTCAGAGATGAAGTTGCCGTAGACGGCCTGCTGGATGGCGCATATGACGCCCTTCTGAGTCGTGCCACCGTAAGTGCCCTTGCCACCGAAGTCGGACAGCCCGTAGCCACCAGCGAAGGCACCGCCAGAGCCGGTATTGGCGCCAAAGAGAATGGGGTTCTTCATCTGAGCGGCAGCACCTGTGTAGAGGGTGATGATGCCGTCGATACCCTCAGACAGCAGCATGGGGTATGCGCGACGGTACCAGCCCTGAGGAGGAATCTGCTCGGGAACGTATGCCTTGAATGAACCATCGGCATTGAATGAAGCACCAAGGAAGGAGGCAATTGATGCTTCGTTGGCGACACCACCAGCGCCGATGGTGCCGTTCGAGAAGAAACCAGGGATGAAGTAGGTAGCGCCGATGACGAGCGCAGCCTGAGGAGGGAAGAAGTAAAAGTATGGGTTCTTCAAGCGAGAGTTCTGGTATTGGTTGGCAAAGTGGCTGGTCACGGCCTTGACGTTGTATTGGCCACCGCCAACCATCATTGCCTGGTTCTTCAGATCCATGAAGACGTCCTTGTTCAAGTTGTGGTTATCACCGTTGCAGAGATAGAAGTCGCACCTGAATTCATGTCAATGAGGCAGTCCGTATGAGCAGAGAAGGTGACTGACCTTGTCCCAGAAGCATCTCCCTCTTTGAACCTCAAATGGCCACTCAACCCAGTCTCTGTTCCGAGTGCGGCACCGAGTAGGCCCACAGAGTTGGTGCGAGCATCTGCACCACCGATGGAATAAGTCATGCTGGGAATGTCACCAGCGAAAATAAGTGAGCCACCAGCAAGGAAGGCCGAAAGGTCGGCTCCCATGTTGAAGAGTTGAGCGCTGGCTGTGATGGTCTGCGCGACTGTGACTATTCCATTGCGAGGAATGTAGCCGTGGTTGGCAAGAGTATTAAGACCCGGGCAGGCTCCTCGCTGGTCAGTCGACTCAGGGTTTTGGTAGGGGTATGCTGCCTCAGGGAACTTCTTCAAACCTGCGACTGTAGATGGAAAGAAGTCACCCATAGGGTGCGGCCTGCAGTTTGAGGTTTGTCTTTTGTCGACACCCGCAGGTGTGGCATCTTCGCATTCTTCTGTCGCGTTGTAGTTGGCAAAGAAGTCGTCCCTCTCCTTGACTTGCTTCTGGTAGAGATCATTGATCAGGGTTGAGAGCTCGGGGTCTCTCTTGATGATATCCAGACCACGCTTCATGTGTTCCTCCTTGAAGTCAGCAGATAGCCAAGGGAAGGCAACGGCGCCGAACCCTAGAAGGGTAGAGAGAACAAGAGAAGTCTTCATGCTGATCACCGAGTGTAAGTGAAGCGTGAAGATGCCGTTACGTTCCTTCCGAAAGGTCGTCTTAAAGACATCGCTCGCAAAGGAAGGGGGTGTAACACTTGAACGCCGCTTACGGAGACATGATCGAGTAGACGTCACTTTTTGATAGCAATCTTATGACCATCTCGAGCCCCCGGACTTCAATAGCGTGGAAGGACGTTAGGTGCAGGTAACGGTCCAACTAGCCGCAGGCCGAGAAGAAGCGAAGACGCACCTTGCAAGTCATGTTGTGAGGTACCTGACAGGCAACTGCCCTGATCCGGCAAGATGTCTCGCGCATCCCCACGGTAGCATGGTTGCCTTTCTTCGTTCTTTGACAGTTCATCAACGAAGCGACTTAATTCAATGCAATGCCAGAGCCTTCCAAACCCTTCAACTCTAGCTACACAATGGACAAGGGTTAACGCCACGACGTTTTCAGCTCAACACTCGTGAGCCTAGGACCATACTGATAGCACCGGTCTTTGCTGCGATCTACTCCTCAGGCCATAAGCTTCGTTTGCGTCATGGTGCGGGCAAGCCGTCGCCCAAGTTTATAAGTCGAGCTCTCCAGAGCTGGCGATCAGCCGCTGACAGGACAATTCCTGAGACCGCGTAGTAACCTAGATGACTCCATTGGTTGAAGCATGCGGCCCTGGAACATGGGTATCAACCTTTGCGGTAATGGAAATATTGAATTCTGCTCCACACGGCACAAATCAAGGTCGATGGGCTCCAAATCCGGGTTGCCTCAGCGGCGGTGAAGCGGGGATATCTTCCGATGTGGCTGCTATCGTCATGAGGCTTGAGAGTGGGCTTGTCAGAACCCTGGTCCCCGAGGGCTGGCGAGCTAAGGTCGACAGCTGCAAGCACAAAGGACTGGTCTGCGTCTCACGATTGAGGCGTCTTGTGACCCTAAGGCATCAGTCAATCAGCTCCCGTAGTTCTGCGTTGTCAGAGTATGTTAGACCGATGGATGAAAATCTATTGAAGGTGTGGTGGTGATAATCAGGGGTGTGGTACACGGTCCGCCACGTGGGGCTAGCTCATGCATGGATCGTCTAGCGCTGTGGCTCTCCCGCACGCTGCTGATCTCTTCCAAGATTCCGTCATCTTTGCAAGGCTGGCTCCAGACACACGGGTCTAGATCATCGAGCATGCGGAGGCGATTTAATACCTCCGTGCTGGTGAGGTCTTGGAACATCCCTCAGTCGCCACTGACCGCAGCGCAAATGTCACCTAGACCCGAGGCTCACTGCCTGAGTTTTGTCCACGGGTCGATGCTGCAGTAGCTCATGATGAGGAGATCAACCAATCTCCTCGGTAATCCTTGAACTTATGAACACTGAATGATTGCTGCTGATGATTTCCAGCTCTGTCTTCTCCTCATTGAATTGAAGTCTTCCACGGCCGCGCCAGCAGTTCCTTATTACCGGTTCCACTCTCACGAGTTCCTATCGAATACCAAAGATCGATAACCAGCTGAAACATAAGCCTGCCAGAATGTGAGGCATCCGAGGCGCCCTCTCTTATAACCTTAACCAAAGTCGCGTCGAGGCTGTGTAGTTGCTCGCCTTCTTCGGCCAACCACCACCAGAACTATATCTTAACAGGACGAGAACATCGAATACCTTGTAGCCCGCTCCATTTGCTTGCGTGTAGTTTGCCACTACAGAGACCGAGTGAGAGTCTGTGAAGTATAGTCGATGCGCAGAATGCGACCTCCATCGTCGTGTACCTTCAAAAAGGATTTTTTGGTATCTGGTTCCCGCGAACTGGCGAGCTGAGGTTGACGGTCGAAAGAAATCTGAAGCTGACTCAGTACCTGTGGCCGGGAACCCATATTTTCGGTCGCCTATGTTGGCAACAATCATTCACACTCATTCGTACCTCAACACCGCTTCGTACCATCTCCTTCCCACCTTCGCGGTTCCTCTATCCCAATGTTCACCATCTCCGCAACCGCCTTTCACCGATTGCTTAAGCAAACCCCTTCAGTACCGATTTCTTCTTCCGCATCGGCATCGCCCTCCTCCCCTCCATCCTCAGCATCATCCTAACCCACACGCTCGTTCCCAAACGGCGTTTCCGCCCTGTCCTAACCCAATCGCTGGTTGTCTTCTGTCTATACCCCTCATGTTTCACATTCAACCTAATCATCGTGTACTCCAACGAGTCATGGATGGACAACAATCGACGCCTGGCAACGAATATGCTACGGTGAGATGGCGCTGCAGGGGTTGTTGATACTGCTCTGAGCTGGACTAGCTATTTGTAGCTCTATTGCTGTGCATAAGTGGAGGGGTGTAAAGGCTAAGGTTAGACTGAGGATGGTGGTTAAGGAGAAGTTGGAGTTGAAGGGTGTTGGGGAGGAGAGGAAGGATAGTAAGGATGTTGATGTTGAGAGGGATGGGCTCGGAGACGGGTCGGTGAAGAGCTGCTCGATGATGTTTGTCTGAGGTGAACGGCTTAACGATTGATGGAAATGATAGGATGAGGGGATTGCTGTGCCGGCTTATGAATCGTATGAGGAAGTAATGTGTAATGTATAGTACGTAAACCGTAAACCCTAATGTCTGTACCCGAACCAGATCTCTAGGACGCCACCATTCCGAAAGGCCTCGCTGATGCGTCAAACCAAAGACCACAGAGGCCATCAAAGGTCTACGTCAACGTGGGGGTGTCACCTAGAAGAGACGGTCCAGACCGTTGTTGACAATGTTTTGGAACTCCACACGACGTCTACCAGCGATGCTCTTCCTGTAAGGCTTCGCTTCAGCGGCAATGTAGTACGGCTCGACCTTGACATAAGCATCGAGACCCAGAAAGCCCATGAGAACATCGTTCATGAGATCGACAGCCTCTTCATCCTGTGCCGAATCGTGCCAGTGAATTGTAACTTCGCTGAGGTTTGGAGCTTGCGCAAGGATACCGGTTACAAAGATGGCTCGTTGACGAAGCAGAGCCGGAAAGATGGCACCTGCACAGTCATCTTGCTCAGAGCGAAGCCATGTAGTGTCCCAGACGAACGTGACTTCGACCTTGCGGATGTCCTCCATGGGTGAGAAAGCGGCCTCGGTGATCTGACTGAACGCCTCCTCGAAAAAGCTAGTGTGAGCGAAGCTGCCTGTAGCTTCAATGCGGAGGACGGCGACGTCGTAGAACCAGCTCTTAGCCTCGGCGTTGAGTTGTTTCGAGGCGAGCAAGAGCTCGACAGGTGGAGGGCAGTGCGTTATGCGCATGAACTGTTGTTGACGTACCTAGTCAGTAAACTTTTCCCGTTCGAATCCCGCGAAACACTTGAGAGCTGAATAACACTATCTGCTTTCAAGCTCTTCGGCACGTACCTGTGGGATGTGGCGCCACTTCCTATGGGCTGTAATGACAGGCGCTGGATGGCAAGGTTGCGCTGCTCTTGCTGCAGTGTCTGCATCACCATCTTCCTTGGCTATCTCCTCATCGCTGTCGCCATCAGCGTCCTCGTTACCGCCTTCGTTCCCATCTTCGCCGTCCGCCTCAACATTTTCCTCTTTGGCTGTGACATCATGAGCATCGTAGTACTCTTGGTCATGCGTTTGCGTTGCAGCTGAAGTGGGCGCTGAAGCTACGGTCGTTGAAGCTTGCACTGTGGCCAATGCTGCGGCGTTGGCTGCAGTTGTAGTATCTTGAGCCGCAGTTGCTGAATCCTGTTGGTCTTGCGTCGTGGATTGTGAGCTTGTTAGAACTGAAGCAGTTGACCCTTGAGCGTTGGCTGGAACTGTAGGCGTCGAAGCCACAGTAACGGCGTTGCTGTGGGCTATATCCAACTCTGCGTCTTGCTCTGCAGCCTCAACTTCAACCTCATCGCTCTCCTCTTCTTCAGCGTTATTTTCGCTACCGTCTTCGTCTGGATTCTCGTCACTGTCTCCCTCCTCGCTCTCTTCCTCGCTGTCCTCGTCGCTGTCCTCGTCGCTGTCCTCATCGTCCTCGCTGTCGTCGTCCTCATGCTCCTCATGCTCGAACTGGTCCCCCTCGTAGACCACTCGCGGCGCGCTCGTGTTAGGGTTCTGCGCCGCCAACTGTGCAGTCTTCTCCTTCACCTCCTTCTTCTCGAACCAATAACGCAAAAGCTTCTCAGGCTGCGCATCACGAATGGCGACGTACCCGAAAATCTGGTGTCGCACTTCGAGCGGTATGTTCATGAGCGTCAGCGGTTGATTATCAGACGGCATGATTGCGGTGTGAAGCTGCAGCCGCGGCAGTGGTGGTGGTGTTGTGTTGGAGAGAGGAGTGAAGGTGAGTCGTCGCACAGCGCGGGGAAATAGCGGAGAGGGTTCGAGCTGTTGTATAGGCGAGGGCGCGTTTGTCGTCACGTGGGTGGGTCCAGTCCTTAAGTGAAGGTGAGGTGGGTGCCCTGCTGCCTGGAGGAGAGCGCCTTGTGGGGCAGACTCGCAGGACAGCGAGACTGCAACCGTGAGAGTTCGTGCGTGAGTTCAGATCGGGGCGTGAAAAGACGTCTGCGAGTGGTTGTCCTCAGGCATGATGATAGGCGAAAGAAAGTGGTACTTTAGGGTGTTCGAGTTGGTCGCGCCTGCTGTCCCTCATTTACTCACATAAGTACCAACACAGGCGCGCCACCCTGATCTAAACATCTTGATTCGTACAGTCGTATATACATGTCTAATTAGCTACTTCAAGGAATGTGTACACTATACACTCATCTTCATTGCGATAGCTCCGTGTGGCTTGTACCCAAGAACCTCCAGCTCTTCAGTCTTCCATCCGTCGATACTGCCGCCTGCTTCCCTGTTGATCTTGAGGGTAGGGAAATCGCGCGGTTCCCTTTCGATCTGCACCTTTACCGCGTCTACATGGTCGCAGTATACATGACTGTCGCCCATTGTATGTGTGAAAGTGCCCGGTGTCAGATTGCAGACGTGTGCCAGCATGTGCGTCAGCAACGCATATGATGCAATGTTGAACGGCACACCAAGTCCCATATCGCACGAGCGCTGGTATAACAGCGAATGCAGGACGCCCCTCGGCTTCTCTGTCTCGCTTTCCTTCTGCCGTGGGAATGAGACGTAGAACTGTGCGAACATGTGGCACGGCGGAAGAGCCATCCTCTTCAAGTCCGCAGGGTTCCATGCGCTCAAAATGATCCTTCGATCGTACGGGCGATTCTTCAGCTTTTCGATGACTTCTGCCAGCTGGTCCACGCCTTGCCCAGTGTAGTCTGCATCGTGCCCCTTATAATCTGCACCAAAGTGCCGCCATTGGAAGCCGTAGACTGGCCCTAGATCTCCCTCCTCATGATGCGATAGCCCTACACTGTCGAGGTAGGTACGCGAGCCGTTGCCGTTCCAGATGTTTATACCAGCCTCTTGAAGTGACTTATAATGTGTGGACCCGGCGACGAACCAAAGAAGTTCGCCGATCACGGCGCGCAAGAAAACGCGTTTTGTTGTGAGAAGGGGTAGAATGAGTTCTGGCGGTGCAGCGGGGTTGGAGGAGGGTCGAGATAGACTGAACTTCATTTGCGCAGGGGCAAAGATCGAATATGTTCCTGTCCCTGTGCGATCCGGACGGTGCTCGCCGTTGTTGATAATTTCACGAATCAGGTTAAGGTACTGGTATTCCTCATGAGAGGGGTCGGCCTTCGCTGTGCCGTTTGTTGGTTGGCTTGGCTTGGTGACATTTTGGGTCTCTGGTGGAGGTGTGGCCGAAATGACAGGCTCAAGTACTGAAGATGCCATATTGTCTGTATGTCTGTGAGGTGTATGACTGTGACTGAAGTGTGAGAGCGCTGCCAAATTGAAATGTCGCGAGACGCGTCAGGGTCCAGCAGGCGCGACTGCGCGACTGGTTCTTGCAGCTGCCCGGACAAAGTGGGTCTAACCGCGTCGGCTTGGCCGCAAAACAACAGGGCATCAACATCTAAACTGTCGGTACCTCACGATGTCTGAAGAACAAGCAGCTCACCACTTACTAAATGTCTTAGAAGAGAGGGGGCTTGATGTTGATCTCGACAAGATCCTCCTAGGCTTCGAGGACGAGGATACGAAAGGGGAAGCTGCGGTATGGGTACACGAATACCTGAATGAGGAAACATTATTGACAAAAGAAGAACTGGAGTTGTTGGTACTCGCCATCAGCCCTTGAGGCCCGTTCTGACACACAGCAGATACCAGACGTTGAAACGGAAAGGTCTTTCGCACCAATATGAGAGCGAAGGTGAACCGATCCGCCCAATCCTGGACCATGAGATTGCATCCGCCATCGAGTCTTTGCAAAGCTCGACTGCTGCCATTGAAGAGCAATGCAGAGTACTGGAAGCACAAAGAGATGCCCTAATGAGATTAAAGGTCCTCGACAAGCCCAATCTGGATGTTGACCATGCGCGCAACGAAAAGAGGAGGAAAGAGGGGCAAGAGAAGGCACGGCTGGACGTTGCAATAGACGATGTCTCAACCGCCATAGCCGAGCAGTTAGCGGATGTCCGGCGAGACATCGAAGCGGAGAAGTCAGCACTAAAGAGCTATGTTGCTGAACGCCTAGCTTCTGATGATCAGATTCTAAGCCGGCTCCCAAATATCGTCTCTACGATCGTCACCAAGGTTGAGGCCAGCGAAGATGAGAAATCCATGGGGCAGTGGTGCAAGGCTATCATCTCCTTCCGAACAGCTGAGATCAAGGCCCGAGTTGACACAGTTTACCTGAATAGCTTGGCTGAGAAAGCGAATGGCGATCTGCCAGGTGAATCAGATGATGAGCTCCAGGAACGGAAGCAAGCACTGCAAGCTGAAATGGAGGAGTTGCACGCAGAAGTCGCCTCGATTTCAGAGATGGTAGTCGAACACGAGCTACAAAAGCCAATGGTCGACGTCAAAGAGCGTAAAGAGAAAGAGCGGACACTAGCACAGACAGCTTGGCTGAACTATGTACGCTCTCACAATGATCTTTCCACGGCCACCAAATACTGACAACCTCAGGTATTATCGACGCTCGATTACATGGGCAAGCGTCTGGACATAGTCCGTGCATCTTCCACAGACGTAGACGAGTTTCAACATGCCATAGCCCACATCAGCGAAGCAGCCTCGAAACGCATGCCAGATGTACATGCCCAACGTCCAACACCAGTCAAGAGACGAACATCATCCGTGCCTCTGTCGGCTTTCACACCGATGACAAAGCTCAAGCCTACGACGTCTCTGGATCTCCCTGCAGCACTCCAAGACGCACTTCGTCACGCCGGCATATCGTTCAGTCACGACACTCTGGAAGCACTTCAGGACGCGCTCATTCAAGCTCAAAGTGAGCGACAGAAGAAGGCTAAAGAGCACTTCCAGGCTACAGCTACAACTACCCACGAACAAGTTGCTGAGCGCTCAAGCAAGGCTGATCGCGACCTCAGGATAATCATGGATGCTCTGTTTGCGCACATTCCGTTCCAGCAAGTCAGCTTGACAAATCCCAAGCTGGAGGCGCAATTGAAGGCTATGGACAGCGAGCTCGATCACAAAGACCGTGAGCTGCTCGAAGCAGAGGGCAACGAGCTCAGCCTCAGCGATCCCAAGGTCAGGGCTTTCATCGCAAAGTATGGCAGGCAGGGGAGATAGTGTGTGGTGTGGTGGTGAGCTAGTGAGCAGGGTACTAGGGGAACCTGAGCCGTAAAAGTGGAGCTAGGGCTACTAGCGCGGTTGATGTGTTGTTCGAGCTGTCAACACGGCGCTGTAATGGTGCATAACCAGGGTGTTTATAGAGCAATTCAGTAGTAACAGAAGCAGCGACGCATAGTAGCATCAAGCCCATTTCCACATGCAGATCTACATGCAGTCTAAAAGCCTGCTAGGATTCAGGAGGAACCTCGGACGGGTCGTATGGAGGATAGCTCTGGTGTTCCTCGCATCGTGATAGGCTAGTGCCATGCAGGTCATCCTGGACCATCCCCAGCCATCTCCCAAGCAAAACACAGGAGCAGCTGAGGTGACAACAGAGCGCCCTCTCCACAACACCCTTCGCACATCGCCCCAGACGTGCACGGGATGCACCCGCGAGGCCTCTGCAGCTCCCGAGGCAGTTACACCACCCATTGAGCTCTTGATACCCTTTGATACCCTTGATACCCTCGATACCCCCTTCCCGCCCGCTCCCACGCCCTCCCGCTCACCGCCATGGCGAAAGGAGAGCTCTTTGCGTTCGGCACGGCGGCGGCTGCCCTCGGCGGCGCATACAAGCTCAGCGAGTTCCTGTATAAGGCGAAGCGCTTGCGTGATGTCGGTCCCTCCAACGCTGTCTACGTGCGCATCATCGGCCGTGTGCGCTCCGACCTCGACGAAGTGAGGCGCCTGCTGTCCGTCCGCGAAGTCCACGATGCCCTCGAATCCAACCCAGAGAAGTCCAAGTGGGTCTACGGCTGCATGCGTGACGTGCGCGGGGCCCTGGAGAATATCACGCCGCACACAGAGCGCGTCGGTGGTGATATCGAGGAGGGCCGCCGTGTTGGTGTCCGTCACCGTGTCTACTGGCTGCTCAGCGAGAAGGAGAAGCTGGAGAACAGGGAGAAGGAGCTCGCCATCGCCCATGCCAGTCTGACCGAGGTCATTGGCTTCCTGTCAGGCCTCGAGCCGATCGAGGCGCCCAAGCAGAAGCACCAGAAGGAAGAGAAGACCAGAGACACCCACATCGACATCGACATCAGACGTGAGGCCCCCACCAAGCACACCGAGCACGTCAAGCGCGACGTCTGGATCGAGCGTGATGGCCCTGTTCCCCCTCGCTATGAGGAGCGCCGCGACATCTACATCGACGAGCGCGGCCCGCGACACTTCGACGACCGCGGCGACCAACACCAGCGCGATCTCGACTTTGAGCGCTACGACCCCGCCGACCCACGCTACCAGCAACACACCACCGAGCGCTTCGAGCAGCACGACCAGTACGAGCGCCGCGCCCCTCACCCAGATGACCGCCACTACGCCCAGGCGCCTCTCGGCCGCCGTCCAGAGTCATTTGAAGACCGCGTCCCCGAGCGCGACAGCTGGATGCAGAGCTCTGCAAACCACGGCTACGGTCCGTACGGCGCGCAACAATACCAACGTAGGTTCCGGGGCGACGCCGGCTTTGGAGATGAAGAAGTGCTGAACCCGCAACCAGTGCCTCCCAACCAGCAATACTCCGAGCGCGAGGTAAGATCATACCCACGATCCAAGATGTGAGGATACTGGGCTTTGGCTGATTGGGCGCAGGTGTGGGTCGAGGAGAAAGAAGATTATCGGTTCGACGAGTACGGAAACAGATTGCCTGACAGGTACTTCAGACCTGAATATGCGTCTGTGCCTAGGCCGTACAAGAGCAGGATGTAGATATGTGAGACGGTATGATATTCTGGATGTAATGAGCTTTTGTGTTTTTGTATATGCCCACCCGCCATATCGAAGCTTGAATGGTGGAACAAGAGTAGTCGTAGCCACTCAATATCCCCTTGTTTGTTTTCTGGTCATGTTACGTGTGCTCAATTGCCTCAAGTGATGCTGGCCCATAACCCAGCAAGTAGGTGCCTTAGATTGGAGAGAGTTTCGCTACCAAAGACCCTTGAAGGGGAGGCACCCTGAGTGCTTCTTCTCTTCCTCCTCAATATTTCTTTAGCTTCAACTCTCGATCACACCACCATGGCGCTTCCTTCGATTGTGAAGTATCCCTTCTCCAAGCTGTATCGATTCGGCAAACTCATGCTTGATGCCAAATCAACAAAATGGCCTGGTATGTCTCGCGCAGGCGTAAGTTCACAACTCATAAAGTCTCCTTCAAAATGCGTACTAAGACACGAGATAGATATACATGCTAAATGCCGCGCTACTTCTCAGCATCGCCCAAATATCCCTCCATCTCTGGCTAGCCGTCACTCTGGCAAACCTACCTGCTGAAGCACAGGGATGTTATGAAGGAAATGGTCTCACTGGCTTCCCTATGACCAATGAGAAGACCTACCGCCCTGTCACTTACGCAAACATCCGTGGCAAGGAAGCACTGAGCATTGGTGCCAATCCTTCAACTGCGTAAGTCCTCCTTCAACATCCCACTGAAACACGGCTGAAAGAACCAAGCACGTTCGTATTCGCGACGGTTTTGCCCTTCATAGTCTTCATTCTGCTATGCATGACTGTCGGCCTTCACTTTTCGAGAAGGGGAATGTCGAACAGATATGGAGTACTCCTCGGTTGTGTCTTGTTTTTGGGCTACTTGGGCACTACGGGCGCAAGTGCGTTTCTGAACATCGACACCGACGATGTCAGGACGGATTATGAGTGGTGTTGGGTAGATCATGTGCAGATGGTTCCGCTTGCAGCAGCAAGAGAAACCAGATTCGGAGTCCGAACCGCTATCAGTGCGCTGATGGGTGTTGAGGTCGCATGGTAAGTTCATCTCTGCGAGAACCACCACAGTGCCCCGTGCTGACATGGTCTAGTGCAACCCTATACATCTTCGCTTCGTTCTACGCCGCTCGCACCAACGCGAAAAGCACGAGGGCGATGGGTAGGAGACTGCAGGACCTAAGTCCAGACGGCATACGCATCGACGTCAATGCGCCTCCCCGTCCTCCTCACGACGATGAAGAGAACATCGCAGTCTCCGACATGCCTGCACAGGATCCTTTCGATGATACCAACGCAGTGACGACCTCCAACGGCAAGAGCATAGATTCAATTGATACTTACACACCCTCCGGACACCCCTTCACCGACCCCGAGCACCGTTCCAGTCCGCATGTCAACAGCAAAGGGCAGGAATTTAACGGGCCGGTTACTTCTAGGCGTGGAGATCTAGAATTTGCGACAGAGGGAGGTAGTATACGGCACTCGCCTCTTTCTCCTCAGGACATCGTCGATGACAGGTCCACCGAAGACTTGCGGACTGGTGGAGTGGGCAATCTGAGTGTTATCGAAGAAGAAGGTACCATAGGTGGTTCTGCTTCGGACAAGGAGACAGGGGAGGCAGTCAGTCCCTTTGAGGATGATGCTCAGGTAGAAGACGCTCGGAGGCAGTCTGTCCCTTTGAATTTGGCGCCTGGGTGGAGCGAGTGAGTAGGGACGCTGTTGAGGGGAACATGGAGCAGGGTACTGGTAGCGTTGCCACTGAGAAAGTGGCGGAGGTCAGTGGAAGAACAGGCGACGCTCCCTCGGAACTGCAGACCAGCTAGAGGTTTAAGAGGAGAGCAAAGGGTGTCGAAGGCCTCCAGGGCCGGATCTGCAAGTGTTGAAGTCGGAGACAGCATGGCTGCAGTCTGCACCAGGCTGGGTGTAACATAATGAGATCGCTGCTCTTTGGAGCTGAGTTCAATGGGCCTGTTTCCACAGTCGTCGTTACTACGAGGCTAACATCTGGCTTAAGCTCTTTCTGAAGCCCTCTTGACCCACACCTCTCCCGATGAGCACCAACTTCGCTTCATCGCCTTCTCGTACTGGATCTTTGGCTTCGTTGATATCGTATAGATTCCTCACACCTTGCAATAACAGCACCCTCCCGTCCGTGATCGGAATTCTGCCTTTCAGCCGATGAACCTCGAAGCTTTCGTGGGGTGTGTCGTTCGGCAACGTCTCCTCCCACAATATCGTCCGCAGGAACAAATCGAACTTGTCCACCTGCTCAGGTGTCAAAGCCGGAAATGAGATCGTCGACGTCGTAATTGTAGCATCCAAATGACTATGTCCCTTGCTAGCGAATGTCAGATCATCGGCCGTGACATCCGCATACGCATTGATGTCCAGTATAAACCCCTCTAACTGCGGAACCTCGCTTTTCGTCGTAGTCTTGATGCGCGTAAGACCGTTGATAGAGCGTATACGCTCAACCACCTTTTCCAACTCCTCTGGGGTAACGAGATCCGTTTTGTTGATTAGTATAACATCTGCGTGGCTGATCTGGAGATGTGCCGTTGTAAGGAGTGGCCCATCGTGGTCATGATCATGCTCATGCCTCCTCTTCTCAACTTCTTCCTCACCATCACCGTACCCTTCATCCAAGCTCTTCAATACGTTCTTCGCGTCGACAAGCGTCACGATGCCGTCGAGGAAGATGGTGCTACCTAGCCCGTCGTCGAGCCAGAAGGTTGGTGCGAGGTTACCTGGGTCCGCGAGCCCGGTGGTTTCGAGCAGGATGTAGTCGAAGAGACCGCCTTGATCCATTAGGTTCTCGATGGCGGCAACGCCGACGTCTTTCGCTGAGCAGCATATGCAGCCGTTTGCGAGGGGCACGAAGGGCGGGGGTTTGGCGGTTGTGGAGTTGGAGTCGGATACTGTGAGTTGTTTTTCGATGTCGATTGCTGGTGCACTTTTAGCCAACGACCTTGAGCAGTAGCTTGTTTTGCTACGTACAGTCACCGAATTCGTTCAGAATGACGGCAATCTTCTTGCCGTGCTGCGCGGTGAGGATGTAGTTCAGCAAAGTGGTTTTGCCGGCACCCAGGTACCCCGTCACTATGGTGAGCGGGACTTTCGTTGTGGGAAGAGCATTGGGGTCTTGAACAAGAGTTGGGACCTCGTCGTCGTCCTGAACTGCTACTTTCGGTTCGACGAGAACTGGCACCTCATCGTCTGATCCTTCGATATCCATAACTCTTTTGATGTTTCTGTTTGAGGCCAATTGATGAGGGTGTCACAAGGGGAGGTTTTACTTAGAGCACGAGTCAACTGTAGTCCAAGTTAGTCTTATAGGTCGAACGATTGTAGAAAGACGACAGAAAAATGAAGACAAATGTGAGTGGTACTTCGAAGTTCAAAGATATGAAGATCAACTCCGGACATTGAGGGCAGAGTTACGGTGTTGGTAGAAAGCAGTCTTAATTCAAACCACAAAGATTACAATAAGCTCTTAGTTGATTCACCTACCTCACAGAGATTTGAATGGCTATTGAAAGAGTGTAGGGGAGTGACGTATTGTTCTAGAAAGAAACCTTTGGAGGGCCCCATCGTGGCTAACTTGCTCTGAGCTAGCGCCGCGGGGAGAAGCGACGACAGGGCTGTCCCTGCTCTGCATCACAAGCTCGTGCTGGAAACTTGACAGCTCACCACCACACGCCCAACCTTCGCCCTCCGCCCCGCCTCTATTGCTACGGACACCGGCAATTCTTATATGGTCGCGACAGCAATGGCATCGCCAGCTTCTCCCCGCCTGCCTAGTCCCCCACCGATTGCCGAAGACCAGCTGTCGCCCGTGCCAGCCTCTCCCGAGCAGCAGAAGTTCTTCAGCAATCTCGATCATGCTGCTGCGCGACGGATACGGCCAGGAACGAAGGCGGAGGACATGGCAGAGGGTCCACCGCTGGTAGAGCTGTCAGAGGTGCGCGCCTGCAATAGTACACGGACATGTCAGGAGAGCACCTGCTAAGAAGATGCGCAGATCGACTCGGCCTTCCAGCTCACCGAGCACCTCAAAGCCCTACACAACTTCCTCACACACCCAATAGGCTCGAACAGCAAGATTCCAGTGGACAAGGAGATGGCTCTCAAGCTGGCACAGCCGCCAGAGAACGTGGACAAGACGTTGTGGCTGTACGAGCTGTGCCGGTTCCTCACCCAGAAGGTCAACTCGATCATCGTCGCCCTCTTCTCCGACACACCGCCGTGCTCCTCGATCACGTGCCCTGAGATGCGTGCGTCTGAGTGGCAGTACCTCTGCGCTGTGCACGACCCGCCCAAGTCCTGTTGCGCCATCGACTACTGCTGCCATACGCTCGATTGGGCTGCGAACACACTCACATCGCCGAAACACTTCCCCTCGCGACTTGCTCTCGGCACCGACCAGTCTACACAGCACTCGCAGATACGGCAGTTGACCAACATCTTCAGACGAGTGTATAGAATATTCGCGCACGCGTGGTTCCAGCACCGAGAAATGTTTTGGAAGGTAGAGGGAGACACAGGGCTGTACATCTTCTTCAAGACCGTCTGCGATGTCTACGGTCTAATCCCCGAGGACAACTACACCATTTCTCCAGAGGCTGAAGGTATCGAGCTTCCTACAGAAAATATATCCTCGATACCACCCTTGATCCTGAAGCGCGAGCCATCTGATTCTGGGCCACAAGAGAAGGAGAGCTCTGGAATCATTGAGGGGCTCTCAGAGCACACAATTTCCACTGCAGGGACAACGAAGCGGCACCGACATTCGCCTTCTGTGGGCGCAACGTCTGTCACAACGGTGGTGGAAGAGGCTGAAGAGGAGGAGGCCCAGTCGGCAAAGGAAGTCTCGAGACCTGTCACACAAACCTTCGAGTCAACCCCAGAGGAGGCCGAGGAGGCCGAGGAGGCCGAAGCTGAGCAGCCTGAAGAGACCACGGAAGCCGAGACCGAGCCTGAAGCTGCCGAAGAATTAGCCTCACAAGACTCCCACGCTGCTGATGAGGCCGAAAAAGCAAGCACCGAGAGCAAGGACGAAGCGGACGCTGAGGCTGAGGTTGAGGCTGAGGTTGAGGCTGAGGTTGAGGATGAGGCTGAGGCTAAGAATGAAGAAAGCCCAGACGAGGAGCCTGCGGTGAAGGAAGAGTCTGCTTCATCAGGATTCCTAGAACTGGCCCCAGAGGAACACAAGACCACCAACGATGAAAACGAGAAGCCTGCAGAATCGACGGAGAAGCCGGAGAAGAAGGATGCAGACGCGGTAAAGGACGAAACTGCCTCAGAAAGAGCCGATGAAGCTGATAAGGCTGACAAGGCTGACGACTCCAAGGAGAAGAAGGCAGATGCATGATGACGATCCTACGATGCGTAACGAACAGCCTGCATTGCGGAAGATGCATGGCTTTTGAACTTTCTTCTAATGTGTATTCATAGCCTCGCATCGCACGACGATGCGGATTTGGCGGCCGTCGATATCATCAATTGTAATGAACAACGCCATCATCTCGCCTTCGGATACAAGACGCAGTAGCAAGGATGCAGTGAATTGATAGCGTCATGTTATCTCCGTGGAGTATGGAGGCTGGTTGCTGGAGGCTGACACGCATGCAGGCAAGCGAGAATTGCAACATGTCAAAAGCAAAGTGCCCAGTCCAGACCTGGGGTAGGCTATTGGGCGCAAGGCAGACGTGAACTTTAAACGACCAATGACAAGCAGAAGAGTGCTAGCACGTGTGATGGAATGCTAGGTTCAGTGGTTTGAGACGGAGTTGGGCTCTGCACTATCTGGAAGATTAAGCAAAAAGAAACACAAATGGTCAGGTCGGAAACAGAGGCCTGTCTCGAGAACTTTACGCATGCATGCAACACGGGCCGCAATGGCTCTTGATTGGGACAGGCAAAAAGATCAAGGCTGACAGTTGAAGGCGCTGAGACACCAGCAGCCCAACTGTGCACATTCCTGCTCAGTACGCTGCAGCCATGTGCGTGACAGGCACGCGTTCAAATTCAACGCTATCGAAAGCACAAGAGCAGCCATCAATGTCGAAATGTTCAGATGTTGTTGTTTCAAGCTTCATTACGAGATGTCTTCTCCCTAGTCAATCATAGCGCAAGGAGCGATCGTTCCTGCCTTGAGAGCACACCCCACGCAAAGCGAAGAACCTACGCCCAGACGCTTTCTCCGCATTTTGGTGCCATGTCTCATGCAGCCCGCCGCAAACTCGAGGCCTGAGTCGCGCAAGCACCTTGCAGCGCATCTCGTCTGCATGTTAATGGAATGCTTGCGGCGGCTTCCACGATTTGGGGCCTTCGCTGCACGCCGATATTCGTTGCACGCTGATGTTCGTTGCACGCTGATGTTCGTTGCTACCCCTCAGTTCCCGCGGGCTCTGCGCGTTGCGTGGTCAGGTCCCTTATCGGCGGCTACTGCGGGACTCTACTCGGCTCGTCGCTCGGTCACGCACCGACTCCCATCGCGTTCCCGCTCGCTGACAGTGACCCGGCGCCGGACGCACGCCATGTCTCTTGACTCCTGCCTGTGCTGCCCACACCAGTCCCTCTCCCCCCACGCCCCCAGGTAGGATCTCGAACAAGCTTCGTGCAGTTGGTTGTGGTTGTGGTGGTCCCGCCTCCACAGTAGCCCGTCGACCCTCTGCAGATCACTGTATAGTTACACGACGCACCCCTCGTCGCGTCGTTGCATCTCGCCTCGATTGAGCCCACTTTGCTGTCTGCCCTTTCTAGTCGCCCCTCAATTCACACCAGCCGTTCTGCCTCATAGTCTCCGAAGGCCCACCCGCGAAGCATGCTCTCCGACCTCCCCACGCTTCAGCAGCCTTGACCAAACACCGACTCCCTTGGAAAAGCGGACACGCGACCGTGCAACACAGCCCACTTTTTCCCCAGAGCCGCACATAGCTTCCCCGCCGCAGACACGAGTCGCCTATGGCGCAGGTCTTGCAGATGCAAGCCGCGCCCGAGCTGGGGAAGACCCAATTCGAACAGAAGATGGAGGCAACCAGCGACCGAGAGCCGCCCACACCAGCGTCACCAGACAGCGGAGAGGCGCGAGGGCGTCGCCGTGATAGAGAGGATTCGGGCGAGGATGGCGCAGATGGCGAGCCAGGAGGCTCGAGGAAGAGGAGGAGAAGCAGGAAAGGGCTCGACAAGAAGTTTGAGTGCCCACATGAGGGCTGCGGGAAGAGCTACTCGCGGGCTGAGCATCTGTACAGACACCAGCTGAACCGTACGTCGCTAGTATACACAGCTACAGATGCTGCAGGTGGTCAGGACGTCCAGAGACTGACGCGCTGCAGACAACCCCAAGCAAATCTACAACTGTGATTTCCCAGACTGCCACAGGTAAACTCCTCGAACCCAAAGATCCCAGGCTCGTACTGACTTCATAGGTCTTTCGTCCGCCAGGACCTCTGCGCACGCCACAAGGAACGCCATACTGCACGTGGCAGCCAGCTTCTTCGCAAAGACACCTTCAACCTGCACAACTTGAACCCAATCGTTACCGCAGCGCTTGGTGGGAAGAACACTCCAGGCGCGAAGCCACTCAGCGCAAAGGGTGGACAGCAACTGCAGTCACCACCGTCGGCAGTATCGAGCACTGCGACAGGAGGCCAGATGTCACCTCCCTTTCAGTCTCCCGCTCCGAGCAGACAAGACTCACTGAACAGAATAGGAAGCGTAGGGAGCGAAGATGCGTACCGTAGTGGCCCTGACACTAAGCCTTATGAAATGCAGGCCCACGGCTCCAGTAGCTTCGCACCACCACCGCGTCCAGCCGCATTGAGTAACTACAGTGGGGGTCGAAATTCGCTCCACAACTCCCCACATGTGGGTAACAACAACTTTCAACGGCCCGAGTTGCGCGCATCAACGTCAAATCTCTCATCATATGGTACAGCCAGCTCGCCATACAACTCAGCAGTCACGCCCACCCAGTCATACACTCCTTCGGCGGCGCCGACAACCTACCAAAATAGCTCAAGTGGGTTTCAGTCCCAACAAAACTTTCCTCCTTTCCCTTCCTTACCTCCGCCAGAATACCCTCAACCGACAGGCACACCTGTCTCGCAAAGTCAAGATAGCCAGTACTACAACGGTACTTCCGGACAAGCACCAATGAACGGTGTCGAGTCGACTGCGCAGCTAGTGAATGGTGTTACAGACGCGATTATGGACCAAACACCATCGTATGCAATTCCTATGTTTGGTGGAGAAGGCTACAGCCGGTCTCCGTTCGCCATGGCCGACGACTTCGCTGCGTGGCTGTTCAATGATAATCAGTCCATGCCTGGGGGTGGCTCGCCGATGGCCTACGCAGGCGGAGTAGTGCCCGCAACCGGAGGCTCAGCTTCCATTGGCCCCTTGCAAGCACCCTACTTCAACTACGATCCTACGGTTGCAGGCTACATGAACAACCAGCCTCCTCCAGCCAACCCAATGGCTGTACACGCAATGTTGGACACCTCTTTACCGGAAATAGCATTGTCCGAGGAGAAGCGCAGAGACTTGATCGACCTCATCATTGGACGTTTTAACGAGACTGACCATGCGCCTGTCAAGAAACAGAAAGAAGACATCCTTGAGGGCAATAAGGACGACGATCATCATGTTCTCAGCTTACACATGATGCAGACCTACATCAGCTCTTACTGGAGACACTTCCATCCTCAGCTTCCAATCCTACACAAGCCCACCTTCAATGCAAGCACTTGTCCTGATCTTCTACTGCTTGCCATCATGTGCCTTGGCGCATCATGTCTTGAGAAGACGTATGGCCACGAGATGACACAAGCTTGCGCCAATCTGGCGAATTTCATGGCATGGCACCTGCGCTGGGAGATGTTCATGGATGCAGACTTCCGACCACCAGCTAAGCTTTGGATCTTCCAAGGTTTGCTATTGCTGGAGTCTTTCGAGAAGATGTACAGTACTCGGCCGCTGCACGAGCGAGCACACATTCACCACGCCACAACGTTGACATTGATGAGGAGAGGCAGCTCTCTTATTGGAAGATCAGCAATGGACTCACCCCCAAGTAACAAGGACGGCAGGGGCAGCTCACAGGGTGGCATTGACACACCAGACGAATGGTGGAAGCACTGGATCACGAACGAGGCTACTAGGAGAGCAGCGTTTGCGGCTTTCGTCATGGACAGTATACACGCTACCATGTTTGGCCACAGCGCAGTGATGGTCGCTCATGAGATGCGTCTGCCATTGCCCTGCGACGAAGCTCTGTGGTCTGCAACAAGCAGTAGCGAAGTTGGCCGTGTCGAGGCAAGCTTACACTCAAATGGTATTAAGCAGACTTCCTTCTTGGATGGTCTCAAGAAGACACTAAATGGCCAGACCGTACGAACCAACTCGTTCGGACGCACAATCTTGATGGCTGGTCTGCTCAGTGTATCATGGCACATGAACCAACGAGACCTCCAAGTCAGCTCGCTCGGCGTCACACAGGCTCTTGGTGGCCGCGACAAGTGGCGAGGATCCTTGACCCGCGCTTTCGACTTCTGGAAGCAAGACTTCGACAGCTCACTCGCGCGCCCAAACGACCTCTCTGCACCCAACGCATACACCTACTCCAATGGCGTAGACGACGACAACGTCTTCGAAGCACGCACCGTCCTCCACCACCTAGCGCACATGGCGATGCACGTCGACATTGTCGACTGCCAAATCTACGCCGGCGCACCCCGCCTCCTCGGCCGCTCCATCACCCCCCAAGACTACAACGGCGCCCAGCGCCGCATGAAAGAGGTCTGGGCCCCGACCGCGCGAGCTCGAGATGCGACCTTCTACGCCCTCCGCTTCCTCTCCAACGTCATTGTCTCGGGACACCATAGCCTCAACCAGTCCGCCGGACTTTCCATTAGCTACTCCGCGCGTGACGACGTGCTGCTCAATCGCCCTTGGGTCCTGTACTTTGCCACTCTCATCGTATGGTCATACGGCTTTGCGCTCGATGGGCCGATAAAGCAGCCCTACCAGCTCAGCACGTATGATGAGAAGGTCAGGGATATGAGCGGCTACCTCAAGCGTGTTGGGGGCGTGAGGGCGCCGGATGATCTGGCCAAGTTGAGCGATCGGAATGCGTGTCTCGGGTTACTGATTATTATGAGGGATATGTTTAAGAAGACGAGGTGGGAGTTGTTGCATGAGGCGAGTACGCTGTTGACGAAGTGTATTGAGATGCTTGTCCCTGGTGCTGGGGGGATGTAAGGAAGACATGTCGACCTTACTGCAAGGTTTTATCTTATTTTGTTTGTTGTGTCTTAGGGAAGCAAGCGCTGGAGTTCTGGTCAACTATGTTGGAACGTATCAACAGTACGCAGATACTGTTTAGGTGCTTTATACCCAGGCGTGGTGAGCTTTCTTCACGTACATTGAGATAGCTCGTATCGAATGCTATTATTTGCATCGTCGGGTGGGCGCTCCTTCTCCTAATATTCATCAATTGAGAATTGGCCCCCACGCTTTCTCCAGGGTATGCGGGCGCTCCTTCCGGCCTCACGTGCAGGCAAGCCCCCACCCAGCAACTGCCAACGCAGCCTTGCCAGGTGCAGTGTGAGGCATCTTCTGGGAGTGAGCACTGTAAACTCTCGCAGAACAGTTCGACCCAACCACGAGGCCTCCATCCCTCAGGATGCACAACCAGTATCGAGATGCTACACGCCAGCTCCTTTACCTTCCACCCTTGACACCACACCCTGACGATGTGCACGAGATTGTCATCGATCAAGCATACGGTCTGGAAAGCACCTGTGAGTCGCCACTGACAAGACACCGCGAGATCAAGACCGGCTTATCACCTGGCTTGCTTTGCAATCTATGTCGCAGCATTCTCGACAAGACTGGGAGCTTCAGCAGTATTAGAACGCCTGCCTCGGTCAATCGTGGCTATGTGGACTTTGAAGATGTTGCAGAACCCGCTGTATATTGCTCTTGTTGTCGGTATATTTTGAGAGCTAGAGAGCTTGCCAGACAACAAGTTCACCCTGCGGAGACAAGAACATGTGAGAGGCCTACGTCGTTCCACCTGTAGATTTACATAGAAAATTGCCTTTAGCAGTACGCCGGCAGAGCGAGTTGTTTCCCTGCATAGCGGTATTATGCTGAAATGCATATCCTGCCAGCCGGGTAGTTTGCGGCATTGAAAATGAGCAATCAGACGTGCTTCAACTACTCTTCATGGCTATGCAATGGCCCCACTGCCTAGTAAATCTCTTTGGGACCTAAGGTTGCACCCCGTCTTTATTCACAACTCTCCTCGCATCCTCATCTCTCCTCCCCTCTACAGCATCCCTGATCGATTCACCACTTAAGTGCAGCTCTCTCGCCCAAATCTTTCTCATAAACTCTGGCCCCATCCCACCCAACCCCGTCGCCAAAAAGCCAAGACTAATACCAAACACCTCCATACCGTCCGGCTCCAGCGCCCTCACTCAGTCTAGCATCATCATGTTCAACGCTGTCTTGCTGCTGCGGTACGCGACTTAGCTGGGGGTGAACGGCTTTTGCCAGCTGGGTTTGCTGGATTCGCGAATTGCGGCGTATATCTTGCCCGAGGATGCGGTTGTTAGGGAGGACAGGCCTGATGTTGCGAAGACCCTAATTCAGCGCTATGCCCACCTAAGCCTTGCAGTCTGTTGTGGCGTGCGGCAGTGAGCTTCAGAAGCGCTTTGGAGGCCTGTTCGCTAACTGGCGATCCTGGTTGGGCTTCGGGAGCGAGCGCGGACTCGCTGAGCCCCGCGCATGGAGCTGGTGGTTAGGTACACAGCCCCAAGCATTCAGCGAGCGCCAGATTGCAGCCTGCTTGACCCGTTCCGCGCGGATGCACGACACTTGCCCTAGACGACAGACATTCACTCTTGTTCTGCACTTCTGGATCTTCTACCGTCGTACGCTTGCATCGTGATTGTCTAAACTGGGCTAACGTTCATCGCTCGGAGAGAACATGAGCCGCGACGATGCGTCTTCTAAAGCGCTTGCAGAGCGGCGGCTTTGAGCTGGTGTCTCTAAGCAATGACGACCCTCCCCGGTACGCTATCCTCTCGCACACTTGGACTGAGGGTCAAGAAGTGACGTACAACGAGCTGGTGGCGGGTACAAGCAAAGACAAGACTGGCTACGATAAGATACGGTTCTGCGGCGATCGAGCTGCAGCGGACGGCTTCGACTACTTTTGGGTCGATACCTGCTGCATCGACAAGTCTACCAGCGATGAGCTCAGTACGGCGATCAATTCCATGTTCCGCTGGTACCAGCGTGCATCCAAATGCTACGTGCACCTATCAGATGTGTTCGTGCCAGACGAGATCAGTGACGCCGAAGCCTTCCCCCTAGCGTGGCAGGAAGCCTTTCGACGGAGCCGATGGTTCACGCGAGGCTGGACATTGCAAGAGCTTCTGGCGCCGGCTAGTGTCGAGTTCTTCTGCAAGCAGGGCAAGCGGCTGGGTAGCAGAGTGTCGCTGGAGCGGGAAATCCACGAAATCACCAAGATCCCTATCGCGGCTCTGAGAGGACAAAGCCTCAGCGAGTTCAGCGTCGCGGATCGAATGAGCTGGGCAGCCAGGCGCACGACAACGCTGAAGGAGGATAAAGTGTATTGTCTGTTGGGCATCTTTGGTGTGTTCCTGTCGCTCATATACGGAGAGGGCGAAGCATACGCAACGCTACGGCTGAAGGAGGAGATACAGAAGCGGCAGGGGGGGCGAGGAACCGGCAACTCGCGTAACTTGTCCGGTACGTCCTAACTCAGCAAGGTAGTACATTTCGTACTCAGCTAACAGTACCTAGTCTTCTCGTCACTACCTTTTCCACGAAATGAACTGTTTGTTGGACGAACGGACGAACTCCGATCTCTCGAACAGCACGTCCTCGTCTCTAACACCCACCGGCGGATGACAATATATGGATTGGGAGGATGTGGGAAATCAGCGCTTGCCATCGAGTTTGCATATCGCGTCCTGGCAACGCACGCTAGACTGGTGTTCTGGGTGCCTGCCATCAGTCAGGAGAGCTTCGAACTTGCGTACCGCAAGATCGGAGTCCGCCTCCGCATCCCAGGAATCACTGATGATAATGCAGATGTGAAAAAGCTTGTTCAGGAGACGCTAAGCTCAGAGGGTGTAGACGATTGGCTAATGATCGTCGACAATGCTGATAATCATGAAGTGCTACTTGGCGACACGAACAGCAACTCGAAGTCAACTCGATTAAGCGACTACCTCCCACGCAGCGATAGAGGCGCGGTACTTTTCACGACGCGGAGCAGGAAGATGGCTGGAGTTTTGACGCCGAGCAGCGTCTTAAGGCTGAATGACATGAGCAAGGAGGAAGCTAGACAGCTGCTAACACGACGAACAGCGCAGCAGGCGTTGCGTGACGACGAGGCGGCTGTTGACGAACTGCTGGAGACACTCACATGTCTACCACTTGCTATCGTGCAGGCAGCCGCTTTCATTAACAACAACGATGTGTCTGTAACCGGCTACCTATCCTTGTTTCGAGATACTGGTACACAGATCGAGCTCCTCAACGAGGACTTCGCAGACCCAAGCAGATACGATGAGTTGGACAGCACGATCGCGAAAACGTGGCACATCTCCTTTGATCAGATACGCAAGCAAGACCAGCTTGCTGCAGACTACCTCTCGTTCATGGCATGCATCGGCCGCATCAATATGCCCCAGTCGCTATTACCTCCCGGAGCCTCTTCAGTGCAGCAAGCGAAAGCGCTGGGAACACTGACAGGGTACGCGTTCATCACGGAGCGTCTACATACCGTACAAGAGTCAGACGGAGACAGATTCTTCGACATGCACCGACTGGTGCACATGGCGTCTGTCCGGTGGCTAGATAGACACAATGAGCGGGCAACCTGGGTAGACGCAGCGGTAGCACGGCTTGAAAAGCTAGTACCGTACGGCGGGCATGAGAACAAGGAGGTGTGGACGGCGTACCTGTCGCACGCGGTCCATGTGGCTGGAAGCTACAGTGTAGTAGGCAAAGCAGCCAGCGCTTCGCTTCTGGATCGCGTAGGGCGGTGTCAATCAAGCCTCGGGCAATATTCGGCAGCAAAGACAACGCACGAACAAGTGTTATCGGCGAGAGAGAAAGTGCTTGGGCTTGAGCACCCAGACACGCTGACGAGCATGGGCAATGTAGCGCTAGCACTCAGCAGTCAGGGAAAGTACGCTGAGGCAGAGAAGATGCATCGCGAGACGCT